ATCGGGGCTTAAGAGACTAATTTCTTATAGCTAATTAAAGATTTCTTATTTCTTAACGCTATATCGTTTATATTATACTACTTCGTAGTTAATTATATACTATACTTTATAATTTTATTTGTTTTTATATTAAAGGTTAAGTTTTCGTTTAGCGTCTTTTTATTTTTCGCGTAGTATTTCTATATTAATTCTTCCTTAGTTAAATATAGCTTATAGCCTTTATATATATTACTAATAATCTTTTAGTATACTATTATATCGTTTATACTATACTTATGCTTTTTCGTATTTATAAACTCTATAGTTTAAGTATATATATTTATTATAATCTTCTTTATTATATTTAACTTATTACGTAAGTCTTTAAAAGATTAAGGGTTTAGATATCTTAAAGTAAGTAGCGTTATACTATTCTTTTATTTTAGCGTATTTATAGATTTTATATATCTCTAAAAGATGTCTTATTAATAAACTATAATTATCGCGGTATTTAAGTAGCGTGCTATAATTAGGTTCTAATAATATAACTTAGTTATTTAGGTAGCGTTAATCGATTTTCTAGTAGTTTAGTTCTATACTTAAGTAGGGTTTTAAAAGTATTTATCCCTTAAACCTAACTAGGAAGGCGTTATATTATACCTTTATCTAGAAGTATATTATATAATCTAGGTAGACGTATAATATCTATAAAATATACTTATAGTGCTTATAAGTAAGTAGTATTTATAGATTATCTTTAAATTCTCCTTATAGTTACTATTCTCGTTATAGAGTTATAAAGGTATCGACTATAGCGATAGCTATAGTATAGTCTCCTCTATATAGTACCGGTTAATACCGAATTAATATAGCTTATTAGTTTTCCGTGAGAATTTAAGGTATTTATTAGGTTCTAATTTTAAGTATTTCTTTAAATTCTTTAAAGTATAAAGTATATTCTTTAATCGTAGTATTTTCCCTTAGTAGTAAGGGTAGTAATATAAGTTCGTTCTTATCTTCTATTTCTCTAAGTATTTCTTATTCTTTAAAGCTTATATCGTCGATACTTCGTTATTCTTCCTTAGGTTATTATCCGAATTTCGTAAGTATAAAGGCTATATTTATATCTTCTTTATTATATTATTTATAGACTACCTATCGTTATTATTAATTTTTATTTTATATATCTTCCTAGAATTATTTACCGTTCTTCTTAATCTAGTCTTAAGAGACTCCTTTAAGATAGGGGTATTCTAGTTCTATAAATTTAACTTATTTCTATATTTTAAGATCCCTTCGTTATATTATTATAAGGGTCTTCTTTAATAGCTTTAAGAACTATCTAGTACTATTCTTATTACTTAAGTATACTATATATTTATCGTTATAGTATATAGTCTAACTAAGGAGTTTATATTTTAGTTCCTATCTATTGGTAGCGTTTAGGTATTTCTTACCTTTTAAGGCTAGTACTTAGTAGGTTTTCTTTTCTTTATAGGGTTATCTATATTCCTTAGAGTAATATCTAAGTTTCCTATAGTTAAAATACTTTCCTTTACTTTTCTATATTATATTTAGATCTATCCTACCTAGGTTAGTTATATAGGCGTAGGTAATAGGAGTTTCGCGCTTTTTTTTATAGTTAGCGCGTTAGTTAAAGTTATTCTTATAGGAAGGGTTCTAGTTTCCTCTTCCTTATTTCTTTTCTTAACGTTGCGTATACTATCTATCGTTAATTCGTACTACTATAGTAATATAGTTTAAGAGGCCGTTAGGTCGATCTTCCTTATAGAGTTCGTCCTTAACTTCTTCCTTAAGTCTATTATAGAATCGCGATATAAGGGGTTCGTTGTCCTATTTAAGTTTTAAGGTAACTTAATAGAATTTAGTAGTATAGTCTAATACTAAGGTCCTTTATCGGAGTTCTTAAAGTTTCTATTTAGCTTCTCGTTCTTTATTAGTTATTCCGAATACCTTAGTAATAGCTTCTTTAAATCCTTAGAAACTAGCAAAGACTTTATCTATTTTACTATTTTATTATACTAGTTAGTTATCGAGATAGTCCCTTATAATAGGTCTAAACTAAGCGAGTGCTATTCTGGATAAATAATTTCCTATATAAAGTACCTTTTCGACTAGGTTCGAAAGCTTCGTTAGGTAAAACTAGTAGTAGGCCTTAAGTTAGGTAAGAAAGTCTTAAAGAGTACTATAAGTACCGTTAAATAGTCCTAGCTACTTTAGTTTAACTACTTCTCTAAGGTCCTTAACTTATCCGTTGCCTCCTTCGTTCCTAAGTAACTATACCTCTTATTAAAGGGTAATAATCTCGCGTATTATATCCTAAGGCGATATAGTAGCTCTAGAGTTAGTTAATCTAGTTTACTATATAGGCATATTAATAGTTACGATATTACTTAAAGTAACGCGGTATTATACTAAATAAGAGCTTTTAACGTATAACGACCGGTATTATTCCTAAGGGATAAACCTATTAAGGGGTTTATATTAGTAGATATAATAGGGCGTAGTCTAAGTAATAATATATATATTATATTAGTAATAAGTCGGAGGTTATAGACTATAGACTATAACTAGGTAATTAGAATTAGAGATAGAATCGTAATAAAGATCTATATTAAAAGCTAGAGAGCTATCTATTTAAAGAAGTAAAAGTAAGTAGCTATATATACCTATAGAGACTATCCTTAGATTATAGGCCTAGCTATAATCCCTAACGTTAGATCGTATAGAGCGTAGTAATCTCGTTAATCCTAGATTACTTAGATCTCTACGATCCCCTCGATCCTATATCTATTAGATAGTCGTGCCGACTATTTATCCGTTAGACCGTGTTACGTGCTTAACGCGGTCGACCGTTAGCGGCCTAGTAGCCGTGGTCGTAACACCGTATCGAGGAATAGTTCTAATTACTTAAGCTGCCGGCTATATAGGCAATCCTACCGGAGTCCCGCTTTAATATAGACGAAACGGGTATCCTTAAGGGCTTAGCTCTAATAGTCTAGTACTAGGGAGCTTAGAGAAGTAAGAGACTCTTAAAAAGCGGCTAGGATCGCGTTATTAGACTATAATAGTTAAATACGTCTCTACTATAGGCTAGGCCTTAACTCCCCTTATAATTTTTAAGGGTTAAGACCTTTAATACTAATAGTTCCCTAACGAACTTAATTTTCTATGAGATTAAGACTTTATTGCCTCCCTAAAGGGCTAGATAAGTAATGCTATCGCTATTTAGTAGCTAAAGTAGGTTTTTATCCCTTAAATAAGGCACTATAAGCAGGGCAATACTCTTCTTATTATTAACGGCTACGGGAGTTATTAGACTAATAATTTTATATACGAATGCTTCTAGAATAGTATATATCTCCTTTTCCTACTATTACACTCCTTATATATCCTCTAACTACTCGATATCTCGGTTTTCTCGCCTATTAAGGCCGTATACCGACGTTAACTCGAGAAAATCGCATCTTTTAACGATATAGCGCTAATTAGTAAGGCTACCTTCCTTCGTATCTACTACGAAGCCCGGCAGGCTAGCCTAACCGAAAAGAACATTAAGGGAGGTTAGCGCGGGTCTAGTTTATAGCCAATTAATATAGTAAAGCCCTTATTAAGCCGCTTCGTCTTACCGTAGCCGTTAACGCCGTTAACGCTATTAAAAAGGAAGAATATTAGCTCCTTAGCTAATAACGATGCCCTTAAAATGCCTAAACGATTATAAGAAGTTCGCCGCCTCGTTATAGGGCTAGAAAATCGCGGTCAAGTTGACCGTATAATCCGATTACTCTTTAGCAAAGTTAGCCGCGCCCTTAACAATCAAAATTGGCAGCTTGCAGCTGCCCAGCTTCGAATACAATAGCTTAAGCATTAATTGCATCGTCTACGGCCTCGAAAATAGAAAAAGGTTCTATAGGATCCTAATGGCCGGTTCGTACGGATTGATCAAGTTATTAAGACGAGGCAGCGGCTCGAGCGCATCCTCGAGCCGGCTGCTATTGCCGCAGCCAATTAAGACGCAGATTTTAAAGCTCTATGTGGTAGCTGGCAGCTTGAATAGCTAGAAAACACTATAATTGACTATCGTAACGTTGAAATGCGGCTTCAATTACTGTTGGAATGTGCCTGCCTTGGTGTTGTGGAGAGTGCCGGTGTTGGGGTGTGCCGGACTTTAGGTGGGCTGACTTAACGGGTAGATGCGAAGAGACGGAATAAGCCGCCGAAAACCCACATCCCGCCCCTGGACCGAGCAAAACGGTGGACACAGACGGGTCAAGTACAGATACTAGTACTAGTACTATTGTTCTGATCTAATGTGATCTGAGCTGATCTGAATGAGCCCAGCGACGACGACGACGACGACGACGACGGCGGCGGATACAAGGAGGAGCTGGCTGCACAGGCTAACAGCTTCACGGAAAGACCCTCGTTTGAGCCTGATGCAAAAAAGTCACTGCCCTTACCGTCCATATACCCTACCTGCACCTGTCCCTATCCCTATGCCGTGCCAGGTCTCAAGATGGGTGTGCCATCCATCCATCCAACCACCATGTCCCGGTACGACTCCCTGTATGGCCCAGGGCAAGGAAAAGGGTGGCGCAGAGAGACAGCCTACCTTATCCAATGCAAAACAGCCCTCTTCTCTCCCGGTCTCGGGTCTCGAGGCTGCCTATCCCTAGAAACACACAGGCTTAGAGCATCGCCCGACTCTCCTCCCTGCTGCTGCCAAAGCGCCTACACCGAGCCTTCCTATCAGCCTTGTTCAGCGCCATGAGACTCGGCAGACGGCCGCTTCACGGCGGCCACGACCTCGTCCTCCTGGTGGTCGTAACAGTCGGCATGACTATGCTCGAGACCGCCCGCACGCCCGTCCTCGAGGAGGCCGTCTGTCGCCACCACGGCGGCTCTCGCGACTGTCGAGAGAAGGCCGTGCAGGCACGCCTGGCTATACTGAACGGGTGGATAGAGAACGCCTCTGCCGTGCAGGGGGGTTGCTGCTCACCATGCCCTACGCGTGGCTGGCCGAGGCCATCGACAACCGCAAGCTGCTGCTCGCCGGGTTCATCAGCTCGACCGTCTCCGTCGTATACTTCTTTGGGATCTGCCGACTTCCCGTGGGTATCGTGCGCCTAGAGCTGGTTGTCTGCTTTCGCGTCCTTGAATGCATCGGCGGCGGCACGACGATGGCCTACATCCTGCTTTATTCCAGCCTGGCCAGGAAGAACCCCGTGGAGTCCCGCACCTTGGTCATCTACATCGCAGGTGCGGTCCTCCTGCTCGCGCGAGCCGGTGCCATGGTGCTGGTCGGCCTGCTTCTGCAGGGGAACGCACCGAGCATAGGGCCCATAACCATCCTTGTCTATTTGACCAATATCCCCGTCCTTCTCTCGGGCGGGTCGTCCCGCCCCGCGATCGCAATGGGTCAGGGCCAGAGCTTGTGCGGAGACGCTGCCGATGCGGATGGCGGTGTCGCGCCTCTCGACGCGGCTGACGCCGCCTCGGATGTCTCGTCTGTCACCGGCCTTGACCTAGACGGGCCTGGCGGCGACGACGACGGGTCCGTCTACATCGAGCCGCCCTCCAGGAAAGGCATCCTACTTCACATCAAACACATCCTCCTCACAGCTTACAACGAGTACCTCGGCCGCGCCGTCTTACGCACGGGTCTCTTCGTCTGCGCTACAAAGATCGTCGCCCTGGATGTGCAGTTCATCCAGCCGCAGTGGTCCGTCAAGAAGTTCGACTGGAACTTCACGGCGACCTCGTACGTCAACGCCTATGCCACGCTGATATGCATGGTCGTACTTGTCTGCCTCCCGTTCTTGTCGGCGTCTCTGAGCGACCGCCTGGACAGCCCGCAGAGGACAGACATCCTGATCTTCCGCCTAAGTCTCTTCTTTAGGATCGCCGGGACCGTCGCCATGGGACTGGCACCGACGAAGCTGTCATTCCTCGCCGCCGTTGGCGTGCAGGCGCTGTCTGCCGGCGCGTATGATGCTTTCAAGTCGCTCGTGACCAGCTTCAGTTCCGCTGCGCACGTTACCGAGCTATACGCCGTCATAAGCCTGATCGAGACCTTGGCCCACATGTTGTCTTGTCAGCTGTGGGCCAGCCTCTTGGTCCTGTCTCTGGGCCTGGATCGCTCGAGAATGGGCCTGCCGTTCTGGGTTAGTGGTTTTCTCAGCCTTCTCGCGCTTGCCACGTTCCAGGTGATGGTCAGTCAAGCAACAGAGTTTCTGGCTCCTCGCTGCATTGAATAATGAATGGGTATTATGCGTAGATAATTTTTTCAGGAGTCGTGCAGCATGGTCACAACTGTACTGCCTGTAGATACTTGTTGCAGTCTACACCGGGCAGGGAACAGTAGCATTGGCTTGTTACCTGAATACCTAATTAAAGGCAAGGTCAACTGTACCTAACAAGGTTCATGCAAGGATCACAATACGGAGGCAGCCGTCAGATATTATGTCGGCAGGGGGATTGCTTTTTCTTAGGAATCCCTGTACGTACGACTTGAAAATCGGGCTCGGAAGCCCCGCACGCATTTTATATAGTAGCTTTCCCCTCTTTCTTTATAATAGTTATACATCTCGTTCATAACTTATATTATAATAGCCCTAAATACGGATATCGCTATTAGGGCTATGGTAGTTATACTTAATTTCGGCGGCTATACGACTGTTAAGACTGCTAAGTTAGCAGGCATCTTAGAGCGGTAGGTTGAACGTATCTATGCTAAAGCCAAAGACCGTAGATTCGACCTAGCTGGCCGGCCGTTAGTTCTAAAGAATAACTTCCTTATTAATGCCCTACGCTTAGGCCGGCCGTCTAAGCAGATAGACGATATTAAAGAGGCTATAGCTATAAAGGTACGCTATAATCGGTACGGCCGGAAGAAAACAACTACTAATATCGCTGCCGAATTAAGTAATAATGGCCTACTAATCTCCTCTTTAATAGTCTTATAAGTCTTAAAAAGGAGTAGCTTCTAAAAGACTAAGCTAGTAAGGAAGCCCGGCTTAATAAAGAAGATAAAGGCGGATTAACTGTACTAGTATATTAAGAGAAAGGACTAGACTCTTAAGGATCAAAAGAATATAATTTAATTAAATAAGACCTTTATTATCTTACTATATCTAAGTAAAGTTAGTCTAATTTATATAGAGCGGTAATATTTCTCCGGAGTATAAGGGGGGGTAAGCATAGTAAACCCTCGTCTAGTTTATCCCTTAGGAATAACTCTAGCTGTCACACTCTGCTCACTCTGCTATTTGCGCCTGCCTCTGCTGCTTATGCCTTCGACCCTTATTCGCAAGCATCCCCCCTAAAAGCTCGGTCTACTTCCAGCATCTGTACAGTTCTCCAGATTAATATTAAAGAACAAAGCACGAGCGATTTTCTAAAGCTCAAGTTCGCTAGCTCGACTTACAGCATGAGGGACTTGGGGGCGTGCCTCTCCTTCAACTTTTCGGCGACCATTGCTCCTTTCTAAGTACGCAGACGTCAGGATCATACTACAAAACAAAGCTGAGAAACAACTGGCAGTAAAGGGGTATCAGAGGGTAGGCTCGGGTGGGCTCCAGCTGTGGTAAAGCTGCTAACCCCCCTGCCATGGCGAGTTGAACACGGCGCCAGAACGGCACAAGGGATCGAGATTGACTAGGTCCTCGCCTAGTCAATTGACCACACCTATCAACCTCCAGTGCCGTTCATACATACAATGGCCTAGGCTCTGCCTAGGTCCTGACAAGGGGCGACTTACAAACTGGGGGCCGGCCTTGCCCGGGATCCAGCGCTTGTCGAAGTGGCCAAGGGCGTGATAGACGACTTGCTTGTCCTTCTCGTAGCCGCCGACAACGGGGTCGCAGCCGTCAGGCACTGTGCCCCCCTCCGACGGTACCAGTTCGAACCGGTCTTTGCTAAAAGGCAGGAAGTCGTAGGTACCGTTGTGCGGCACCTCTCGGCCGTCGAGAGGAGCCATGCAGGGTGGGCTCGCGTCCAGCACTATCTTGCACGGCGTGACCCCGCCGGCGCCCTCGAGGTTGATGGCGGAGCCAAAGTAGAGGCCCTGGCCGCGGCCATCAACCGCCGGGGGCTCCCCCCGGGTTTCGGGAGGCGGCAGCTGGTCGCCGGCGCCAAGGCTAATGCGGCCTTCATCGCGACGGCCCTGGGCCGAGATATGGTAGAGGACGGCGTCGAGCTCGCGCGGGTCCAGGTCGTCCTTGGCGTCCTTGTCATCCTGCTCGCGCCAAAAGATTTGCGTCTCGTCAATGGTGTCGACGCTCCCGTCTGGCCGCTCCACGCGGAGCCTGGGCCCGTCGCGACCCTCGAAGCGGCTGATAGGCTTGGCGGAGCGGGCGGCGGCGTCGTAAAAGTTCTGCCGCAGGTCCTCGGCGATGAAGTCGGCCGGATACCATGCGGCGGGCGAGTCCTTGTCGAACTTGACCAGGTATTCGTAGTGCTCGCTCCAATCGGTCGAGTTGTCCTCGAGCGCTCTCACCACACCCTTGACGTGCCGGCAGTGCAGGATCGCTTGCGGAGCCACGTCCTCTCTCGTCACATTGTCGCTCGTCAGGTTGAGCAGACTGTTCCCGAGAAGGATGGAGCCCGCCGCATTGGCGTACTTGAACGTCCGCACCTTGCCGAACGCCACCGGGTGGTCACGAATAAGTTTGAGCAGGGCCGTCGGCAGATGCGCGATCCATGGCGTCGTGGCGCGAAACGTCCCGGGCACCATCTTCTCGAAGATGGGCGTGTATCGCCAGCTCTCCAGCCCGAACTGGCCATCGGCCTTGACGTCAACCTTAAGCACCCCATTGTACTGGCTGGCCTTGACAGCGTCGCTCTTTTGGCTTTCCAGGACCGCTTGCTTTTCGATATCCCCAATGTCCCGAGTCAAGACCTGGAAGATGGCCATAGAGTCAGCACAAAGAATATATGCCAAACGGCCGCCAGGGTGTGAGAGAAAGGGGTTGCTTACTTCAAAGGACTTGACGCGGATGTCGTGCGAGTCCTTCGTCACCGTGCTGGCGGCGCCCTTTTCCGCCGTAAACTTTTCTCGATACTGCTCGACAAAGGTGCGGTGGTCGACCAGCTTCTGTGCATAGTACTGGTACATGCGGTCGGCCTCGCCAAAATTGAGGAAGATGAACTTGCCGTTATCCTTGAAGATGCTCGGGTCGAAGCCTATGCTGCCAAAGGGTGCTCGGGACGGATCGCCACCACCTTTGCCCTTGTTCTTGCCTTTCTTCCCTTTCTCCTCGGGCGTCTTGGGATCTGGTTTCTCACCTACGGGACCATCCGGGATCTCATTATCGCCTGGATCAGGTTTCGGGTCCCCTTTGCCGCCCAACTCCTCGGGCGGCCTTAGGTCCGGAAGCCGCTCGCGCGGGTAGATGACGCCCTTGTGGGTAAAGATCCTCTGGTTGTCGCCGGCGAAGAAGTCGTTAACCTTGGCGCCGTTGTTGGTCCTGATGAGGCTTTTGCCCTCGACTCGGTAGATCTGAACATGGAGGAAGAAGAGTGCCTGTCAGAAAAGTGCGCATGGCTTCAAGATGAAAAAAGGGGGAGGGGGGAGGGGGGATTACCTTCGTCGTTTTGACGGGGGTACCCTTGACTGTGGCGCTGCCCAATATCCCATCCGAGGCAGCAATGACGATGCCGTCAAAGAAGTCGCCGCCAAGCTTGTATTCCTCGCCGGTTCGCACATCGTTGACGATGTTGGTGCCAACCGAAATCATGCCCTGGGGGTCATATTTGTGATGAACGCCGCTTTCGATGCCTGCCAAGCTCCAATCATTAGCTACAAGCCGCGAATACTATGGGGAATCTGCCTCATCCACCCTCTATAAACAAACGTAGTAGAGGAGGTAGATATAGCAGAAGAAGCAGACGTGGCAACTGACCTGTGATGATGCCATCAGAGGCGATTCCGGCCACGACGCCGGCAAAAATCGGCGCCGCCGCACCACCTGTGCCCGCCACTGCAGCAGCGGCAGTCATGACGACCAGCGAGCGAGTCGCCGCCTCCTCGGCGTGTAGTCCGCCCTCGTAGTCTCCTACGGCGAAATGTACAAGACCTAAGGGCGCCCTAGGGGCGCCATAAGTCAGCCAAGGTCCATGCTTGTTACTGGCTCCGGACTCAGACGTACCCTTGATATTTCCGATGATGGGGACGGCGTCCACGAGTTCCGAGACGGTATGTCCCAGGTGGTGCTCCCACGCATCAAAAAACTCCTCCTGCGTCTTCCGTGCTCCGTCCGTATCTCCCGTGATGGCCTGGATGAGAGATTTGAGCTGACTTATACCAGGTAAGGTAGTCATGGCGGCGTTCACATCGATGGTTTGACTGGAAGTGAGGCCCGCTTCATAAAAGGGGAATAGGATCTCCGCTTGTTTGAGATTTAGAGAATGACTTGATGTAATGAATGTGATGGGGTTAATCCTTATTGAGCGTAGGAGCCATTCTTTAGAGGCTGCAAGCGTAGTGATCGTGTTGAAGAGCAGAGCAAACGTCCATCGTTGAGAGCAGCCTGCGAGGAAGAAGGAATATATATACGTGTATATCGAACATATATGAATAGCTTCTCGGCAGACACTGAATCACAAATGTTGTCTCCCACCATCCAGACCGATCATACCCCCTTGACAGACGCTCTCATCAGTCCTTCATAGCCCGACTAAGTGTCATGGTTTTCAAGAGCATACGTGGCTGTGGAGATGCACGACTCGATTCGATGCGTCCCCATGTGCATACGAGGTTGCGATAAGGCTGTTTCCAGGATTAGTTCAGATTGAAGGTGCTGATGAAAGTATCATGATGCCTCACGTCTGATATCAAATGCCGAGCCCGAGGGGCGGATGGTGGGATGGGCTGAGAATGATGCTCTTTTGCATGATTTCAAACCGGGTATCAGACGGCTCGGAGTCATGCGGCTGTTGTGGTCGGGCAGGATCGTTGATGCACAACTGCTCCAAGCTGAGTCTTTGCGAGCATCGGATGAGTTGGCTCATGCCCATGACTGGAGCTTCGGCAACCTATACGGACATGTAGATTCTTGAGTGGGGGGATATCGATGGAAACTAAACGCATGAAATCCGTCGCATGCCGCAAGTGGATAGTGATGATTAGCGCTAGGGCTGAAACGCGCCATGCAACAGGACTTTTGATGGGTGGCGGACTCATGGTACAGTTAGTTCCATAATTACCGTGGAAACTCAATAAACAGGCCAGGTCTTGGCGGTCTGGGGAAGCGGGGAATGTAGGGATTAGTCCCATGGGGAATATACGTACCTCTTATGCGGTATCGGCGCTACGCCTTGACAAGCCGCACTAGCCCACTCTTTCGGGTGGCGGAGAGTCAGAGCCGTGTGCCGGATAGTCAGGGCCATAAATACCTATCGTCTCTACACCTAATTAGACGTGACTTCTATCGACAAGAGAAAAGCACGCAAGACCAGGTTCATCATATGGCCGTATAGTGGGGGATCAGCGTTACTATCAGCTTCGCCTTCGTCTAGTGAGGGTGCTTATAGTCGAAATATTTACTCTTCTAATACCCCGCGGGGAAAATGTAGTAAAGGTAGCGATAAAGTAGGTTTTTCTATACAAAAAGAAAAACTCTATAATTATAGAAACTTTTCCTTCTTTCCTTCTAATAGCTACCTAATTACATCGCTACAATAACTCACGCTAGCACTAGCTAATAACTCCCTTATTAATGCACTTCCTAGCGCTATATTGGAATCCTTGTCGCGAAGACCATTGCGCCACGCAGGCAAAAGTGGAACGCGCGCTCCGACAGGCGCACTGCAATTGACATATCTTTCTTCTCAACCATCCTTCTACTTTGATTATACTATAAAGCGGCGGAAGAGAAAGCGATAAAAAAGCCCACGACTCGGCAGTTAGAACAACGTCAACCACATATCACATCACCCATCATAGCATGGAAGTCAACTATCAGCCTAGGACGCAGCAGCAGACCTGCCCGCCGTATCGGCAGATCCGGGCGCTTTACGACGACTCCACCATCACCGTCTACCAAGCATACAACCGTATAATCGCCGAGGCGGCGGTTGAGGCCCAGCGGCTCAATGCGTCGCCGACGTACCGCGCCGGGCGGATGACGTGGATTAAGCCTAGCTGGGCCTGGATGATGTACCGGTCTGGCTACTCCTTCAAAGACCCCGGACAGGAGCGTATCCTTGCTATCACTATGAAGCGGGAGCACTTTATCGCTTTGCTCAAGCGCGGCGTCCTAACTAAGAAGCGCCGACCTCCCCTCGAGGAGTCGTCATCACCATCCTCGTCATCGCGCGCCAATAACAGCAAGAACAACGATAATACATATAGCGACGCTAACTCCAGCAGCTCGGCGGACGTAAGAATCCAATGGGATCCAGAGCGGACGGTGCGGCTCGAGCCGCTGCCCTACCGTAGCATCCAGATCGGTATCCCGGCGGCGCTCAGCAGCATCTGGGCCAACGAATACATTACCGAGATTCGAGACGTCACCGACCGCGCGCAGGAGCTAAAGAGGGTTCTAGAGAAGCGGCCAGGAATCACGGCGGCGGAGCTCGCCGAGCTGGGGCTGGTACCGGAGGAGAGGCCGTTTCTAGTCTCAGATGAGCTTGCGGCTATCCTGGAAATGGACGTCCAGGTGTGAACATGGGCTTTGGGTCGCCGATCTAAGCAAGTGAAAGCTCGGCCTGGGAGGATTGAGGCATACCCGTTGGTCAAAGGCAGACGCGGCTGACCAACATAACTGTCGTTAAGTTAGCCCAAAATATCCGGCACAATCCTGGAGCCTAGTAATATACTACAGAAAGTGCTAAGAAATTTGTACCTCGTAAAAAATACGCTAGAATAGTAAGTGTTAAGCAACAACAGCCAATTAGGTAGGGGATGTGTCGCGCGCACCCGCCGGCGCGGAGGCGCAGCCACAGGGACGGAGCGGGCATAAATAGGGGGGTTTAAACGATGTATATATGTATGACTTTGTATGTCTTGTTGCTAGCTAGTGATGGAACGGTGGTTCTGTGGCTCGGGCCTAACAAGGAAATAGGTAGGTATGCACGATTAATTAAGGCTTAATGCAGCAGCTTATATATAGCTATAAAAGAAGGTTATATTTATTATAATAATCTATACTCTTAAGGAGGCCTTATTGCTCTCTAAGTATGGGGGAAAATTAGCTATTAGATATATTTAGGTTATATATATCAAGTGCTTGTTCAGTAGGTCTTGGTAAATGGCACCGACTTCCTCGGTCATAGGTGAGTGGTATGCTCGACCACCTGTCTCCAACTTGCGACAAAACTTCCCCCTCGCCTGGATTTCCTCGCAGAGTCTATCGAGACTCGTTGTCGAGCCACTCAGTGTCCCATTTTCCGGCGCGTTTATGCAGGCGATGTGGACCTCTTGCGCGAAGCCCATCTCCTTGATGAGCTGAATGGCGGCTTCGGAAGTCATCCCGGTAGCCATCATGGCTCCTTTGCCATGAACATGATCGACAGAGACTCCCCGAAAGTAAGCGACGAGAATGGCTTCGGACAAGCTAGGCGGATTTGTTAGAGAAGAGCCAAGATGTCCATTTTTGTAACTTGTGAGAGAGAGCCGTACCTCAAGAGCCCGGCTGCGTATGCCGCCGCAATCTCACCTGGCGAGTGGCCTACCACTGCTGAAGGGACGACGCCCCAAGATCGCATTACCTGGACCAGTCCGATCTGAATCGCAGTACAGAGCGGCTGGCTTCGGATAGGGCTGTGGACTCGACTGACTTCTGGAGGGTCTAAGATAGCCTGCTCCAAGGTCCAGTTCGGTGCTTGGTGGATTGGCAAGGCCTTCAAAACCTCGTCTTGCTCACGTATTGCTTTTAGGAATGCGGGAGAAGCAGCAAGCAACTCTTTAGCCGTGTTGGGATACTGGGCTCCTTGGCCGGTGAAGATGAAAGCCAGATGCAAAACACTGCGCTGGCTTTCAACGAGTCCGGGAGCAGCATCAATCTCTATAGTCTTGGCACCATGTGAATGTGTCCTTGAAATGAGACAGGTCCTCGCAGTCAGCTGAGGCACGCGAAGAGCCAAGGTGAAAGCCAGCCTCCCAATGGTACTCAAGTCGCAGAGCCTTGCTTGCTCAGAGATCTGTTGTGTCCGTGTTTCCAGGGTAGCCGATGATGCTGCCGATATGGGTAGTACCAAGACTCTCTCCACGCCCGGCCGGTCAGGTTCACCTGACGTGACGATGCCTTGCTTGCCAGGGCTGTTGGAAGCCATAAAGCTGTCGAAAGACTCGAGGATGGCGTGAGCGTTGGCCCCACCGTAGCCAAACGAGTTCAAACTGGCTCTTCGGAGCAGCTTGCTTGGCCATTCCTCAACCTCGGTGGCGATTTTCATCTGCCGTTCTTCAAGTCGAACTGCTTGGGCAAACCCGATCAGCCGGTATCCGTTAGTCAAATATCCTGCAGAATGCCTACGCTTCGGATTTAAGGTCTTCGGGCCAAGCATCGGGGGAATAGCGCCATGCTGGAAAGCGAGGACGACCTTGATCAGGGACGTGAGGCCGCTGGCAGCCTCGCTGTGGCCGAGGTTGGCTTTTACCTGGTAGAGTTGAGGATCAGTCCATGGTATGAGCCGGCAAGGGTATTTCACAAGGAACACCACGAGACAAAACTCACTGATCTAATGAGTTGAGGGTGGCGTTGTTCGCGTCGAACGAAACAACGCCCAAGAGCATCCAGCTCAATTGGGTCTCCGACAGCTGTTCCGGTGCCATGGCATTCGACATAATCAGTTCCGAAGAAATCAATCCCGGCTTTTGCATACGCCTTTCGAATGACGGCCTCTTGGAAGTCGACGCTGGGCAGTGTGACTCCTGTAGTTCTTCCATTGCTGTGGCAGGCATTAACCAAGTTGCCCAACAAGAGTTGACGTCTTGTTGCGCCGAATACTCACGAACCGACGGCCACGGATCACAGCACAGACTTGGTCCCCGTCACGAAGGGCGGCCGAGAGTTGCTTTAGTTACACGGCATTAACACCATCCGCGCGTCCGTATCCATTGGCGCCCGCATCAAAAGTCCGACAGGTCGACGACGGAGACAAGACACCAGTCTTCATTGCCGCTACAAAAGGCTCCGGGGCAAGTATCAGGTTACGCGCGGCCACGACGGCCCCATCACATTCACCACCCTTCAATGCGATTACAGCGGCGTGGAGACAGTGAATAGATGACGAGCAAGCGGTATCCAGAGCAAAGCTATCATTCTGGGTCAGCGGAGGAACCCAAGAATCTTACGCACCAGAGGCGAACATGCCTGGGGCCGTGAAGATTGAACACATGACTGACCTATTGGCCAGCAGAGTAGTGTCAGATCCCGTGCCGTGATATCTGTGCAGGCTGTCGGGGTCGCGCATTTGCATGAGGAAGTGATCGTCAGTAAAGCTAGCGACGTAGACGCCTATATTGTCGCCTGAAGCCTGCTCCGTCGAGACATTGGCGCTTTCGAAACATTCGAAGGTGGCCTCGAGAAGCTTGCGTTGCTGGGGGTCCATGTAGGTGGCCTCGAGGTTGTTGATACTAAAGCGACCATTCTCGAAGCATCGCACGTCTTCTTGAAGCAGGTAAGCTCCGTCCATATTCATACACCCGGTCTTATCCCCGGACGGGGAATAGAAGCCTTGGACATTGAAGCGGCTAGGAGGTATCTTCTCTTGGGCGCTTTTCTTCTTCACAAGAAAGTCCCAGAGATCGGATGGCGACTTGATCCCGCCAGGCAACCGGCAGGCTGGTTCTTCAAGGTTAGATACTGGTCCTCGTTGATTGGGATATCACGCGCGAGCACATACCCATACCAATTATGCAGACGGGGTCCTCGTCCAGCATGGAAGGACCCCAGGGCTGCTCATTCACGCAGTCTGGCTGACTGCCATTGGTTTCAGGATACAGCTCGCCCATGGCTGTGACGACGCAATCAATCGGAAGTTGGAGTTGCTTTCTTCGACCGTCTATGGGGATAATACGGAGTACTCACGGACACAATGCCAACGCAGACGCTGCGAGCTTGAGCAGACGGCAGTGCCGGGCACATACTTTATAATTCCTGAAGCGGGTTTCCACCAACAATTCCCGTTCATTCACGCAAGCCGTAGGTCTAGTAATTGTGTTATCCGATCTTGATTCATATGGTTTCCGATCTTCGCCCTCATGGTGAAACGGTACGCGAAAGACCATCCGCTCAAGATACGTGCTGTTGACAAGACTCGGCCAATTCCTGAGAGCGGGCTCGGAACGCCTCATGCTACCGTGGCGTTGGCCCCCGTATCCTTCCACCGTACCGCAAGCATACTGAGTCGTGAGTTGGGGGCTCATTGCCACCCTTCAGCAAGGCTGGGGAATACGTGGCAGGCTTGCCGGGCAGCGAGGGTGTTGCATGGCGGCGTCCCACGCCCGACTGTAGGCAGCTGTGCCGCTGTGCCGCTTTACACTCGAGGTAGAAGATGTTCCTTGCCCACCCATGAATGATTTCTCCACATTCCCGCGCACTCAGGACCATCTTCCATCCGTCTTCCTACGTCGAAAAACGACTGCCGTCTCCAACAGTCAGAATGGCTTCAGTTGGTTCCTCTTCATTGACGCCTGCTGAAATACAGGCCCTTCTCCATGGCCCTGCCCTTGCACCGCCCCCGGGAGTCATTTCTGACTGGTGAACTCTTTGAACTTTATCTAGCTCGGCTGAGGGGTGTGTTGACCTCGGAGATGACGATTGGGAGCAGGCCTTGGGCAATGTTGGAGACGTGAACCCTGGGCCTTCCGAGCGGCAGTGGCCTATTGTCACAAGAGCCGTGCCGCCACGAGTCGTGGGGTCTGAAGAAGATGCAAGCAGCCGTGGGTGGCAGAAGCACCTGTGGATGGCGTAGCTGTACCAAGATGCGAGGTTTCGGGTCCGATGTAAGCGTGCATGAAGTGGCAGTAAAACCAACACGATCATGTGCGATGATGAGCATTGCTTGGGAAAGTCGGAAATCGATTCAATATGGTATGGACTACCATGCTGCAGCGATAACATCCCTTTGGCAGTGGCGTTATGCACGATATATACGCAACGTCCAACTCAGGTGCAGGTCATTCCTCCGTCGACGATCAGGCTCGTGCCAGTAGTGAAGCTAGATATTGGGCTGCAGAGAAAGATGGCTGCATCAGCTGCCTCCTCCGGTCTTCCAAGACGTCTCATAGGAATAGTCCCCATGAGTTCCTGCTCCAGCCCCGGGGCCACCTCTGTAGCCCGTCGTGTCATCGGGGTGTCGGTCCAGGTCGGACAAACGCAGTTGACGCGAATGCTGTGAGGCGCGTTGTCGAGAGATACCGTTGATTGCATCAGTGTGAACCCAAGCCGAAATGGAGTGTTTCGAGATGCTCACCCGCGGTCTTGGTAAGGCCGATGATGGCATGCTTGCAAGTAGTGTACTGGACCATGTTTGGGACCGCCATGAAGGACGAGACGGAGGCCAGGTTCACGATGGACCCTCTGGTAGTACCACGCGCGGGATCACCCACTTGCCGAGGCTCCTGGACCTTCATGGCGGCGGAAAGTAGGCTGTTGAACAGAAATGTTCCATTGACGTTGACGTCGATCAAGTGCTTGAAGTCGACGAAGCTCGCCTCAGCGATAGGGTCAAACGTGCCTCCAGAAATCTGGCAAAGCAAGAGTCAGCGATGGACGGCACCCCAGGTTTGGGGGGACAGAACTTACGCCGGCAGAGTGGACTCCGTAGTCAATACGGCCAAAGGACTTGATGGCATGATCAATAGCGGCTTTCACGGATTCTTCGTTGCTGACGTTGGCATGAATGGCCTCGGCCCGGAACTTCGGGTTGGTCGCAACGTCCTTGGCCTCAGCCGCTGTCTGTTGTGCTCCCTCAAGATTCAAATCTGCCACAAGTATACCGCGAGCACCGTCCTTTGCAAAGGCCAGACAGCAAGCTCTGCCGATGCCACTTGCTACCCAACATGTCAGAGATTTCGGATAAAGAGGGCAAAGAAACGGAGCGGCAGAGTATGTCGTCGATCTCACCTCCGCCAGTGACGAGCGCGTAGCCTGTAATGTCCATTTCCTATGGCTTGAGGATTAACTTGGTCTTGGGCTCTTGGCAATCGCAAGTATGGAAGTCTTAGGACATGGGAGGGAAGAGGGGAAAGAAAGGCTTGATGTGGGAGATTAGGCCGTTTTCAAATGATGGATAAAGCCAACATATGATATGGCTTGTCCAACAAGCCACCGCCAACCACAGCAGGTGATCTGACGTCTACCCCTAAACCCCGCCCGGGAGGCTGCCGGACTGGGGGTTGGAACATTGCCGGCGCAGGGTGTAAGAGTTGCACCAAAGGATCCCGTGCCGTGCCCGAGCGTCAAGCAAGTTCACCCTGACGTGACTGGTAGACCACATATAAGGGGGGGGGGGGGTTGCATCATGTCTAAGAAGGAGACCGCCTTGCGCGGAGCCGGTCAGCACAAAACGGCCTTTTCCATGGCCTACTTCGCAGCGAACCAACATGCATTTGACATTGTGTTCATGGGCCGGGCAGTCCGGGGCCATCGGGGCCGGTGTTAGGGGGGCGTTGGGGGCTGGTGAGCTTGCTTGCTGTCGTGTCAAGTCTAAGGAGATGATCCGACGCAGAGCCGGTCAGCTAAAGACAGGCTGTGTATGCAACTTTTCAAGGGTCTATGTCGCGTAGGACCAACATTCATTCGACATCATGTTTACGCTCCGTCCGTCCGGAGCATTGGGGGCCCCGGGGAACAGGTTGCACGGCTGTTGCTAACACTTACCCAGCCTCACTGGCTGAGAAAATGCTTACAATAAACCATTTATTATATCAGCCCTCCGCAGTGCTATATGGCCGTCTGCATTTAAGACAAACTAGGCAAGGCAGCCTGAGACGGGATAGCTAACGTTCTTGCCTATAAATAGATCTCTGTCCTCGAAAATCTTGCGGATTATCCGCACAGGAAATCATCCAGAGAAAGCCCTCTCTTAGGACACTCTCGGAGTTGCTGCCCGCCATGTCACACTCTAGCTCTCAGCGAAGCATCTCCATACCAAACGCATCCGAAGCATCGGGCTCTTCAAATATAGAGAAGGGGCAAGTCAGCTAGGCGAGCAACGATGGTCCTCATTACATCACCGGCTTCAGGCTTCAGGCCATTTCTCTCGGGTAAGATGCCCACACGACATCCTACTAGCTTCACCTAACAAAGCCCAACCTAGATTGTGTCTTGGTCTTTTTCTCGTCAACTTCGAGGTAACAGTGGTCAGCACCGCGTTGGTCTCTATAGCCGACGACCTGCATGATTTCGGGAGAAACAGCTGGATCGTCACAGCCTATCTTTTGACCTATACTGGTTAGACCTTTGATACTCAATGACTTGGATAGTGATACAGCCATCTGACATTTCTTTCTAGGCTGTTTGGTCGAATTGTCCTGGGTGTTGCCGTTGCGTCGGTGCTCAGCTCTCTCTTGATGTGGCAAAAGCCTCACAAAGGGGTTCCATAGATAGTCGAGCCAGTACTGAAATCGGAAACTAGCCACAGCCGTTACAGAGACTATCTACTTTACCTATTCTTCTTGTTAGGATTGCGTATTTAACACGACGATAAAAAGGATAAGGCGGCAGCGGTGCCGTGCCATTGTCTTCTAGCCCGTTTCGCCACATCTCATCACGGCTTACTTCTTAGGAGAAGTATTATAGACGGAAACTCTATATAGAGCTAAGCTCCGGCGAGAGCAAGAGAAGACGCCGGTTGGCGCGCATTTCATGTCCACATTATATTGAAGCGAGGGCTGGCGCGACTCGTGGCCAATAGTTGCGGTTCCAAGGCACAGCCGCGCGATTGGCCGGAGCGGGGGAGCCAGTGGTGCATATTCCTCCGGGTCCCCTAGCAAATGACGTGATTGCGCCGTGCGTCGCGTACCTTTGGCGTCTCCCCGCCGAGACGGCGACTTGACCTCGCACCTTGCAATTCGCATGCTGCACTCTGATACATGTGATTTGCCGCCCAGTTCGCATCCCGGGAGCGCGCGCTAAAGTTACATCGAATTGACCAAAGCCACTTCGCGCCTGCCAGTCTCCGAGCTACAACAGCAGCCGAACGAGCAAATGTTCCGGCACAGCGCGCGGCGGCTGGCCGCGGCTTCGGCGGCGGCGGCGGCCCAGGGGACGAGCAGCGGACACACGGGGCTGGCCATATCCAAGGCGCAGGGCATCGCCCGGGGCCTCACTGGAGGTAAGTTGGGCGAGAGAAGCAGAGTGCACAGGGGAAGGGGGAGAAAGAGAAAGAGAGGGAGAAAAGGCTGACGACTTGTGTGTAAAATCGCCAGCCATCGGAAACACGCCCCTGATCCGCCTCAACCGGCTCTCGGAAGAAACCGGCTGCGACATCCTGGGCAAGGCCGAGTTCATGAACCCCGGCGGGTCGGTCAAGGACCGCGCGGCGCTGTACGTGGTGCTCGACGCCGAGGAGCGCGGGCTGCTGCGCGCGGGCGGCACCGTGGTCGAGGGCACGGCGGGCAACACGGGCATCGGGCTGGCGCACGTGTGCCGCGCGCGCGGCTACCGCCTCGTCATCTACATGCCGGACACGCAGTCGCCCGCAAAGGTGGCGCTGCTGCGGCAGCTCGGCGCCGACGTGCACCCCGTGCCGGCCGTGGCGTTTGACCACCCGGACAACTACAACCACCGCGCCCGCAGGCATGCCGAGCGGCTCGCCGACAATGCCGTGTGGACCAACCAGTTCGACAACACGGCCAACCGGCGCGCCCACGTCGAGACGACGGGGCCCGAGATCTGGGCGCAGACGGCCGGCTCCGTCGACGCCTTTACCTGCGCGACCGGCACCGCGGGCACCCTCGCCGGTGTCACGCGTTTCCTCAAGGACGCCTCGGGCGGCCGCGTCAAGAGCTTCCTTGCCGACCCGCCCGGCAGCGTGCTGCACTCGTACATCGCCTCGGGCGGCACGCTCGTCGAGCGCGCCGGGTCCAGCATCACAGAGGGCATTGGCCAGGGCCGCGTCACCGACAACCTGCGGCCCGACATTGGCCTGCTCGACGGCTCGCTGCACATCTCGGACGAGAAGAGCATCGAAATGGTCTACCGCTGCCTCGACGAGGAAGGCCTCTACCTCGGCGCCAGCTCCTCCCTCAACGTCGTCGCCGCAAAGGAGGTTGCCCAGAAGCTCGGTCCGGGCCACAAGGTCGTCACCATCTTGTGCGACGGCGCCTACAGGTACGCCGACCGCCTCTTCTCACGCCAGTGGTTGTCCGACAAGAAGCTGCTCGACGCAATTCCCCAGCATCTGCAAAAGTACATTGTCCTGCCCTAGCAGGCGGAGTGGTCGCCAAGGTTGGCTGGCGCTTGTATTCCCACATCTTGTACTAGACACAAATCATACACTATTCTCCTGCTCAGAGGCCGGCGCCGGGGCCTTGTCCGGCTCTTGTTTGGGCGCACTCTGCAGCTCTAGCCGCTTGCCCGTAACGAGTTCGTACTCGTCTATCCAGCCCTGGCTTCGGCCCGGAGCTGTCTGCACAAACTCATGCACGTGCTTCTCAAGGGCCTCTCGCACACGGGCCAAATCCTTGGCCTTGTCGCCGAGTAGCTCTTCCGCCAGGATGGTGCCCCTGATGCCCTGGGCCAGGGCCTGCACGTAGCAGAAACCGTTGAGGGCTCGGGGAATCTTGCGCCCGGAATTCCTGTCCAGTGTCGCGTTCAGCTCGGCAAACTCCCTCAGCTGCGTGAGGTCGTCGGGCAGCGGCCCTTTCCACAGGGAGCGGAACAGAGCCACTTCGTCCTCGAGGAGAAGCAGGTCCTGGTCGACGCCCTCATCTCTGCTGGCCAGCTTGACATTACAAGCTGCACTTCTCGTGAAAAGAGTTATGCCGCGAATGATGCGCGAAAAGGGGAGACTGTTGCGTGTGCGCTTGGCCGCACGCGCGTGCTCGGGTCGTTGCAGCATGTCGAGTACAACCTCCGCCGCCCTCAAGGCCCCCAGCGCATGAGCGTGCATCTGCCTGCTTGCCTTCTCGTTGATGTAGACGAGCGTCCGGACGGCCGTCTCCCGCCTGCCGAGAGAAAAGCCCGTCTTGTCTGCTTGCTTTGCGCATTCGATGATGGCCTGGATGTTGCCCGTCTCGCCGGCCATGCGCACCATCTTGCCCCAGTGGTCGGCCTGGAGCCTGATGCCGGCTTTCCGGTACCCAGCCAGAAGCGTTGCCAAGTTGCTCCACTCGGCAGGGCTCTGCATCTTGCTCAGCGCCTGCGCGAGGAGCTTCTTGGAGTTTTCAATGTCCTTGAACCGGTCAATGGTTGAAAACTTGTGCTCCAGGCCCTCGACATCGATGACGATGGGGTTCTGCTCCATGTACGTTCGCTTCTTGGGATCAAAGACTATCCTCCGCTGCTTCTCCGGGAGGTATGCCGGCAGGATAATTGTCTCCTGTATGTTTTTGAGGATTGCGTTGAGCTCGACATTTTCCGTTTCCGAAAAGATGGCACTGACGGCTGTCTGTTCTGTTAGCGACTCAACGTAAATCAAGTCGCGTTATGGAGCTGGGTAATGCGCACCGCGTGTCGGCGTGGAGCTGAATTGCCGCCAGGGGCAGGCCATGAGCCTCCCTGACGGGCCGTGGCAACCGCCCAGAGACCGCAAGGCCGACGATAATGGCCGAGTCGACATTGCTGTTGGATTTGCTGCCAGCCGTAGATGTGATTCGGTCGGCCAAAAAAAGTTGCGAATGCACGGGATGCTGGACGGTTCGGAGAAAGTATGCGCCGCGCCGAGCCAGTCGGTGCGAATTACGAATTGCAGCTAGTACAGCTTCACCTCTACGAGGCGGAAATCTTGCTCTCCTCCGGCATTGAACCAGCCACCATCTCCCGCCATGAACGTCGCCACCGTCAGGCGGCCGATGGGCTGCCTCAAGGCCATCATGCGACAGACGAGGCATCAGCGGGCATCGGCAAGGTGCCTAGCCACCGCCGCCGCCGCCGACGCGAAGCCCAAAAGCGTCTTCAATGCAAGACAACGTACGGCCTGCGCCCATTGAGCCCGCCATCCTCGCTGACGCACGCGCAGGCGCTTGGAAGGAAAAGGTCGGCAAGTTCGAGATATGGCCCCAGGTGCCCTCGGTGCGCACCTCGCACCCAGACCCGCTGCCCGCCCTCCGCCAGCAGCAGATCTCCGAGCTGGACCCCACGGGCGCACGCACACGACTCTTCTCCAGGGAGCACGCCGACAGCGCCAAGGTGGGCGACGTGGTCATGGTGACGACGCGGACGGGCGAGCCCTTTGCGGGCGTCTTTATCCAGATGCGCCGCCGCGGTGTCGACACGGCGATCCAGCTCCGCGGGCAGCTCATGCGGACGGGCGTCGAGCTGTGGTTCAAGATCTACAGCCCCACGGTGACGGGCATTGACATCATCTGGCGCCGGCCGAAGAGGGCGAGGAGGGCCCGGCTGACGTACATGCGGAAGCCCAAGCACGACAAGGGCAGCGTCGAGCATCTGGTCACGGCGTGGAAGAAGGAGCGGTTTGCACTGAGCACAAAGGCAAAGGCAAAGACGAGCCAGGCTTTCGGCAAGCTACGGAAGAAATGAGGCAGAAGCCTTGCGAGCTGTATGATAACGTGGGGAGGGCGTGCAAGGATATATGTCCGAATTGCGCAAGCCACTGAAACGCACCTTGACCGTCACGCCTGGAGCATGCTGATACAGCCATTGATACCCTTTGCGTTCTGGAGGGTGGTCATTACGTCGAGGAACATGAGCACCCCAGACCTGCGCAAAAGTCATGGCGGCCCGCTCAGGGCCGAGGGTCATGGCTGTGCCCCTTTTCTTTCTTTCGTCATGTTTGCCTCTGGCTTCTGCTTGACCATGGGCATGGCAGCTAACAGGGACGGTGTGCCATGCGTCTTCCCGCACCTGGCACTGACTTTGGCGACGGTGGCGACTCCGTGACAAAGGCATTATGTGGCGTAGAGTCTGGCCGGTGACACTGCCAGCTCAAGGAGGAAAGAGTGGCACTTGATCGGCGCATTGTATACGTACAAGCAAAGCGAAAAAGTCCGCCTCAGATGGGCCTGACTTGCGCAGCGGCGGAGCGCATGAGGTCCCGTCTCGAGAGCGCGTCTCACCAGCTAGAGAGTGGAGATGGCTTTTTGCCTTTACCCTGGCACGTCATGTCAGTCTTCCACCCGCCGCCATGGCAGGATGGCATGTGCGCATGAATCAATGCGACCGTCAATAGATGGGATGGCAGAATCCAATGTCGAGGACGAGCCACTCGGCCCAGGGTCCGCCTCGCCTTATCAAGGGACAAGGTAGCAGCCGCACATCTTGATCGTTTAGGACGCAGCAACTCGTCGACAGATCTGTAGGGATTAACTGCTTCTCCACGCGTGTGTCCGTCATCGCTGGACATCTACTCTCGTGCATCAGCCCATGATTCAGAAAACCGGCAATAGTTGGCAACAGAGTCAACGCACTCATGAGGTCAACGAACAGCGAGGACAAAAGGCCACATTGAGGTGATCTGAAAGGCGTAGTAGGCACGATTTCGAAAAAGACACCTGAATAGCTAGCTGCTTGCTACCCCGAAATGTGCGACTCCATCAGCAAAGCCATCAAAAAGTGACCAGCCTCCGACACTTGAACACCTGCTGTTCACCAACGTCAGCCTGTCCGTCGCGACGGCCGGTCAGGGCTCGTCCATGAACCCGTCAAAAGGTCGGGGTGCAGAGTAATCTTGCTAAACTTGCGCGTCAACTCCCCCAGAGTTGCCGCTGGTTGGGCTCTCGCAACCGCTCGAATCGACTCGACTTGGGCCAGGTCCCACGCCTGTGAATCGGAGTCTGCCATCCACTCTTCCGTCAGGCTGCAGGCGATTTCGCCCGTCTCAATCTCGCCCTGGTACACTTCCCCCTCCCAGCTCTTGATGGTCTTGTCGTACCAACATGCCCATAGCTGAATGCCAAACTTGAACCGGTAGCCCTCCCACTCAGGCTTGAACTTGAGGTCTCCAAAGAGAAACCAGAGCTTATTGGCGGTCCTCAGAGCAAAGGGTGTTGCGGCAATACCTTCCAACACGGTATCGGTCGGGGGAGGAAAGCGAGGGTCTTGCGGAACGCCGTTGATGCTCGAAATCACCAGCCGAGCCTGATACATGTGAGGTATGTTTCCATCTGACCTTGTCTCGCAGAAAGACACAAGAATAGGAGGAGAGATTGGCACTTGAGGCTTGACGAACTGAGGCAATGTGACCTCGAGGACGTTCGGGTCCGCATGCTCCGCTGGCCCAGGAGTCGCCGTTGAGGCGAAGTTGGGCATGTTTTGAAGGATCGTGTGCTTCGGAGTGAAAAAATCAGGATTGAGCTGTGCGTGACTGCCTTGCTTTGTCTTGATGCCGGAGGACAATGTCGGAGGAAGAGGGCTCGAGAGATGGACGCAGAGCCAGCAAATTAATATTATATAGTCGCTTGGGACAGAGCCGGGACTCTTCAACTTTGCTTTCGTGATCTGGGTACGAGCACCGGTCCTGAACAAGTCCGTGTTCTCATGGTGTTGTTCAAGTGTTCAAGCACGTCACTTCCAAGGTGACTCAAGGCCTCTGGCTGTCGGTGAAGGAGCCCGCTGTTGCGTGTCACAGAAGCCGCCCATTCACGGGAAGACACATTTCTCGCTCAGCACTTGGTCAACGCTCTTCCGGACATGGGCCATTTGCTGCGAGAGGCCGTCGCGGGCTCGGTTAGAGGCCTTTTGGCGACTCCATCTGGCTGGAAGGGTGGCTCGGCCACTCAACAGTACCAGCACAAACACCCAATCCAGTTCATCCTCTTCGCACACTTTCCCGAGTCACATGCCTGAGCTTGACGACGTTGTAGTAGCCTGGCTGACACGGGTCTATTGCTTCGAGATCAAGAGTTTCCAGCATCCGAAGCCGCATCCACTTGGAGCCGCCTGGTGTGGGATGGGCAGGAAGGAGAATTCTCCGAGACGGGGCTCATCCCAACTAACCCACGACGCGCCGGAGTCAGGTCAAGATGCTTGAGACGAGGCGTTTCAGGAATCGGCCCAGGTCCTTGTCAACGTCTCAGCACAGCCGCTGCCCTCGGCGAAGCAATGCATTGAAACTGGCGTCGCTAGATGTGTGGAGGGAGGAGGCGACTATCTGTGGCGGCGCATCAGCGACATATAACGACGCTGCGGCCGTTGCCTGCCATCTCGTCTCCTCTGCCGTCGAGTGTCGCAGCCATCGTCCCAGCATCTCGTCTCTCCTTGTCGCGACGCACGCTCCTTTGACAGTCAAAAGAACAAAAGCAAAGGCGACAGAAAGGGAGGCTTGATTAAATCGCCGCCGAAATCGCATCACTCGAGCGCACAATCCATCCAAATCGCTTTGTTGGGGCGCGTCGACGAGTCGGAGAATAGATTCAAATACCTCCTGCTTTGGCCCATTCCTACGCGACCTATCGATAAGCAACCTCGCCGCCGGCCCCATATTACAGGGCAGCCACAGCGACCGATGCGCTAGCAGGCGGCGCCGTCCCACTATGACAGACAACAACAGCGCCATGGCCACAGCGGCTTCCAGGGACGACGGCGCCCCCCAGCGGAGCCCAGTGCTGCCCGGCAACCTGGAGCGCTTCCCCCAATTTTGTTTACACGCCTCGAGCTACTGCGAGGGCGATTCCAGCGCCGGGCCGAACAACCACAACCACAACCCGCGTCACAGCAGCACCAGCACCGGCAGTAGCTTCACCGACAGACACAGTGGCGACTTTAGTTCCTGCCCAGGCTCTCCCCAACTGTCCAAATCGTCGCGTTCCCCGACCGCATCCAGCGTTTCCACCTCGGCCTCGAGCGTCGACGCCGATTCGCCTCCACCGCCCTCGAAAAGGGACGAGCCCGAGGCCTCCCTCCGGCGACGCGCCCCCACCCAGCGGAGCAGGCGGGACAAGAATCAGCTGCATGCTGCACGGCAGCAGCGGTCAGGGAGCGACAGACAGCCACTGGGCTCCAAGAAGACAAAAGGGAGGCGCTTCCAGCGGAGTTCCAACAGCAGCCCTGCCGACGCCCTCGCTGCCGTTGAGCCTGCGCATGATCAAGGACTCGCGAGGATGACCTTTGCCGAGCAGCAGCGGTGGATTACCGTCCAGCAAAAGACGTTTACAAAATGGTATGCCCTTCCATCCCTGGACCCTGGACCCAAGACGGGATAAAGGCTAACGCGCCACCCCCGCAGGCTGAACACGAAGCTCGAGGCCAGAGAACTCGAGGTTAAGGACCTCGTGGCTGATCTCAGCGATGGCGTAAGTGCTCTTGCTCGCATCTTGGCCTCAACGGATTTCCAACTGACACCGAGGTGTTGTCGCGTTCTAGGTCATGCTGATCCACCTCCTTGAATGCCTGTCCAACGAGTCTCTCGGCCGCTATGCCTCGAAACCAAAGCTGCGGGTGCAGCGGTTCGAGAATGCCAACCTTGCCCTTGACTTCATCAAGTCGAGGGGCATCCAGATGACCAACATTGGCGCCGAAGACGTCGTCGACGGCAACCGCAAGATTGTCCTGGGGCTCATCTGGACCCTGATTCTGCGCTTCACCATCAGCGAAATCAACGAGGAGGGCCTTTCCGCCAAGGAGGGACTGCTCCTCTGGTGCCAGCGGAAGACGGCATGTTACGACGAAGTCGAGGTGCGAGACTTTAGCGCGAGCTGGAACGACGGGCTGGCCTTTTGCGCGCTCCTCGACATCCACCGACCCGACCTCATCGACTTTGACACTCTGGACAAGTCGGACCATCGCGGCAACATGCAGCTCGCCTTTGACATTGCCCACGCCGAGATTGGTATCCCGAGGCTGCTCGATGTCGAGGACGTGTGCGACGTGGCCAAGCCCGACGAGCGAAGTCTGATGACGTACATTGCCTACTGGTTCCACGCCTTTTCGCAGATGGAAAAGGTAGAAAACGCAGGACGGCGAGTGGAAAAGTTTGTCAACAATATGCAGGGCGCCTGGGAGATGCAGAGCGCGTACGAGCGGCGGATGCGCCAACTGCTCAAGTCGGTGAAGCAGCAGGTGGAACACTGGCAACGAGCCAAGTTTGAAGGGACTTATACTGACGCCAAGTCCCAAGCAACCGAGTTTGCCGCGTACAAGAGGGGCCAGAAGCGAGACTGGGTCGCTGAGAAGAGCGACCTCGCGACGCTGCTGGGCAACATCAAGACCAAGCTGGGAACATATCGCCTCCGCCCCTACGAGCCACCGGCTGACCTGCGGCTCGACGTTCTCGAGCGAGACTGGGGCACCCTCACGCAGGCGGAGATGAAGCGAGCCCAGCTCATCAACGAGACGATTCGAGAGTAAGTCGAGCGGCCAAGCCAGGAGCAGCGTGAGCGAGTCGCTGACCAAGTTTGCAGCATAAAAAATGCCCTGCGAAAGTCGTTTGCCGACAAGGCCAACGATCTCGCCCTGGCGCTCAACACGATGCAGCTGGCGATTTCGGGGCTGGACGGCGACGTCGAGGACCAGCTGCACCATGTCAGGAGACTGAGCGACAACCTGGCGCCGTTAGACCGCTATCTCGACACCATTGCGGCCGTCGACGCCAAGTGCCAGGAGGCCAATATTGAGGAAAACGACTTTACGACGTACACGTACGACGAGCTTTCGTACGAGCTCGGGCTGGTGAAGTCGTCGGTGCAGAAGAAGCTGTCCTTTTTGCAGAACCAGATGGTGGCGCGCAACATGACGAACCTGACGCCGATCCAGCTGGAAGAATTTGAGAGCGTTTTCCGGCACTTTGACCGCGACGACACCAACTCGCTGCAGGCCCTCGAGTTTAGCGCGGCGCTGGCCTCGCTGGGGCTGGTCTTTTCCGAGGACGAGATGCAGGAGTATTTCTTGGAAACGTCCAACGGGCGCGACTACGTGACCTTTGAGCAGTTCATCCGCTTCATGGTGGACGTGACGGAGGACCAGAACACGGCGGAGCAGGTGTTCCAGTCGTTCCGGGAGGTGGCCGACGGCAAGCCGTACGTGACCGAGATGGACCTGAGGCATAGTCTGGTGCCGGACGAGGTGATTGATCAGCTAGTCGAGATGATGCCTTCGCACAAGGGGCCCGACATGTCAGGGGACCGGGGCCAGCCGCAGTACGACTACATCTCCTTCATGGACAAGCTCATCAACGACGAGCGCGAGGCGGAGGAGGCGCCGAGCATGGTGCTGCAGGAGAGGACAAATGTGGGCGACGCGATGCCCCTGAAGGGCGGCAAGTTGAACGGCAAGGCCACGGCCTGAGCACGGAGGAGGGGGGTGGTTTAACGGTATCGTTTCTCCTTTTTCTTTCGCGGTCCTTGAGGGGATCCTGCTTGGGGATGGTTTGGGACTCTCTGCTTTGTACGTATTTCTAGGCCTCTGGACGGCGGCAACGGCGCAAACGGCGCAAATGATTTCCGCTTTTTGGCATCTTTGACTACTTTGGTTATACCAGGGACGATACGAGAAATGAAGTCTGTCACTATTCCTCGTAATGGTGAAGCGTGATGTGTAGTAAGCTCGCAAAGAAGAATCTTTCATCCCACTTGTCGCTTCGATCTGAGCAAGTTAACAATGCTGTTGTTAAGCGCTTGCTACTATATTCGATTTTTTGCCCGAATCGGTATGCGGAGCGGCAAGGTAGCACTCATGTATCAAGCCGTGTTCGTCCGGCAAAGCTGGCCGAAGAGGCGCTGGTGAGTGGGTTCTAGAGAATTAGTTCTCGGTTTGGGGGGTCCGCGCCGCAGGGCCCTGTCTCCGCTCTAGAGCTTCCAGCCACGCTTTTTTCCTCCTGCACGACTCAAGACCATCTACCAACCAGCCAACCAGACCAGCCAGCGGAACGTTGCCCGTTTGACCCGTGTCCGGCTATGACGGATCGCGCATCGGATTGTACAGTAACTTACATGCAGGCCTGAGAGGAGACGCTAGAGAGTGAGAGCCTCGGAGAGAGAGAGGGATTGAGAGAAGACGAGAGTAGATCTTCAGCTCGGCTCCCATTCTCGCGCTGCCAAACAATCTCCCTTCTCGCCCTTGCCCTGTCTCCAGCCCCATGGCTTGTCGCGCGAGCTTCATGCGCGTCGCCAGCGGGAGCCGGGCGCTCCTCCTCACCACCACCACCACCACCACCCACGGCGGAACCAGCAGCATCGGCCCCCCCCCCCCGGCATGCCTCCGCTACCCGGCGCCGAGGACCTTTATGCAGAGCGCCGGCCGGCGGCGGGCCCAGCTCACGGCCGACGCGTATCCGGAGCTGCGGCGCGACGAGCGCTTCGGCCGGGTGACGGGCGAGCACGTGGCCTTCTTCAAGCAGCTGCTGGGCAGCGGGTCGGCCGTGGTCGAGGCCGAGGCCGACGTCGAGCCCTTCAACGAGGACTGGATGCACAAGTACCGCGGCCAGTGCCGGCTGGTGCTCCGGCCGGCGTCGACGGACCAGGTCAGCCGCATCCTGCGCTACTGCAACGACGCCCGCCTCGCCGTCGTGCCCCAGGGCGGCAACACGGGCCTCGTCGGCGGCTCCGTGCCCGTCTTTGACGAGATCGTCGTCAGCATGGCCCGCATGAACCGCATCCACTCCTTCGACGACGCCAGCGGCTGCCTCGTCCTCGACGCCGGCTGCGTCCTCGAGGCCGCCGACACCTACCTCGCCGACCGCGGCCACGTCTTCCCCCTCGACCTGGGCGCAAAGGGCTCGTGCCACGTCGGCGGCAACGTCGCCACAAACGCCGGCGGCCTGCGCTTCCTGCGCTACGGCAGCCTGCACGGCAGCGTCCTGGGCCTCGAGGCCGTCCTGCCCGACGGCACCGTGCTCGACGACCTGTCCACCCTGCGCAAGAACAACACGGGCTACGACCTCAAGCAGCTCTTCATCGGCGCAGAGGGCTCCATCGGCATCATCACCAGGCTCGCCGTCCACTGCCCCCAGCGGCCCGCCGCCGTAAACGTCGCCTTCCTCGGCCTCGCCTCGTACCCGCACGCCCGGCGCGCCTTTCGCCAGGCAAAGGCCCACCTCTCCGAGATCCTGTCCGCCTTTGAGCTCATGGACGCCCGCAGCCAGCAGCTCGTCCACGCCGTCCGGCCCGCCGAGAAGCGCCCGCTCGACGGCGACTTCCCCTTCTACTGCCTCGTCGAGACCAGCGGCTCCAACGGCGAGCACGACTACGCCAAGCTCGAGGCCTTTCTCGAGCACGTCATGTCCGAGGACATCGTCGCCGACGGCGTCGTCGCCCAGGACGCCACCCAGATCAAGGCGCTGTGGGGCTGGCGTGAGAGCGTCCCCGAGTGCATCGGCCACTGGGGCGGCGTCTACAAGTACGACGTCTCCATCCCGTTGCCCGACATGTACGCCATCGTCGATGACGTCAAGGCCCGCCTGGCTGACATGGGCCTCCTCGGCGACACGGACCAGCATCCCGCCCTTGGCGTCGTCGGCTACGGCCACATGGGCGACTGCAACCTGCACCTCAACGTTGCGGTCCGGCGCTACGACAAGCGCGTGGAGCAGGCGCTCGAGCCCTTTGTCTACGAGTGGATCGCGAAGCGAAAGGGTAGCATCAGTGCCGAGCACGGACTTGGCCTTGCCAAGAAAAAATTTATACAGTACAGCCGCAGTGACACCATGGTCGCTCTCATGAAGCAGATCAAGCATCTATATGATCCGGTGAGTCTGGGATCCCCTTGCTTTTCTTCGCGCCTCCCTACAGGCTACGGCAGAGCTGACCCGAAACGTGTAGAATGGCATCATGAACCCGTACAAGTACATTTAAGGGTGAGGTCGTTGAAAGGGAGAGGAAAAACAGAAAAAAAAAGGGGACATGTGGGGGAAGATGGAGCACGCCCCATCAGATTAAACAAAGCGGGCCGATTCAAGGCAGTTTTTGGCGCGCTGCCAAATTACGAGCCAAGATGCGCCAGAGTACCCAGAGCCGGCCGCGCCGTCGTATGCATCGCGGGCATGTCCCAGCGTTACGAAGGAGTCGGATGCCTCTCGAATCCCACCCGGCACAGCGTTGGTGGAGGCTTTCAAAATCATGCATCCTCACCCTCCCGGAAGCTTAGCCGAAGCCTCGTATGCGTACCTTGATGAACGGGCCGTTCTGTTTTGGCGGTGGACCAATCGTGACCGCTGCCCTGTCCAAGAGCTCCTTTGCTCGGCGTGCCCGGCCATCAAATTGCGCTCAGCTCTCGTGGTGTGCTGGCCAACCAGCGTTCGTGGGGGCGATCCGTCGTCAGCCCTACGAAGCTTTGGCCCGTCGACACGCATGGAGACCCTCCCATTATGCTTTTATGTCACGAGCCGACACCCATGCATTCCCTTTCCTCCCCCCATTCCCCTCTTGCTCCTGTCGCGTGTCCAGTCTCTTGCTCGTACCATCGCTGGGGCCGGGCCGCATCATGTAAGCCATGCGTGTCCACGGGTCCCGTGAGGCTGACCAGGACGAGGAAGCATCTCGGGCGTCTCATTGGCCCGCGTTCTGAATCTCCTTCTCAAGCCTTGCCGGTCTCGGACAAGGTCATCGCCATGGCATTGAAACGCCAGAGGCCCAACTCCGTCCCTGATTCGCACTTGCGGAGGGATACCGAAGCCGGGGTGGAGGAGGCGTCAGGCCACCGGTCGGTGGTGGGGTTGGCGGAACGTGGGAGAGGTTTGTCTCCAGGGGACGTGCCGCGACGCCGGCAAGAGGGCCCGCCACTATATATGACCAGGTGAACGAGTTGTTTCGCGGAATCCTTTGGCAATCAACTCGCGGCGAATGGTCGTCAAGGGCGAACAACGGGGGACGACATGGTCGGTGTTCCAGGCAAGTACAAGGGCTGCGAGACGTGCCGGCGGCGCAGAGTCAAGGTGAGTTGTGTCGGCGAGTCGAAGCCTCCTCTGTCATGAGCTAAGACGGCGACAGTGCAGCAATGAGCGGCCCTTTTGCAACAACTGCGTCAACACCGGCAGGCAATGTGAGGGCTATGAGAGGGAGCGAGTCTTCATTACGGGGACGCTCGAGACCAAGGGTCGCGTGGCCTCGCACCCCAAGAGGACAAGCCCCGCAAACAAGCCAAAGGCCAAGGCCGCGGCGGCAACTGAGGGAACCGGAGAGGACTTGAAACCCCAGCTGGTCCCCACGGAACCGCTGACATCGGCCTGGGACGACTGCATGACGCTTTCTGGACAAGACGTTGTGACTCCTGTACTCTTGACGGGTCTGCAGACGGACCTGCAGAACATTGTTGAGCAAAGCGGTGCCGACGACTCCAAATTCGACGTCTTATTGCCTGCCTATGCTGCTTCGGAACCGCAGACCCACGCAGCGGGTGGCGACTTCAACGCCAGGGCTAGATGTCTGGTGCGACTTGGAGATGCCAGCGCCGAGCACGGCTCGACCGGTGGATACTGCGCCTTCTTATACGAGGTATGATGCTCGTGGTCGATCATTGGTCCCATCGGCTAACATGGACGCAGCATTCGTCGTCTTCTGCCGAATCAAACATGCTCGACGCGCCCGGGCCATCCTCTTTTCATGAGACAGACTTGGTGAAGGGACTGGGGCCGGACAGCTTCACCATGTTTCCGAATCACCAGTACTTCGTGAGGATTTATCGACCCCTGGCAGTGAGAAGCGCCCCGTATCGTACCGACAGCAAAGAGGTGACGCTGACTGAGTCCTAGGTCAGCTTTGCCTTGTTCAGCCGCTGTGATAGTTTTCTGTCTCAGCAGGACTGGATGTCGACGCCCTGGAACTGGCACCCCAAGTCCCCACTTGATTATTTGCTCGATATTGTGCTCCGCCTCCCTTCAATTCTTGCGGCGGCCGACGACCTGCTGCCACAGCCTGCCACGATGCCCCGACGTCTCGAAGCTCAAGGCCTGCTGCGAAACTGCCTCATGGTCGAGATGCAGTTCCACGAATGGCTCCAGAGCGTAATCCTAGCCCCCGGGAGCCAACAGCCCCCTTACTGGTATCAGGATCTGGGGGAAGGTGGCGGCGAAATCCCCTTTGCGGCTCCGTACGCCTTCAGGGATGGTCTCACAGCGCTCATGATGCTGTACTATTGGATGGCTCAGATTCCCCTCCATCGATGCATTGAGAGTCTGCACAGCGCCATCTTCCAGCCGGTCGTTGATGCGTTTCCCGACATGTGGCCGGACCCGCAAGTCGATCCGACGCATTACCAGGACGGGTGCGAACTTGCGGCCAGCATCTGCCGGGGTCTCGACTCTGCGCTTGGCGGCACGACACAGCCGGACATGTTGCTGGCGCCAATGGCAGTGGCACTCAACGTTTACCGCGACGCCAGCGCAACGTCGCAGGACGGCATTCTCGAGATGTTGTGGCTTGAAGCCTTCCAGAAGAGGCTGGCTCACAAGGGGCAGTATATTGCAAACATCCTGCAGCAGCAGCGATGGGTAGAAATTGCCAGATACTGAAACGTGTACTCACGAGCTCTCATGATTAGACGAGGGCGAATACGGATGGGCGAGGTTGGGGATATAGACGGCTTTGGCTGGCGTTTGCGGCAGCTGGTCTGCCAGAGGATGGGAAAAGGAGAAAATTCCGGGTGGAGCCGTTGAAGAATCGGTGACATGTAGACGCCAGAGGCTCACTTGTCGCTCAGATAATGTTTTTGGAATCGTCGCTGCCGTGTGGCTATCGACTCCTGGTTGATGTCGTAACTGAGAGTCAGCACGGTGCGAAACTACCATGTCCATATTCTGATACTGTGCGTTCGGCGCGCTGCTACCTTTCTCCGCCCACCTGTCAGGATCGGCAGCACAGGTACTTCGTAGCTCACGGCCCTCCAGCTCGCAGGCTGCCAGTCTGACGCAGCACCCCGTGTTGGACTGCGCACCTCCCATCTCCCTCGGCCGCAACGCACACGCGCACTCGTCCTCCTTCCTCATTGCCTTCGGCCATCTTGCAACAGACAACTGCAGCTTGCCCCGAATCTACAGCAATGGCTTCAGGCTACGACAGAGCTCTGTCGGGTAAGCTCACCACTTCGTTCAGCGGTGGGACGGTGCTAAACAGTAAACAGTCTTCAGGTTCGACAACCACATCCGACAGTCCTTGAAGCTGTTTCTGACCCCGTCGCAGCCCCGATGGACACGTGTTCCAGGTTGAATATGCCGGCGAGGCCGTCAAGCGAGGTCCGCATGACCCCACGCGCTCATCCGTTGGAAGCTCACCGTATCCTCAGGCACATGCGCTGTTGGCGTCAAGGGCAAGGATGTCGTCGTGCTCGGCTGCGAGAAGCGCTCAGCCATGAAGCTGCAAGACACACGCATCACCCCCTCCAAGATCCAAGTCCTCGACAACCACGTGGCCCTTGCTTTCGCCGGCCTCAACGCCGATGCCCGCATTCTCGTCGACAAGGCGCGGTTAGAGTCTCAGTCTCATCGGTTGTCCGTAGAGGACCCCGTTACGATTGACTACATCACCAAGTACGTTGCTGGGGTCCAGCAACGGTACACGCAGGCTGGCGGTGTGCGGCCTTTTGGTATCAGCACGCTGGTTGTCGGCTTCGACCCTGGGAGCAAGGTGCCTAGGCTCTTCCAGACGGAGCCCTCCGGCATCTACTCAGCTTGGTACGTTGATCACAGACGGTCCCGTTCCATCCATGCTAACTTCCTGGCAGGAAAGCCAATGCAATTGGACGCTCGAGCAAGACGGTCCGCGAGTTCCTCGAGCGCAACTACAAGGAGGATATGGACCGCGAGGCCACCATTCGACTGGCCATCAAGTCGCTGCTCGAAGTCGTGCAAACGGGCGCCAAGAATATCGAGATTGCGCTCATGGCACCTGGTGCCGCCATGGAGATACTCCCCACGGACGACATTGAGGGCTACGTCAAGGAGATTGAGCAGGAGAAGCAAGAGGAGGCGGCCAAGAAGAAGACTGGGCGTACGCCTGGAACTGGAAGTACCGCGATCCTGACGAGAGGCCAGGATGACTCTGCTGCCGAATAACGCAGGAAAGCTTGGTGTATTTTATAGAGGGGTATCTGGTCTATCGCATCAAGCCATTCGCGATTTCCGCTGTGTATGACATGTTCGTCTCAGAAACTCCTTCTCAATATTCCATGAAATGACGAAGCGTAATTCAACCTGCAACGCCGTAGCTGCCCCCAGCCAATGCTATATACCTGCCTCGAAACGCTCAGCCCAGCCTATCAGCATCGTCGTCCGGATCAAAGATGCTCTTCAGCTTCCTCTGCTTGGTCCTCTCATCCTTGAGCATTTTGTTGTTCATCCTCACGTCGTCGCTTTCAACGGACAGAGCGGCCTTGGGTGTCTTGGCGTCGATGACGAAGTGGTTGTCACAGTGGGGGCAGTATTCGTCACTTTCCTCGAATTCTTGCGCGTCTTTGCGAAAGCACTTCTTGCACTTTTTGCAGGCAAAGATCATTTCGAGGGACTGGAGGAGAGGGTGGCTTTCCTGCTCGCCGTGGCATTCGGCACAGTCGAACCACTTGCGGCCTGTATGTGGCAGCTGTCAGCTCTCGACATCACGTATAGTGGAGTCGCACGTAGGATTCTGGGGAGGTTTGCGGCAAGCGTCATACAGCATGGAGATCTGATCGCGACCTGGGCGTTGAGAATGTGCTTGCTGGGCCATGGTCAGCATGGTTTCCGGAAAGGCTCAAGACGTGCGACACATACCACATGTTGTCGCCTGGCTGGATCCCGTTGCTGTCGAATCTCGTATGGGGCCGGCAAATACCAAGAACGAACGGCAGCTCCAGAAACTGGTGGTGTGATTGGTACGAGTAGTTTGGCCGACGCGGCAGCCCGTGACGATGATATTTGGCGGGGTGAGCGGGCCAGGGGTCGCGCCTTAGCGGCTCCAGGTCAGCGCTGTGTCACGAGAGCAAGCCAAAGCACTTGTCGGTACTGAGACTCTGCATTAGTCAGCGCTTCTGCCTGTGAGTAAGTGCCTTGCCTTATCTAAGCCAGATCTCTCAAGTGACGGCATCTCCCACCGTCAACGCGACCCGTCCCCCTGCGCGCCTCTGGACTTGCCGCGGCATCCCGACGATATGCCGCCGAAACGCAAGGCTGGGCCAGTGGCCAAGGACGGGGCCAAGATAGGCAGATCCTCGCGCCTGTCGACGCCGGGCGCCGGGACCCCTCGGAGCCTCGAGGCCAACGACGAGCCAGAAGAGGAGGACGCCGCCCCAGTCGACGAGGTGTTGGAACGAGATATCGACAAGAACATCGACAGGTTCTCGCTTGACCAATACCAGAAGAAGCACGCCATCCGCGAGCCTCTCCCGCACATCTTTGGCGACCACGACTTTTCCTATCTCGACCTCAAAAAGGACCACCACAATCGGCCGCTCTGGATCGATCCGCAAAAGGGCCGGATCATTCTGGAAAGCTTCAACCCATTGGCAGATCAAGCCCAAGACTTTCTCATCACAATCTCCGAGCCTCTTTCGCGGCCGACGTTTATGCACGAGTATGCCCTCACGACGCACAGTCTCTACGCCGCTGTTTCGGTGGGCCTTTCGCCTCACGACATCATCAACACGCTCGAGCGCTTCCTCAAGACGCCACTTCCGGATGAGATCAGGGACTTCATCACCAGCTGTACGCAGAGCTACGGAAAAGTCAAGCTGGTCTTGAAGAATACTAAATACTACGTCGAGTCTCCGGATCCAAACATGTTGCAGACGCTGCTCAAGAATCCCAAGATCGGGCCTCTCCGGGTGCAGGGAACGGAGGAAATCACCACTTCCGCTGCCCCAAAGATTGGCGGCCTCGTCATTCCTGGAACAAAGAATGCCGCTGGTGTCAAGCAGGCAAGTGGCCTTGAACCAGCCGGGGAGCAACCGCAAAATGGCCAGCAGGTTCAAGAGGGGGACGTCATGGCCACTTTAAACGAGGAAGACGACGACGACCAAGAGGTCACGCATTCCTTCGAAATCGCCGACAAGGATGTCGAAACAGTACAAAAAGAGTGTCTGAACCTCGGCTACCCTGTGCTCGAGGAGTACGATTTCCGCAGAGACGAAGTCAATCCCAACCTGGATATCGACCTCAAGCCCGGCACACAAATCCGGCCATACCAAGAAAAAAGCCTCAGCAAGATGTTTGGCAACGGCCGAGCCAAGAGCGGACTCATTGTCTTGCCTTGCGGCGCCGGCAAGACCCTTGTCGGCATCACGGCAGCCTGCACCATCAAAAAGGGAGTCATTGTCCTATGTACCAGCTCCATGTCGGTCGTCCAGTGGAGGCAAGAGTTCTTGAAGTGGTCCAACATCAACCCAGACGATATCGTGGCCTTTACCTCGGACTCAAAGGGGTCGGTCTTTACGGGAAGCACGGGCATCATTGTTACGACATATTCTATGGTGACGCAGTCAAGAGCCCGGTCTTACGATGCCGAGAAGATGATGAAATTCTTGACGGGACGGGAATGGGGCCTCATGCTCCTGGACGAGGTGCATGTGGTGCCGGCCAACATCTTCCGAAAGGTCACGTCGTCGATCAAGACGCACTCCAAGCTGGGGCTCACGGCCACCCTGCTTCGAGAAGATGACAAAATTTCGGATTTAAACTTTTTGATCGGGCCGAAGCTGTTTGAAGCAAACTGGATGGAACTCTCGAAGCAGGGTCATATCGCGAGGGTGCAGTGCGCCGAGGTCTGGTGTCCGATGCCGACCGAGTTTTACGACGAGTACCTTCGGGCGCCGACTCGCAAGAAGAATCTGCTGTACATCATGAACCCGCGCAAGTTTCAGGCTTGCCAGTATCTCATCAACTACCACGAGTCCCGGGGGGACAAGATCATCGTCTTCTCCGACAACGTATACGCGCTCAAGGCGTACGCGTTGAAGCTCGGCAAGGCCTTTATCTACGGCAGCACGGGACAGGCGGAACGGTTGGAAGTGCTCGAGAATTTCCAGCACAACCCTCGAGTCAATACGCTATTCCTGTCCAAGATCGGGGACACGTCACTTGATCTGCCCGAGGCCACATGTCTCATTCAGATCTCATCCCATTACGGATCTCGTCGGCAGGAGGCCCAAAGACTGGGCCGAATCCTCCGAGCCAAGCGTCGAAACGACGAGGGCTTCAACGCCTTCTTCTACTCTCTGGTGTCAAAGGACACGCAGGAGATGTACTTTTCGTCCAAGAGACAGGCCTTTCTCGTGGATCAGGGGTATGCCTTCAAGGTGATTACGCAGCTTGCCAACATTGAGAAGACGCCGGGGCTCGCGTTTGCAACGGCGAGCGAGCGACGCGAATTGCTGCAAAAGGTTCTCGTGGAGAACGACACGATGGAGGACGAGGACATTACAGACGATCTTTTCCACAGCGGTGCGATGGGCCGAAAGAAAAAAAGGGGAGCAGCGCGCCGGACTGCAGGCACCCTCGGCGAACTGAGCGGTGGCCAGGACATGGCCTACATCGAGCAGAACAAGAGACTAAACCAGTCACTGAAAAAGGGCAAGAACAAGAAGGAAAGCCACACCTTCTTCAAGAAGCTTGGCCGGGAAAACGCGCGGCGGGCGGCGGCGTAGGAGCGGGCGGCTGGTGTGCTTGATAGACCTTATTCCTCGAGCAGAGGGCTTAGCAGTTAGATCCTCAGCTATTTGGCGACCCGTGTCTAAATAGACGTTGCAGATCGGCGAATCGGGTGGTACGGGCGCCAGCCAATGCCAAGTTGGCCTGAAACCGCGATAACGTGGCGCCAATCCGCACATGCCTTCAAATCAACACGGGGTATCCGAAGTTAATGAGCCCTCGGCGTCCCCGACGGCCACAAGGAGTGCACTGCGAACTTGCCTGCTTATGCTTGATTATATTCATAGCCGGAAAGTGGAACTCGCAAGGAGAAACGGAGAATTGAAACTACCTGGCAAGGGCCATGAGGCTTAATCAGCTGGGAACAAGCTCGCACTTATTTAGTAAAACGACGGAACGTTAGTTGGCTTTTATAAACATGATTGTATTCCATTTTAAATATTTAGCTAGCATAGTCCTACTAATGTCAAATCGCCCCATGAGTTTCTATTCCTGCTTCGAAGGCAGTCCGCCACCAAGCGCTTGGGCTATTTTTCCTTGGGGCACTTGAACACCTCAGCTGGCATCTGCTCGGCTAACCCGATTAATTGATAACTTAGAGTTGATTTGTATTTTGTGCGCTCCTGTCTATGCGCCTCTGGTGCGACATTGGCCTCGAACTGTTTATGGATGGACTCGCAAGGGACCTAACCTTGACATGAAAGGGAATGCTTGGATCTAGACAGTCTTCTAAGTATTTAAGAAGCTGATGAACCCTCCTTTGTCTCCCACTACTCCAGTCATCATCTACTTCTCGAATCATCCTCTGCTACTCTAATCATCCTCTGCTACTCTAATCATTATCCTACCTCTGCATTCACTTCACACCGCGTTTACTCAACTTCCAAGTTTTCATTATATCCATATATCAAGATGAAGGTCTTCAGCACTATCCTTACCCTCGTTGCGAGCTTCGCCTTGGTGCAGGCCGCCCCGCTTGCTGCCCCCGATGTCGCGAAGCGAGGGGGGTGCTTTATCACCAGTGACGGACAGCAGCACTGCGATAACACGCCGGTACGTGCATTCGATAATTGCACTCAATGATGGGCTAACGCGGCGTGCCTGTTTCTAGACTTGCCAAATCAATCCTGACGGTAGCGGGTCTTGCGTCCTGTAATTAGCCAGAAAGTTCGCAAGGGGAAACCAAGGATTGAGGCGGCTTGGCGATGGCTGCGTGCTGCGGTTGCATATATGCCCTAAGGGGTTGGACAAGACTCGATGGACAAGACTCGATTATCTATCTAGGGACAAGCTCGTGGACTTGTACTTGAGTTCTATGACTTAATAAAAGGACACGGTGAATCATATAAGATGCCATGGACGATGATGATGATGATATGGAAGATGTTTATGTTATGGCACAAAACGTGTAGTCGCTATAATCACGGCTTTGTATTGAGTTGCCAGTCACCAAAGCATGCATGCATAAAATAGCTTGCCTAGCGGCGAAGAGGTAATGAGCTCCCAGACTACGGACATATATGCTAGGGGTAGTAGTTTGACGTGAAGCGCGTGGGGTTTGGGTTTGGGTTTGGGTTTGGTTGCTTGATGGAACATTCGGGTCTCGGCGCTGGGCAGTTTTAAGAATATAGACGTCATCACCATGTGGGACAAATTATCACCAGTCAGATGTTTGACAAAGGGCTGCCCTTGGGGACTGCCCCGTCAGTCATGTCGCCGCGCCACTCCAAGGATGACGCAGCACCCTTTGTGGTGCCCGTGGATATGGTACACGTGCGTCGAGACTACTGCAAGCCTCTGCGAGAGACGACCTGGTGCGGGCACAGATGGGAGAGGGGAGGCTGCCATGATCGACGGCTTAGGTTTGCCGGCGATATCCGACGGCTCGCAGGCCGGAATCACGATGGATATGCGTGTGAAGAGTCTATGAGAGATGGGACAACAGGTGATGGCTGGACGCCGGGGCCGTTGGGAGGTATTCACCAGGTATGCGGCATGCTTGCCGTGATGACTTCATGCCACGATGATTGCGAGGCAGGTCGAGCAAAATGAAGCAGGGACCCAAGCAATTTTGATGGCCCCCAAAATGGCTCAGCCTGTAGTTCCAGAGAAGCGCGGATGGCGACGACAAAAAGAAGGGATGGTGATGGGAGAGGCTCAGCTGAGGCGACGGCGGGAGGGTACACGTATGACGTGGTGTGATGCAGCGCTGCCAGATTGCCAGATGGGTCATTTGTGAGGATCCCTTTGTGGTAACGGCGAGCCGTGGTTGCGGTTGCACCGGCTGCCATGTAACTAACTTGTTCTTCACCGATGGGCTTGACTCGGATAGGTGGGTTGAGTCAAGGTCTCATATCATTATCCGATTGTGTCCGTCATCTAGTCATCGGAGTTTGCCTCCCTCCATCTGTCAGCCGCCGGTGTCTGACAAGTACAGCAATGGCCCGGCACGGGAGAGGGTTGCCGTTGCCGAGATTTGCGATTCACCAGGGGGTGGCATGTGTTTTAAGTCATGGATGCCGACATTGTGTGCAGTTCTGCGGTTGAGGATAATGTGGTGTCCCGTATTATTATTATTATACGAATATCCGTACTCGAAGAAGAAATAATAAACATGGCCTCAAAAAAGGGGACATCTTGTCGTCTGCATGCGGCGGCCGTGCAATGCAATGCACACCGCGACGAATCCGTCTGCCAGGATCGAGTGCATTCCAAGCGTCGAGATAATTACCTTGCCCAGCAAAGGAGCCGGGGCCTGGCCAAAATGGTACGGGGTACCTCGATGGACAGTGCATGAGTTTCATCAGTGCACCACCCTGGAACCGCCACGGAAAGCAGAGGCCCACGAATCAGCCCGGGCAGGCATACATGTCGATGAGGCAGCCAGCCCTTGATGCCTTGCAGTCTCTGCGCCGCCTCTGACGTGACGGGCTCACACCGACAGGCGCGGCAACGGACGCATACTTAACCAAGGTGTTTTTCAGGGCGCCCCACGACAAGTGCCAGGGCTTGCTGCAGGGTGCTGACTCTACCTTATCCCAACTGTTGCCCACCTCGCACAGCACTGCAGAGGCTCGGGCTCTCCCCCCCTGTTGTACTGTATCCATGTACACACTACCTACCTTACCTACCTACCTGGTACCTACCTAGGTACCTGCCCACTTAAGTACCTACCTACTAGGTACGTACTAGTACCAGTACCACTGGTAGACTCCCGGCAATTAGCGAGGTGCTACTCCGTACCTAGTGCTTGGCTGGCTGGGGCCATCCATGGATGCTGTAGGCTGAGCTGTAGGCTGAGCGCCGGCCACCTCGCCAGGCCTTATCTGCCCTCTAGTATTCCTCCTTACCGGTGCCGTGGCTGGTGGCGTCGGCCACGCCATTCCAGCTCGCCTCCCCCCTCCGCTCAAGGTCCTCCCTGGTCAGCAACCCAACTCTCGTCCCTCAGACATCGTCTCTCTCGCTTTTTGGCCCCCCTCGCTCGAACCCACCCCGCCTGGCACGGAGCATCATCCGGTGCCCCGGGCCCTGGCTTGTTTGGCGATTCGACTGACGAGACCTTGACTCAGCACTTCGCCGCAAGCCTCAGACGGTCCAGCCCGGCCCAAGGGCCAAGGGGGGGCAGAGCTTTTGGTCTCGTTTGCCGCCGCCATCACTCTTCCCCCTCCCATCTCCTCTCGACTTGGGCGTCGCGCAGCCGTCCGCCCAGGAGCTTGGCACTCGAGCCAACACCCTGTGTCACCGCCAACGTGCCGCCCGTCCAGACATCTCATTCGACGAGACCCCCCCTGTTCTCGCCATTCTGGGAAACTGAGGCGGCTGCCGGCACTGGGAGCCGCCCCAGAGCACGGATAACTAGGCCTGGCCTCGCAACACAAACCACCTCCTTTTTTTTCCTTCTCCTCTTGTCGACGCCACTGGTTGGTCCTCGTCCGTCTCTCTTTGACTCGATTGGAAGAGCTCGTCAGCCCTCGCCCCGAACTGCCGGCAGCGACCTCGACAATTTGCACGCACAAAAGCCTCGCCTGGCCCCCATCTTCCCAGAAGACACCGACACTCGTCTCTGTCTGCTGCATCTTGCTCAACAACGCCGCCTCGCACCATCATGCCTTCCATGCCCACTCTGCACCTCATGTCCTCGAGTCGGACTCACGGTTGAGTGGGACAGAGGCTAGCTTCGCCATCTCAGCCACGCGCCAAGACTTGGCCATCCTCACCATCGCCCTACAACAACAGGCAACAAACAGCTTATTGCCGACCCCTAGACGCTGCGGTGCCTTCAGCGCCCATCGCATCGCATTGAAGAAACACCCTGTGTTTTCACCTCTTTGTTTTACGCCTAGTGTTTCTGCGACTGTTCTTTCGTCATCCCACTAGCGCATTTCTCCTCATCCGCAGCCATGCTGGAACGTGCGCGGGACTATGTCTGGGCACAGCTCAAGGCTGTCAAGCCCGCCTTCGTCTCCAAGAAGCCGCACTTCAACTTCATCTCGGTCCATTGTCTGTCTTGCCGCCCGTCTTCCGTGGACATTGCTGACCTGGGTTGCTGCAGACTTCTGGATCATCGGCGCAACAATCGTCGGCTCCATTGCCATCTATGCCTCCGGCGGGGGCGGTTTGGCCTATGTTGATGCATTGATGTTTGCCAGCGGTGCCAACACGCAGGCCGGCTTGAATCCCGTTGACGTAAACAAGCTCAATGGATTCCAACAAGCCATGATCTACCTGTTTGCCATGCTCTCCAACCCAATCACCCTCCACGCTTGCGTCGTCTTCCTCAGACTCTACTGGTTCGAGAAGCGCTTCCAGAGTTGGGTCCGCGACATTCGCTCGCGGCGGCCAACCTTGACCAAGTCCAAGTCCGAGTCCCATGCAGAAGACGTGGAGCGGGCCGTCCCTGCCCAGGGTGTCAATGGGCGGAACATCACGATTATGCCGCACAATGGCCGGGCGCAGAGGATCACCAACGACGGCATCCTGTTGGAGGACATGGGCGAGGTCTCTCCCACGTCCGCGGCCGTGCTCAAAAGCGACGAGAGCGACTCGTCGACAATGTCCGACGAGAAACAGCTCGAAGCTGGAGTCGTTCCGCATCCCCATCGCGGGAGCACCCAACTGGCGCCCGAGGAGCCCCGCAGTGGCCCCACGGCCATCTCCTTTGCGAATACTGTCAAGAGAAGCGATGGCATGGGAGAGGATGCCTTGAAGGTCCCGCAGCGTCTGCCCAACGCCGAGCACATTGCCATTCTGGAACGGCAGCGAAATCAGGACAACGAAGTCCTTCGAATCCCGGGGCCGCGAGATGCGGAGAGGGGCCTGGGGCCGAGGCGGCTCCATATGGACGATCCTCAGGACGACGATGAACATGGACTCCCCAAGTCCAGGACCGTGGACTCGCGCATTGATTTGGCAGGGGCTGATCCCAGAAATATTCGAGGCCGCCAGTCGACCATTGTGATTGCGGAGCCAGACAGGCATCGAATGGATGACTTGGCAGACGAGGCCAAAGCAGTTGGCGGCGCCATGGATTCGCTCCGCTTCCGGAAGCCCCGTATATTGAATTCTGGACAGAAGAAACTCCATGATGACGGCGAGTCTAGGTCGTCTCGTCTAGCTGGGACACGAACCCTGAGCAACCTCAGGTCTGTCTTGTCGCGGGACAGAGAAGAGGACATGCCTTACCTTTCGTACACGCCAACGCTTGGCCGAAACTCCAACTTTGTCGGGCTAACCCTCGAACAGCGCGAGGAGCTTGGCGGCATCGAGTATCGATCCCTGCGAACACTGGCCCTGATCCTGCTGTTCTATTTCTGGGGCTTTCAGCTCATCATCCTTGCCTTCCTCCTGCCATTTATCTTCCACGATGCGTACTACGGCGACATTGTCGAGGCTGCGGGTGTGTCCAAGACTTGGTGGGGATTTTTCACGTCCAACGTTGCCTTCATGGACGTTGGTTTTACCCTTACCCCAGACAGCATGATCTCCTTTCAGAGATCAGAGTTTGCACTCATCGTCATGTGGTTCTTCATCATCATTGGAAACACAGGGTTCCCCGTCATGCTCCGGTTCCTGATTTGGGTCGCCGCCAAACTTGTCCCCCGGGGGTCTGGTTTGTGGGAGGAGCTGCGGTTTTTGCTCGACCACCCGCGTAGATGTTTTACCTTGTTGTTTCCGTCTGGCCCCAACTGGTGGCTGTTTTGGATCCTCATTGTTCTCAACGCGCTCGACCTGCTCTTCTTCATTGTCCTTGACGTGAGTCTTTGGCCCTCTGCATCCTATTCCCAAGCGCGTGGTCATCATTGCTAACTGCCCCGTAGCTCGGTTCGGAGCCCATCAGCCAGCTTCCGCTCAAGAACCGCGTTGTCGTCGGCTTCTTCCAAGCAGCCTCCACCCGAACGGCCGGGTTTTCCGCCGTCAACATGTCAGACCTGCATCCGGCAATGCCGGTGCTGTACATGATCATGATGTACATTTCCGTCTTCCCCATTGCCATTTCGATTCGACGAACGAACGTCTACGAAGAGAAGTCCCTCGGTGTCTATCAGGACCACAACGCCGAGGAGGAGAACGACGCCAGCGCCCTGTCCTATGTCGGCAGTCATTTGCGCCGACAATTGTCTTTCGATTTGTGGTACGTCTTTCTGGGCTTCTTTATCCTCGCCATCAGTGAGGGGGACAAGATCCTCGCCCATAAATTCGACATGTTTGCCGTGCTTTTCGAAATCGTCAGCGCCTACGGTACCGTGGGCCTCAGCATGGGAGCGGCGGGCATCAACGCTTCGCTGTCCTCACAATTCTCCGTCGTTGGCAAGCTTGTCATTATCGCCATGCAGATCCGAGGCCGACACCGCGGCCTTCCGTACGGCCTCGATCGCGCTGTCCTGTTGCCGAGCGAATCTCGGTTCCGCAAGGAGGCCGAAGAGGCCGAGGCCGTTCTCGCCCGCGTCAACACTGGAATGTCGGGTGCCACGACATCGGGACTCCAGCGGCAGAGGACCAACACCGCCAGCCGTCGTAGCATGAGCCGCGAGGGGGAGCGGACCAACGGCAACTTGATACTGCAGTTCTTGCATCCAGGCCCTCCCGTGCAACGCGATTCGGCGGCATCCAACCAGAGGAGGATATCGACGGATTCATACGGGCTCTCGCTGGGACCGAGGATGTACACGGAGCCCGAGGCGGCCGAGGCGGCGCAGTCCAGCCCGGAACAATTTCACAAACCATGGAGGACAGAGACGTCGGCGTTTTAGAGGAACCCATGGCGACGATGACTCCCGCCGCTAGGCACATCACTCATCTCCTCATGAAACCTCGACGGGAGAAGCCATTCCACCCCTACCGCATAGCACCTTTACGCATTACCGGCCTGGCATCTGAGGATACGATTCAGCGAGTGGATTTCACGGGACACGGCGTCTGGGGCAAAGTTTTGGGTTAGGCTTTTAGACGGGCAATGGGCGTCTCCGAAGCGTCGCTGCACCTGCCCTTTTATGTCGGGATTTCTGTAGCGGGGCCACGGGCGCATTTATCCGGCGTGCATTTGATATTATTCCTTGCTCTTTACGATATGAGACGAGACGCGTTGTACGCGGCATTTCACACCAAGACAAGCATGCAGCACGCGTCGTACCCATTGTGAAGACAGGCAGGCTCTCTTGTGTTTTCCCACAATAAAACGGCCCTTGCAATGTTCCTCGACAGTCGAGATGGACAAAGGTGTTCCAAATTCGTAGTGTTTGTGCGCCGGTCGCTAAGGCGGCAGGTATATATAAGTCAAATGAGCCATCCATTCTGGTTGAAACGCCGCGTGCCCGTGTGTCCAGTCCAGGCAGAAAATGAAAAAAAGGAGGGATTTCCCATCACTAATAAGAAGGCCACCCTTCTCCCGATGACAGCCCTCTTTCGTCCGCGCATCCAGGAGAACCAGATTCCAGCCCCGAAACTAGATCAAAGTCAAAGCCAAAGACGCTGCCAACGCCGTGTCTGTACGCCAAACAGCCTCCCTACCAGCAAATACCGTCAAAAAAATCCCGACAATTCCATAAGGCCCGTCACAACGCCGCTCAGCTGTCCTCGAAAGCGCCCAGGCTCTTGAGGGCCTCGGCCATGCGGCGGTACTCCCCGAGCAGGTCCTGCACCTCGCTCAGCCGGAGCTCGCCCGGGTCTTGCACCTCCATGAAGCGCTTGTTCGGTGGGGCCACCTTGAGGCCCTCCTTGGGCGGAAGAGCGTCTGCGATATCGGGAAACGCCTGCCAGGGTGGTTAGCTCTCGTGCAAAGCGAGGAGTAGACAATGCGAGAGGCTGCGCTTACTGATGCCAAGTCGCCCCCGTCCGATGTCTTGCCAATGTCCTTTGGGGATGCGGCGGCCGTGGGCGTGGGTGTGTTGCGGCCAAAGCCTCTGATCATGCCGATATTTGACAACCGGGCCATAGGATTGAAGGAGCTGCCCAGACTGCGCACCTGCTCGAGAACGGCAGGGCTCTGACTGGACGAGAGGAAAGACGTTGAGCTCTTGGACTCCTCGGCGAAGAGCACCTTCTTGTTCGAGCTGGCGCTGCGCCCACTTTTGGCGCTCTCCACACTCGGCTCCCGGCGACGTCCTATCATGTTGGCGACTTTGTCCTCGCGCACCGGTGAGCGCTTCATCTGCTCGGCATCCTCGGCACCCACCGCAGAGTTTGCGCCGCTGGCGCTGTCGTCCTCGTCGGGTGGCGGCGTGCTGACGAGCTTGCGGGCGTCGTCCAGGGTGCGTGGGACGACAATCGACGAACTCTGAGTGCTCTGCTGACTGTCGCGAAGCTTGCCCAAGAGGAACGAGTAACTGTCTCCCAGACTGCTAGAGATGGTCTTGAGCCCCTGGTCAGCCGTGCTGAAAACGGCGTCGCTGGCCGCGCCAAACGCCTGGGCCGGGGTGTTGACGAGCTCACTCAACCGGCGGTTCTTCAACACGTTGGAGGTCTTGAGGGCGGATGGTGGCGGGGCAGACTTTGTGGCGCTGGCATTGTTGGGGTTGGCTTCAGCGGCGTCCTTAGTGGGAGTCGTCACATCTAGGGGCCCCTGAGGGTACGCAGGGGGGAATGTTTCTGCCCTCGGGGTGCCGGGCTGGGTCGCGCTCTTGGGTTGTCCAGAGGGGTGTTCGTCTTCTCGTAAAGTGGCCAGATCCACAGTCTGCAGGAAGCTGATGGCTGCTTCGAGGTTAGTGAGGCAATAGGCGGCCTCACCGGTCAACTTTGGTTCCCAGCGGAATTGCTGGATAAAATGGAGGTCACTCATGATGTGAAGCTTTTCCGGGGGCATGGTGATGAGGGTGTAAATGAGCATGGGCATGATTTCGTCGGCGGACGCAGAGGGGTGGAAGTGGGCGAGCGTGTTTACGATGCTCTTGTGGGCGGCCTTGAGGTTGTTGAGCTTTCCAAGGGGATATCTCGACTCGCCCATCCGGGTCAGGTCGGCTCTGGCTTGGCCCAGCCATTCCCGCACGTCCCTTTCTTTGTCTGCCGCGTGTTCGGGAGTCGAGGGTGCCCCCTCGCCCGTCTCCACGCCCAAGTCGGCGAGGCCGATGCCGACGAGCGCGAGGGCCGCAGTCTTTGAGCGGAGTTTGTCGTCCAGAGCCTCGTCCTGCGTGCTCCTGTGCCGGTAAATGCGGCCGTATATGCCCTCGCAGAGCCTCCGTTCCACTGCCTCCTCCAGCAGGCCGCGCTTGGCCTCGAGGGCTTTCCTGGCGCGTTTGCGGTTGGCCAATTCGTCGGCCGTGATCATCTGCTGTTCCGCCTCCGTCTTTGACTTTTCCTTGGTGCCGAAAGACGCAGCCTTTGACCGCAGACGGCTGGCAGCAGAGGATATGGTGGTGCCGGAAGGGGTGGGCGAGGCATCACGGCTCTGTCGGGAGGCCAAGGCGCCGATGTGCGTGCCGACGTGGGATGAGGCCAGGGCATAGAATTCTTGGAAGAGCTGCGACAGGCGGTCGATGTTTGGGGGCGTTGGATGCACCCTGGCAGCGAGAGACTCGATGAAGCTGGAGGAGCAGTTGGTCAGTCATAGGATCAGGATGATGTGCAGGCAGAGGGCAACGCACCTGTCTGTCAGGGTGATGAGTTCAATGGGCAGGTCGTCGAGGTCGACCGAGGCGCGCGTCATATCGTGTGCGTCATCATTGTCGGTAGGCTCGGCCGTCTCGAATGCATCGGGCCCCGTGTTGTCGATGGGGTGGAGTCTGCTTTGCTCACGATGCTTCTGGGTGGGAGAGCCGTTGTGGAAGGTATGTGCACGTTTCGGCGGTTTCAGGCAGTCGTTTTCATCTCGGACGGAAACCTGGGGGTACGAGGGCATTCGCGTGGCAGGTTGCCGAGGCGGGCGGAAGCCCTGAGAGTTTTGGGAAGCCATGGGTTGCTGTGCGGGCGGACAAGAAATCATGGTGGTGTGAGTCTGTCTGTGTCCTGGCGGGGATGGAACCGTTAGGCCAGGCTTCTGGAGTGTGCTCGGGGAGGCGGTCGATGAGGCACAAGCGGAGGCTGTCGGCGGCGAGCACGTAGGCGGCTTGGATCCAAATGTCAGGAAAACATGGGAAGGGGGAGGCGCGCTGGTGCGAGCCAAAATGCCCTCGCAGTGCTGGCAAAAAAGCAGTGCGGGTGGCCGAGACAGCGAGAAGGCCGAATGACGTACGACGGCAATGCGAAAGACTCAGGCGCGTCTCAGCCGTGGGAGGTGGCTTGCGGAGGTGGTGGAGGAGGTTGGAATGGACGCGGCTCGCTTCGGACGACGGCGGCGGGCGGGTGGAAGGGCCGAGCAGGCGGCGCTGAGGTGGTTGATACGAGGGAGCGAGGAAGCGAGAGGAAGATTCGAAGATTTGGTTGCTGTTTGTTGCAGACGACGACGAAAGGGAAGAGGGGGGAAATGAAAAAGACAGACTGATGAAAGAGAGAGAGAACGCAGAGAGTAGAAAGAGGAGGAAAGGGGAGGTGCGGTTTGGCTCCCTTTAACGCCTTCTTTTTCCGTGGGTGGTTGACAACGGGGAGCTTCCTTCCCCATGCAGTGAGTGGTGCTATAGATAGACAAGCGCATGAGGTTTGTGACAGGCGTTTGACAAGTACCGGCGAGGGCTCCAGCGGTACCTTGGGTGCGGGGGACTTGCCGAGTAATGCCGCGACCGTGGCTCTGTCAGGTACCGGGCCAGGCGGCATACCTTGACATGGTAGGAAGTACTTGGGGTCATGCCGGCCATCCCTCGAGTCTCCTCATCTTCGGTGTGTAGAATCTGTCTTCATGCACTCACGGCTTCTGCGCCTCTGTTCCCTGCATGGAAACACGGTGCGAAGACGCGCAATCGGTCGAGCAATAATGGATGGACCGAATACGCGCAGGGCGACAGAGTCAGTTGGTGGCGACTCGCGCTGGCTGACGACTACGTGCCAAGGGACCAAAGGTTAATTATTCCTACTCGTAGGTAGGGTTTCTTCCCCTTTTGGGGGCTCCCGTTGGGGGCTCCCGTTGGGCTTTTGAGGCTTCGCCGAGACGGCCTCGACGGAACAAACGGAGCCAGCAGGCAGTTTGGGGAGAGCGTTTCGTGACTAGCCGTCTCTGGAAGCCAAACGCCTCTGGCCTGACAACTGGCCTGCCTGTAACTGCTGGTCCGCGCCGGTCCGCGCTGGCCCACGCTGATACATCTGAATGCTGGCCAGCTGCTTCCGTCCCTCGCCTGTCTGCCTGCTGCTTGCTGTATTTGCCTTGTCCTCGTTTATACAGATAGATAGTAGCCATTCAGCCACTCATTCCAACGGTTCATGCATGCTATTTATTGGATCCCCCCCCCCTGAGGTTCCCTACTTTGGGGAGAAAGGGGGAGCTTGTGGGGCTTGATGCGGGTGGTTTTGCTCTTCCTCCGGCGACTGCGCCTCTTCTGCCGCGGTACGGTAGTTACGTAGTTATATATATGCTCCGTACAAAGGGCGGCCCGCGTCATCTCTACGGCTTCTAGGGATGGAAAGCCGCCGGGCCTCGGATGCTACAGGGCCTCGGATGCTACAGGCCCTTGGATGGTGTGCCGTCTCTTGCTTACTCCGTAATCACATCTCACCCGCTTCTCGGATCCAATCCCGCTCATCTCATCTCACGCCTTTTTCAACGTTTGCATTGCTTTTTTTTGGCTTTCCTCGGGCCGAGAGTATTTATTCTTCAACAAAATACATACGTAGGTAATCAATCAACCACATCGCAGACGACATCCTCGCTCTCGCCGCCTTCACACTGGCCCTCCTTGTCCGCACACAAATAGCCAAACCTCCTCGCTTGATCCCATGAAGTACAGCTAGGGCCAACCGTTTGTTCCCTCACAGACCCATCCATCCATCCATCCATCCATCCATTCATCCATCCACCCCAAAGGCGTCATGTCGGGCCCTCCGTCGCGCATCCGCTCCATCCTCAACCACCTGCTGCCCCAGTCCCCAAACCCTCCTCACATCCATCACCTATCGCCAACCTTCTTCCTCGAGCGCGCCGCCGCCATCGAGCCCAATGCCCATGCCGTCTTCCACATCACCGCCAGCGGCGTCACCCTCCGCCGCTCTTATCAGGACCTGGCCACCCGCGTCATCGGCCTGGCCTACTACCTCAAGAACCATGGCCTGACCCGTGTCGGCGTCCTGGCCCCCAACACGCCCGCCTTCCTCGAGTCCATCTACGGCGTCGCTGCCGCCGGCGCCGTCATCGTCCCGGCCAACTACAGGCTCAAGGAGCATGACATTGCCTACATCTTTGACTTTGCCGATGTCGACTGCATCATTGTCGACAACGAGTTCCTCGGCCTCCTCGCCGCTTACAGGACTCGCCATCCCTCCGTGCCCGTCATTGTCGACCTGGTAAGCCCCTGGAGCAAGGTGACGGGACCGAGTCCCGGCTGATGGTCCCCCTCGTCCGCAGGATACCGACAGGACAGAAGGACCCGACTGCGGCCCTTTCAACCAAGCTGTCTTGGAGGGCTTGGCCTACGACAGCTCCCACGGCCGCCGGGGCTGGGCCGACCTTCACTCTCACGCAAGCAACGAGGACGACGTGCTCGCCATCCCCTTCACCTCGGGCACCACCTCTCGCCCCAAAGGCGTCGAGTTCACTCACCGCGGCGCCTATCTCGCCGCCCTGGGCAACGTGATTGAATCCGGCCTCAACACCGGCCGCTGCCGCTATCTCTGGACGCTGCCCATGTAGGCCAGCTCGACGGGATCCCCGTGGGCAGGGACGCTGACGAGGATGAATGCAGGTTCCACGCCATGGGATGGACCTTTCCCTGGTCCGTCGTCGCCGTCCGAGGCGTCCACTTCTGCCTCAGGAAGATAGACTACCCTCTGATCTGGAAGCTCCTGAAAGAAGAGGGCATCACGCACTTCAACGCGGCCCCGACCGTCAACACGCTGCTGGTCGCGTGCAGCGAGGCCGAGAAGCTCTCTCGGCCTGTCCAAGTCACCGTCGCCGCCAGCCCGCCCAGCGCTCACCTCTTTGAGCAAATGGTCCGCGCCCAGTGCCATGTTCCAATGAGGCCCCTTGCTTACTGACTCTCCTCCCAGACAAGCCTGAACCTCATACCTGTACACGTTTACGGCATGACGGGTCCGTCCCACTGCAGGCTGTCGTGTGCTTCAATGGCTGACTGGACAACTCCAGAGACATACGGCCCCATCACCAAATGCTACCAACTCCCCGAATGGGAGAAGCTGCCGCCCTCGGAAAAGTTCGCCAAGATGGCGCGTCAGGGACACGGCTTCATCAGCAGCCTGCCCATCCGCGTAGTCAAGCCGGACCAGCCCGAGGGCGTCCTGACAGACGTGGCCAAGGACGGGCAGGAGATTGGGGAGATTGTCTTCTTCGGCAACATCTGCGCCAAGGGCTACTTCAAGGACCCCGAAGCGACGCGCAAGCTCTTCGCCGGCGGCGGCCTTCACTCGGGCGACCTGGCCGTGTGGCACCCGGACGGCAGCGCGCAGATTCTCGACCGCGCAAAGGACATCATCATTTCGGGCGGCGAAAACATCTCGTCAATCGCCCTCGAGAGCCAGCTTGTCCAGCACCCGGACGTCCTCGAGGCCGGCGTCGTGGCCGTCCCGGACTCGCACTGGGGCGAGCGGCCCAAGGCTTTCGTCACGGTCAAGCAGGGCAAAGCGATGACGGGGGCCGACGTCGTCGCTTGGGCCAAGCACCAGAGCAACATTAGCAAGTTCATGGTCCCGAGGGAGGTGGAGATTGTGTCGGAGCTGCCCAAGACGAGCACAGGCAAGATTAAGAAGAATGAGCTACGCGAGTGGGCAAAGAACAATGGCAAGGCGTAGCAAGCTTCCTTCATTGTTCTTGAGGTAGCTCGTTTTCTGGAGAGGCTCATGTACGGTCTGGCCAAGAATCTTCCCGCCAGCGGGCGATAAACCACACCTTCATACCATAACCCATCCGGCCCAGCTCGTCGGCGGCGCGAGACAAGCGCAAGCGACCCCCGTCACTTCAAGTTGGCAGGAAACAGGGCCCCCGTGGTGCCCTTGTCGAGGGCGTCGAGCTTCTTCATGTCGTCTTGGTCGAGGGCGAAGTCGAAGACGGCGGCGTTTTGCTTGATGCGGTCCGGGGTGCCGCTCTTGGGCAGCGGGACCCAGTCCTTTTGCAGGCCGTAGCGGATCAAGACCTGGGCGGGGGACCTGGCGTGCTTGGCGGCGACGGCGCCCAGCGTCTTGTCGTCAAGGTTCTCGCCGCAGGAGAGGGGGGAGTAGGCTTGCAGGATGATGCTGTTGTCGCGGCAGAACTGGGCGAGCTCGCGGTGCTGGCACCAGGGATGGAGCTGCGGATTGCCGGTCAGCACACTCCCGGGGTCATGAGCTTGTAGCATGCGCGAAACGTACCTCGAGCTGGTTCACATGGGGCGGCCAGACGCGGGCGTACTCCTTCATCTCCTCGAGGTGCTGGATGCGAAAGTTGCTGACGCCAATGGCCTTGGCCTTGCCCTCGTCATGGAGCCTCTCCAGGGCCTTCCACAGCTGCTCTCTGGCCTCGCGACTGGACCCGGGAACATGGATGAGGAAGAGGTCGACGTATCCGCCAGGGCCGCCAATCTTGTTGACGCTGTCGAGGGCGTTCTGGTACGTGCTCTCGGGCGTGCTCGTGGCCGTGTGTATCTTTGTGGTGAGAAAGACGTCCTGGCGGCGCAGGGGCGACTGCTCGACGGCGGCGGCGACGTCGGACTCGTTGCGGTACATCTGGGCCGAGTCGACATGGCGGAAGCCGGCGTCGATGGCGGCGAGGACGGCTTTTTGGCAGGCGTCGCCGTAGAGCTGGTAGACGCCGAAGCCGAGTCTCGGCATGGAGACGTCGGTCTTGGGGATGGGGATGCCGTCTGTGATGCCGAGCTCGCCCATTGTTGCGTAGGGGCGGCGGTTGACGCTTTATTATGATTGTCTCTTGTCTTTGTTGCTTGTCCTAGTGTGCAATGGAACGAGATGAATAGGCAATGGATGGGGGCGGATTTGGCAGCGATGTTGGGTATGGGATGGCGAGGCTGGGAGACGGGAGGAGGGGAGATGACGAAAACGGAGAGGGCAGAGGGGGTTGAGGTCACCGTGCAGGAGGCGGCTGCTCTGGATGTGCGTGCGCGGATAGCCTAGGCAGTGAGAAAAGTAAAGAAAGGTAGAAACGGGAGAGAAGCAGGCCCGTTTCTATTGCTAGAGTTACATGTGATGGTCGGCGTCTGGAACTCTTTCCTTTGCTGATGTGTAAGTCGAGGCCATGAGCTTGAGTATCGATACCGGGCTTCTACCTAGCAGACGATGAGGTAATAGGTGGGAAACAGCCCGCCGCCGCCTCGCAGGGCTGGCCTGTCAGCGATGACCGGCTTCCACGGTCCGCCTCTGCCGGCCATCTCGGAGGGGGGGCGCCTCTCCCACTGTAGGCCCCGGGCCTCCAGGCGGTAGGTGCACTGCTCTGGCCGACGTCCACGGTCGCTGACGACGGGAGGCAACAGGGCCGAGGTACCTCGAGTCAGGTACCTCGAGTCCCAGAGGATGCTAGCACATGCAGCTTCGCCCCTCCTTGCGGGGACCTCGCCCGCGACTCGGTGGACTTTCGTCAGCGCGCAACGCCAACCAACAGAAACCAACAATTCATCCCCCTCCACCTTTCCGACTGGCTTCTCGCACCGTCACCCGGGTTCCATCTCCTTCCACACCGCGGCCGAGGCGCAGCGGCGGAGAAAAGAGGCTTGCATACCGAACGGCCTCCCAGCTACCAACCCTTTATATCCCCGCTGCTTTGCGCGCCGCAGAGAGTCTCCGCCGGCTTGTGCTTCGACTCACCAACCCGCGCGGCCCTCGTCCACTCGCGGGCCAGAACCCACTCGCGCCCCAACGAAGCCGGTTTTCTCGTCCATCCCGCCAGCCATGAGCGAGCTGCGACCGCTGCGAGGCGGCTGCCAGTGCGGCCGGAACCGCTACATCATCGCCGTGCCCCAAGACGGCGTCAAGGAAGCCCAGGTCCTTTTCAACACCGAGCCGCTTCACCGTACGTCCGTCCTTCCGGGACCGGCACAAACGCGGAGCTAACCCACCGACAGAGATACCCCTGGCCACGCCCCTCGCCGCCTACATCCGCGTGCCGCTGTCGTGGTACCACAGCACCACCTTTGCCTTCTTCCCCGACGAGACGCACACCATGATCCGCCGCGTCTACACGCACCCCAGCCAGGAGCACTCCAAGCGCCACTTCTGCGGCTTCTGCGGCACCCCGTTGTCCTACTGGTCCGAGAGCCCGCTCAGCGAGGCCGACTACATCAACCTCACCATCGGCAGTCTCCTCCGCGATGACCTCCGCGATCTCGAGGACATGGGCCTCATCCCGGACGAGCTCGACGACGACGCCGGGGGGCGGGACCGGACGCCCGCCCCCGCCACGCCCACCAGGTCCGCGGCCCTGCGCGAGTCGTTTGGCGTCCCCTGGTTCGACGGCTTGGTCGAGGGCACACGCCTGGGCAACATGCGCCGCGCCCAGGGCGTCAAGCGATCGCACGACGGCAGGGTCAGCGTCGAGTGGGAGATTGTCGAGTACGCCGCCGGCAGCGACAGCGATGCCGACATGGAGACGGAGTCTGCGTCCTCCTCTGGCAAGCGGAAAATGCAAGACCGGGAGGATTAGACGGGTGCGGCTCCGGGCCCTTTCCGGGCGAGAGAGGCCCTGCTAGTCAGCGTAGTCAGTCCCCCTCCCCGAGCCCCGGTTTCTTGCCCGGCACCAGCAGGCTGGCCAGGACGGGCGGGGCGCTGCACCCTCCTTGATGAGGGGGCCCACTCGTACGACGCACAGAGAGGCGGTGGACTCGCGACGCCCAGACGCGTCTCCGCAGCCGCAAGCGATATCGGATATGCGGATGCCGGGACACGCCGCAGGGGACAAGGCGCAGAAGGATTCGAGCAAGGCATGATTTTGACGTGGCAGCGTACTTGAGGAGGAGGATCCGGCGACTGCGTGGGCTAGTCAGGTTCCCGCGATGGCACTCGTCAGGCCCGTGGGAAGTAACGAGATACGAGGGAGTTTTAAAGGTGCATGGAGTGGTATGGCGGCAGCGGAGGGGACAGTCATTTTGGTCCTCTGGTGCGGGCATGTAAGTCGAGGGAAGTTGGCTAGCTGTTTGAGTCTAGCATCTATAGCCAACTCCAAGCCCCATCGTGACAGTACAAGAGAATGCGGTGTAGGCATGTCAGCGAGGAGAACCTGGCTAACTCGACAAGCTAATATCCATAATCAACTCCGAGCCGCGTCGTGACAGTACAGAAGAAAGCATGTAAGCGAAGAGAACTTGGCCAGCTCTGCAAGTCTAGCATCCACGGTCGACTACCAGCGCCATCATGTCAGCATCCATTCTCGGGCCACGTAGAGTGCCTGCTTGAGGGCATCTTCCCTCTGTCGCTGCGCCCAGTCTCTGCCGTTGCGCCAGGCCAATACGCCCCGTCGGAAAGTGTCAGGGCTCGCGTTGAGGGACCATTGGCCAACCGGCGTCATGGCGTACCCAGGTAGTTGTCCAGGGACGACGGGGCGCGTAAGATGCGTGGCGTACATTTCGAGGCGGCCACGATGGTATATCGACGTCAGTGTATAGGTGTTGCTGTCGAATTCAGGGTCCGGCTGTTTGTACGACTGCAGACTCTGCATGCCTCGCGCCCCCAGGGCTCCGTGGTAGCACGCTTGCCGCATTGCGGTGGAGTGATCGCCGCCGGGACTTGTCACGCTGACAAAAAAGTTGGGTAGGACGGGGACATCGTTATTAACCGAAGGGACGATCATGTTGCGAAGGTCGCGAAGTTCGGGCACCAGGACGTCGGGGGGCGCGCCATAGAAGATGTCGGGCTGGCCGGCCACAATAGGTTCCTGGGTCAAATACTCGAGATTGGTGAAGGGGATGCCGGTTGCGGCACGGTGGTCGCCGCCGGCCTCTCCTTCGATGAGGGGGATGACATTTGCCATGACGTGCGCCTTGGTGACGGCCTGCGCATGGACGGCCAAGAAGGAATCATAGAAACCCTGTTTGATTTTGGAAAGGGCCAGCGTCCTGGGCCTGGGACGGGCGATGGCTCGCTTGAGGGCGTTGATGTTGTCGGGCCGGTCGAGGGCGTCTTCGCGGAAATTGTCGATTCGAAGGGCAAGGACGCGGCTGTCGGCCAAGTGCTGCTGGAAATTGTCATCAAAGGGACCCGTGGCCTTGGACGAGCTGGTGGCTGGTGTGCTGTTGGTCTTTATGGGAGCCCCAGACTCGTGGCATTTGTTTGACTCTGGCAGGCTCCATGTGGTTGTCATCTGGTTCCGGTGCTGGTTTGGAGGTCGGTCAAGACTTCAACACCAGGCACGACGGGATGTGGCTTACACCTCTCAGGTCGGAGAGATCCAAGCCACCGTTGCGGGCAATTTTCTGCAGCTGGTCCCTCAATTCAGGAATACAGAAGGCGAGGTACATGTCGATAGGCAGCGTGATGCCAGTCATGGCCGGGGGCGGATAGGAGGCGATTTGGAGGGCGCGGTTTTCGGTGTCGAGCCGTCGGAGTGCACTCCTGGTGAGGTGCTGGACGGAGAGGTCCGTGTAGAAGCTGGCGGGCGGGAGTTCCTTGGGGCTCATCCGAGGCTCCGAGGGCCGTGGAACCTTGGCGGCGCGCCCGGCGCTGGGGGAGTGCCGGCGCTTGGTCGGCGATGTGCTGTGCGGCTCCGACATGCTTGAGGGTCTGCCATGGTGGAGAGATGCGAGGGGGAGGGGGAGGGAGAGGGAGAGGGGATTTTTGAGTCTTGCTGAAGAGGGTGCGTGGTGCCTGCCTGAAGTTGAGGCGGAGGGAGGGAAGGGGAGAGGGAGGGAGAATAGAGGTGAGTCTGGCAGTTGAGACGGACGAGGACGGGGGAAAGAGGTGGCAGTGGCAATTGCTGGTCATGGGCCATGGCAACCAAGGTACTAATACCCACTCCGCAGTGTGGAAGGTGCCGGGTAGGTCGCGCTTGGTTGGCTCTGGCCGCCGCGCCCGCCTAACACTTGGCGACGTTTCCAACAGTCCGACAACGGAGCTGGCAATGCTGTAACTAGCTGTCTTCTTCTTGTATGTACCTCTTCATGCATGCAATGCACGAATATACTCTATAAAAGAGTACTAGGTTTAGAAACGAGCGCCCGCCGGGAGGATTTTACCCGCTACGGCCCTTTTGTCCCCAAGGAGCTTCTGGCTTTTCGGATGCGCGGGCCGCCGCAGCGGGTCTAGTCCGACTTCTTCGCAATACCGCCTAATGCTGGCAAACCCAGCAAACCCAGCAAACCCAGCAAACCCACCGGCTCCGCACCGTGGCCACCAGTTATGCCGACCGACGGCATTGCCTCCCTGCCTTATGACCTACCTGGTCGGGCGCTGAGCGGGTAAAACAAATCATGAGCAACCTTCTTCTCGCTGTCCTCTTGCCTCCTCCTTGCCGCCCTGCCTTGCACCGTAGCATCGACCCAACCTCTGGTCCCCCAAGTCTCGGCTGCCATACAAAGAGCAACGACCGGCTTTGTCCAACAAGGGGACCAAGGTATAAAAATGCCATGTGGGCTCCTTGGCCCGTTTTCCATGTCATGCTCTGTCCACTTTGACCGTCTGTGGCCGGCGGCTGCATTAGCTTCTCCGCCAGGCGGGTGAGTATATGGACGACCATCTCGCCCCTAGCATATGCACGTTCATTCCGGAATACACGTCCATATATATATATGGCTTGTCAAATATATATATGTGCGTGTGTATTTGTGTGTGTGTGTGTGCGTTGCTTGACCTCCATCTTCTCTCTCATCACTCCGGCATGACGGATGAGCTTCACCTCGTCCTTGGCAAAAGCATCTACCTATAGGTAGAGAGACCAAAAGAAGTCGTCGTCGAGCCCTTTGGTCGAGAAGAAACAGGGTCCCCTCGCCTGTCAGGCACACACGTTTACACAAGCCTTTCGGAAACACCAGGACAATGGCTCTACGCAGCGACTTTCTCTGGGGCTTTGCCACGGCCTCGTGAGTCCATTTCGTCCCTTCAGCTTCTGGACATGCTAATACTAGCCGCTCGGTTCCCAGATACCAAATCGAGGGCGCCGTCGACAAGGACGGCCGCGGCCCCAGCATATGGGACACCTTCTGCAAAAAAGCCGGCAAGATCGCCGACGGCACCTCGGGCGACGTGGCCTGCGACTCGTACAACCGCACCGCCGACGACGTGGCCCTGCTCAAGTCGCTCGGCGCCACCGCCTACCGCTTCTCCGTCTCGTGGACGCGCGTCGTGCCCCTGGGCGGCCGCCACGACCCGGTCAACCAGCCGGGCCTCGACCACTACGCCCGCCTCGTCGACGCCCTGCTCGACGCCGGCATCACGCCCTTGGTCACCCTCTCGCACTGGGACGTGCCCGAGGAGCTGGACCGGCGCTACGGCGGGCCGCTGGACCGCACCGAGTTCCCCCTCGACTTTGAGCGCTATGCCCGTCTTGTCTTTGCCGCCTTGCCCCGGGTGCGGCACTGGGCGACCTTTAACGAGCCCTGGTGCTCTGCCGTTCTCGGCTACGGCATCGGCCAGTTCGCCCCGGGCCGCTGCTCCGATCGAGTCCGCAGCCCCGAGGGCGGCGACAGCGCCACCGAGCCCTGGCTTGTCGGACACTCTCTGCTCGTCGCCCACGGCCGCGCCGTCCGGGCCTACCGCGATGACTTTGCGCCGCCGACGGGCGGACAGGGCCGCATCGGCATCGTGCTCAACGGCGACGCCGTCTTCCCCTGGGACGCCGCCGACCCGGCCGACGCCGAGGCCTGCCAGCGCAAGCTCGAGTTCGTCATAGCCTGGTTCGCAGACCCCATCTACCACGGCGACTACCCGGCCTCGATGCGCCGCCAGCTGGGCGCCCGCCTGCCCACCTTTACGCCCGACGAGCTGGCCCTGGTGCGCGGCTCGAGCGACTTCTACGGCATGAACCATTACACGACAAACTACATCCGCCACCGCGACGCCGGCCCGGACCCGCTCGACCACACCGGCCACGTCGACGTGCTCTTCCACAACAAAAACGGCGACTGCATCGGCCCGGAGACGCAGTGCCCCTGGCTGCGGCCGTGCGCCCCGGGCTTCCGCGACCTGCTCGTCTGGATCAGCCGCCGCTACCGCCACCCGCCCATCTACGTGACCGAGAACGGCACCAGCATCAAGGGCGAGAGCGACATGCCGCGCGACCAGGCCCTCGCCGACGACTTCCGCGTCCGTTACTACGACTCCTACATCGCCGCCATGGCCGATGCCGTGCGCCTCGACGGCGTCGACGTTCGCGCGTACTTTGCGTGGTCCCTGCTGGACAACTTTGAGTGGGCCGAGGGATACCGCACCCGCTTTGGCGTCTGCTACGTCGACTACGAGGACGGGCAGAAGCGGTATCCGAAGCAGAGCGCTCTGTTTCTCAAGCCCTTGTTTGACAGCCTGATTAAGAAGGAGTAGCAGGTGTGAGTGTGCAGTAAGGGATATGGAGGGAGGCAAGAAGGCGAGGCGGTCTATGCGAGAGGACAGAATCATGCACATCAGCGTGTGGCCTGGGTGTTTCTACTTTGACAGCAACGGAACGGCGAAAAATATGAGTACCGCTCTTGGATGCGAAATGTGCAAAAGTAACATGGCTTCTCATTGACATGCGGGAAGCCGTCAGATCGGAGCCGCCCGGACCGTCCGGCCGGCCGGCTGTAGTTGGGCGGCTCCGGCACATAAGCCGGATCGGTGTGCCCGGACCACGTCTTCTGAAAAGAGCTTTCGAGTCGCACAAGGCGTATCCGCGGGGACGCGTGAGACGGGGTCATGTGAGTGGATATACATCGCACTCTTACAGCTTACACTCTGAGCGTAGGGGATTAATGCATCACAGACATTGGCCCTCCACCAGGCTCGCACCAAACAGCTGTGGTCTTGCATCAGACGCAACACCGCTCTGCAAATCACCTTGATATGCCGCCCCGCCTCGCCTCGGGCAACAGGAGTATATACAGGTGCCGTTTCCCCCACCAGATGCGGCTGGATCATCATTGGCCGCCTGGTGTCCCTGCCGGAGAACCGACCTCTTTTCGTGCGGGACCAAACAGAACAGAGGGTCAGAAGTTTGGTGATAAATACTATAAAATAATTTGGTATCAGAAAGAAGAACACACATCTTCCCTGGAACGGGAAGAGGTGTCTCTTGTGGCAAAGGCCAGATGGGCCATGGCTTGTCGTTGAAAATCTCGTGGACAAGGGCTGCGGCCGATCCGCCCTCCATAGGGCTCTTGCGAGGGGGTAAAAATCGTGGGTTGGAGGGATTGAAATCAGACGTCGGGTTGGGTTCGTGGTTGTAATAGGGGGCAGCAAAACGTAAACAGAGTAAAGGGTATCTCGATCGAAGTCAAACATCCAGCGCGGCCTCTCAGGCCGTCATCACAGCCGCTGGTTCCACCGCCAGCGCCGTCCTCGACTCCCCAGCGCCGACGCTACTGGGTGCCGGAGCAATTTCAGGATCTGGTATTTGTATGTCCAGCTGCGCGCGGCAATGTTAGAGTCAGCAGAATGACGGGCAGTGGGATAATGGGCGTCTAACCATCATGTACGCCGTTTGCCGAAGCGGTATAATCTTGGGCGTGATGACGCCCTCTTCCGACGCCATGGTCTTCTCCATTTCCTGGTTCCACTTCTCGATCCACTTTTCCAAGGCATTGAGTCGCGACTTAATGGCGGTGAGGCCCAAGTCGTCCCACAGCCAGCCCGTGACCAGGCCCAGCAGGCCGTCGACAATGTTGCGGAAGCTGTAGGGGTCGAACGTGGGCACCAACTCTCCGTTGAGTTTCTCGATGATGCGCCGAAACTCCTGCTCCGACACCCCCGCGGGATCCAGAATCTCGGGGTAGAGGTTCGAAAAGGTCGGGGCCAGGTCGCCTTGCAGGAGCCAGTCGCGCCGTATACGGATGATGCGTGTGGTCGCGTACTCGAACGAGTCGACGGGAACATGAGGGTTCAGATGAGGGTAGCAGGGATGCTGGGGGCCCCATTCCTCGCCGCCGTCGGGCTGCACGTCTTCGCCCATGATGGACGAGTTAGACGACGACAGCGCCGAGCCGACGGCGTCGCCGGCCGAAGCGTTGGACGGGCGTGGGTCCAACACGTCTGGTCCCCGCTCCAAGTCCATTGTGTAGGATTGCCTGGGGTCCTCGCTATCGGGAGCCATGGCAGCGGCCCTTGCTTTGCCCTTTGGTTCAGCCGTATCCTCCAAGACCGCGGCTTTGTCTTCAAAGTCCTGCTGGGCGGGGGTTGGGACTCGAGATCGACTCCCGTCGTATGAGGCACGCACAGACCTGGGTAAGCTCACTCGGTGGTCGTGGCTGCCGCTCTGTTCGATTTGAAAGCTGGCGCGCGTGGTGGGATAATGTTTGCTCTGGCGCTGCTCGGAGAGCGTTAGGAGGGGATAGTTGCCGGAAGCGGGGTCCTCGCTCGCGTCTGCTGCCTTGTCGAGCGTGGGGTGCTGGAGTGGAACCGAGGGCGCCGGGGGGCTCGAGGCGCGGCGCTTCCTGGGCCGGGTATCTCGTGGTGTCGAATTGGTCGGGTTCCAGAGTCGAGCAGACAAGAGTCGACGGGGCCGCTGAGGAGCCGACGATGCAGCAGCACGGCTCCGGAAGGGAGACGGGAAGTGGTAGCCCTGCTGGGGCGGCGGCTGTGTCCCGGGAGGGTGTGCTTGCTGGGTGTGTCTCAGAGCCTCGGCGATAGGAGGCTGGGACCGGCGGGTGGCAGCGGCGCTGATGAAGCTGGGATAGCTGGGCTGTTGCGAGAGGCGCGGGAGGCGGACGTTGGGCGGAGCATCGACGGCCGGCGGCAGGTGGGCGGCGGTGGCGAGCGAGGGCTCGGGCGAGAGCGGTGGGAGCGCGTGGGGAGCCGTGGGAAAGACGGGGTCGGCACGGCCGCCTAGACGACCGCGCTCCGACTCGGGGGGTGAGGCGGGACGGGAGGAAGCAACCGAGAGCTGGGGCGAGGGCGACGGGGAGGATGTGCGGCTGGCCGGGGGCGACGGGGCAGTCGACTGCGGTGGCGACGATGAGTGGTGCCGTGTCGTCGATGGCGGTGGTTGTGCCAGGGATGACGACGGCAGTGGAGGTGGTGGTGATGATGATGATGGCAAAGGGGGCGGCGATGGCTTCAATTTTTCGGCGTGGGCGGCCAAGGGCGAGCGGCGCTGGTGCTGCTGCTGGGCTCCAGGGGCGGTTGGCCTGCACGGGCCCGCCGGGGGCCCTGATAGGGGAGCGGGCTGGAAGGGGTTAGCGGCAGGGGCGGTACCTCGTGCCTCTCCAGCAGTAGGCCGGCTGTGCCCCAGCATCGTCTGTTGCATTGCGCACGACGACGACTTTCGGTCATAGTAGGTGTGCTCGTCTTTTTTCTTGTCTCTCACTGTCTTTCGCGTCCCTTTTTTCCCGTCCCTTTTTTTCTTGTGCTTTCTTTTGCCAACAGTCGGAGCAGCAGAAAAGGAGGAAGAGGGGGGGGATGGATGCAATCGCGGTCCGGACACGCAAAGCAAACGAGTTGGAGGGAGGATGGAGACGGGAATGAGAAAAAAGGAGAGAGGAATTGCACGGCTACCGGCTGAAGCGAAAAAGGCGAAAAAGGAGGCAGAGAGCATCAAGCGTTGGCCGTCGGGCCAGTCTTTATTATGTATCCATCCATCCACGGTTACGGCCCAAAACAACCCAGGATTGCGTCGCTCAGACTTATTATTCTGGAGACGCGCTCGTTGGGCGTCGCGCACCGCCAATGCCTTACATGCCTTACACGTCAAACTCGCCTGCAGAAGCCTGCCTGCTAGTGTCGGCAACAGGTGGTGGTGAAATACGGCCTCGTCATGCGGCCGTGTCTGATTTGGCCTTCCTTGCCCATCTACGGAGTTCTACGGAGTATGCCCATGACGGATGACCCATGGTGACGAGGGACAGGATGCAACCCCAAGTCCCGAGCGACAAGATGAGCGCTCGGGCCGGGCGTTGGCGGGATGCCACCTGATGTGACGGCCGGGGCGGAGCTTGGGACACGGTTGGATCCGGACGCCGGCAGACGATGGCGTCAACCGCTTGACTGACGACGACCAAAGGCTCTCGCGGGGTCTTGCTCAAGAGATGCTCCATTGCCACTGCGCGTATGGGGAAACACGGGGAATATCGCGCCCCTTGCTTGCATGCCATGCATGGGTGTAATGAACCGACCGCCCTTGTTGCAGTCAATCATCTTTCCTTGCCTGCTGCGTCTGTGCCCTTGCATGAACCCAGATTGTTTAATGGGTCCGCTGTCGTGCCCCTTGAACCGTGTGAATGCAATTTTGCATGTACAGTACATATTACATGGTCACCCAAGTTTGACAGGCCGATCATCTATTTCGCATGGGATGGTAATATCATGGGTATATCATATGACCATATGACCTTTGCGCTACAGTCGCTGTCCCCCCGTCCCCCTCCGAGGTGAACCTCTTATGATCCAAAACCCGTAATGGATACACCGCATATCCGTACATACCTAACAGATATGCAGGGACATGGCTTCCCCGGCCCGTGTCCGGTATTGCTTTTCGTGTTCCGGCCCGGCGGCCCGGGTTTGATTGACTGTTCGAGCGAGCCTTTGTCCATTGCTTGGGGGTTCAAATTATTCCCCGTCTCCCGGCGTCACATGTAAATATCGGGTTTCGGCACATCTACCTGTAAAGCATCAACACCTGGAGCTAAACGGCATGACCTTCTCGAATGATGAAACACTGTACCCTACCCGGTTCCAGGGCAGTAGATTCTGTTCTTCGGGTTCTCCTTCAGAACGCATGGCTTGCGGCTCTTTTCTGGCCCGGTGGAGCGGCGCGCTGCATGCGCCGTGCATGATTGTGCATATAGCCAGCTCAGACCTACCTCGGCCGAACCCGTCCAACGGCAGCCGACGTATGCTCTCTTGATAGGCTCTTGGTAGGTTTGAGGGAATCCGGCGTGGCCTGGGGAGATGCTGCATGCGAGATGGAAGACGATGTCGAGGCTCGGTCGTGGACTCGATGCTTGTGGCACCCTCTCGAGGTTTCATCCACACTGCCTACGGCGTCCCGTGGCCATTCAGCGCGGGCAATGATTTGTAGTCGTCACCTCCAGTCGCTGGACTGATATCAACTAATTAGAATCTATCCCAATGGATTCTTGCCTCTGTAGTGGCAACCTCGCTTCATGTCCTGCTTTGCCTTGTGCACAAACATCCGTGGCTGTTACCGAGTATTCGACGTGGAGACTCCAGCACGGCGTGAACCAGAAGCCCAACCACGTGTAATGCATGACAATTTGATCTCGAGGTGAGGGATGTCATAAGCCCAATAACTCAGGTGGCGAATCAATGAATTGACTGGATTTGTCACGACAAAGTCCACCAAGGCCAGTTGCACGCCATTGTCTGCGTGCCCAGCAGCCAGCCAGCTACCCTGGAGTACCAAATGACGCCATTTTTTTCAGCTGTTGACCGTGAGCTGACCAGTTCAGTTTAACGCCCACAAATCGCAACGAAGGGAGATGGCAAACTACCTCTATCGGCCTCTGTCGGTGTTGATAAAGCCCGCGTTGGGGAAGGGGCGGTCTTAGTTATCTCAGCAGCATCGTCTCGTCTACTGCAGCCGCTTCGCAGGACGGGCGCCTTGGGTACTGCCGAGGCAATCGATTGATCCGCAGGGCATATCCGCGGGCGCGCGAGCTGGGAACCGGGCATGAGAGCAGAGTGAATTACAAATAATCCTCTCGAAGCCAAGGAATGTACCCCAGATTCCTCCAAAAGTTGGGCTTTAATTAGGCCAAAGTACATACATACAGCGAGTGTCCAGCGGGAGGCCCACCAATTTCCATCCGGGGCAAGCTGGGAGGCGCGCTGAGATGCGCTAGAATTGGTGCCCTTGAAAAGTTGGCCGGGCCATTTCAGCCCTTTGCCTCTGGGGCACCTCCAGTAGGCGCGAGGGCTGAGGCTGCCTCTTTGCCACTTCATTTTACAATTACATCATGAGTGAATGCTGCAATCTGCCGACGACCAACCGGTTCGCCTAACCTAAGCAAAGGCGAGGTGGACCTCCACTCTACTCTTTACCATCCATCCTCGACCGCCTCACCCCAGACCCGGTCCTCTTCATCGTCGTCGCCGCCGCCGCCGCCGCCGCCGTCGATGCCCATGCGTACACCTCTCCTCCATCCAACGCGCTGCTGCATCATGGCCATCGCGCCCGAGGACCCCGTCGCCCCCCCGTCTCGGCCGTCGGCGTCCTCAGGCTTCAGCGCCTCCCCCGGACACGCCCTCCGCCGCGCAAAGACCATCGACGAGACGCAGCCGCGGCGGTCGAGATCCCTTGCCAGCCCCCTCGAGGGCCCCTCGGACCTTCCGCCGCGGAGGGGCTCCAGCTTGTCCGACTACAGCAATGAGGCCCGCGACATCCTCAACCCAAAGGCCCGCCCCGGCTCCGAGGCGGCCCTGCCCGAGACGTCGTCCCTCGCCGTCGTCTCGCTGGCCTTTGCCCTGCTCCCCGCCATCTCGGGTGCTCTGTTCAAGAATGGCCACGCCGTCGTGACAGACATTATGCTGCTGGGCCTGGCCGGAGTCTTTCTTCACTGGTCGGTGACGCAGCCATGGTACGGCCCCGAACCTGCACATGAAGCTCGAGCGAGGCTGACAATCGCTCTGATAGGGTCTGGTATCATGCCGCTCAACAGGTGCGCATCCAGCGCGAGGAGGACCCCGACCTGGCTGTTGAAGAAGATGGCGACCCCGACGCCGCGGCCCCCGACCATCGCCCTGCCACTACACTCGACGACGTTCCCGAGCAAGGCGATTTGCCCAAGCCAAAGGCGCAAGAGGAGGATCCAAAGATGGCGCGCAGACGGGCAGCCCTTCGAGAGCTATACGTGCACGAGGTGCTGGCGCTCGTTGCTTGTCTCGTGCTGCCGCTCGCCAGCGCATACTTGCTCCACGCCATCAGGGCTCAGCTGAGCCGCCCATCGGGAGGGCTCGTGTCAGACTATAACCTGACGATATTTCTGCTCGTGTCGGAGCTGCGAGTCTTTTCCCACATGCTCAAGCTGGTCCAGTCACGAACGCTGCATCTGCAGAGGGTCGCGCACGAAAACGAGCTCACCTCGCCGTCGGACACGGCAGCGCGCATCGACGACGTCCTTGAGAGACTCGAGACACTCGAATGCCGCGGCCGGACGGCGCAGAATGGCGGCTCGGACTCAGGGAGGGCCAAGGAGGAGGCGGCGCTGACGAGGGATGTGCGCAACGCGATCCAGCCCGAGCTCGATGCCCTGAATCGGGCCGTGAGGCGATACGAGAAGAAGGCGACGCTGCTTCAGTTGCAGACAGAATCACGTTTCACGGGCCTCGACGCACGGCTGGGCGACGCGATTGCGCTGGCGGCGGTGGCGGCCAAGAACAGCGCCGGCCGGCCGAACATTGTGAGGCGTGCGGCCGAGGCGGCCGCCGGCATTATCCTGTTTCCCCTGAACGCACTGTTGCGGCTGCTGCTGCTGCCCCTGACATATCTGGTCGCTTTGATGCACCGCAACGAGCATAGGAGTCAGCATCCCGCCAAGACGGGGCGGAGCAGCCGCGCCGGGAAAGCGGCGGTACAGCCTCGCTACGGGAGTGAGCGGGTCGCGACTCGAGTAACGAGGCGGTGACACATGATACCCCTCATAATCTTACGACGATGGCTTGGGGACCCTTTACGATAACGACATGAGCCAGGATATGAGTTGATGGGAGCTGGCGAGGAGGGCATTCTCTACGGTTGACGCATTTCCCAATTACAGGTTCCGGGACAGGCAGTCCCACCCCGTGTCATGGCCGGACTTGGCCCTTGACGCTTCTCATTTCTATGTGTCCCCGTTTCCGCCTCGTGCGATGGGCTGGCCAGACTGTTGGGGTTGGCAGCTCAAAGATTGGACCGGCTCTCCGAAGGATTCCGAGGCAACGTACGAGGCAGCACGAGTATCTCAGCCATGAGAAAAGGAGTCATGTTAGTACAGCGCCATTAGGTAGAAAACTGGCGCGACCCGGAGTCGCACGCCGACTTACACGAAGAGGCCACGACGTTGCACAAGGGGCCGAGCGCGGCCAGCATCTGAGCTTTCACATGACAGTGAGACAGGTGCTTCTTGCATGATGCTCGGTAATGACGCTGGTGCTGCGAGAAATTTTCACTTCTGTCTTGGGTCTCGATGGGGAAAAGGACCCTTTGTCACGAGTGAAAGGAGATTGCGAGGACGGCTTGTGGCATGATGAAGCTTCCGAGTCAGTGCGGCTCCGCGATAGCTACCTATGCCACCACCATCTGTGGGTCCCGTCCGACCCTGGAAAGAAGGAAAGAATCAAAGAAGGGAAGAAAGAAGGAGACGAAGGGAGAAAAAAAGAAAGGGCGAGGGAACCACGGGCAATGACACGCATGATGTTTATGCGAACGGGCGGCTTGGGAGTGGAGGGAGATGGTGAAAAAGCGAAAGGACTGAGTGAGACTGACAGTCGGAAGCCGGACCGGGCCAACAGGCGAGAAAACGGGACCTCTGGCGTACGGGGGAGATACCTGCATGGCATGGCCGGACAAGGACAAGTACCTCGAGAGGTCTCCCGCTGTACTGCACGCCTTTGCTGGCCCTGCATTGCATCTGCCAACGCAGGCCGCCGTGGCCGAGACGAGGCTTCCCCCTACAAGGCACCCCCTACAAGGTCCCCCTACAAGGTCCCCCTACAAGGCCCCGTCGGGTAAGTGGACGAGACAGGGCGGATCGGCTCCGGTGTGGGCGGCGCAGCGGGCTTGGAAGGCATCGAAGAAGACGTCGAAAGGGCGTACAACAGGAGGTCACGAGAAGCAGCCTCCTGTACGTTTTACACCGGGGACTCGAAACGTTGGGTCCGAGGAGGGGAAAGGAGGGGGGGGGTGGTCGACGGAGTTGATGCTGCGATTTGTGTGTGATGATCCTGCTCTGCGACACGGTGACATAATAATAGGGCCGCCGGGCAATTGTTTTCTAGCTCGGCTCGTGTGACCGACTCCCGGAGAGAGAGGGAACGAACCATGAAACGCGGCCTTTTATTTTCGGTATTTCCTTTGAGGAAACTCCACATGGGCCCAGGCCCTGTTCGATCCGGGCTTCCTTACTCCCGCTTCGTATCGGTGCGACGATGCGCGACCAAGGAACGATGGAGACTGAATATAGCATGTCGAGAGGAAAGGACAGGCTGGTGGTGGTCATGGTCATGGTTGGTGGTGCGCTCTCCCCAAAACCGCAACCTACACGACAAATGACAGGGCCGCAGCCAAGCAAATAGGGCAAAGGAAAAAAAGGGGGAAAGAAAGCACAAGAGAAACAGGGACAGGGGACATGGCCGCGAAAACGGCGCAAACTCGCGACCCTGTTGGATTGGGGAACTCGGCTGGGCTAGTCGAGGAGGCTAGAGCTGACGGGCAGAACCGGGGGGGTGGGGTTCGCGACGACAACGCACGGGGTCTGGTTGGAGGGCGAGGAGAGTTGTACTTTTTTTCTTTTTCTGTGTGTTAATCTCGTGGCAAACAAGTAAATCAACGAGTTGCGCTGTCAATAGACGCGCGTTGTCGCGCGACGGAGGAGGAGATGGGTGCGTCATTGGTAGGCATCTCGTTTTGACAATGGCTCCCTCAGCTCGCTTCAGCTCAGCTCCCTTCCAAGCTCCATGCCTAACTTAAAAAGGAGCCAACAGGGACCTGGGCGCACAACGCAGGGCCAGCCCGTCCATCAATCAATCGCAATCGGCATCCATCGCGGCCTGTGGCGCGGGTCCCTCCGCCCCCAATGCCGCATCCTCGTCATTGGCGCTGCCGGGAGCCCCGAGGATGAATGTCGGCGGGCTGAGGAGAGGAGGAGCCGAGGCGCAATGTCTAGACGCAGGAAAACAAGTCGATGCTGCTGATGGCTGGCTGGCTGGCTGGCTCGGAGGAGGGGGTGGGAGGCGGAGGCGGCACGCGAGCCGCGAGCACAGCGGCACACGGGATGCAACGCAACGCAACGCAACGCAATACGACCCGAGGCAAGCGACGCTTATCTCTCCTACATGGCTGTTGGGTTGATTCCGTCATCTTTGTGTCGCCCTTGCTTGCTTTCTTCTTTACAGTAGATGCCCCTCCCCTCACCGAGACGGCGGCCGGCGGTGTGTGGAGGCGGGCCAAAGGACCCAGTTTTTACCGGGGCTGCTGCTGCGCCGGACCGGCCGGACCTACAGCGCTAGGCCCGGCCGGAGTGGCCAGCAGAGCGAGGTGTTGAGGTGGCCGGGGTATTAAGCAAAAAAAAGGTGAAGCGACTGGACCTCCGTCGCCTGTTGTTTCATGACTGGTTCAACAAGCCACCCGAAAACGGCGGGCGAGTCCTCCCCCCCTCCCTCGCTGCGGCCAGCTCAAGAGGCTGTGCGATGCGGATACGAGTAGAGAAGCAGGACAGCCGTCGGAGCCAGACACACATGCGTGACTCGCGTCCCCTTTCTTCCACGGGCCTGTCATTTCGCTGCCCAGTCTGCACCTGTGGGAAGGAGCCTGTGCTTCCGCGTCGAGGGCGCGCTCGGTTCCATGCTGAACGCGCATGTACGGATGAGATGCCTGTAAAAGCATTGTCTTCCGGGCATGCACGGATGCATCTGCCATGGGTGTCGCCTGTTGCTGCTTGACGAGCACGTGCAGAAGACACGGTTGCGCCCTGGTGGGCTGGTTGGTTGGTTGGTTCGTTCGTTGCTGTACGATGGGAATAATGACCGAGATGCCAATCATCCAATGTGCGTGCATGCGCTATCCACGTCGATGGCGCAGGCAGGGCTTGAGACAGGCATTTGCATCTCTGTGTTACGCGTCGTCCGAAGGAGCTATATGGCGCCGATTATCAATGGAGAGACAAGACACACAAACGTGCTCGTGCAGAGGGGGCTTTCTCCCAACACAGACAGAGGTAGCTACAGTACATACATACGTCAATGTCGGACTGTCTGTTCCACTGCCTACTTACTCCGTGGCAGCAGCAAACACCGGCTGTATGTAAGTGGGACAAGAGGGCTCCCAGCTTCCCGGTCGTGCATTCAGCTCCGACGGGGTGTTTTTGACATCGGCCTGCTGCACGCCAGAAGATGCCGTTGTCCTTTCCAGCTAGGGCGCACGTGTGGGCGCGGCTGCTGCCGACGGTCGACGTTGGTCGTCGACGGTCGTGCCTCGCAATGGTCATTTCACCTGCATTGAATATCAAAGATGGGAGCAGAAGGCATGAAGGGAGGGATGACTTATTACCTGTGGGGGAGGGGAGATCTTGAGTGGGCCCATCGGGCTTTGTTGGCCCGCAGCCTGCAGTGGAGCTGTGACCGACGGCTTTTATTACCAGTATGAGGTGAGAGGGGGCTGGCTGGTGAAGAAAAAAAGTGCGCTCGGAGGTGCCTGTGCTGGCTGTCACAGGGATAAAAGACGCCGAGGACCGGCAACTTGGAGCCATTGGGACGCTTGCTGCCGGTAATTTCATCTGAGGGTGTGCGGTGTGCGTGTGGTGTGGGCGGAGGATGTGGGCGGATGGATGGGTGATGGGGTGGGTGACGGATGGGTGGGTGATTGATGGGGTGGCAATGGTGAGACAGGCTGCGGAGAGAAAAACGAAGCAGATGGGTGCTCATCTCCCCCTCTTCCAGAGGCCATGACTCGCCGGCGCTCTCTTGCCTCGTACGGGCAGCAAGACAGGCGACGGGCAAATGGGAGACGGCGCCGATGGTCCCCACGATCCGCCCCCATGGCGAGGCGGCGCGCCCGAGAGACCAGGCCAGCCCGAGGGCACTGGGAAAGGCATGTCCATCGGACGAAAGCGACAAGGTAACGAGTTGGAGTTGGTGGTTTGTGGACAGCAGCGCGGCTTGGGCCGGTGGGGCCAGCGGGCGGGCGGGCGGTTCGTGTGGGTCGAGGTACCCGCTGCTTCGGTAGCTTTGTGCCTGGATGTGGCGCCCGCCCTCCATCTATCTGCTGCTGCTCCCGGGCCTTTATTCTCATTCTCTGTGCCTCTCTTTTGCTGCCCAGCCCTATGTGCTTTATGGTTTTATCCCTAGACTACCAGCTTTGAGCAGTAAATGGTCCCAACGGCCACAAGTCCGGCAAGCAGCCACGCATCCCATGCCCTTGGTTTTACTTGGCTTCACCGCAACGCCTGGCGAGGTGCAGATGGCGATTGCCGATGGATGCATGGCCCGTCTCCGGTTCAGCCCTTCGGCCACCACCACCATTACCACCACCACCACCACTACCACCACCACCACTACCACCACCACCACCTCCACCACCGCCGCGGCGGGTGTGTCCATCCAATGCACCAGCCCCATTATCATCGCCATTGTCGCAAGGTACATACTGACTCTGCCCACCTATATCCGTAGTATAGTAATTTTTCTGTGCCGTCCGTCCCACGCTTGATTGCATCGGGACAGATGCTACCGGCACTCCCTAGCTCCGTCAAGGTACCTCTGGCGGGCAAAACGCGTGCAACGACAACCTGTGCGCTGTTTGGGCTAAAAGGTACAGTAGTAAGTGTCACCTTGCATCGGCCCAAGCCGCGGCTCGCCTCCCGTCCACTCATGAGCTAGACGAGAACAAAGGGCCTTGACATTGCCCTAGCATGTGCCAGTTTCACCGTCTCACGCATATTGGTCAGCCAGTAGAACAGCACTCCGCAACTTTAATCCTACCTTTGACGAGAGAGTCAGTCAGTCGCATTGCGCCGGGTGCCTTTCCCGACAAGTCGCGCATGGTCTGGTGTTTGATTCCATTGACTCGGCTGCCGCAAAGCAGTGCTACCTCGCGCTGACATACAGACATACAGACATACAGACATACAGACATACAGGCATACATACAGACATATACCTACAGACACACACACACACACACACACACACACACACACATGCATGCATGCATATACCACGGCTTGTGCTAGCCTGTCTGTCTGTACTGTACATACTGCCCTGCTGCCGTCTGGTAGGCATCAAGGCAGATGCTGCGATGGACACGATGCCATTGGAATACGATATCCCCGGCACCTACTCCCTACAAGCATCCGTCATCGTCATCATCATCGCCGTCATTCATCATCGCCGTCATTCATCATCGCCGTCATCATCACAAACGTCGTCATCGTCATCGTCGCCCGTCGCCCGTCGCCCTCGTCCCCTGAGCAGCCCGTCGTTGACTCGCCCACACGGTCCCAAGACACCCCCTTGAACGCCGCTTTGCTCGTCTTCACCCGTCAATCAAACATTGCAATGCTCGTCATCCAATCCACATGGCCCTGCTCCACCCCCCCCAGCCACCCCGGTCGGGAAATTGGCCCGTCTAGCTCTCGTGGAAGCCGTTCTTTTTTGGTCCGTGTGCTGTGCTGTCTTGTAAAGTTGTACTCCGTAACTCCCTGGTGGTTCCTGGTGTGTGTGGCCCTGCTGCAACTCCAACTCCAACCGCATTCTCCGCACGGCTCCCCCCCCTCCCCCCCCAGTTGCTTCGTCGGCCCTGACGGTTATCACGGATACTGGCCTTGCCCGCCACCGCACCTCACATCAGGTATCTGCTGGACCTGCCCCCCGTACTGGTACCCGCTGCGTGCTTCCCTTGGATCGCATCGAGTCGTCTAGCTCACCTCTAGCTCATCCAGGAACAGACGACATCTCTCAAACCATCCGAGCAACTCCCTCGGTGGATAGCAAGTAGGCTGATGGATGGGGCCAGGCGTCTACTGCTCCGTAGCCGTCGTTGCCTCGACACCGGCGCCGTCCCGGATCCGTCACAACCTCGGGCATATCCCACCCATGTCTGGACAAGGTAGATACATGGACCACGATGCTGGCCATGTACAGTGTACAGGCCCCCCGGCCTTGCCCGCGGAGAGCTTCTCGCTCTGATTTGGCAGACAATCGAGCTTCACACACCGCAGGAGGCCGACGACGAGCGCAAAGGAAGCTGCATTCACCTCCCCTCCTTCCGCTCGTCACTCTGCATGTGCTTTCCTGCCTTGGCTTCCGCCTGCCCTACTGTACTGCTCCTGCCGTGGCCTATTTGACAACCGGCCGACGTTACTTCTTCTGCTCCCCACCCCCCTTCTTGCCTAGCTCTTTCCCTGCCAGACCTCGCTCTCCTCCGTATCCGTTATACGACTTGCTTTTCCCAACCGCTCTCTCCTGTTGTTGTTTTCTTCTTGTTATTCCCATCTCCGAAGCGCGGCTGCTGCTATTATTACTGCCACCGCCACTACTACTGCCGCCGCCGCCGCTGCTGCTGCTACTGCTACTGCTACTGCTACCGCTACTGCTGCTGCTGCCCGGCTGCAACTACAGTCACCACCACCACCATTGCCCACCAACCACCACCAACCATCACCAACCATCACCATTCAAACGACTCCCTCCCTGCCTCTCTCAACCAATTTCGTCTAGTTGGCCCGTCACAAAGGCCCTCGCTTCTCTCCACTTTCCTGGACGAAGCTGCAGCCGCCCTCAGCCAATGGTATATGCTCCAACATACACCTCGGGCAGAGCACCCTGTCTCACGTCGCGCAGCGCACCTCGACTGTAGGCGCCGTCGCTCTACTGTAATTACCTTGCTGCTCTTGTTGCTTCTTCCGCCGGCTTCGCGACTGGCCTTGTCCCCACCCTCTCCCTTTGCTCGCCTCGGCTTGCTGCTTCACGACCATGCTTCGCGGCTCTAGGCCAGCCGTCGTGAAGCTCCTCCGACACTGAAACCTCTTCTTTCCTCAAGAAGCCGGCTCGACGACCTTCCATCGACTCCGCAAACCACTGCCATCATGTTTCCCAGGGCACCACGCCTTTGGGCTCTTCTCTGGCTGGCCTTGGCTTTGCACCTCGCCGTCGCCCACAGCTTTCAACAGCTCGACACGAGACAGGAAGGCAGCGGCTCCAGGATAAGGCCGGTTCCCAAGTTCTCTCCTGAGCCCAACGACGATGGTCTGCAAAGTGGCGATGGCGACTTTGCCGGCATAGCGCCATCCTCAACCACGGATGCTCCCAGAAGAACCGCCTCCGCCGCAAGCCAGAGGCCGTCCGCCACGGACGCTGCGTCAGACTCGTCTTCCTCGGCCCCTTCCTCGACCTCTTTCTCACCCGCCGCCTCTGCCGCCGCCACCGGTGAACCTGGCAGCCCCAGGTTCCTTAATGGTATGCTCTTGCGTGTCGAGACCCGTGCTCCGAGTGCTGACTCGGCTTGCTGCAGCAACGATTCCCGATGGCCAGCTCCCGCTCACCCCCGACATCACGCCGGGATGGGGTGTCTCTGGCGTCGTCATGCTCCTCACGGGGCTCACTTACACCCTTGTCGGCATCAAGAACCGATGGATCCATACCTTCTTTTCCACGGCCTACATCACGGCCCTCGGCGTCGCCGTCCTGATAGTCTATGTCATGACCGTTCCCGTCAGCAATGCCGTCCAGGGCGGATACGTCGTGGCCGTCGTCCTGTCGGGCTGTGCCGTCGGCGCCGCCTCCATGTTCTTCAAGGAGCTGACCGAGGGTCTGGGATGCGCCCTCGGCGGCTTCTGCGTCAGTATGTGGCTGCTGTGCCTCGTGCCCGGGGGTCTGCTCCGCCCCGTCCCGGCAAAGGCCATCTTCATCTCCGCCTTTACCCTGGTGAGCTTCGCCTTTTACTTTAGCCGTTGGACCCGCGACTGGGCTCTCATCCTCGCCATTGCCTTCTCGGGTGCCACAATCACCGTCCTGGGCCTTGACTGCTTCACCCGCGCCGGCCTCAAGGAGTTTTGGGCCTACATCTGGAACGTCAATGCCAATCTGTTCCCGCTCGGAGCCGACACCTATCCCGTCACCAAGGGCATCCGGGTCGAAGCGGCGGCCATAGTCATCATCTTCCTCGTGGGCATCATTTCCCAGATCAAGCTGTGGAGAATTGTCCGCGAGAAGCGCGAGAAGAGAGCGGTGGAGCGCGCCGAGGGCCAACGGAACCTGGAGCTCGAAGAAGAGAATGTCGGCCGCCAGATCGAGGAAGCCAACGCCCGCGAACGTCGGCAGTGGGAGCGCGTCTATGGCCACGGGCTCTCCGGCAGCGGCACCGATTCTCGCATGTCAGATCTCGGCGACACCGGGAGCGAGAAGAAGTTGAGGGACAGCCACACGACGTCATACAGGTTGCGCTCCTCGGTCGAGGTCATGGACATGGCCGCAATGTCGGAATCTGACCAATCACGCAGCGGGCACAATCCCCTCATGGTCGCCGAAGACACGCGAGACGGCAAGGTGACTGTGCGAGTGGGAGTCGATGACGTCCCGGACACCCCCACAGACGTCGGCGAAGAGCTCGACGAAAAGGTCAAGGCCATGGTCGAGAGACAGATCGCGTCGCCGTCAAGCAAGCGCCTTTCCCAGAGGACCACCACGAGCAAGCGCGTCTCCCAGGCGCAGACTGCCACGGAAGCACCCGAGGTCGTCCCCCTCCCCTTCAGCGTCCCGGCCCATGAAGAGTCGAGGCTCGAGGACGATCGGTCCTCGATTGCGACCTTTGCCGCCGACGATGCCGAGCAATCTCCCGTGCACCCTCAGCGGCGCTCCTTGGCTAAGAAGCTCTCTCGCGGCTCTCTCTCGCTGCTCAGAAGCATCTCTCAAATGTCCGGCCGTGAGGACCCGGCCCGCGACAGCGGCGAGAGCCTGGAAGAGCTGGTTGTCCCTAAGACGCACAGACAACTGGACGACAATGGATCATTGGCGGCAACCATCGATGGGGAAAGCGTCAGTGGCGACGACGGGCGCTCTGTCCTGAGCATGGACGCGCGCAAGAGCATTGAGATCAACGCGCAGCTCTGTGACGGGGAAAAGAAGGTCACTGCCGAGACTCCAGAGCCACGCCCGCTCTCACCCGCCGCTGCCCTCGGGAACAAGACGCCAGCAGACTCCGACGATAGATTGCCGGCCGCATCGTCAGGCGCTGCCGAGCAGCCGAGTGCAGAGGCGGCGGAAGACTCGGCTGTAGCCGTGCCTCTGGACAAGGCCAAGTCGACGACGTCCAACTCGTCGACGCCAGTGAGCCTGACGAAGGACCGCCTGCCCCACTCCCTGTCTCGGGTGGCCATGTCTTACCGCACCAACGAATGGGCCAAGCACCTCAGCTACGCCGATCCCCCTGATCTTGACGAGCTGCGTGTTGCTGCACCCGCTCGACCTGTCAAGGCCGACAAAGAAAGGTCTGTCCCCGTCAACGTGACGGAGCTTCAGAAGACAGCCGTGGAAGGGACGCCGGAGCCGGTCATCATTCGATCCGATTCAAGGGCGTCGAATTTGTCGTATGTGCCGAGCGTCTCGCGACGCACCTCGAAGCGCGAACGCCCATCCAGCATCGTCGCGCAGGAGAGGGACTCACCAGCTCGAAACCAAGGCTCCACCGCGGCGGCACCGGGCTCGACAGGCCTCGTGCGCTCGACGTCGTCTTCGACACAGATACGGAGGTCGTCCTCGGGGTTGAGGCCGTCCGTGGCGGATCGCCCAATGGCCGCGGCCGCCGTGGCGGAGCCCATTCCCGAAGAGAGGATCGTTGCCAGGCACACATCCAACAGCCCCTCGCTCTCGGGCAACGAAGTGTCTCACCGCTCTACGCCCTCGGCGGTCCCCGGCGTCGTGTCGTACAACAGCCCTCAAACCCTCATCGGGCAGCGTGATATGTTCCTCCGAAGCAAGTCGCAGGCCAATCTCGTTGGCGGCGAGTCCAGCTTTGCGCCCGCGAGCGATGCCGCCTCCGTCCACAGCTCTTCCATGTACGCAGCCGACCCTGACGATATTCCGCTCAGCCAGCGGAAGCATATCATGCGCCAGAGCAGCATGATGTCCCTGCCCCAGCCCAATCCATCACAAGCGCACCTGCCGGGCACTGGCTTTGAGAGCAGCGACAACCTCCCCTTCAACTCGCACCAGCCGAGAAGGGTATCCACGCTGCCGACACAAAATGTGCGCGACGCTCAGCTGGCCACCTTCCGCCAGTCTGTGCAGCAAGACCTCCGCTCGGGAACGCCCGTCATGGCTTCGTCGGGCCGCGAGACTCCCTTTGCTCCGGCGTCGCTGCTGGCCAACCGAGAGGCCGAGGTCCAGCGCAACATCGAGATGCAACGAAACGTGCTCATGGGCCAAAAGGAAGCCGAGGCCCAGCGCAAGGAGTCACAGCGGCGAGACAAGGAGTTTGCCGACAGGGCGTTCGACGAGCGCATGCGCGCCGGCGACCTGCTCGAGGCCCACCGCGACGCGATGCGCAAGATGCAGAAGAGCGCCCGTGAACGGTGAGGAAAATGTTGAAACATTCTCGTCTACTTCACAAATCTTTTCTTCAACCAAGGAAACAAGATACCGGCGTCGTGGCTTGCTCCACACACGGACTATATATGACGTGCCGAGCGTACAAATGTATGCACTCACGAGTCAAGACGACACGCACATTACTTCTCTTCTTTCCATCCCTCCACATATTTTGGATATTGTTGATTGCTTGGTCAGTTGCGCGACGACGCAAGACGCTGTTGAACCTTGATACCACTTTCTTTTGGCGCTGGGGCAGTCGAGTCGTGCCTTGCTCTGGGCTCACGAGTGAGCGTTGTCGAAATGGTAATGAAGCTTCCCAGGGCGGAGGCCAAGGAAGGAGAAGGAAAGTTGCCCATCCATCTTGGAGGACTCGAGGAGACTCTGGTACATACGTGTACATGGGTGACTATATTTGGACACCGCATGGTTGGAGATTCGCTGTTTTGTACGATAGCGATTTGGGTTGAATGTTTAACCACCCACTGGTAGTTAATCTTGGTCTACGCACAACACTATTTTGTCAAAAGCACACGGCCGAGAGTTGGCGATGCCCTTGATGCGTCGAAGACATAATATCGCCTTATGCGGACTTTTGAAAATTCTCAAGTAACCATAGAGTATGCTAAGTTCAACGTGCTGAAGAAAGCAAGGGGAGTTCCGTTTCTCCCTCGCTCTGCATTTTTCTTTTCCGATTCCCTTGCAAAGTATAGTTCGCCTGACGCCGGGCCAGGTGTGAGCATGAGATGCCATGCGCCCTTGTACTTGGCGAAAAGCAAAGAAAACAGAAAAGACAGGCGCCTCACTGGGCCTCCTCTGCCATATGAGTGTTGTATGCCCACACGCTCACCATTACTCGGAGTTCGGTGGCTCTCACAAGACTCGCGTGACGGGCACGACCGTTCAGGTACGGATGGGGCTGCTAGCTCCTGCCGCTCATCTGGGGCATATCCCTGTTATTGCCGACGGGCGACGTGTTGAACAGACGGGCCTCGTCGTCTGGCCAGAGAGAACCGGCAACTTGAGCCATGCTGCCGGCGGGGTCGTTCCATTGCGGCAGGGAGGAGGCGGGTCGAAGAGGCCCGAGGGGCACGTTTGGCTCTGACATGGGCTGAGTGCTGGCTCGGCGGGCCAAGAAGGGAAACCTGAGCGGAATGGGAAAGTTGAGACGGGTCCGGAAGGGGAACGGGTTGCGGTGACGGCCAAGATCCGCGGCTGAGGTCTTGTATGTCCGGTCCTCGGCCGAGCATGAGGGTGCTGGCGGTTGGTCGTGGGTCTGCCCGCGCTCCGGGTCGGCCAATGTGGCGAAGTCAATGGCTTGAACGTGAGGGTTTTGAGATCCGGTGGTCAAAGTGTGCTCGATCCCGTTGAGATGGCGGGCGGAGCCGGAGGACTCGGTTTTCCCCATTGATGACGGAGAGCTGCAAAGACGTGTTAGCCGACTGGAGGTCACGAAAGCCCCGGGCATAGTACTCACTCGGAAAAGGTAGCCGTCTGACTCGAACCGAGCGAGCCGCCGGGTCGAGGCGTCCTGGAGGGATCGTACTCATTCCTGAGGCGAGGGAACAAGCGGTCCAAGCCGAGGAAGAGGGCAGCAATGCGGTACTCGTTGACAGCATCCTTCGTGGTGCCGAAGAAGAGAAAGACGGGAATTGCGGTGAGGACGCTGATGTAGCAGTTATTCATGGACGCCCAGTTGATCTCGGTCGAGGGATACAAGGCGACGGTGCTCCAGGGCAGCGGCGAGGCGCCGTGGTGGATGGCGTTGTAGTCCCACGGGTCCCGCCCGGGCTTCTCCAGCACGTTGGCGATGGCCAGGCCGATGACGACGGGCAGGTAGGGCACAACAATGGACATGACCATCATGTAGAGCCGGCGCTTGGTGCGCTGGCTTCGTCGGTTTGCGCGCCGGCTGCTCGAGAGGGCAGACTCGGTTGTCTTGGCGATTTGGCGGAAGCGGATGTAAGTGAGGACTTTAACGCGAGCTTGTCAGCTTTCTTCTTTGGTTTTGAAATTTCATCTTGTCTTCTTCCCCTTCTAGCAAGCAGCGGAGGAAAAGGGGCAAGGGGGCAAAGACTCACCGGCGAATCCCGACGTGATGATAGCAACGACAGCCGGAGGCAAGATGAAAAACGCAAGGTTCGGCCACGACGAGTGCGAGGACCAGGTGCAGCCGACGAGCGTGCCGACCTCGTACCTGCGAGCGGCAGCGGCCCGTGTCCAAGCCACCTGGACGACGGGCAGGGGAAACATGATGAGGGCCTGCACAAGGTTCCGCCTCATCCGCTCGCTGCCCGTCAAGGGGTTCGCGCGCATCAAGCCGACCTGTTGGGCAAGATTGCGCATGATGGCGAGGAGACAGGTGATGTAGAGGGCGGTGGCGGCGTTGTGGAAGTGGATGACGGCGTCGCAGAAGCCCCAGCCGGCCCACCACCGGGCGACGTGGTCGTTGCGCCAGAGAAGCGAGTTGAGCGTCGTCTCAAGGTTGAGCAGCTCGACGTTGGCGATGAAGACGGCGGCGGCGAATTCGCCGTTGCGGTGGAGGACGCGCAGCGGGACGAGGCAGACTATGTTTGCGAGGAGCGAGAGCGTCACGCGCAGGACCAGGTTTGCCGTCAGGGAGGGCGTGGTGTAGGGCGGTGGAAGGGGGGTGCCGAGGACGGCGGTGGTGCCGGCTCGGGCGAAGAGGCTGATGGAGGATGATTCCATGGTGTTGACGGCGCGAGGCCAGGATGATGTATCCTATAACTCTAGTGACGACGACTCTTTCCGGAAGAGACGCCGGGGGCTTGCGAGATGGGCGTATTGACGAATCGATCGTCTTGTTGAAGAGGGAAAAGGAAGCAGGGAGGCAGGATAAAGACGATGAAGAAATGAAGCAGAGAGGGAGATGGAGACAGCAATACACACAAGCAGAGAAAAGAGAGGGCCAGGAAGGCAGAGACAGCGATAGGGGCCCAGGGAGACAGAGGCTCCTAGCCAAAGGCAATCCATGTGGAGAGCCACAGGGCACGATTGCAAGCCCCTGGCAGCCTCCCATCAGCTCGCCGACTTGGGGGGGAAACAATAACGACAACATGATCAAGGGCAGCGGCCGCGGCTAGGTGCCTTTTGTCGGGATGCCAACAGGTTGCACAATAGACAAGGAACAGGTCCCATGGCTGCTGATGGTCGAAGAGGGAGACAACATTAGAGGGGAGGCGCATCAATGGAGCGACAACAAGGCATGAATAAGCGTCTTTTCTGGCTTCGGAGACAAGTCCCGGGAATAGAACGCTACTGTATAAGAGCGAAGGGGATACCCCTCCATCCAAGACGGCGAGGAGCAGATGGAACTTCATCTCCCGGATCAGAATCTAGGCTGCAACCCCCCGGAGATCTCAGTCAGGGGGCCACGACGAAGGAGGGGGTGGTCAGCTGGACGAGTCTTCTTTGTTCAAGCACGTAAAAGTGATGTATTTATAAACCGGGTGTGCAATTCTCTACCCCTTCGCCCATCGTCTCTGCTGCAGATGTTTGCCCGTTGACAGCCGATGCAGATTTGCGTCATGTGTGGTGGTGATGAAGTGAGCGGGCGTCTATTGACAGGGGCTCTATTGACACCCAAATCGGGGCGCGATGTGCATGATTCGTTGGTCGTGCAACGGGCAGGGGTCCACTCCCGGACCCGGGTGGGGCCGGGAGGACGGGCGGGAAGGACGTCAAGGGGGAAGAGGGGGTTGCTGCTGCGCAACTCGTCTTTTTCTTCCTTTTGCATGCTGTACTCGGCGGGCGACTTTGCTCGCCTCGCAAGGTTTATATTATCAACACTGATGGGTTCTCTTGCGGCTTGAGCGTGTGCAATAGGAGAGCGAGGAGGATGTGTGTCCAGGCAGAGCGTCGTGGCTTTGCTTCTGCCCTGCAAGCGGAAACCGAGAGGCCGCGTCTCTCTCCATTGAATGTATCCTCTGACCGGCAGGTGATATCACCATAGAAAGAATTGCACCGAGAACGAGACAGACTGGAGGACTGCAGCGAACTGATGATGCCTTCGTGGATCAAGTACAAAGTACAGATAAATAATACTTCGTACCTCGGTAGGTACTTGGTCGGCAACAGGCAAAGACCGTTCCGTCTATCTTATCGATAGCTGATAACAAAGACCGCACAAATCCCCAGACCCCACTCGCTCCTCCCCGCCAATCAGAGCCGCCGATTGACCGACGGCGGGAAAAATCCTGCTCCGCGACAGCACGCACCGAAAAGTTTCTCGAAGCTCATAGTCCAAGACAACTCGATCGGCACGAACGTCCGCTTCGTCACAAGAAGCCCCGACATCCGTCTTCCGTAATACTCGAAAGGCAGAGAAAAAGACAAAGCAGACAAGAAAAAATGTCTTTCCGAGGCCGTGGCGGCGGCCGTGGTGGCGGGTTCCGAGGTAAGCAGCTGTCGAGCGAAAAACCCCTTGTTCTTCCTCCGGCGAGGCTGACAGGCGCTGCGCATCCCACAGGCGGTCGAGGCGGTTTCGCGGCGCCTACCGGCCCTCCTGCCCAGGTCCTGGAGATGGGCGAGTTCCAGCATGCCGTCGAGGGCGAGATGCTGTGCCGTTCCTCCAACGTCAAGGTCCCCTACTTCAACGCGCCCATCTACCTCGAGAACAAGACGCCCATTGGCAAGGTCGACGAGATCCTCGGCCCCATCAACGAAGTCTACTTCACCATCAAACCCCAGGAGGGCATCGTCGCCTCCAGCTTCAAGGCCGGCGACAAGGTCTTCATCGGCGGCGACAAGCTGCTGCCCCTCGAAAAGTTCCTGCCCAAGCCCAAGGTCCCCGGCGAGAAGAAGCTCAAGAGGGCCGGCGGTGGTTTCAGGGGAGGAGGCAGGGGTGGTCCCCGCGGCGGCGGCGGCGGCTTCAGAGGACGGGGAGGCCCGCGCGGCGGCGGTGGCTTCTCTCGGGGGGGCGGTGGCCGGGGCGGGAGCGGCGGCTTCTCGCGAGGAGGCGGCCGCGGTGCGGGGGGGTTCTCCAGAGGCGGAGGCCGGGGCGGTGGTTTCAGAGGCCGCGGACGGGGCTTCTAGTCGGGGAACGACGGGGACGAACAGGAGAGGAGGGGGACGGCAAGGGAGGGTGGATGGTTGTGCTTGCCATGGCTGGTCTGGGTTTTTCTTACAAAACGTGGTCCTCACGACGGTTAGGCGTTATAGACGGCGATGCTTTCGGCCGCGGCAGAGGGTAGGGCAAGTCTTGTGCGAATGGTATCTATACTCTCTACCTCTTTGGAATGGCACTTGTCACACTGTTGCGGCAGCTGAGTGATGTGCTCGCGGCGTCAGACAGTGGTCTAAGTGAGGCGCGGCTTGGTGAGCCTGGACATGTCGCCCCTATACGTATAAGCCCCTGGCCCCTTGCTTGCTGGCCCCACGGCCCAGCAGCAAAGGCCGCTTTGGCTAAGAGTTACCAATGCTTTCTGCTGCCCTGAGCTTTGCGCTTCTCCCCCTGAACGCTTTCGACGCCCTCTTCCGCCGTGGCCCAGCCGCCAGCCACGGCAGCCGACACGGCCACCGCGGCCAGAGCCCACCAAGCAGCGCCGACAAGACCGTAGCTGAGTCCCACGCCGTACAGCCAGCCAGCCAGCAACGGGCCCACTGCTTTGGCCGCCGCCGAGACGCTCTGGCCGATGCCGTTGACGGTGCCGAGCGCAGACGGATCCGGGCTTGCGGCGTTGAGCAGCATGGCGGCCGCGGGGAGAGCGAAGGAGCGGGCCACGGTCTGGATCGTCAGGACAAGCGCCATGGCGATCCATAGCAGAACACCGGCTGCCGGCAAAGGCGGCGACGTGGACGATGAAATGACGGCCAGGTATGGCGTGAGCAAGTAGGATAGCGGGAAGAGCAGCAGCGAGTAGCGGTATAGCCTGATGGTGCCGAGTGCGTTCTTCAGGGCTGGGAACAATAGGAGCTGCAGGACGAGGCCGCCGATGCCTCGGATGGAGAGGGCCAGGGCGATGCCGCTCGGCTTGAAAGAGAGCCCGCCGGTGAAAACGAATGGTGCACTCGGGTGGTAGTTGGGCGGCACCGGCAGAGACGCCTTGGCCATTGCGTCGGTCTGATCCCCCGTTGCGAAGCTGCTCGATGCGTCGTAGCGAGGCGTGGAGATGAAGGCCAGGAGAAGCGACGGGTAGGCGCCGATGTGCATCATCATCAGTCCGCGAGCGAGAAGCGTTGTTGCCAGGCGTGGCGTCCACACGCGGATGCATGGACCGGGTTTTCCCCGTGAAGCACGACTGGCCAGCCCGGCGTCTTCTGTGAGCGCTGTATAGCATGGTTGGGACCTTTGCCGAAAGAGATTCTTTGCCCACTTGCCCAAGATATATCCCGGCCGGACCCTGGCCCCTTTGAGCGTCTCTTCTAGGCCGAAAGTCAACAATGCCGCGCATGCAATCATACATGTTCCGTTGAACACGTTCGGCAGAGCAAAGGGCCATTTCAGAAGCCACTGCGCCGCATTGCTGCCGCGTAGGAAACCCTCGGTCTGCAACGGCCGCGGATGAGACGCTGCCGGATCCGCCAGAAACCCTCCGAGCAAAGGGCCAACGACTGTTCCGACGTTCAAGGCCATTGGCAGCAGCAAAACGGCACGCGACTCGAACTCATCCCCGCCAATCTCCTTGACCATGGTGCGCATCACGCCTCGGTTGCCGTTGACCAAGCCGACCAGAAACCGCCAGAACGCAACTGCCATGAAGCTATTTGCAAAGCCCATCCCCAGACTGCCGACACCGGTCCCAAAGAGACTAACCAGGACAACACACTTGCGTCCTATATGAGGGGAGTCGGCCAGTCTGCCCCACAGGATCGACGTGAAGAGCTGCGGGCCGGCGACGACGGCGTTGAGGACGGACACTTGGAATGCCAAGGCGGCATGGCCCGGTACCGAGCCGTCGGACAGCTTGAAGGATCGCAGCTGGAAGAAGATGTAGCTCTGCATGCTGGAGTTTACGGCAGTTTCGCACAGCCGCGCAAACGCGAGGAGGGCCAGCTGCCGTTTCTTGGGCATGGACGCCCAAGACGCCGTGGCCGCATCGTCGGTGTTGGTTGCGGGATGATGCCGCCGACTACTAGAGGTGTGCTCCGACGCCGGGGAGGAAGCTGGATGGCGAGAGTATTTGCTATTTGTCTCGCCACTGCCGTCCTTTCCGTCCCCGTCCGTGTTCAGCTCGGATTGGTTGGGTATGCGAGGGCGGTATTTCTGCAAGCTCCCTCTCCGACCGCCTCGCAACTTGAAGATTGGCTGCTCGGAGTTGCTGCGCCCCGAGGCACGGAGGCGTGGACGGGGGATGCAGTCTCGAGAGGTCTCGCTTGTGGGGATCTGTCTAGCTTTCATGGTTGACACGTTGCCGGCATCGAGGTTGTGTGCTGTGAGGAAGGATGCAGAAGGGGCTCACGTCGAGGGTGCGAAGCACTTGATTTAAGACGCCGGGGCTGCCGTTTACCCTTGGATATCAATGATGATGATACTTGTACCCGGTGTGAGTCGCGGTGCCATGACGCCAGCATTCATGGGGCAGATACAATACCGATGGGAATCAACGCCTTACCCTCGCCGCCGTGAGGAATGTGTTTAACATCCCTGCTGTCTGACTGTGGCGCCGTATATCTGATGGTCAGAAACCTCTGTGTCTGTGGCTGCAAGTCTGAAGACAGTACGTACGATTATCTTGATACCCAGGTGGCGTTGATATGTAGTGTATATGAGAAGAGATGGGTGCCTTGGGTTATACACGTATAGTGATTTTCAGATGTACGTGGTCCTACCTGGCTGTCGAGTCTTGCCTCGGCGACAATGATTCAGGTCCAATCGCGGGATGAGCGGAAATGGCTACCTGCTGAGATGGAAAGTCTCCCAGACTCAACGTTGTTCTTGAACGGATGTGGAGGAGGAAAGGACAGCCACCAATCTTCTGTGCTTTGAGGAGAATAACCGGCTTCCATCGAGCCGATGACGCCTGCCTTGTGTGGGCGCGGCTGTGACCCGAGACAGACGACTAACACGCAGTGCAATGGCAAGGAGGACGAAGTGGTCGTGTTCCAGCATCATGTACAATACGCCATCATCTCCAGGCCCCCTTGGCTCTGGCCTATTTGCCGCCGCCAATGGGGAAGCCTTCCCGAGCCGGACAGACGGCAGGGGAAAACGTGGACAAGACGGAGGCGAAGAGACAGGCCGTCCAAGGGTGGGCCCGGGGAACAAGCTCCAATCTCGAAGACTGGTTAAATAATAAGCTCATAATTATTATTACAATTTCCGAGAAAGGAACAAGCTACCTTTAAGCTACCATGCGCGAGTCCCTGCGATCAAGAGGAGTGGGCCCCTGGCGAGCCGCGACAACGAACCAATCAGCGGCCCTGGATTCCGCGTCAAGCACGCGGCAGTGGGGGGTACATGCGGACGCGCGCTATTATGCATCATGCTGCGAGTATCGCGCCCGGGGGTGGATGGAGGGGGGGGTTGGGGGCTGAGGTAAGTTACCCCTGGCGAAGTGGCAGCATCGAAGGGTTTTCCCCCAAAAGCTTCGTCGTCCACGACCGCCGTCGACACCTCAACCCTCAACCCTCCCTCCTTCCCCCACCAATCCATCCACCGCAACAATGTCGTCGTCTCTCCTCCTCCGCCGCACCGCCGCCGGCGCGCGCGCCTTCTCCACCTCGCCGGCCCGCTCGCTCGCGCGCATCTCCATCATCGGCAACCTGGCCGACACGCCCGAGGTCCAGCAGACGGCCACCGGCCGCGACGTCATCCGCTACGCCGTCGCCAGCAACAGCGGGCCCAAGGACAACCGCCACACCAGCTGGTTCCGCGTCTCGAGCTTTGTTGCCGAGGGCGGCCGCCGCGACTTCATGCTCGGCTTGGCAAAGGGGTGCGTTGGACGTTGCTTGGCCCCTTGACCCGGGGGGGAAAGGCGTCGACGGACCTCCCGCATCCTCGACGAGCCCCGGCAGAGGAGAGGCAGACATGTACAGACAGGCCTTGCTGACTGTTCGCGCCATGACACAGATCCATGGTCTACGTCGACGGTGAAATCACTGTCGGCCAGTACCAGGATGCCAACGGCCAGAACCAGCGCAGCATCAACATCGTTCAGCGTCCGTACCCTCTTGCGGCCCCCCCGTGTATGGCGAGTGGCCTCACACTTACACTTGCGCAGGCTCTCTCGAGGTTCTCAAGCGACCCGCGTCCGCCGAGCAGCAGCAGGAGGGCCAGTAAACAAAGTTTCCAGTCCAACCCGCAGCAAGCGTGCTCGCGCACCACGCATAATCCCTGCTCTCTGAGCCCGATTTCTCACCCTCTCGGCCGAGCGTCTCGCGCCAATGGATGGTTGTGATGGAATCTTTGTGGAATCCTTATGTACTGTAAACTACACGGGCTGTGCAACGGAGTGGTAGCCAGCAAGCAAACTCCACCACTCAAAAAAGAGAAAAAGACAAATCCTACCCATGCGCCGCGCCTTAAGCGATTCCGTCCTGCACGTCATGCCATCTTTGCACCGCGTGCTCTTCTACACCAAACAGCAGCTGTCCATGCAGCCAAATCCCGCCGCCACACCGCCCTCCTCGCTCTGGTCGCCCTTGGTCCGCAGCAGGTGACCAGCCTCCTCGTTGTGCAGCAGCTCTCCGGTCGCTTGATTCCAGAGACACGCGCCGTAGATGCCGAGCTCGCAGATGACGCCGCCCTGCTCCACCTTGCCATTGCGCAGGATCAGGTTCGACACGGGCGGCGGCGTGATGAGCTCCATCAAGATGAAGGAACCCCAGTGCTCCTCCGGCACCGACTTGAGGAACCCCGGAATCGCCCCCCGGTACGTGTTGTTGCCCCCGCCCTCTCGCTGGGGCTTGAGCACGTACGCCTGGCACAGGTCGGGATCCAGAGCCTTTCTGCGAGCCTCGAGGCCCGCCTCGGACCTGTCCATGGGGTAGATGTTTGTGAACGTTTTCCAGAGCTCTGCCGTCGAGGGCGAGTTGTCGCGGATAAACTTGCTCAGAGCCGACGGCGCCGACAAAGGACGCGGCGTCGCAAGGACCTGCTGCACCTTTTTCGTCCCGGCCAGTTGGGTCAAGACGGTCGGGCACTTGATGGCGGCCGAGCGCTCCAAGTGAAGTCTGGCATCCCAGGCGCGTTGGTCAGGGTAGTCGCCAGGGCCGTAACCGGCTCGCATATAGACGACGGCAACCTCGAAGACCTTGGACGGGTTGCGGGGAAAGCGGTAGAGAAGTTGCCTTGTTGGCGTGTCGGCTATGGACGTATGCGCCAGAATATCAGAAAAAGCCACCCGGAACAGCGGTATCGCCGGCGATGCCTTTGCAACCTGATACTCCAGGTGTCGCTGGTCAAACACGTTGCGCTCATCGCCCTGGACGAGAAAGAGGACGCATTTCGGGTGGCCCAGCGCCGAGACCGGATAGGCGCGGTAGGCGGCTTCGATGCCTGCTGCGAGTCCTTGTATTGTACTGTTCTCCGGCAATGCAAGAGAGCCGGGAGCAAGAGGTTGATCCAGCAAAGGGTATTCCGTGGTGGCAAGATATCTGTCCATTTGTTGAGCATCGTCAGCGTCACGGGCGGATGGGAGTCGGCTCACTTGTGGAGGAGCGATGTGTAGTAAGAGAGACCACCGAAAGATGCGGCAATGGTGTTGAACTCGACCTGTTTGGCTTGCAACGCTGGAGGCGATACCGACGTATCCTGGTGGACCATGTAGTCTGATCTAAACAAACCTAGCGAGAGTGGCTGGCTGGCTCGTGAGAAGATTGTCCCTTGGACGGGGGCGAAGATGGCTTGTCGGTACCTGGGTATATCCCTCCTGCTTGACCTTGAGATGAATCTGCCACAGGTTCTGGATAAAGTCGTCGCCATCCATGACTCTGCCCCAGACGTCAGCGGCGGAGCAGCGGGCCGGACGAGGAGGCGCCTACTGCTTGACCATGTCGGCGAGGAAGTCCTCATCGCGGCTCACCGAGGCATAGAGCTCGTTGTACGTGGTTTGCACGGCCTTGCCCTGCTCGAAGCATATGCGTGGAAAGGGGCTCGGGAAGACAGTGACGGGAGCATTGATGGCAGCTATGCCGGCAGGGTCGGTCCCGGCGGGGATGAAGCCTGGGGGCGGCCGGACAGCAAGGCCGTTGCCAATTGACCAGTCCTTGATGGAGTGAACAAGGCCGTCTCTCTCTGCGTCGGTGACAGACGGGGGAAACGTAGCCATCGTGATCGAAGCCACGGCGCTGTCGGGTCGGATAAGGCCTTGCCCCCGACGAAGGGAAGAGAAAGTTCGGGAGCTGCGGGTCCGTGCGAAGTTGTTCGATGCAACGAGAGTCTGAAATCCTTGAAAGCGATGCAGGTCACACAATTTATACACTCCGACTCGTAGCCTGCAACGTCTATGCGATGAATGGCGCCATCAACTGGCGAGGTTCTAGAAGCAGTGGGGTAGTGGTGTGTGGTGGCTGTCGATGAACGGACGGATTACTAATAAAGCTCTATCTTCTGTCAGCGTAATCCCGAAAGCAAGATGCTTGGGATCGCTATGGGCTTGAATGGGCAAATGGTCAACAGGGCCCACCAAGTGTGCGGATTGCGGGCCAGCCAGCCACCGGCTTACCAATTGCCCGTTGTCTGAGACCTCCTACCAGGCTAACGCCTTGCCTCGCACGCCGACGTGTCGTATTGAATGCAGATGAGGCATCGTTGAGGAAACCTGGTCGCGCCGCTCCGTCAGTTCGCTCTCTCGAAAGCGAGTAGTGGCCAGCTTTGGGTTGGGGAGACCTTGTGGTAGTGTCACGTGAACTTCAATCCCCTCCAGGTCGTCGGGTTCCACCGCCTCCGCGGTTTGCACGATTGCCTGTTCCAGAACCCTTCCATTTCACCACCGACGATGCCCTCGAGCTCGAGGGAGCTGCACAAAGCCGAGCTTCACGATCCTAAGCGACGCATTCTTTCGAACCTGCCTGCGGGAACCCTTCCTCATCGGCGCCTCTCAGGGAACCCCGCTTGCTCGCCAAAGACTCAACGCGAATCGCCCGGCGGCATGAGCGTCTGACTTTTCAGGGCCAAGGACCAAAATCTCCCACGCGCCGTGATCCTTGAGCCTGGAGTTGCGCCCGAACAGGGAGCTCTCGTTGGCTTTCAACCCGCGACGAATCATTTCATGTCTTGACCTGGAACAACGTACCTAGTCTCTCATCAATACCCCAGTTCGCTGGGGTCCGCAGTACCTTCTTTCTATCCTGTTCGCCCTCTCACGATCGCGTCCGAGTCCGCTCTTGCAACCCCCCAACCCACAATCTCTGCCTTTTCATAACTCCAGCATCAGACGAATCTTTGCACCGCCTTCCGACGCGAAACCAACATCTCCTGCGGGCAGCCACACCGGGCTAAACCTGGCGCAACCACCCCCTGCCGCGTTTTCTCCAACCCCATGAAGCCCGATGGAAGGAGTCCGCCATGACGACCCATTTTTGTGGGACATCGACGACGTCGCCGAATCGCTGTGCTCCTTGGATCGACCCTGCACGCACAACCAAGCCGCTCTCACTGACAGGATCAGAGAAGAGGGCGTGGATGGCCACACTCTGCTTACGTTTGAGTTTGTATGTTCCCGCCCAGAGCTCTTTGAGTGCCTTGGCATCAAGCTCGGAGCACACAAGGCTTCGCTTGGACGAGCCATCCTTGGTCTCCGCTCCAAGAGCCCGGCCTTTCGTCGCTGGAAGCTCGAACTGGCGAGAGAACAATCCGAAGATGTGGCTGCCCCCGGACTCTCTTTGCCCAGTTTCCCTGTTGTATCGCCACTCACCCGATGCCTCAATGGAGAAGCCACTGATGCCAGTGCAGAACAGCCGATTGGGAAGCAGGAACCCGCCCTTGCAAAACGCAAACTCCAAGCTCTACAGAATGAGACAGGCCATAAACCTCCTTACTCTGAAGCCTCGCCTACTATGGAGACTCTCAAAGAATCCATCCCTCAGCCGCGCCCCGGTTCAACCAACGCCGATTCGGGAGGGGACAGATCTACAAAGCGGAAGCGTCTGGTGCCGACACACCTCACGGGAAAACCCGTCAACCTTTCGCCTCTTCCTCTGGCCACAGAAGCTGATAGCATCCTGAACTCGGCCGCCGTGGAAGAAACCCAAGAAGACCAAGATGGGCTTCCTTGGGAGCAAGCCGCTCCGCACGCTTATCTGGGAAGGGGTGTGATGCCCATGTCTGCCTTCAAATCCTCCAGACACAACCTCACTACACAGGTCATAGAGGACAAACACACATTTGCCACCCTATTTCCCGTCAGGCTTCCTACAGGGCTGCGGCTTACGGCGAGTCGCATCATGAAGCGGTACTTGGTCGACCGTGGTCGCAAGGAGGCCCTTTTGCGCCAGGGTCTGGTTGACATAGAATCCTCTACATCATCGGACGTTGGTGATGAGATTCTTGAACTATTTGACCTGCCCGACTCTCTTGACGAACAGACTCTCCGAGAAATCGAGGCCGAGAAGGCCGAGGTGGAACAGGCAGAAGCGTTACGGTCCCAAAACATCGTCGAACCGGAGCGGGTACATGTTTTACTGCAAGAGGCCGTTGATGGCTTCAGAGAACATTGGGAGCACGCGAAGCTGCCCAAGCATCAGCGCAAAGCCCACAAGATCTGGACGGAAGCGCGAAAGCGGGGGACGAAAACCTATCAGGTCCTTCAGGCTCGACAGCTCGCAAAGGCCATGGATGACCGCCTTCATAAGCTTTGGACCGAGATTGTGGAGCAGACGTGGGTCAAAGAATCCGAGGTTCGGCTTCAGGCTAGGAGCCTGGAGCAGAGTGTGGAAGACAAGCAGTACAATCTGTGGCTTGCAGCCACATTGGATTCCCGCATCGAGCCTCCCAAGCCGGATGGCCTGCCAAGACCGAAACGTCCTGCGATCAGACGACCGCAGAGCCCTATTGGTAGTGAGGTGCTGACAAGCTCGGATGAAGAGGATTTCATTGTGCCCGACCATGAGCCAGAGGCGATGGATGTTGACCACGCTCTACCTATCAATGAAGAAGACGAGCCAGCCCCATGCATTGGGCTCACGCCGATGAAGCCGGAGTCACCAACGAAGGCCGATTCTCCGATGTTTGTGGACCTGACCCAAACGGAGACTCCACAAAGTTTACGCCGTGCACGTCGACTCACGTCGGTCATCGACCTGACGGCCACCCCCATCAAGCCGAGGATAAACTTCCGACAAGTTCCATCACAGGATGAGACTGGGAGCATTCCTACTCCCATGGAAGCGTTAGCGGACGGCGAGAGCTTTGAGAGCGTCGAAGAGATCGGAACCCAGTCGGCAAAGCACTGGGCCAAGCTCCGGGACAGTTCAAGACTCCTGATATGTCTGTTGTGGAAGCTCCCACACGCGCGCCGCACGCGCGTTTTTGAAGCTGTCAGAGACAATCCCAGCGACAAACTATTTGCGCTTTCGATAGAAAAACATTTGTCCGAGCCGCTGCAAGACGCTGACCAAGTCGACAAGGGAGGCCCCGAAGTTGTACCCTTTGACATCACTCGCTTGTTTCTGAGCTATATCAGAGTCAGTCGCTGCAAGCCAGATCGCGTCATCCGCCTCTCGGACGAAAATAAAAAGAAACTCGCTAAAGGAGAAGGGGAGACTTGGGACAAGTTTCATGCCTTCCTCAGCCGCATCGAGCCAGAGTTTCCTCAGGACAGTCAGATTTACCGAACCGACGCCTTCGACGTCGAACTCCGCGCCTTTGAAGCCGAACTCGGCACCGGCGCCTTGTCCGAGGCCGAGGATGACGCCCCGCCCGGCTCTAAAGGCACGCCTTCAAAGACACGCAAAAATGCGCCGAAAGAAATCGTTCAGAATAAGGACGCAGTGGATCTCCGCGAGAGAGAGAAACGCCGCGTCGAGGAGCAGGAGGCCCGGCGGCTCAAGTTGAGAGCCTCCTTGAACACATCGGGCTTGATGTCTCGGGACAAGTCGAGGCTCATCATTAACGAGACTAAACAGGAGGATCAACCCTTTATCTACGTCAACGAGGAAACCGGCAAGCGCATCAAGGACCACCAAGTCGATGGAGTGCGGTTCCTGTGGAACCAGATTGTGCTGGATGCAGATGTGCGCCAGGGCTGCCTTCTGGCACACACCATGGGCTTGGGCAAGACCATGCAGGTCATCACCTTCTTAGCTGCGATACAAGAATCTGCAAAGTCAGCGGATCCGGCCGTGACGGCACAGATCCCAGAGGACCTCAGAGAGTCAAAGACGCTGGTTTTGTGCCCTGCTGGTCTGGTGGACAATTGGATGGACGAGCTCCTCCTGTGGGCGCCCCAAGGCCTGTTTGGTCCCATTCGCAAGATTGAGTCGCTCTTGTCGCCGGAGGAGCGCCGCCAGGCCGTCCATACTTGGGCGCAAGAAGGCGGCATCCTGGTAACAGGCTACAACATGTTGCAAAAGATCGTTGCTGGGGACGAAGAAACTGAGGACAGCCTGATCACGGGGCCAAACATTGTCGTGGCGGATGAGGCCCACGTCCTCAAAAATCCGGAAGCCAAGGTGCATCGGGTCTGTTCGCGATTCAAGACTAATTGTCGCATCGCCCTGACCGGCTCGCCTCTGGCCAACAACGTGGAGGAGTACTACTCCATGATCAACTGGGTGGCTCCTAACTATCTTGGTCCCCTGGGCGAGTTTAAGGATATCTACGCGCTGCCGATCCAGCAGGGGCTATGGGGCGACAGCATGGGATGGGAGAAACGCAAGGCCTTGAAGATGTTGCAAGTGCTCAAGGAGACGGTGGCCCCAAAAGTCCACCGGAGGACAATCAAGTCCTTGAAAAACGACCTGCCGCCCAAGTTCGAGTTCGTCATTTGCGTTCCACCGACCGCAATGCAGCGGAAACTATACGAGCTGTATGTGTCTGGCGTTGGCGGCGAGTTCGCGGGCAAGTCCAAGAACAAGAAGCTCCCACAAGCCCAGATTTTCACCATTGTCGGCGATCTAGGCCTGCTGTGCAACCATCCTCGTTGCTTTCAGCAGAAGATGTTGGATGCCCGCCGTGACCGACAAGATGGCAAACCAGGTTTGGTTCCAGAGAGCGTCATCACGTCGGCACTTAAGGAGACCAACTCTGCACTCGATCTGAACAACCCGGGCTTGTCTCTCAAGGCGGAGCTTCTGTCCCTGATCCTGGACGAAGCTCGAGAAGCGCGTGACAAGGTCCTCGTGTTTAGCCAATCGATTCCGACGCTGGACTACCTGATGAATCTGCTGCAGATGCAGAAGCGGCGTGTGTGCCGGCTGGACGGAGGCACGGCAATTGGAAAGCGGCAGGACATGACCAAGAACTTCAATGCCGGCGACCAGGAAGCCTATCTAATTTCCACAAACGCTGGAGGCGTCGGCCTCAACATTCAAGGAGCGAGCCGCGTCGTGATATTCGACTTCAAGTGGAACCCTGTCAACGACCAGCAGGCAATCGGGCGCGCGTATCGCATCGGGCAAGAAAAACCCGTCTTTGTCTACCGCTTTGTTGTGGCAGGAACCTTCGAGGAAGACCTACAGAACAAGGCGGTGTTTAAAATGCAGCTGGCTTCTCGAGTCGTGGACAAGAAGAATCCGGTAAGCTGGTCGAAGCGGCTGGGCAGTCTTTTGCACCCCATCAACCCAGTGCCGGCTAAGAACCTGGAAGAGTTTGTCGGCAAGGATCGAATCCTAGACAGGCTCATCAAGTACAAGAACAGCGGAGAGGCGATTCGGTCCATTGTCTCGACCGACACGTTCGAGGAGGAAGACCCAGACGTGGACCTGACGGCAGAGGAGCGTCGTGACGCTGAGGACATGGTCAGGCTGAACCGTCTTCGCGCCACGGACCCGGAAGAGTACGAAAGGAAGCGCGAGGAGGAGAGCCGCAGGCTCTTGAAGGAGCGCATCAACCTGACCCAGCAGCACGATCAGAGCGTCGGGCATCAAATCCAGGCCAGGCCCGGAGCGCCTGCGGCCACCCAGGCGTTGGCGCCCTTGCCGATCCGCGGAGCCATCAACGGGTCTCGGGGAGCAGTAGCCTCATCTTCCACAACGGCGTTGAACGGTTTTACGACGCAGACTCAGCAGAGCGGCTTCGTGGATGCTCAGCGGCAGCAGGCTGCTGCGGGCCTTTCCCGCGCCCAGAGCAGCTCTTCCCACCTGCCATCGACGGCGACGCCTTTGCCCATGGCCGGCGCCAACACTTACTTTGGCAACGAGCCGCCGCCCGGCGCAGCCTCGACATCGGAAGCGACTCCAGTCCAGACCATTCCATCGACTCCGGTCCCAATCGCATCCTCTGCAGGGCCCAAGCTCTTCAACTCACCACAAGGGAGCCAAGCGAGGGACGCATTTGAGCAGAAATTGCGTGGCAGGCTGAATGTGTTGCCCGCCTTTGACTCGGCAGGCGCTGCCAGCACTCGGGAGTATATCGCTCGGGACGTCACGATGGCCATTGACAAGATTCGAAAAGAACATGCTTTTGGTTTTCTGCCTGACAATCAGCACTGGCGTCTACTAGAGGAGCACCTGGTTCACGACAGATTCATGCCCGCCGTGGTTTTTGGCCATATTACGCCGTCTTTTCTCGCTCTCACCAACAGGAAGGAACTAGAATCTCGCGTAGCAGTGCTGAACAGCCTCTCCGAGCAAGAACTCCAGAACAACGTGATGGCGTTTGGAGGGAATTCAGACCCTCAAGTATGACGCTTCCGCGCCTCCCCCTCCCACCCTTTTCCTCGGTGCCTACAAGACCGGTCCCTGGACGTGCAACCTTGGCTAACAGCGAAAACCTCTGCGTTTCTTTAAAAAAAAAGAACCTTCTAAATCTGAGACGCTCGAGCTCGCAGCCAGGGGCGATGACGCAAAGCCCTCGAGCTCGGGAGGACATGGAAGTTATGCGTGAGGCGGCGTACAAGAGACGACAACGGTCAGGCATCCACCCTTGACGGTGAGGAAGAAGCTGGGCAGGTGGGTAGCGAGCGATGGGGTCGGTGACGAGACAAGAGGCGCTTGTGAGGTGGAGCGGCTACATGCGGCCTGGGATGGACTCGCCAATGGACTTTGGCCTGGAGTCTTCAGACGGGCACGGGTCGGGGGACGGCGGCGTGGAACGGGCTTGAGGGGAAAGATGACGGCGTTGACGGCGTTTGCATCACCAACTTGCGAGATACCCATTGAGCGAGGAGGGACGACGGAGATTATCCGATGAGGCGAGACAGGCAATGGTTGTAGCTCAAAGAGGCCTGGGCATTGTGCCATGGTGCCATGGCACAATAAGCAATCATAATGTACAGAGGCCGACGACCGAATGACTTGTAAGAAGCTAGTCGCCGCTTTAACGCCAAACCTTGAGTGTGAAATTGTAGCGAGAAAGGCAAAATGGCGCATCGTATCACTTGTTGTCGGCAGAAACGGATACATGACGGCCCAGTAAAGTCGCACTCGTCGTGACAGCAGATGGCTTACGCTGGTTGTAGGCGAGACACGAAGAAGGCTCTTAGGCCCCGTTCCTGAAAACGCAAGAACAAAGCCTGAAACTCGCTGGAAGGTTTACGACAAGAGCTCGTATGAGCTGGCAGAGATGGCTTGTGGGATAAGACGGGAGGGCAAATTAATGGCTCGCAGTGGATGGCGGATAGACTTTTTGCGTGACATGTATTTCAGGTGTCAAGTCTAAAATAAGGAGCCGGTGAGATGGAAGATATTTTTCTCTGGTCTGTCCTACCGAGTAACCCGTGAACCCGTGTGTACTGTACAATGCCCATGCAGGTGGGGAGGTTTCAGTGACAGACGAGACGAAAGCAGTTTGCAAAAAAGGGGGAGGAGGGTGAGGGGGAGCAAGGGAGGATGACTCGTTTCTAGCGCGGAGGTGGCAGGGGAAAAGGAAACGGGTGATTGGAGGCGCTGCCGATGAGGGATCTGTTCGATCGTGCATGTAGGGATGCAAGTCATGAGTGTCGCTCTTGCGCATTCGATTGCCATTCGCAGGCCGTACAACGATAGTACGGTATCTGTAGTTCTTTATGTACTGTGGACGCTATATAGGGGGGGGACCGTCCGCTTAGGAGAGCGGAGCACTGTGCTGCTTCCCCGACTGATAGGTTCCGCGGAGCCATGGCATTTCTTCGTTTCGTTTCGAGTGGGGCCCATGCCAAGCACAGTTAAGCCAGGCAAGGTACCTCGTACAGCCCCCGCCACTTCCGCGGTCCAAGTTCAATTGACTGACTCTAGTCATATGGCCGCCGTCGCCTCACGTCTGTCTCTCGAGGACCAAAACCTGGCATTGCGCATCCCGCACGACTCACAACAACTCTTTCTCGCCGCGCCTTTCCCATGATGGACAGCGTCCTCCGTCAATCAAAGGCCATGTGCCCTTTTCTCCAGGCGGCCTCGCCCGCCACCCTGCGCGCCATGTCGACGTCGGCCCGCCCCAGGCCCTCGGCCTCTCCCTGCGGCGGTACCATGTCCAAGCTGCAGGTCTTTGCCCATCGGTGCCCTGTCATGGGCAAGGCCCTTGCGGTTCAGTCGGCTAGAAACGGTGTCGCCGTCGCTGGCCTGCGTGCTCTCTCGGGTCAGGTGAAGCCGGGTAAGGCTCGACTTCACACCAGCCGCCTTCATGAGGCCAGGGCTGTCGAGAACCCCATTCTCGATGGCCACGAGAAGGGTATGTCTGAACTCGCCGTTTCTACAACACAGTTATTGGCCCGCTGACCCGCTCGACACAGGCCGCCATGTGCCGCCGAGCATGCCCCTCCACCGCAATGATGCCGCGCAGACGGGCTCCCGCGGCGCCAGGTTCGACTACGAGGCCTACTACAGTGCCGAGCTCGCAAAGAAGCACGAGGACAAGTCGTATCGCTACTTCAACAACATCAATCGCCTCGCAAAGGAGTTCCCCCGTGCCCACATGGCCAGCAAGGAAGAGCGCGTCACTGTCTGGTGCGCCAATGACTATCTCGGCATGGGTCGCAACCGCCGCGTCCTCGACAAGATGCACGAGACACTCGACGAGTACGGCGCCGGGGCCGGCGGCACGCGGAACATCTCGGGCCACAACAAGCACGCCGTTCAGCTCGAGGCCACCCTGGCCAAGCTTCATGCAAAGGATGCCGCCCTGGTCTTTAGCTCCTGCTACGTCGCCAACGACGCTACCCTGGCCACGCTCGGTAGCAAGATGCCCGACTGTGTCATCCTTTCCGACAGCCTCAACCACGCCTCCATGATTCAGGGAATCCGCCATTCCGGCACCAAGAAGATTGTCTTCAAGCACAACGACGTGGCAGACCTCGAGGCGAAGCTGGCTTCGCTGCCGCTCCACGTCCCCAAGATCATCGCCTTTGAGTCAGTCTACAGCATGTGCGGCTCCATTGGACCCATTGAGGAGATTTGCGACCTGGCCGACAAGTACGGTGCCATCACCTTCCTCGACGAAGTGCACGCCGTCGGCATGTACGGCCCACACGGCGCCGGCGTCGCCGAGCATTTGGACTGGGAGGCCCATGGCCAGGGACGACCGCGTGGCACAATTATGGACCGAATCGACATCATTACTGGCACCCTCGGGAAGGCGTACGGCTGTGTTGGAGGCTACATTGCCGGCAGCGCCAAGCTCGTGGACATGATCCGATCCCTCGCACCCGGCTTCATCTTCACCACGTCGCTGCCGCCGGCCACCATGGCCGGCGCCAAGGCATCAATCGAGTATCAGATGGAGCACGACGGCGACCGTCGGCTCCAGCAGCTGCACACGCGGGCCGTCAAGGAGGAGCTCGACGCGCGGGACATTCCCGTCATTCCGAACCCCTCGCACATCATCCCGCTGCTGGTGGGCAACGCCGAGCTGGCCAAGGCAGCGTCGGGCATGCTGCTGCAAGAACACCAAATCTACGTGCAGTCCATCAACTATCCGACGGTGCCGGTTGGCCAGGAACGCCTTCGCATCACGCCGACGCCCGGACACACCAAGGAGTTCCGCGACGAGCTCGTGGCGGCCGTCGACGAGATCTGGACGCGCCTGGGCATTAAGCGCACCTCGCAGTGGGCGGCGCAGGGCGGCTTCATCGGCGTGGGCGAGCCCGGCAACATGCAGGATCCTCTGTGGACGGACAAGCAGCTCGGCGTGGAACAGGCTGCGCGGGAGATCAAGGCGACTGGCCGTGTCCATTCTGGCGTGACGGAGGCGCTGCTGGCGCGGGAGACGGCCTCTGCCGCCAGTCGCGCCGCCACCGTCGCGGTGTAGAGCGCCCCGCGTTGTCTCGTCGCGGCCTCTCTGCACCACCATTGTACTTGAGATAGCCAATCGTTTGTCAATCGATGTAAGCCATACATTCCTTGATACTTGTGCGAGTACTGTACGCAGTGACTTGATCGGCGACATTGGCGCTGTGCTTAATTTAGTGCGAGGGCGTAAACGGCTGCATTTGGATGGTTCACCTGCATTGTGATTCTTCGGCGTTGGATCGGTTCCGCTAGCGGATTTGGCTGGCGGCCTCGGAGGGGGGACTAAAACGGACATCTCCACGAGGAGGCCTGGGTGCGAGGTTCTGTGTCGCACTGTAGCGTGCAGGGAATCGATGTGCCCCGGAGACCCGCAGATAAAACGTCCAAGCAGAGCACGTGGCCTACGAGCAAGCTGAGTCAGGGCTGCCGGAAAAAGGTGGTCGCGGGCCGACCGCAGACGCTCCAGAGTTTCAAGCATGACTTCTATGCCCATGACGCACGACGCACGACGCACGACGGAGCGTCGGGCCAATTCAAGACTCCGACCCCTCTCGCTGCCTCGACGTCCCCGCCCCGATTTTCGCTGCCGGACCGCACCAGGGGGCCGCGATGCGAGAAACGGGTTTCAACAGGCATGTACAGTATCTGGAGATGCAACGACGCGTGTCTGCCGGCATCTACTCATGATGCGGGGTCGCGCCCGGGTAACAGGGATTTGAGAACCGAGCGGGAAAAGGAACAAGATGGCGAGATTCGAATCTCTGCAAAGACATCCTTTACCTACTTGCTTGCAAACCGCTTTGACTACGGCTCTCTTATACATATTCCCGTCTCGGCGAGCCGCAAAGCACATGGCTCGGCTATGAGGGCCCCCCCTCCAATGCCAAGGCCTCGGTGCGGTCAACCTTGCCAGCAGAACACACGCCCAAGTGAAGCCACTCGATTCGCCACCACACGCCGTTGCCCGAATACGCAAAAGCATGCAAGCCATACAAAAGGGACCAAAGGCATGCACCACGTGTGCCAAAGCCAAGGCCAGATGCATTCCCCGAACAGATGGTGGAGACAAGTGTGAAAGGTAAGCTGCGGGCCGTCTTCGACGTGAGATGCAACCTGTTGGCTGACTGCCACACCCCCTTCCCTTGCTGTCGATAAGATGCCACCGACTCAATAAGGACTGCTTCTCCCGCCTCCCTGCCCCGCCACGCGTCAAGAAGCGCCCCAAGCGGTCGAGGGTCGCTGAGCTCGAGAAGCGTCTCAACGAGCTGTCGTCTCACATTGAAGGCCAACATGCTGTCGCCCCAACGCGAGACCAGGCTCCCGAGCCGCCAGTCAAGGCGCCCGAAAAGGGCGATCTCTTGAGCCTTGAGCACCTCTTTCCCTCGCCCAGGTCGTCGGGATGGGAGAGCAGCAACGACACGTTGTCGTGGAGCCCCGGCGCCTCGCGATCAGCAGACTCAGCCTGGCCTTTGCCCGGCGAGGCCGAAGCCTTCCTGTCTCGGTTTCACGACGCCTTCGCCCACCTGTTCCCCTTTGTCGTCGTACCCAAACACATCACGGCTGCCGAACTCCGCACCGAGAGGCCCTTGGTATGGAAGGGCGTCATGGTTGCCGGCTGCATCTGGGACGGAGCCAGGCAAGCCAAGTTGGGCGAGGAGATGCTTGCCGACGTGGCCAAGGCAGCCATTTCCGACGGGATCAAGACGCTCGACCTATTGCAGGGGTTGGAGCTGCTGCTCGCCTGGTACGTATCCTCATCGGCAGACGGGAGAGGGCTGCTGAGGCGGTTGGCGGCCCATGTCGGTGGCTAATGTCGTTGGGCCTTTGGCAGGTTTCATTTTGCCCTCAAGAGCTCGCAAACATCGCATCTGCTCTTCCTGGCGAGGTCAATGTGCGTCAATCTCAACGCCATGTCGTACGGATCCACGGTTGAAGATGCCAAGTACGGCCGTTTGGACCATCTGCGAGCGTACGCCGGCATGTACTACCTGAACACGCTGTAAGTTGGTCGACAGACAACACGACGACGGCGCATTTTCCCAGTCCCTCTCCATTCGGCACATCATCATCAATGCTTCCCTGAAAGGTCTTCTGAACAAGGCAAAACGCTTGAGGAAGCCATGCATCGCCTACTGCTAACACGTCTGGTGCCCCATAGCATCTTTACCACGAATAAGAGAAACGATGTTTTGATGAACACGACGCAGCTGGACAGCTACTGCAAGATCATTGAAACCACAAACGAGTACCCGTCCGACGAGTACCTGATCAAGCTGATCCGGATTCAGCAGCTTGCGCAGACCATCTCCCTCACCATGGCCTTTGATCCCGCGACGCCTGCGGCCATGTCGTTGCCCCTTCCTATGGTGATTGAGTCTTTCCAGGATCAACTCGACACTTTCAGGGTCACTTTACCCACTCACCTCGCCGCAAGCCGTGAGTGCTCCCAGACAAAAGTAAAGAATTGTACGGCTGACCGGGCTCCGACCAGCCACATTGCAATGCCACATCTCGATTGCCGAGGTGCTCCTCACTGACGTTGCCATATCCGACCCGCACTGCGACTCGTACAATATACAGTTGACGGACCGGCTGCAGCTCCTCTGGGCGTGCGTCCGATCGCTCAAGGCCTTTTTCAAGGTCCGCTTCGCCGTGACGGAGCTCGACTCCCCGCGATTCGTAACCGTCATGGTGTCGGATGTGGCCTTTGCCTTCATCACCGGCATCAAGCTGCTGACGCTGGGGGTGCCTGGCTGGAACCTCGAACACGTCAGCAAGGAGCTGGCGCTTGACGACATGCTGAGCCGGCAGATTGATGATCTGACGGAAATCATCGCCAAACGCAAGAGCGGAAGCCCCAGCAGTCAGGAGTCGAGCCTGGAGGACCCGCTGGAGCGCCTGCAGAGGTTGCTGAGAACGGCACAGGAACTCGTGGCGCTGCAGCTGAGCGGCGTGTCGGCACAGGAGATTGGGCAGGCTGTCGTGGGAGAGATGAACAGCGCGACGTGGCAGGACCTGATGAACGATGATGCGGCGAGCATGCCTTGCTGAAGGCGCAGAAGCAGTGGAAGAGTGGGCGTGCGAGGCTTGAGGGACTCGGATGCGCCAGGGGAGAGATGCTCCGAGAATTGTTGTAACAATACGACGCGCATGGACAGGGTTCTGCGATGAATGCGTTGAGCGGTTCTCCGTTCTTGCTGTTACGTTGCTCATGGAAAACTAGGCATGACGAGCTCTGGCACATTGTGTACGGATACGATGGACGAAGACGTGTCTCCTGAACACGGGACATGTGAATCACGGAACGGAAGGAGAAGCCGTGTTTGGGCTTACCTGGATGCAATAGCGTCGTCCCACCATTCTTTTGACCGAGGATCTCAATGGAAGAACTACCAACGAGCGTTATCAGGGTACCGGTGCATCGTCATCCTGAATAGCCTCGACCTTGGCCAAGGCCAGCCACCTCCAATCCCGTTCAGCTGTGGCCCTCCTCACGGCGTGGAGCTCGTCGATGAAGGCGGGAACAAAGGTCCCCGGCCCGCGAACATCGCTCCTGGCGGCAGCCATCTCTGCAGCGACGCCAAACATGACGGTGGCAGCCACGGCGGCAACAAAGGGGTCTTCCTCGTAGGCCGCCACAGCAGCGCTGAGGACGGTGCCGAGGGAGCACCCGGAGCCGGTGATGGCGCCAAGCAGCTCGTGGCCGTTGTCGACGCGGGCGGTGCGGCGGCCGTCGCTGATGATGTCTGAGACGCCGGTGACGACGGCCACGCAGGGGCGGCCGCGGCCACGGGCGATGGAGCGGGCGAGGGCGGCGCGCTGGGTGATGGTGAGGGTTGCGGTTGAGTCGACGCCGCGCTGGGCTTCTCGAGGGGGTTGCCGTTGATGCTCCTGGTCGTCGGCGGTGATGACGCTGTGGACGGTGAGCATCTCCGAGGCATTGCCTTTGATGACGGCAAAGGTGCCGGCTGAGAGGAGCTTCTTGACGGCGTCGCGGCGGACGGCTGTGGCGCCGGCGCTGCAAGGTTGAAGAAGAGTCAGCAAGATGCAACGAGTCAAGGTAAGGCATGGCCTGGCATCAGGGGGAGGAAAAGAGCGGCGCCAGCCGGAGTGGCAGCAGACGTACCCGACGGGATCCAAGACGACGGGTCGGCCGGCGTCGTTGTAGGCAGCGAGGGCCTTGACAAAGTTATCGAGGCCCTCGGGCGTCACGGTGCCCATGTTGATGACGAGAGCGCCGCCGAGGCCGGCCAGGTCCGGGGCCTCGAGGGCGTAATTTGCCATGATGGGACTGGCGCCCACGGCAAGGGCAACATTCGCAGCCAAGTTTTGCACGACCTCGACAAGGAAGCATCAGCACAAACAAAACAAGTCGTCTACAAACATGCCGCACCCACTCACCAGATTCGTCATGTTGTGCGAAACCGGCGTCGCCCGCGCCACCCTCTCGACAACAAGCGGCACGCGGGCGCGCAGCACGGCGGACAGCAAGCGGGCGGCGGCGGCGGCCGGGTCGGCGGCGGCGACGATGGCGCTGACGACGGCGAGCCCGTCGAGGGGCTTGCGCGGGGCGCTGGCATGGGCCAGCACGGCGGGGGCGTTGGCGGCGTCGATGCCGCCGATGGCGACGGTCGGGACCGAGGCGTGGCCGGCGGCGGCGAGGGCGGCGAGGATGGCGCCGACGCCGGCGGGGCCGAGGATGGTGGCCGTGTCGGTTTTTCTGCGGCTTGCGGGGTGAGATGTGAGTACTGTACGACGTCGACTATAGGGGAAGAAGGGGGGAGGGGGGGACGGACGTGGTGGTGGAAAAGACGGTGCCGATGCCGAGATAGTCGGCGCCGGCGTCGCAGGCGGCCACGGCCTCGGCGGGGGAGCGGGCCGAGACGCCGATGATTTTGCCGGGCCCGAGCATCCTCCTCGCCTGGGCGACATCTAAGCCACTTTTTGCATCAGCAAAGCAACCACCTCATCATACTCTCTGCCAGTCCTGGGCCAAGAAAAGAAATAAAAAGAAAACCCCCCCAAAAAAAAGATAACCGACCCATGTCGTCCTGGCCGAGATGGACGCCCTCGCAGCCAACCTCGAGCGCGACGCCGACGCGGTCGTTGATGAGCAGCGGCACGCCCCTCGCGCGCGTCAGGCCAAGCAGCTCGCGGGCTTGGGCGGCGACGTCGGCGTCGGAGCCGAGCTTGTCGCGCAGCTGCACGGCCGTGGCGCCCCCGCGCAGCGCCGCGTCGACGACGTGGGCGAGGCGGCGGCCGGGCGCGAGGATGGCGGGCCTCGAGTCGGTGACGAGGTAGACGCTGTAGTCGACGGTCATGGGTGGCGGGTCTGCCATCTTATGTCCCCCTCTTCACGCCGGTTTCTTTCTTTTCCCGCTCTCTTTGGGCGTGCCTGTGTGATCTGTACTTGGGATTATGAGAAGAGGTTATGGTGTCGTTGGGGGTTGAGGCCGTCGTCTTGTGGTTGCCGTTGACTTGGGATTGGTTGGATATCGTGGATGTCGTAGATGCCTGGGTCGGGGGAATAGGAAACAACTGCATTTAGACGACGAGTGATTTAAACCTTCGGTCATAGTTCGGATCCGCGAGCCAAGGGCGGGGAAGAGGAGTGTTAAACACGAGATGACGTCTTATGGCGGGTTGTAAGTTTCGGCAACAAAAAATTGAGTAGAAGAAACAAGCCATCTCATTGCGCAGAGTTGTCTTTGCAAAAGCTAGTTGCCAAATGGAAGACTGAAACAGAGTCTATGTGGTCTATACAGAAATACGCGCTCAAACCACCACCAATCCCCAGCCGGTGCCAGAGCCGGCATACGATACACAGACGCCCACACACAAGTCTATAGCTTTTGTCCAAGAGGGAAGAGGAGAGGAGAAGAGTGGAGAGAAAAGAGAGCAGCTCGAGCAAGGGCAACGGTCAAAACCTTGAAATGTCGCGCCCAAAGATCCACGTCGCCAGCCAGTAGACGGGGATCAGGAGCTTGTTGCGCACGCTCATGCTGCGCGTCAGGTAGGCGGTGCGCCACAGCATCCACGCCGCCCAGCCCTTGAGCTCGTCGGCGCTGCTCTGGTGGATGGCGCGCCAGCTGCCCAGGTAGGCCATGGTGCCCAGGTTGCGGAACCGGAAGGCCGAGCCGCCGCCGCCGCGGTTGAACTGCCGCGCCAGGTATGCCGCCTGCTGGCTGGCGACCTGGGCGGTTGCGGGGAGGCGCTGGCCCTGCACTGCGGCGCAGTCGCCGATGGCGTAGACGTCTGGCAATGTTATTGTTGTTGCTGTTGTTGCTGTCGTTGTCGTCGTCGTCGTTTCTGTCGATGACGATGATGATGATGACGATGATGCATCGTCGTGATCGGTGCCAGACGCCGTCAGCTGCACCCGCATGTGCCCGTCCGTCACGATGCCCCCCGTCCGCGCATCCCGGGCAATCCGGCCGCCCAGCCCGCCTCCGCCCAGCCGCACATGACGGCCCAGCAACCGGCCCGTCAGCGGGTTCTGCGTCAGCCCCGTGCTCCAGACGACGAGGCCGGCGCCCAGCTCATCGGGCTCCTCGCGGATGCGCAGCATGAGGGCGTCGCCGTCGCGGCGGATGCGCTCCAGGTGATGCTCCGTCTTGACGCGGATGCCCTGGCGCGCAAACATGTCGGTGGCGTACGTGGCCAGGTTGCGGTCGAACATGGGCAGCACCTTGGGGGCAATGTCGTAGACGCTGATGGCGACGTGCGGCATCAGCGCCGGGTACAGCTTGGCCAGGTCCTCGTGCACCAGGTCGTGCAGCTCGGCCGCGAACTCGATGCCCGTCGGCCCGCCGCCCACGACGGCAAAGTGCAGCAGCCGCCGCCGCTCGCCGTCGCCCGTCGTCGGCAGGGCCGCCTTCTCAAAGGCCTCGAGCACGCGCAGCCGGATGATGCGCGCGTCGCCAATGTCGCGCAGGAAGCACGCGTGCTGCTCGACGCCCTCGATGCCAAACGTCTGGCTGTAGCAGCCCACGGCCAGCACCAGCTTGTCGTAGGCGACGTCGAACTCGGGGCCCTTGGCCGCCTCGCGCGCCCCCGTCACGGCGCCCACGTCGCCGCGCGTGTTGGCCTCGACGCGGATCACCTTGCGGCCAAAGTCGATGTCCGTCGCCCACGCCTGGTGGAACTCGGCCAGCCCCAGCCGCCGCACCGGCTCGATGGCCGCCCGGAACTCGAGCGTCCCGACCGACGTCGACGCCAGCAGCGGCGTGAAGACAAAGTGCGACCGCGGCGAGATGAGGATCCGCGTGGCCTTGGCCGGCGACAGTTTGCGTGCCAGCGCGTATCCGGCCCATCCGGACCCCAGGATGACGACGCGCTCCTTTTCGGAGCCTGTCGCGACAACGGTTGGTGGTTAGCATTGGGTCCATCCATGTCTCCAGCTCGTCGCCGTACCTTGATCCGCCGAAGCAGTGCTCGCCCATCGCCGCGCCGTCTGCACGCCGCCGGCTCTCCTCAAGCACTGTACGGCCCGTCTGCTCGTTGACCGACAGCATCTCCCGGCTTCCGCCATGCTGTCTTGCTGTCCGGCCGGGTTCGTGTGAATCAGGTTGGTGACGTCAGCAAGCCGTCCGGATGTCCGAGGTGAGCTATATTTATATTATTAATACAATACTAAATATATTTTTGGTGGCGGATCCCGGTGCTTTATCGCGTCGCCGTCGCCTCGGCATGACATCAGTCCATCTTTTAGTCGGCAATCGTCAATACTCTAGCCGATGGGAATGCCACATCTCGCGCTTGGCGGGCCAGAAAAGACGAAAAGAAGGGAGGACGAACAAGACGTTTCGCTGCCTGAAAAGTCAATGGCGGTAATTCTCCGGGACCAAAAATGGTTGCACAGAAGAGAGGAATCAAAGAAAGAGCTGACAAAAGCAAGGGGCAAGCTTGTCCAACGCCGCAGGAAAGACTCGGCACCTCGCACTCTGCAATGGCCCCGTCCGCGAGGTCCAGTTTTCGCCCAAGCGGAGCGCAGCAGACTAAGCGGGAATAAAGGCGGCAAGGAAAAGGCCAGAAATCGACGACGAAATATAATTGCTCATGGTCTTGAGCCGTCAAGTCCTGGTGCTCTGGTATGGACCCGCTACACTTACATCAAGACGCCGTCAATAGATGCATCGCCACGTCCCTGTCCAACCTCTTTCCCACTCCTCGACCGCCTCTACTGCAGCATCGAGTCCAGACTCTCGCCGAGCACGCCTTCAATCTTGACAATCCATCGGTGCGTCTCGCGCTCCACCACCTCGTCGTCGTCCTCCTGCAGCTCGCTGATCCGAGGCAGCATCTCGTGCAGCATCGACAGCCACTCTTCTCCCAGTCGGTCCGTCAGCGCCTGCTCGCACTTGACCGCCGCCAACCGCACCCCCGTCTGCTCCGACTTGAGGTGCTGCATCAACCCTGCGTTCAGCTCCTTCTGGTGTGCCTGCGAGTCTGCCGCCGCCGCCAGCTCCACCACCGTCGGCACCAGGCCCTCCGTCACCTCGCCCGACCTCGCAAGCAGAAACTGCTCCATCAGCACGGGCGCCACCGCTCCAAAGTGCGACGGCGCCTGCCAAAAGTCGTCTTGATCGTGTTCAAAGCACGTCGCCAACGTCTTGAGTACCCGAGCCCATAGCTCTCGCTCCTCGACCGCCTTGATATTGACCGTCTGGAGAGCCTGCACGGCGTCGTCGATGACGTAGGTCGCGTAGCTTGTCACAATCGACTTGAGCTGTCCAAAGAAGAACTGCAAAAAGCCAAACACGCTGAGCTGCCGAAGAACCCGGCCAGACTGGTCCTTCTTGGGGAGTCCCGAGGAAGCCCATTCCATCATCTGAACGAAAATGGGCCGGAACGCCGCGTCGTTGAGCTTGTAAATCATCTTCAGCGCCGTTTCGTTGACCCCGTCTTCAATCTTGGCTACTTGTCGGAGGACGAGCTCGCCCTTTTGCCCTGTCGCGTGCACTCGCCGACGCACGTCAAAAGCTTTGAGGAATATACTGCCCAGAAGTGCCGCGTTCTTGGTCATGGCAGACTTCGGGTGCTTGTCGATGGCTACCCCCAGGACATCAAGAAATTCCGAAACTGCCTATACATACTAGTCAGTAATCTGATCGTGCTCCAGCGGCCCATGGCACTTACCGAGAATCCAGCAGACATGGCCTTATCCCAATTCCTCTCCAGGCCGGCAAACACGTCCTTTGCTTCCAGCCGCTTGCCGAGGAAACAAAGACAAGCAATCCGGCTCCCGCTGGCTTCGTCGCCAAGTCCGGCCTCGGCCGACCGGTTCGATATCTCAAGCACTTGGTCCGTGCATGTCGAGAGCATGTACGGAAGGTGCTCTGCCAAGGAGCTGATGAACCCGTAACAAGCAGAGTGAACTTCTTCATCTGGGGACTCCCCTTGCAAGCTCTCGTCCAGGTAAGCCATCACCTTTGGGATGGCCAACGGCAGGACGGGCACAACGGCATCCCGCAACACGTCGACGAGAGACGTGAGACACAGGAGAGCCATGACGCGAAGTCGTCTCTCGCCTTGTCCCAGACAGTGCTCCCCGGCGATGGTTGCGGCCGCGGCAACAACCGCTTCCACGTCCTTCTTGCCGTACTTTTCTGCAATCTTGTCCACGCAGGTGACCGCAGTGTACTTGTAGCGAATGTCGCTGGACTCCCGAATGGCAGCAGTGAGCTGCGGCAGGAAAGCAAGCAGCGCCTTCCTCGAAGCCGGATCGGTGTTGTTCTCCGCCTCGACACGAGATTCCAGGGCACGGAGGACCTTTTGGCGAAGGCCCATGTCCTGCCTGTCCAGCAAGTCCTCGACGGCATTGATGAACTTGTCAATCGAGAGAAGATTCAGCAGGTTTGACAGCGCCGCGCCACATCGTTCGTGGAGCGTCTTGTTCGCCTTGACCGTGTCCGCCAGCAACAGAATATTCTCAAGGAGCCCCGCGTACAGCACTCGCACCTCCGAGGCTTCCATGTCGTCACGATCGGCGAGCTTGCCGATCTGCACTTTGAGTGCCTTGTTGGACAGGAAGCTGGGCAAAGCTGAAAGCTGACGTATGGCAATCTTCTCGATATCCTTGCCCTCTCCATCCTCCCCGGTGCCGAGCAGTACATGGGAAATTCCGGGCTTTGGCCTGAAAAGATCCGACACGAGATCCACAAGCTTGACAAAGCTCTCGAGTTGCGTCTCCACGTTGAAGTTGGTGAGAAGATCGGTGATGAAGTGAAGGAGGGCATTGCTGGTATCATATCGATCGACCAGCATGCTGATGAGCGCGAAGAGAAAGTCGCGCGGGCCCAGCGTGTTTACCAAAGCCACAAAGAGGCCCTGTCTCCGATGTGCCGGGATGTGCTCGTACGCAGTTGTAAAGCTAACGAGGATATCGCACGCTCCAGCCACGGGGTTCTTTTGGCTCCGCTTGAGGGATTCAATGAGCGGCGGAATGACCTCTTTGATCGTCTGCGAAATGACATGCGCAGAGTAGTCGTCGCTCTGTCGGAGAACAGACGTCCCCATGAACGTGAAAATGGGCATGACGCTGTGCAGCACCAGATTCGGCGCCGTCGTCGCCAGATCAGCAACCAGGAGTAGGGCGGCATTCTGGACCACCGGGCTGGATGACTTTTGGATGCAGTTGACGAGCAAGTCTCCGTAACCGCCAGAGCCGTCAATCTTGAGACCCTTGTTCGATCTGTACGCCGGCATCATGGCCAGGAGGCTCCGCAAGATCAGGTTCTGGAGATAGCCCAGTTCCGAGCCGACGACTGTCCTGAAGTGCTGAAGCTCCGACAGTGCGGTGAATAAGCCGTCCAGTAGTTCAGGGTGCGTCACGGGGTCAGAGTTCTCAACCAGCTGCAGCACAAAGGTGACCTTGCGCAAGGCCTGGCTCAGCTCCGGCGTAACTTGGGTAGTCAGGCCACGATTGCCCTCCGAAGAGCTCGTGCGCCTGCGCTTGTTGGGCGGAGGCTCCGTAATCATCTTGGTTCCAGTTTGAATGGAGTCGAGGAAAAACGAGAGGATATTCGTCGTGAGCGATACAGCCCGCAGCACGTCGGCAGCCTCGCCAGGGACGACAGAGTTTGATGTGTCCTCAGCCGCCACCGGCTCTTGAGATATTTCCAAGAAATGCTCTGCAACCATGAACTTGACTTCATCCTTCATGGAAGGCCACATCTTCCTGATTCGAGCAAAGATGGCCCGCATCAAGCCTGTCTTGTCTCTCTTGGAGGGATCCTTGAGAATTTGGAAGAGAAACTCCAGTCCGGCTGCGTCGTCACGCGCAACCACGTCCACAAAGCGCGAGTCTAGCTCGGACCTGTCCAGTTGCTCAAGGCGACACGTCTCCTCGGTTTCGGGGGGGGACAAGTCGGTCCACCATTGCAAAACAGGCAGCAGCACCTTGGTTCGCGTGATGCCGCCAGCGCCGTGGACTTTGTTGAGTGTCTTGACTAATCTATCCTTGACAATGACGTAGGGCGTAGCGTTGGCATGGTAGGCGAAAAACGACATGACTGCAAGCCTGGCTGTCCGGCCCATATGGTCTTTTTTTTCGAGAGTTGGCTGGGGGGTAACCTGGTATTTGCCCTGCTCGATGGCGGGCTGGAGCACCGAGGAGATATGATCCGGATCCATAACACATTCCTCCACGGTTGGTAGAATCTGCAGATGGAGCAGCTTTGCCGCCACGTCCGCCCCGAGGGCTGCGTTGTCCTTGGCCTTTCCATAGAGTGACCCAGCACCCCAGACCTTCATCGAACCCGGGGCCACTGGTGGAGAATACAGGCCCGTGAGTACTGTGATCAAATCTGCCGCTGCTTGGCGAACGCGCTTTGACGGGTCGCCCAGAGCCGCGACGCAATATGGAACCAGGGCCTGAAGATCTGAGTTGCTGCTGTCGCCGTCCTTGAGTCTGTTCTTGACCATTTTTAATGCTGCGGTCCGTGCGAGTGCTGGATAAGGACCACTCCAGACTCGAATGTAAAAGCTGCAGTATGTGCAATCCTTGAAAGCGGTTTGGCGACGAAGTTTGGCGCTGTGGTCGAACTTGGTGAGGGCGGCTGCATTCTTGGCCTGCTCAGACACAATGGCAAAGAATAGGTGACTAAATTCGTCAAAGATGGCGCTGGCTCGTGGCAGTAGGCAGGACGGTAATAATTCCTTGCGAGCCGATAGTTTGTCCACAGCTGCTTCGAGGTCTTGGGGTAGAGGGACGTGGTCAGCGCCCTCGGACATGGCGACGTCACCGGCACCATTGCTCGAAGCGGGCAGCGTCTTGGCTCGGAAGGAAACATCAAGCTTCATCTCGAGTTCTTCAACGTCAAACTCGACCTCCTGAATGACCGACTGGACAATGTCGCCCGATCGGCCAGTCGTGTGAGACAGGTCAATCAAGGCTGAGCCGAGTTCCCTCCGCAGCGCGCCGTCCTCATCGCTACTGTCGTCGATTTTCAGGGCTGTCAGGAGAAGAGACTTGAAAATAACGGCGATTTGCTTGTCTCTCAACACCCGGCTGCTCAGGATCGCCATTATCGTTTGGAGTCCGCGCGAGTCGCCCTTTTTCGTAAACCGTTCGATGAGAGCGAGACAGAGGCCATTTGCCAGTTTGTCGACGCTCCGCTCCTGGCCAATTTCGACCAGGAGAGGGCCGATATCCGAGACCTTCATCAGGGCCTTGGTGACCTTGCTGCTCATCTGCTTAGCGGAGCGATACTGGGCCATGATGGCTAGACAAACGAGCGCGGGCCTAACGGTCTCGCTGGTCCAGCCGTAAACCGTTTGCTCCATGAAAGCAGTAACGGCCACGTCCTCCAAGTGCGCCTTGGACACGAACAGAGAAAGGGCCATGTACGAGGCAATCTGAAGGCTCGGGATCTTTTTCATAACCAAAGACTCGGCAAATATGGGGCCCACCCTGTGAAGCAGGGACTGGGTTTGATCGCTCTGGACGGCAGCTCGTGCCGACCTTGTCCTGTCGAGTATTCCGCTCAAAGCCTCGGTTGCTAGGCCACCCCAAAATGTGACGAGAGCTGGGTACTGACATTGCTTGCGGCACGACTCGAGCGTGTACTCTGACACGGAATACAGAAACTCTGGGTGGTGAACAGCTTGATGGACGAGAACAGACCTCGGCGGCGGTGTAAGGGAGCGAACGTAGGGGTCGAGGAACCGGAACTCGTGAGGGATGCGGGAGGGAAGAATGGAAAGCAAGGTCGCAAAGACGGGAAGGGAATGGTACGGGAGGAAGGTCGTGAGCAGGATTTTGGTGTTTTCCTCGTGAATGCTGGTCGCAAGTGGTCAGCGGCGGCCGCGTCGGGTTGCAAGCATCTTGACATACCGGAAGCGACGAATTAACCATTCAATGGCCTTGATTGCCGGCATGAGCCTTAGCCGGCTGCCGGCTAAGCGCAGAAAGGCTTCGACCTGCCGGTCCAGCTCCTCATTCTCGGCGGCCGTGAGCTGGGTGCGATCCTGATTCTGGCTCTCTTCGCCGAAGATGGTGGACTGAAAGCGCGCAAAGCGCGAGTCTAGCTGACAGAGCTCTTCGAAGCCCGGATAGCATGTCGTGTACAAGGTCTGGTAGCTCTGAGTAGCGGCAACGCGGGCCTCCCAGATCAGAGACTTGGAGTGGGCAGCCTTCTGCGCCTTGGTGTTGAGGGTTGCCTTGGAGTCGGCGGCAAGCTGGGCCAACTGCTTGGCGAGGGAGGTCGCCATGGCTGCAGTGCCAAGCTCGTGAGAGCCCGTAGATGCGCGAGCAGCAGCTGAGCTGGGGGTAACGACGGATGCGCGTCGCGGCCGTAGGTGCAGGCGTTGGCGAGGCCGACAATCAGGCGGGAATTTGCACCAATTTTTTTTTCACTGGTCGTAACTAACTCGATGGCGGAAAAAAAAAACGGCTAGGATGCTGTGACTTATCGATAAGGGTGGACCAACAAACTTGCAATAGTGGGGGTTGTTATAGTGGGACCTCCATCTACGCTTGTCCTCGCATCCTCGAAAAGGTAACCTGGAGCCTCGTCGTGGGAGTTTGGCCACATAACGATACGGTGAGCTCCGAAGGCATGGAAACGGAGCCAGCCCCTCATTAGAGTGTACACTGTACGGAGCTATATACATAAGTGAGCATCACGGCTGAGCTTCTCCACCTACTACCCTCTTCCCTCCCATTCCGCTCCATTACGGCGAGCGTGCCATCTGCCACCAACAAGACCCTGCGTCGACGACCTGCCGCCCTTCAACACTTGGTCGAGATTGACGCGCCCAGAGCCCAAACGAGGAATCATGGCTGTGAGGCTCCTAATATTCAAGCCCTTTGTCCTGAGACCTGATTCTGCCGCTAGGTCCCATACCCTCAAGTCGTCCTGCTCGGCGACTCGCTCCTGCAACGGTCAGTGGATCTTGCAGATGGCTTCTCGTTCCAGGCGGCTCTCCAGACCCGTTACGTTGCCCGTCATGCCTCGGTTTATAGTCGCCGACTGACACGCAGGTAGGCTGTATTCGACGGCTCGACATTGTCAACCGCGGCTTCTCGGGATGGAACACGGCCAACGCTGTCCAGCATCTGGACGACATCATCCCCGAGCCGAGCGCATCGTCTCCAGTGATCAAGTTCTTGGTAAGTAACGGGTCCTCCAAGCCATGTCTGCCGCGCTCACAGCTCGCCCGGAGATTGTCTTATTTGGGGCCAACGACGCCGTGATTCCGCTGTCTACAACGTCGCAGCATGTTCCCATCGAGGAGTACAAGAGGAACCTGACAAGAATCATCACGCATCCTCACGTTCAAGCACACAAACCCACCATCTTGCTGGTAACCCCGCCGCCAATCGACGAGATGAAGCTCGAAAGGCTTGACACGGCAGATGGCCATGCCTCAGCAATTCGGTCGTTCGCCACGAGCGCCTTGTACTCGGAGAAGGCCCGGGAGGTAGCGGGAGAGAATGCTGGGGTCATCCTGATTGACCTGTGGCAAGCACTCATGGACGCCGCCATTGCCATGGCCCCCGGGGATTATCAGCCTGGCGGTCCTTGGCTGGGGTCGCCCGAGAACGGGAAAGCGGGCGGACTTGACCATCTGCTTCCAGACGGGCTTCACATGAGCGGCGATGCGTACAGAGTTCTGTACGAGCAGGTTCGGCCACACATTGGCGAGGAGTGGACCAATCTGCCAGGACGCGACAGGACCGGCTATCTGTTTCCGGACTGGCTGGAGCTGAATACCAGGACGTGACGAGCGGAGGCGCAAAAGGCAGACTGCACGTGGCCCACTCGTGCATTGCGTACGGTACTTGTACTCTGCAATCGTGCATGATCTGGCTGGAGCCTCAATCGCGGTGAAGAGGAGGCTGGTGGATGGGCAAGGGAAAAGAGAGCTGACATGGTGATGTCACTGCTCCTGATCCGCTTTCACATGGTAAACCCCATCCACAATACATTTCATCCCGTGCCATGAGCGTGGTCCAGCGCCGATTGTCCAATCTCTGCAAACCAAGTTGCTCTTCAACGAGTGCAGTTTACCAGAAAGGCACTTCATCTCACGAAACCCATTTGTTCATCTTGGCATATGCAGACAGAGGTGCACGAGAGGGACAACGGGCGAAGATGGCGGCAGGTCGCCTCTACGTGACGCTCGGCCAAGGCCGGGGCGTAGCACTGGGTATAGCTACTCGCCCTCTTGCCCGGCGTAGGTACCCGGCGTGGGACCCCACTAGCTCCTCGCCCATCAAAATTCGTTCACGGATGTCACTTTCCCAGCCCGCTGTGGAGACGGGGAAGGTAGGACCAACCGTGGCAGCAGCAGCAGGAGCAGGCACCACCACATGTGCAAGGCAGCCGCCATCCATCAACCTCCCTCGTGCGCAACTGCCGTCTCATCCACCCATCCGCCGCCATCTCTGCAACATCCAAAAATCTCCTTCTCGCGCAACTCTTCCTCTCTCAAATTCACGCTCGCCCGACGCTTTCCACCTCTTCTCTCTCTCTCCCATCCTCTCCTCTCCCCGCTTGTCTTCCTAAACGCCCCCATCTCGAACCTTGTACGCACCGCTCCCGCCTTGCCGCCACCTCCATCCCGACCGCATCCGCCATCTCGTCGCCGCCGCGTCCACCTTCTTGGCCCAAACACGAACCCTACTCGCTCGACGACACCTTTTTCTTTTTGCACGCGTTCTTGACTTGGACTCGAGTGGCCTCGCCTTTGGCCAATAAACCTCCGCGTCTGTCTCGGGAAGCCAACTTTCATTTTGACTCTGCCTACGACTCGGCACCACCCCGAACCCTTGCCACCTCTCGCATCGACCCTCGCGCCGTTCCTCGATACCGCCCACTACCTGCGCCCTATATCTTGTTGGAAACCCAAGGCACAGCGTGAGCACTGCGATACCGCCATCAGGAGCCCGCCCGTGGTCCTCACCTGCGCGTGTGGCGGGGGAGGGTGGACCTCGTGAACTAATTCCAAAAGGGATCGGGGTTGGCGAAGCCACGCGCACCACTGAGCTCTTGCGTGAAGCCAACTGAACCAGCCGCAGCCTTTCGATGGGAACTGCATTCAATAGCCACAGTCAAGTCCCCAGCAGACGGCAGACTTCTCCGCTTCTGGCTGCGGCCTCGACCAACCCCCTGCCTTGTCAGCTCGTCCGCTGGTGATCGCTGTGTCTCCTACCTTGGCCCTCGCTACAACTGCCTACGGTTGCTCTCTTGCTCGCTCCAGCGTCGGGAATGGATCCGCGATTTCCGGTCTTTCGAGAGGAACTCTACAGCTTGCAGATGGAATTGAAGCAGGTCCAGTGCTCCCAGAGTAATCACGCTGAGCGAATACTTCGACTCGAGAAACGCCACGCCGACGATGCTGCCTTGAAATCAGTCTGGAACTCGCCCTTCCCGGGTGTGATTGGGGGTACCCCCCAGCAAGGTAGGCACTCCACCTTTGGCTCGGCGACCTTGATCTGATCATCTCCAAGCAGGCCCGGTCCAGATCCCACACAGCGAAATGTTTGATGATCTGGATGAGCAGGGCGAGCAGCTCCTTGGCTCTCTTCACTTGGGTCCGGCCGAGGAGGAGCCCGTTCGTCGAGGTGCCGCTTCTCGAGCGAATAGCGTTCGCTTCGACGAAAGCGCCCTGCACGGTTCCAGCTGGGCCGGGCAAGGCAATCGACAGTCGGGGGATTTTGGTCCGATTCGCCCGGGGAGCGGTCTCATGATGGAGCGCTCTCTCTCGCACAAGTCCGACGGCAGGCACAGCTCGGCCGGGCACTCGGTGCACTCGCATCATTCTGTTGCCTCGGGTCGCGCCAGCAGTCTCGGCCTTGATACCAACTTTGCGGCCGGCGATGACGATAGCTCGTCTTTTGAGATGCCGGGGCCTCCCGTCTCACTCTATGTCCTGGGCACAGTTCCGTCGATTGTTCGCTGCTGGCTGACCACAAACTACGCCCACGACACCCTCTTGTATGCGGACATCTGCACCGGCTCCCAAAAGTCGACTGTCGATTACTCCCTGATCAAGGAGCTGGACTTGGTGGACGAACTCGAGCGGGACGTTGACGGACTCTTCCGCGCAAGGCTGAACGTGTATCTGGCCGAGGCCGTGGTCACGCAGCACAACGACCGCACCGGAGTGCCCGCGGGCTCGGTACCCTCGATGACAGTCTCTTTCGAAGTCATGGGTATGGACCAGCCGGGGTCGATGAGCAAAGCGATCCGCATCTACATCGGAAGCGACGCACTCCGGACATATTCTGCCGATGTACTCTTCTCGCAGAACAAGATGGTCTTGTTTGGAAACGAGCGCGATCGCTTGCAGGTGCCCTTTGTTAGACCCGAGGACGACGGCATCTTCCGGCACATCTGCACCGCCAACATGATTCCTGAGAAGCCCAAGCTGAACGCGAATGCCATGCCGTTCGTGCTGGCGGGGCGAGGCATGGGCAATGGCGAGATGCCTGGAGACGACCCTTCGGTTCCCCAGCAGGAAGATGATGACGCGCACCGGTCACTCTCGCCACTTGGGTCGCACGTCGAGCCCAATAAACCTCTGGTGGCAGGGGAGACCCCGACTCATGGCGGCGGGAGCGAGAAGCTCGGCCGGGACGGCAACGCACGCGAGTCCAACGGTAGAGATGGCTCAACCGTTTCAGACAGGTCGCGGCGCGAATCGTCGGCGACGACGTCGTCGGGCATCTGGACGTCGTGGCGCCAGGGCGCTGCCGGCGGCGCGGATGGCCCGCCTCTGAGCGGGTACCAGCCGGCGGCGCGTGGCGGCCGGAGCATGAAGGTTCTCAGGCCGCACAAGTCGGGCTCCATGTCGGCGAGGGTGGGAGCCCCGTTTGAGACTTCATTGCCATCAAAGTCGTCGGACGGTCGTCGCAAGAGCCAGACCAGTGCCGTCGGCGAGGGTGGAAGCGCGGCTAACGGGGCCAGTCGGTGGGAGGCGAAGCGCACGCCGAGCCTGGGGAGCGAGGTCAGACCCCCAGCCAGCCGCGTCGACAGCCGGTCCGCCGGGACGCTGCCGCGATCTGCCAACCCGGTGGGCGTGGCGTCTGCGTTTTCGTGGATGACGCCGCCCGGCAAGCCGGCCAAGGCGTCGGCGACGAGCGGTGGGGACTGAGGGGACTCGTGGGCATTTTTGCATGTCGTTGCCGTTGGACTGCCGCGATAGACCAAGACGACCATGGCGCTGTGCCGTGGGTGGAGGGCATCTAGAAGGGCGCCACACACTCGGGTGTCTCTTGACGGGCACGGCGAGGCTGGCGGCCCAGGAGAGCTGGTGGCAGGGATACTTGGGTGTTCACATTTTTGTTTGTAGAAGGGCCAGACAATACAGACGAGCATGAGAACGCGAGGCCTCCATGATGGTTATGCCGAGGAGGACTCTCCACTCATGCGACACGGCGAGGGGTGAGGAGAGGTGCAGGCGCAGTGCGCCCGTGGCAGGTGGTATCTGAAAGGCGGTGTAGATACTGGGCACGAGAGTCGACACGTGCATGTACACACACAGCAAGGCTACGCACGCATGACCAGGACGACAAATGTGTATTCAAGAAAGCTTCGGTCGACTGGATCGGATGGCGTTGCCATGTGCCGTGCGACACGTCCACGACGCTGTTTTCTGCTCTTTACTCTGGCGGGAGGAGTCACATCTTGGGGGCGGGCGGCAGGACGTCGAGGACTCGCTTGGTGTCGGCCAGGGTCCCCTTGACGACGCCAAAGAGGCGCTTAAAGGCCGGGTGGGCGGCGTCGCCGAGGCACTCGTACATCCAGCTCTCGCTCGTGGTGACGACGACGCCGGGCTCGGCGCGGAGGCGGTCGAGGGCGACGAGGACCTCTGCGCGGTTGCAGCTGCTGACGGCGTCGGCCATGACGTAGGGGACGTGGCCGGCGTCGCGGAGGTCGAGGGCCGTCTGGGTGATGCAGACGTGCGACTCGATGCCGACGAGGGCGACGCGCGAGGCCGGGGCCAGGGCGGCGGCGAGCTGGGGGACCACCATGGAGAACTTGGTCTTGTCGTGCGGCGTGGCGGGCAGCAGCGAGGCGATGGCCGGGACCGTGGCGCCGAGCTTGGCCGCCGTCTGCGTCGTGGCGTGGATGGGGATGGACAGGGCGTTGGCGAAGGAGAGGAGCTTGGTCGTGGTGGTGACGCTGCCGTCGTCAGCCCGGCGTCGCTGCTTGAGCGTGCTGGAGGGAGACGCACATGCTGTCAAACTCGTAGATGGCGTTGCGGAACTTTTCCTGCATGTCGCAGACGCTGCCATGCTGTGTCAGAGTCTTGAATTGTCGCGCTTTTCTGCCCGTCATGGCAGCAGGCAGCATCCATCATCCACCCATCCTTGACCGGGGCCCGGGGTTAAACCAACAAGATGGCGGGGTTCTCTGGCGCCGCATCGTCAGCGAGAACAAGGACGCAGAGAAAGGAACAGGGGCCATACTGAAGCGCATCTCGGGCGGAGACGACGCGGCAGCCATGGTGCGCAGTGGTGCCCTCGGGGCAGCAGCAGCAGCAGCAGCAACGAGCGCTGGAGGCGGCGCGGAACGGCGGCGGAGCGGGGCGACGGCGGTGAGGAGAGACGATGCCGCGGCACGCATCCGACGTCGCGAGGCGTCTTGTACGCTGGAAGATATACAGTGTGTGAGAGAGCGTGCGCGTGAGGCAGAGCGGCAAGGCGAGGGGGGTGGCGGAGGGAACAGAGGAGGTGGTGGAGGAGGAAAGATGATGCGCAACACGAGGGCGGAAGGGTCGCGATGAGGCCAAAAGAAACCGGCCCTACCTGGTGGAACTAATCCAAGCCGCCTGCATATGCATGCATGCACTCCTGGCTGCGAGTGATCTCGTCGGACGAGCACATAAATTACATACAGCGTAATTGATTACAGCATGTACAAAATACGGACGACAGAAGACGGGGAGCGAGCACCAAAAAGCATCGTGAGCGCCTCACTTTTCTTTTGCGCCGGGACAATCAATGTTCTACTCATCTCGCCTCTAGACACGATGCAACCATTTTACCCACCCCCAGCGCCGTAGCAGCAACAAATAAGGAAACCCGAATAGAAAGAACAAAAACACCCCGTCCCAATCCATGCCTTCACGCCGCCACCTCGGCAAACCACGTCCGCAGCAGGCTCGCCAGCGCGCTCGGCAGCTCGTCGAGGTTGTGCACAATCAGGTAGTACTGGAACGGGAACGTGTCCAGATACCGCTCAATCACCACGCGGCTCTCGCCGTCCGGGCCCTTGGCAAACTTGGCCTCCTTGAGCTCCAGCACGCTGTCGCCCCTTTTCTTGCCGCTGTCGTCCATGATGATGAAGACAATCATGATGCGCTCCTCGGCCGCCTCCCGCAGCAGCCGCCGGATCGTCTCGTGCGCCCCCGACGGCGTCAGCCCGTCCGACAGCATCAGCGCCAGCTGCCACAGCTCCGACCCGGACCCCGACTGCTGTCGCCGGGCCGCCCGGAACGTGTCAATCGTCTGCCGCACGAGCTGCGCAATGTCCGTCTGCTCCTGCGAAAAGCTGAACCTCTGCAGCACCTTGGCCCCGGCGTCGGCTCCAAACGGCTCCGCCAGCTCGTGCGCCGTGAAGACGTCGCTCCCGAACCCGACCACGCCCACCTGGCCCGCCTCGAGCATCGTCAGCGACCGCGACACCATGACGAGCGACTCCATGGCCAGCCTTCCAGACGACGACTCCCCCATGCTCTTGCTGTCGTCGACGCAGAGGAGGATCTGATATCGCCGCTTCGTCGGCACGCTCCGCCGCATCCAGATCTTGTCCCTCTTGTAGCTCGACGCAATGTACGGGATGATGCGCTTGATGTTCAGCCGCTTGCCCGTCCGGAACGACCCCGACAGCTTCGTCGATTGAGACGGCGTGAGAATCAGCCGCAGCTGCGACGTCAGTGACAGCGACAGCCCGTGCGATTTGCTCTGGAACTCGCTCCACTGCCGCATGCACTCTGCGTAGTCTCGCAGGGGCCGCTGCTCGTCTGAGATGTGCGTCGACGACAGCTGCGCCGACGTCTCTTCCACACTGCCCTCGTCTTCCTCTTCCAGCCCCTTGGCCTCGCCCATGTCCAGCTCCGCAGGCGACGGTTCGCGGTTGTAGTTGCCTTGCCTGGTCTTGACTCCTGTCCGGTCCTCTTCCGTCATCTCCGTCGTCTCGGCATCTCTGGCTTCTGCCGCGTCCCCGACGTCCATCTTGTCGGCTTGCTCGTCCTTGTCCTCTTCTCCCTCCTCCTTCATGACGCGGCTATGAGGGTCCTCTCCTTCTTCCTCAATCGCCATAGACTCGTCGACGGGAAGTACTTCCTCGTCGCCCGCCGTGCCCATGGCTTGGGTGTCGGCGGCCGTCTCGTCGTTTTGGAGGTGCTGGAACTCGCGACGCCCTTGCTCCGCTTCATTCTTCGGCTCGGCTTGCTCTTGGCCCTCGTCGGCGTCGGCGTCTTGGATATCCGCCTGCTGGCGATGCCACTTTTCGAGGGCGTCTCCGAGTTTCCGGAAAGGGTCGTTGCGTGCGGCGTCCTCGGCATCGTCATCTTGCTCTGTTTTGCCGGGCGGCTCCTGTGATCGCGTCATCACCCCCTTGTTGCCCGCGTCGGCCTCTTGGTCCGCTGCGCCGTCGCCCATCTTCCCGTCCTGCTGCTGCGCCGCCTCGGCCTGGAATCGCTCGTCGGCTTCCATTGAGTCTGTGTTTTGGTCAAGCCCGGAGCTCTTGACGTCACTCGGGGCTGCGTTTTCAACATCAGCGTTGGCTTGATCTTCCGGAGCATCGGGCGCCTTCTCGGGCTGGTCCTCTGCCTGCTCCTCCTCCTGCTCCTCCGCCCCTTGCTCTACTTCCTCCTGCACCTCATCGGGCCCAGTCGCACGCTCCTCAGGGTCGCTGTCTTCACCATCCTCCTCTGCGGCCTCTTGCTCGAGCTGCTGGCGCGCTGCGTCGTCATTCATCTCTTCGTCAAGCGCTTCCTCGCCTTGTGGCTGTTCTTCCATGTCCTGCTGTTGATCTTCGGTGTCGGACATGGCGTCCAAGTCGTCGCTGTCCGAGGATGCCGATGCTTGATCGTTGAAATCCAAGTCCATCTCTTCGGGGAGCTCCAGAGCGTCGTTCTCCTCGACATTTTGATCCTGTCGGTTCACTTCCTCCTGAGCCGCCCCTTCTTCTCCCTCAGACTCCTCATTGTCAGCCGCTTGCTCCTCTGTTTTGGCCTCCTTGGTCTCCTTGGCCTCTTTCTCCTTTTCCTCTTGACCGTCTGTTTCTTCCGGGACCATCTGCTCATCGTCTTGCTCATGACCTGCTGGCTTGTTGCCTTGCTGATCCTTCTCTGCCTTTTCATCATCCCCATCCCACATCTTCTCATCCACTGCTGTGGGATCCAAATCATCGACATCGCCCGCCTCTTCGTCCATGCCATCATCATCTTCCTCATCCTTTCCGCTTTGGGAATCTTCATCGTCTTCAGCGCCATCAACGCTACCCATCTCCCCCTCCAGGTCCTCGTCCGCCATGTCTACAGCGTCCTTCTCGTCTTCAATGTCTTCCTTCTCCCCTTTGCTTGCTTCTTGTGCCAGCTCTGAAAGGTCCTCATCGGGCTGAATGTCTTTGCTGATGTCCTCAGCACCCTCGCCCTCGCCAAGTCCAGTGCCGGACTCGAGCTGGCCAGCATCGCCCGATTTCTCGTCTGACTTTTCTTGAGGAGTGCAGAAGCCTTGGGAAGCTATTTGCGTAAAGGCCTTTGTCAAGCTGTACGCCATGTTGAGCGTGGCACGGTGCAAATCGATGCCCTGTTCAACGCATTGGCAGCACAGAGTCAAGAACTGGTCGAGAATGGGGGCCGCAAGTCCGACGACACCCATTGCGGCCGCGCTGGCTCCCGGTTCGCTGAGATTGACTTGCTGCACTAGTTGGATACAGTGACGCAGGCTCCTTTCAACCCTCGCCATGTGAAGTTGGTGGATCGTCGCAAAGGCCACCTCGTCATGTTTCTTCAGCCACCCTGCTTCGTCTTCCTCTTGGGGAGTCGATGCTGCCGCTTTCTTTGCGCCCTCGACGGCAACCAGAATGGTGTCAACCAGGGTTGATGCTGCGTCCGCAAAGTCCTTTATTTCCGCAGTCGACTTTGGGTTGTCCAGATCTCGGCTTTCGACCTGTGTCCAGACCGAGACCTGTTGGAGGATGAACGCGAAGTTTGGTTTGTCGCGAATGAGTTCGTCCAGCACACCCCGCAAAACCTTGAGATCACTGGCAACAGCGGCTTCCAGCTGAACGTGTGCCTCAGAATTCAGCTGTGCTGGAAGCTTGCCCAGGTCACCCGATTTGACCAGGTGGGCCTCGACACGGGCTGCCCATGTTTGCAGTTCTTGAGTCACAGCGCCGACATCAGTCTGTCCCAGCTTGCCGTGCACCTGCGCTAGTTTGGCAGCAAACCACAGAATTTGCGCCAGCCAGGGCAAGAGACGAGACCACTTGCCGTCACGCTCGCGGCGAAGCAGTTTTCCGATTCTTTGGAAGTCGCCGAGGCGTCGGAATTCTTCCGCCAGGGCTCGCAGAGAAGAGCATGAGCGGCCTGCGCGAGCAAGTTTGCCTCGCTGCGAGAGGGCAAAGCTGATCATGCCTTCGACAAACCCAATGCATCGCCCAACTTCAGCCCCAGTCAAATCGTCAGAGTGCTCCCGCGGAGTGACTCTGGCCCTGGGGGCAAGATCAAGGGTCTTGTGGAATAAGTAATCGGCTTCCGCCAAGTTTGACGAGTGAGAGGCCTCGACCGGTGCCACAGACGCGAGCACGACGGCGAGTGACTCTTGTTCGGCCAATTTGTCCTGGGCCAGATTGTACTTCAACCCCATGGTTCGCAAGTCTCGTAGAGTATCTGCGAGAAGCTTGCGCTTCCTTGTCTTGAGGTGTTTGACCTTTTCCTTGGTTTCATCACTGAGGATTGAAGGGGTCTCCTGCCGGAGCTCGGCCATGGACGCACTCAAACCCGAAACAAATTCGTCGACAGTGTTGGCGGCGTTGCTTGTCATAGCCAGGCTCTGCGTGATCTTTGTCAGAACCGACACCGTCGTGCCTGCGTTGGCAAGTCGTCGGTGGTTATCCAGCCAGCCAGGTAGAGCCTCATTCAACGGCCTCGGATGAGCTTGAAGCGCATCGGCTGCCAAAACTTCAAGCGAGTTGACTTTGTCGGATGCAGGTTTCTCGTCCGGCAGGCCCTGCTCGATGATTGCCTTCATGTCTCTGCCCAAAACACCACGGAACTTTCGCACAAGCCTGAAAAGCTTCTGGTGCGACTTGCGGGCGCTCTCGCGAAGAGCGTCGATGTTAGTGTCTTTCCAGCTGGCCATGAGCAGCACATCCTTCATTTTCCTCTCGATTGGCGCTCGCCCAGTTTGTATGGCAGAGTCGGCAGCTCCCTGGTATCGCGCATAATAGCCAATAAAGTTCTTGACGGCGTGGCAAATGACTTCCAGGGTCGGATGGTCCTTGGCCAGCAGATACAAGTGGCTCAAGAGCTGCCGTAGCAGCGCAACGCGGGTCTTGAACTGGCCGACAATGGAGCTTGAAAAGTATACCTCCAGACTCTGAACCAGAGAGGTTGCGTAGCGGCGCAACTCGGACCGCGATTCAACAATGGACAGAGGAACGGCAATCACAACCTGGTAAGCGACAAACCACCAGGAATAGGCATCGTCCCGGCACTTTTGCTCCTCCATGTCGAACAAGTTCGCCCAAGTTGTCAGTTCAAGGCGGCGCCAACGGATGATGGTGTCGGTAAGCGCATCGTGGAGGGGCAAGACGGCATAGATCTTGCTGGCCCATCCACCAAACTGCCATTCGTAAACGAGAGTGTGAAGTTGTTCGACCTTGGGTATCAGCTTTGCAAGAGGCTCTGCGTGGACTTGGTCAAGAAGCTTGTCACAAGACTGGACAACATCTGCCAGCGGTTGCATGTGTCCGATCTCGTCCACGCGTTGCAGCTCTCGAAACCGGATTTTGATCTTCTGAGCGAGCGAAACCAGCTTGCGGGCTTCGGGAAGATTGGCATTTGTGTAGAAATTGTACGACTTGTCCACAGAAGCTGACTGAATTTCGTCGAGTTTTTCGCCGAGAAGGATGGTTGTAGTGGCGAGGAGCTTCCCATTGACACTGCGGTCAATGTTCGAGAGTTGACGGGTCTCGTCGGCGATCTGTTGACCAACGGCCATACAAGTGTCGCGGAGCGCAGCTTCTGGATCCAATCTTTCGAGGAAAACCGTCTTGTGCGCCTCTGCTACCTTGAGAGAGATATTACGGACCTGATCTGACGAAGTGTTCCGCTTCGCGGCAGACTCGTCTTCATCGTAGGTCGGGAAGAGCTCATTGAACTCCTTCTCATCAATCTCCTCTTCGTCTTCCAACGTGCCACGGAATCGATACATGCTGGTTCTCTCCGCCTCGGCTTTGCGTTCAGCTTCAAGTTTCTTGCTCCAGTCGTCAAAGAAGCTGTGGAAGCATTCAAAAACGTACTCGCACGTGTCGGGCGAAAGGCTATCCAATCCTTCGACCGCAACCATGGAGCTCACAAGGCTGAGATACTCGAAACTTTTTCTGCAGCCCTTTCCGGCAGGAGCGTCCCAGGTTTTGCTACCAAAGAACGGGGTTGCCTGCACAATGTCCTCTGTGGAAGCTCGCAGGGTTTCAGCCGTGGCTGCTTCGCAGAGTGAGAGTCCCACCAAGAGGCATCGCAACGCGTTCGCAATAGGCCCAGTCATGTCCTGGTAAGCTTTAAAATGGGAAGAGAAACGTGCCACAAGCGTCTGGACGTTAAACCGTATAAGCTTCAGCACATCGCTGGCTTCGCCTGCTGAGCCGGGGGATCCCAGGAGCTGGAGCAGCGACGAGATGCTCGAACCAGCGACGATCTTGAGAACATTCGAGCATTCGGTATGCAGTCTGTCGAGCTCGGAAACCTCTGGCCTGTAAACAGGCTGTTTGTGTTCGGGGGGAGGGCCAATCTCCGAAAGCTCGTATTCCAATAACTCGATTCGAACGCTCGTATCTTGTCCGCTGAACCTGTTCTCCAGCGTCTTCAGGGCAGATATCTTGTCTTGCAGCTGCACCCGTAAGCTACTGAAGAAGTCCAGTTCCACACGCAGGCGAAGTTGAGGGTCAAAGACACGGTCTGGGACGTAAAGTTTGACGACTCCCACGCTGAACTGAATCCAGGCCAATGCAGAAAAATGCGCCTTCTGCTCCGCATTGCTCTCGGCTGCGGCAATCCCAACAACAGCTGGAATGAGATGATCTCTGGATATTTGCCGAAGATGTTGCGCATCAATCTTGTCGAGTAAATCGTCGAACGCGGAGTCCCCGCCACTCAACCCAACTCGCGCGGCAGCTGAAACGGAGTCGATATGTTGCACCGCCAGCGAGTGTGCGCTGGCGACCCAGTCGTCGAGCTGGGGCTCGTGGGCAACAAAGACTTGCGAAAGAAGCTGCCATAGGATTTTATTGAGTTTGTCCAGAGGGTCAGTGGCGATTTCGACGCTCAGTTCGGAAATGCATCGCCCCATGAGGGGCAGCTCGCATTCAAGCAAGGCCAACGAGCGAAGGCTGACGTCTCCCAGATCCTGGAGCTTTTGCCAAACAGACGTGGCCAGCTTTCCATCCCAGCAGTGGATGTCCTGATGGACCAAGCAATCAACGGATTGCAGCGTTGCTGCTGAGCTGTTTGAAGCAGTAAGCATCATTGTCGCTTTGGTGGAGACACTCGACAAGACAGCCAGATCACTCCGTCGTTCATGGCCCTGGTACTCAAATGCGGGATATTGGAGCATAGATATTTGTCGGAGATGCTCAAAATCTCTGGCGAGGTAAGGTTGCAACTCGGCCTCTTGATCTCCAATGCTGGTCGCGAGCGAGTCAATGGCTGTCGTCAAGTCCCTCACAAGCTCATCTGCTGAAGATTGCCTATTCCGAATAATCACGTACGCTTCTTGAAGCGTTTTGTGAGCTTTGGAGAGGTCAAGTATTGACGCGTTTGCTTTCCAGCGAACGGCGTCGAATCGAGAGGCCAAGAGATCGAGCTCCAGCGACTGATCGAGAACAGCCTTGTCATGAAAGGGAGCCGGCCGGAACACGTGCCACATTATTTCCATGCTGAGGCCGGTCGACAGCTCGAACCCGCTGTTGAAGTTGCTTTCCAGTTGACGAAGGAGAAAGGTCATCAGCTCGAGGTCAGGGGAATCGTTCAAGGATGCGGGCGGATGCTGCAGCATGTGGATTCCAAGGGTCAGGTGAGCTTGAAATCTGGCTTCATCGAAGGCATCACGACTAGAGAGACCAATCGTCTGCTCCATGTAATGCGCGATGAGCCGGATGAGACGAGAGCGTTCCTAAATCCAGTTAGTAAACGCCACATGCTAAGACTTCAGTTGAGCTCGTACCTTCCATATCTCAAAAGACGAGAACTCAAAGACGACGTAGTCCTGTATGGCGCGTAGAGCAAGCGAAAGGAACGCGCACAGTTTGACGGTCGAGTCCTTTGATACTGCAGCAACTCGATCGCGGATGAAAGAACGTTGTAGTCGAGTCAGGGATGCTAGCCTGGTTGATCGAGCTTCACTACAATGGCGTTCAATCGTGCCCTGCAAGCTATACATCAGACGCGAAAACTCGACGCGGACCCCAGTCCACTGCGGCTTTCCTGCGGTCGGGACCAGCTGCGTGACAAGGCAGTTATTGAACGTGTTGATTGGCTGTACGTCTGTCAGTCGACGGACATCGAGAGTGGTATAGTCGGTACTTGCCTGGGTATTTGAGAGTCCTGGTATGCCTTCTGGGAGAGTTGAATACAAGTCCATAACAGCCTGCAAAGTCTTTGACCCGATTGACGACTGCAGGAATCCGACGAGGTCGTTCATTGGTTTAGGCGAGGCCCTGCCCTGCGCGACTGCACCCGAAGACTCTTTCACCAGACGCGGCAGCAAGGAGATGTCTTGTACGGACAAATACTCGCACGCGGCTTCGCGAGCGTATGCTAAAGAACGCTCGGGTGAAAGACTCTGGCAGTAGTCCTGTGCGAACTTGTACCTTCGAAGTCCGCTTTCGACGTCGGATATCCTGTTGAAGCAAGGTTCTGTGCTTGGCGGTGGAGTATGGATGTGAATCTCGACAGCGCGGTTTCTCATCGCCCGCGACAGCTCACCGTACCGCGGATCCATGGTCAGGAAGACTCGGAATTCCGGATGAGGTTTGATCATCTTTGGCTTGCCTTCCAGGTCGCAGTGCTCGTTGATGCACAAGAACCCATTTGGCTCGAGAAGTGAGTTCAGTCTGTCCAGGACAGAGGCATTACACATGTTTGCATTGTCAAGCACAAGCCATTGGCCCGTCTGTATGGCTTTGACGATAACCCCGTCGAGCCACTCGAATTGCGGGTTCGCAAGAATCAGGGGCCCTTGCAGGAGCCGACGGGCCTCGCTAAGCATGATCCCGATGTCGGAGTCGGTTGCGACGAGAGCCTGAAGGTGCTCAATGGCGGAAAGAATGTCATCGATGCCGTGGCCGTCTCCCGAGTAGGCATCGACCAGATGCAGCAAATGCAGTGCCTCGGCAGGTGCTTGGGCTGGAGCAATGGACATGACGGAGTCTTGGAGCTGGCCACGCAAGTTTCGCAACGTGGTGTTCACCTCTCGGAGAGGGTCTGCTTGCTCAAAACCACCAACAAGGTCCATTGTGTCAACATCTGCGTTCATGGGAAATACCACAAGGGGCTTTCCGGCCAACGCGGCAACGTATGTCAATAGAGTGGATTTACCAAAGCCAGACGGGCTGCTCAATATGCAGGGGATGTTCTTCTCAACGCATATCATCAAGGACTCTAGCTCGGGGAGCCTGGGGACAACGTCGATGCTTGGCAGTCTCTCATGTTGGCAATTCGCGTTCCTGCGCAGGAGAGCCAAGCCGACTTGGGTAAATCTCGAGTTGATGTCATGGTAGAGCGGGTGTGCCCGAGGTTCCAGCCCGGCAAGACGGCCGAATAGCCTGTTCACCTCATCACGGTCCTTTTGCGTTCTGAAGCGTTGTCGAACAATGATATCCAGGAAGTCGTCAACACGAGCAGCGCTGAGCAGAGGATCGGAGGAGTTCAGCAAGTCCAGCCACCTAAGGATGTCACGAAGATTGAACTCCCAAGGGCCGCCCTGTGACCCGAATGACTTCTCGATGGTGAGTAGGCGATCAATCTGAGAGACAAAATCGATCAAAAGACTGGCGGTCGTGGGGCAGACATCGGGGAAGTTATGAGACGCGATGAGCTTCAGGTCGTCATCCTTGAAGACGTCTGCATATACGACAATGAAGCGGTTCACGAAAGAAGCCGGCAGTCCCTTGCGACCTCCACCTTGATGATGAGGGTTTTGAGCCGCGAAGAGTCGGAAGCCGGGGTGGCGCTTGAAAACCTGGTCAAGCTCGGAGATGTAGACTTCCCCACGATGGTCGAGACAGGCGTTCAAGCCCTCCAAGACAGACTGAGAGGCAAGGTTCATTTCGTCAAGGAGAACCCAGTCGCCTTTCTGCATCGCTTGCAAGAAGGGGGCGTCCCTCCATGCAAAGTTGCCTGCTTCCTCCCCTTCGACGGGCACATCCGTTCCAAAGAGATCCATCAGGTCTGTCTGATCAGACAGGTTGATCCGCGTCAGGGGACGGCCGCAGGCCTGGGACAATGCTGCGACCAGAGAAGTCTTTCCGACGCCAGGGCTTCCCTCAAGCAGGATGGGTTTGCGCATCTGAAGGGCACGCACAACTCTCATGGCATTAAGCCTTGTTGTCGGCGCGTGGAAAGCGAAGCCCGTGTTGGTCGCACTACTTGGGAAGCGAGGCACACTAAAGTTCCCAATGGATAGCAAGTCGTCGGTCATGACAAGCTCAAGCTCCGATCCATACATTTTGGAAACATCACGGCCAACAAGTCGCCCGAGTGTCGCAAGGCATTCTTGCCGCTGTTGATGGATAGCGTTAAGATCGGTTGCCAGGATGGCTGACGGATTTGCCCCGATGCTGTCGACGAAAATGGCCGAGGCACCGTGGACCAAGGAGACAATCGCATCGGCGTCCTTGAACGAGTTGATGAAGTCGACCCAAGCAAGAACCTCTCGCACTGAGAATCGCGTGGTAGCCATCGGTCGGAAAGTCTCCCCAAACCACACAGCAAACTGAACCATGGCATCGACAAGATGCTTGCATCCCTCAACCAATTTCGTGCGCACAATGTTATAGATGTCATGGCTTTCGGATAACGGCGGCACCCAGATTTCCGTGAAGCGATTGCGCAGGGCCGGAGACAGCTCCTTTTTGCCGAAATCTCCGCCGGGGTTCATGGTAGCGAAGAACTGGAAGCCGGCTGAAGCCAAGATGAAGCTGTTATCGATGCCCTTTTCAGCCAGGAGCAGCGTTCTCTGGGGTTCTAGAACAGAGTTAAGTCTTTCCAAGACAGAGTCATCGGCAAGTGAGATCTCGTCGAGGAGGAAAAAGTGTCCGTCCCGCATCGCCTCTACAAGGGCTCCATCAGACCACTCAAACAATGCCTTAACTCTCGTCTCGTTCGCTGTGACACGTTGAACGAGTTCCGGTGAGAGTTTTGCGACTGTCATTTCGTCGACGGATTTGTATATCTCCAGCTTCTCCTCGATTGAGCCTGGAATGGCCAGCCCGAGTGTCTCCAAGATTGACGCGAGGTCGGTGTTCAAGGCCTCCAGGATTGCACCACGGTTTCGGACGGGCCTTTGAGAACCTATGAGGTCCCCGGTCTCTGTATTCTGGTGGGCGTTGACAATGTCTAGTCGCTTGTTGAGGGCTTCAGCAAGCAGCTGACAAACTGTTGTCTTGCCACAGCCCGTCTCGCCGACAAGAAGGACAGGCTCGTTATTCCGTAGGGCCCGAGAAACGAGGACATATAGTCGTCGCATGGCACGCGTCCAGACCACGTCCTGGCCGTTCGACTGTCGGGTCAGGCCCTTGAGTTCGGGCGCAACATCTGCCGAGTAGAGCTCGTTTGGGTTAATTGCAATCTTGAAAACCTTTTCAATGATTTCCTTGACGGCCAACCGCTCCTCTTCGTTTCGAACCCTTTCCGCCAGAAGCATGAAGCCGTGGGCAGCAATCTCCTCCCGGGAATCGGCCTCTCTGAGAGCCCAGCGAAACAAGTCTCGCAACGTCGCAAAACTATCCTTTTGCTCAAAGAGTCTGCTGGTCTGACGCAGCCGAGAGAGTTCTTTGTACACGGTCACGATTCGTCGGCAATCTGGTGGAGACGTGTTGCGGCTGCGTCGCTGCAGAATGTACTCCAGCTCATCTTCGGGGATATCGTCAAAGTGCAGCTCCAGGAATCTGTTCCGGAACGCCCTGGAAAGAATCTTTCGGCCGCCATAGAGGCCAGGAGGGTTTTGAGTGGCAAAGAGAATGAAGTTCTCATGGGGTCTAACTACTTCCTGGGTCTCCGGGATCAGCAACTCGCGGTTGTCATCCAAGAGGCGATTCAAGGCCTCCAAGACGTCGGTCGGCGCCAGGTTGAGCTCGTCCAGTACGATCCAGTGGCCTTGTCGCATGGCTTGAACGAGGAGACCTTCTTGAAAGCGCAATTTCCCGTCCGATCCGGAGACATATGTGCCCAGGTACTCTTGGAGGTCGGTGTGCTCGTGGTTGTTGATGCGCACAAACTTGTTACCTGTAAAGTTGGCTAGATACTCGATCATGCTTGTTTTACCCGCCGACGTGGGTCCCTGGATGAGGATTGGGAATCGTCTGGTTGAGGTTGCCCGGACCAGGTTGAGGAGATTTCTCTCCACGTATGGAGTGATGATGTAGTCTTCCCTTTCAACGGGAGTCTCTTCGCCTTGAAAAAGCCAGTACTGGCGATTCCGGTTCTGGTTCTGGAACCTGACATAGCGTCTTCCGTCGTTAGGATGTTTCGGTGCTTGCGACAGGAGCGACTGAGAATTCCCGTGCTTATCGAGGAGGTGGTGGTAGATGAGTGGAAGCAGCATAATCTCCGAATCCCGGTCCAACAGAGTGAGGAAGCCCATTGAGAATCCCTCATACAAAGCGCGCCGCAGGCCGTACAGGGGAGCAATCGTGTTGACATAACTCAGGACCCGAGTCAGTGTCCGCAAGCTGAAGTGGGGGACCTCGTTGGCCCCATCAACGAGCCGCTTCTCCTCCGCCAAGCGCTTGGTGTTGAGATACAGTCGTGCGATGTCGTCTGCTGCCTGGTCATTCTTGATGCTGCTGCTTCCCAGGTACGCTTTGACGATGGTGAGGAGGTCTTTGTGGTCTGCGTCAGGGCTTCTGACATAAAGCTCCGTGAACCTCGACCTGATGCCGATGGGCAAGTCCCTTTTGCCGATATCAGTGGCGGGATTCATGGCGCCAAAAATGCGGAAGTTTGGATGGGCAACGACTTTCTCGAGCTCTCCTGTCTCCGCAAGCAAGATTGAGGGCAGCTCATCCGGTCCAACCAGGAGATCCGCAATGCTCTCCAGGGTGTCTGGGGAGGCAAGATTGATTTCGTCCAGAAGCACCCAGTCGCCGTTTCGGACAGCTTTGACGAGGTTGCCTTCCACAAAGGAAAACGCAAAACTTCCAGATCCGCCTGAAATCTGCACGTCGAACTGATCCAGGTTGCGCGCAAATGAGTCCCACCGTGGCCGCAACTCTTTTAGAGTCTGCAGCTTGGACTGCGTCCTTCGGCGCTTTGTTGGCTGCGCACCGTCATCCCGAGACTCAGACTGCATGCGTTCCAGCTCGCTCACGATCTTGACAAACATTTTCGGGGCTTCTTTCCAGAGCTTGGACAGTTTCGACCACTGCCCTTTGGCAAAAGACCTGCCAATCTGCTCCAGGTACTTTTGGTTCTTGGAGGCAGAGATTCCCGTTGCCGCAAAGAGGTCTTCGAACTCCTCTTTCAGGGGAACGGCTAGGCTCCGCACGTTTACAGGCTTGAAGCCGCCAAGCAAGTCTCCAACCTCGCTCTGTTGCGACAGGTTGACGGCTATAAGCTTATGCCCAAGAGACTCTGCAAGCTGCTGGACCACGGTCGTTTTACCGATTCCCGTCTCGCCGACGAGTAACACTGGTTCCTGCAGCTTGACTGCCACGGCGATTTGCTCCAGCAGCTTCTTGGCGTGGGCGGTGCTGGCAAAGGGCCGCTTCGACTTTTGTAGCCGAGACGACGCCCTCTTCTTTCGCAGCTGGGCTCTTCCGATGTTGAGCATGAGATCGTTTTCTTCCAAAATGGGTATATTGGCAGACAGGTAATGTTCTGCCCTATCTTTGGACATGTGCATTTCCTCAGCAATGGCATATACAAATCGGCTGCCGAGTTCAACATCAGGACAGCTTCCCACGAAACAATCCAATGCTTCCATGAACATCCAGTCTCGCGTGGTTTCACTGATTGGCTCATCGCCCGATGTCGATCCCGCCCCCAGGAGGCATTCTCTAAGCCGGCGACACCACTTGAGCAGGTCCCTCAGGTTCATCTGGCGATCCATGACGCTTCGCCCACGAGACATGAGAGCCGGGTTTCTCGTCAGGTGCGAAAGACGCTCGTGGACTGCGAGGATACCTGGCGCGAACTTATGCAGAATCGGATAGGTTTGCAGGACAATATGTTCCAGCTCTGATGACGCAGGGGGCTGGGTGTAAAGAGATTGCCAGAATCGCATGCCGACCAGGCTCGGCAAGTTTTCTCGGCCATTGATGCCGGGAGACGTCCGTACCGTGGCAAAGAGACGGAAACTCTTTGCAGCGCGTATTCTCTCTCCGCGGGTAGGTATGAGAAGCTCTTGACGCTCGATGAGGGGCAGCAGAGTACTCAAAACCTCGGTTGGCGCCCGGTCGAGGTCCTCTATGAGCACCCATCTTCCTTCTCTCACGGCCGTGGTCAGAACACCAGGGCGCCACTGGAAGCTGCCGGGTTTCGAGTCGGTCGAGTACAGACCGATGAGCATCTTGGCGTCGGTCTGTTCGTTTAGGTGGAGCGTGACCATGCTTGAATACATGCCGAGCTGTTTGGCGAACTCGTGGACCAATGCAGTCTTGCCGACCCCTGGGGGGCCATGAAGAAGAATCGGGTCGGCTTCTCGGAGCATGGATGCAAGATTCTCAAGATTCGTCATTGTCGTGGCAGTCATCACTAAGGCCGAGGGGTCACCAATTGATCCATGCGGTCGCGGTAGGACGAATTTCCCGTAAGGCACAACATATGGGGTCAGTGATTGAAGCAGAGCCTCCTCTTTAGAATCATCATGGCCCTGCTCCAACTGTTGCCGCAGTGCGACGACTCTCTGGGCCCGGGCGTGCTCGTGCAACGAGAGAAAGCCAAAGTCAACCGGGGTTCCGTCCAATTCGGCGATGATGGCGTCTTCTTGTCCACAGTGTTCCTTGACGAGAGCCTCGAGTTTGAGGTCAGACGCATGAAGCAGTTGGCAGAAGACCCGGATCGCAATGAGCCGGACGGCCCTGCTTTCGTGCCTAGTAAACAGGCTCTGCAGGTAAGAAGGTGACGCCAGATGTCTAAATGTACGAGCATCAAAGCTCAGCAGCCTCCAGGCCGTGACGAGGGTCTGCAGTAGGTCATTGGACGATACTGTCTCGTCAAGCTGGGGCAGCAGCAATCGCAGGGATGGCGGCTCGTTGTTCACTGAAGACTGCGCAGAACAAGTGAGGAAGGCCGAAAGATATGGCGCAAACGGTAGCAGCCTCGCAAAAGCCGCGGCAATGGCCGTGTGTTGCGTGCCAGGCCCAGCGTGGAGGATCCAGCGGGCGCAAATGTCCGGGAACACATCTTCGAAATGCACAAAGACTTGTTCTGTAAGTGACGGGCTCAGGGCCGCCTGCGCGACGGCATCGAGCAAGGTTGACGACGTGTGATGTCGGATAAGTTCAAGTAATTCCGGCGGCAGATGATGCAAAGCAGTCGCATCCGCCAGAAGCGACCTCCTCTGCCGCGCGACGTCGATCGAGGCCATGATGGCGTCGTTGTCGACAAAAATGTTGCTCTCGCCGCTGTTGATCGTTCACTTCTTTGCCTCGGCGGACTTTTTCTTGGGGAGAAAAATCAGGGTGGTGCAGGGGGGTGTCGAGAGTCGGCGGTGGCACAATAATATTCCGGGCCAATCAGCACTCGGCTCGCAGGCGGCTGAGGTAGGTAGAGAAGCTCGAAAAACTTGAGTCGGACGCTGCACGCGATTGAACGACTACGAAGCCACGGAACCCCCCGTCTCTGTCCTACGAGCAGCAATGGCCATGTCTTGCCGGTACGCAGCGCGAAGCTGCTCTCGCCAGCTGCGATCCCTCGGCCCGGCCAGAGCCTCCGCACAGATGCTTCGAGTCGCCTCGACGACAAGGCGATGGAACTCGGCCGAGACAGCCGCCTCGACGAACCCCAAGATTGCACAGATCGTCGACCAGATCAGCCAATTGACGCTGTTAGAGACTGCCGACCTCGTCTCTAGCTTGAAAGTCTGTGTCGAAGCCCTCGCCGGCGTGGCCAAAGGCTTGCTGGCTAACCACTCGTGACAGAGCAAGCTCAACATCCCCGACGTGCCCATGGGCGGCTTCGCCGCCCCTGCTGCCGGTGCTGCTCCCGCCGCCGCCGTCGAAGAAGCCGAGGAAGCCGCCCCGGCCGCAGCCGAGAAGACGCTGTTCACCCTCAAGATGCAAGCAATCGACGCCGCCGCCAAGGCCAAGATTATTAAAGAAGTCAAGGGCCTCTTGGGCCTGAGTTTAGTGGACAGCAAGAAGTTTGTCGAGAGCGTGCCGAAGGTCATGAAAGATAATATCCCCAAGGAAGAGGCGGAGAAGATCATTGCCAAGATGAAAGAGCTGGGCGCCACCGTCGTGATGGAGTGATGGGCCCTTCGGCAGCAAACAGGACCGATGACATGAAGGAGAGCCATCTCGCATGTACAAAATCGTGTGTACAACTATCCAACAGAAACCAAGACCTTCGATGGGAGCAATATTCCCGGCCATCATCGACTCTCAATTGCTCTATATGGGGCTGCTCGTCGGCCCTTGCTGGGGCACCGCCACAGATGTTACAAGAATTCATCTCAACATGTGATTGTAAACAAAATCCCAGGGGTATCTCAACAGCTTCCATCTCTCTTGCAGACGAGTCCCCCGCCCCAGCAGAATCAGAAAAACGCCGCCCAATGCTGCCCGTGCGATGCCCCGTCTCTTAATTCAATGACGATCTCCGTTGGTGGCCCGCTTGTGGGGGCATTGCTGCAGAGCCATTTCCTTGGAAAAGTCCTCGGCCTCTTCGGTCAACAGACGATCGTCGTCTTCTCCAAAGTCGCTCGTCTCCTCCCAAAGCTTATTCATTTCGGCGTCTTCTCCCTTGGGGGTCGCCCAGATACTTTCCCGCGCCCGTTTGTGCCGCTCCCGGTCTTCCTCGATGCGCTGCTCAATCTGCCGCTTGTCGATTCTGTGCGGAACCGGCCGTTTCCCCGGCCTGGGAGTTGTCCGCGATGGGGACCCATCAACCGTTTCCCCATCGCCGGCAGGGGAAGAGACGAGGCCCAGGTCGTCGTCATTAGTTTCCCGCTCGCGCAGCACGTCCTCTATTTGAATGACGGCTTGAGATTCGAGATGGCCCTTGCCTTGAAGGCCCTGCAGAACCTATGCGCCGGGGTGAATAGGGCGTCGAGGGGGGGCATGAAGCTGAAGCCGTCCGCAGACTGGCTATGAGACTTACCTTGCGAACAACTCTGATATTAGCCGCGCCAGATCCATCGTCGGGAGCAACAGCGTCTACTACGCGAATGATGTCGCGCTGCATCATGCGGATGTAGTCGGCGTGCCCATCCTTGGCCAGGTCGAGAAAGTGCTCGATGAAATACATGATGTTTGCCCGCGTGTTCATGTTGTTCTGCCGCAAGACTCAGCAAGCCGTCTCTCACGGTCGACGAAGCATCTCATACCCGTTCCACCTGCTCGATGATGCACGAGTGCAGGTCCTCGTCCATGTCCTTGTACTTGAGGGCATACTGGGCGGCTTTTTGCGCCGAGTTCACCGAGGCGTTGAGGTGCTGGAGCTGCGAGCTGAAGCGCATGCGCACCTCAAACGGATCGGCCATTTCGTGAGAGTTTGCAGGTCCCTTCGCTTCCCGTCGTCGTCACGGGGCTTAAGGCGGGAAGAAGAATCGCTGGCCGCGCAGAGGTCACTGAAGGTTGGTGGATGAGTAAGCGAGCCATGTCTTTTCCGGGACCTGGATTGCGGTGACGGCCGTCTTGGCTGTGCCACTGCTGTCACCTGCAGCCGCCCTCTAAGCGGCAAAGCTCCGGAGGTCAACGCCAAGTGCCGGCACCGGAAGCAACCTCTCCAGGCACCGCGCTCCGTACTTTAGCGGTCATTTATAAAGTTACACCCCTGCTATCCAGCGCGGTTATCTCTCCCTTATCTTGCTTCCACAGTGTTGATGCTTCCTGTCTTCGACGTCCATCCTCCCTTCTCCGCACTCACAGCACCCATTGGTTGTAGGCTCCATCATCGTAGAAGACCCAGTTTGTCCATCTACGCTCGACATGCTTTCCCTCTCCAACCATGGCTCATCGCCTCAGGAGCTCACAATGGCGGTCCTGGGCTGCGGTAAGTAGGCCAAAGAAGAACCCATCTCGAGATGCTTTGCGCGCTCATCAAGCCCCCCTTTGCTAGGCACAATGGGCATCGCCATTCTGAACGGCATCCTCACTTCCCTCTCCGACATGCACGCAGCCAAGTCCCTAGCCACGCCCTCCTCCTCGGGCATCTCGACTCCCGCCGAGGAGCTTCCGCAAGCCTTGCCCGCCCGCTTCATTGCCTGCGTGCGCAGCCCCGAGAGCGCGCAAAAGGTCAAGGCCGCGCTGCGCGACCATGCAGCCGTCAAGGTCGTCCAAAAGGACAACCTGGCCGCCGTTCAGCAGGCCCAGATCGTCCTTCTCGCCTGCAAGCCCTACATGGTCAACGATGTCTTGGGCCAGGACGGCATGGCTGATGCGCTGCGCGGCAAAGTGCTCATTAGTATCTGCGCCGGCATCACCGACAAGCACATGGAGACGGCAATCTACCGCGATTGCCACCCCCTGGGTATCGACCAAGCCGGTGGAGTTAGGATAGTCCGCGCCATGTGCAACACCGCTGCTCTTATCCGCGAGTCCATGACCGTCATCGGCCTCACCGACCCCCCCCTGCCACCTCAAGTCAAAACCCTTGTCACCTGGATCTTCAAACGCGTCGGCGACGTCGTCTACCTGCCAACCAGCACCATGGACGCCTCTACCGCCTTGGTCGGATCCGCCCCGGCCATATTCGCCCTCATGCTCGAGGCCGCCATCGACGGAGCCGTGGCCATGGGCCTTCCCCGTGCCGAAGCCCAGAAAATGGCCACCCAAGCCATGAGGGGGACCACGGGCCTTGTCCAGGCCGGCGAGCACCCGGCTATCCTCAGAGAGAAGGTGTCGACGCCGGGCGGGTGCACCATCGGCGGTCTGCTGGTCCTTGAAGAGGGAGGCGTCCGCGGCAGTGTTTCGCGGGCCATACGCGAGGCCACCTGCGTTGCCAGCCAGCTCGGCAAGGGGGTCCAGGGAGTCAATGGGACCAGGTTCAGCACGGCTCCTCAGTAAGACTGACGAGTCACGATTGCTTTGCTGGCATCGGCACGAGAAACGGTAACGAGGCACGCTTCACTAGAAGGAGAGATGGGCATTTGGGCAGCGACAGCCCGCATCCTCTGTTGGATATTTGGGAAATTTCACTTTGGAGCCTGCATCAACGCAGCAAGGAAATTTTGCTTTCAAAAGTTTATAAATCTCGTGCTAGACAATCACACGTATCCGTACACGCTGTCCTGGCGGACAACCTCAACGCCTAGAGTGCCTCCTGAATCTGCCCTTCTTCGAAAGCCATGTCCCTTGACGACGCCGCTTTTTACGCACTCTCGGTCCTCCCTTTTTTGCTGGGAGGCTCACCCCCCGTTTCGTCCAACTTCCGTTTCCCGTTGGCCTGAGGTTGCGGCAGCGCTGTCGAGTGCTTCGCAGCACGGTCATGGGCCGCCAGCAGCCGAGCGTACTCCAGCTCCACGCTGGTAAGAGTCTCGCGTAGCTTTTCGATACGCTCAGAGGGCTCGATCTGCGAGAGCACGTCCCTGTTGTGTCGGTACAGTCGTTGCTTGACAATCAGCTGCCATATCCTCTCCTGGTGTTTGTCGGCCTTTGTCGGCGCCGGAACAAGGGCGTCGAGGTCCAACGTGGGCCGCACCGAGGCCGGCAGCTTGGACATGAGGTGCATCTCGACGACGCGTGCGAATTGCCGCGGGGCTATCTTGGCCTTGCGCCTGATACGCTCGAGCGCGTCGCCGCCAACGACCAGAGGCGGCACGGCACCGGATTCAGGTATCGACACTGAGGTGTCCAGGCCGAGGGCGTTGAACTCGGGGATGGTGCGGAGAAAGGTCAGGTCGCAGATGTCTCGAAGATCATCGAAAGTCTCGCTTGGATTCTCGACCGTAAACTCATGCGTCTGGGGGTGTGCGTGATACGACTCAAAGATGGTCTTGTAAAGGCGAGCACCGTTGCCCTTGCCCTGGAACGGCGGCAGGATGACAAACTGGGAAAGCCTCGTTCTGCAGGGAAGTTCGGCCAGATCATAGTTCCCTTGTGGCAGTTCCCAGCTATCCTTTGGCGACGGGGGGGGCGTGTGGCGCTGGAAGTAGAAGAAACGATAGACTGTCGCGTAGCCGACAAAGACATACGACGTCTTTTCAGGGTCCTCGGATGATGTTTGCGTCTTGTAGAGGAAAAAGACTGTCCAGCGGTCGGCGTCGGAGAGATCTAGTTCGGACGAGTCCGAGTCTGCGCTCTGCCCGATGTAGGTTCCTCCCTCGATGAACAGCGGGACTAGGATCTGGACGCGGCTGTTGAGCTGCTTGATGGCGGGATCTGCGAGACTGCCTTTCCAGATCTCGTAGCGGCCGTCGGTGCCGTCGATGGTCGCGTGAAGGGTTCCGGGAGGCGTCCAGTTGTCGCCAAGCTGCTTCGAGCTGTTCTCAAAATCGGATCCTTTGACAAAGGCGACTTGGACGGGTCAGCGGTCATCTCGAAACCAGGTTCCCCGAGTTTGCTAGGCTGGACCAACCTTTTGGCAAATGGCCACCCTCTGCCAACACAGCTGCCACATCGGTGGGCTCGTCAACGCCAGCGGGAGGCTTCAACTTCTTGCTATACGAAGTGTGGAGATGCGGGCGCATGTCGTTGGCGCGGAAGCGCAGGCCGACCTTCAGATCCTTGTATCCGAAGATTTTCTCGTCGTCGCCGAAGATTGCGTATGTGAACTTGGGATGGAATGTTGCGACGGACCTGAGTCCAGACGACGACGGCGACACGAGGCTCACCGCGAGGGCCTCGTTGGCGTTCTCCAGCCCTGTGGGAACGGTTAGCGACGTGCTTGGTGCGGAGAAGAGCCGTGACTGACATTCTTCTATGTCGGGCATCGAGGCCATGGTGATGACTGCAGAGCTGTGCAAGCTCTGTGACCGCAGCTGGAATCCCGCAACGAGGTTAGTGTAGCAGAGGATGTAGGCTGACGGCGTTGGAGCTGTGCAACGTGAATCTCCAAGCTCAAAAGATTGCAAGGGAAACGCGCAATCACGCGTACAGGCGACTCTACAGTAAATCTACGAATACTCTTAAAACGCCAATCTACTAAGTTACAGTAGGTACCTAGGTATCTATGCTAGGCGTACCCTCGGGGTGAGGTTGTATCCGCTTGGTTATCGATACCATGTGCGCCGGCCCCGTTAGGAGGATAATTACGGGCTAAACAATCTTGAAGTACGGATTACGGGGTACAACGCATAGGTACATAACTCCAAGTGCGCGCGTCGCCTTTCACATGTCGCAGCGCGGAGTTCTGAACTTCTGACAATAGACACTTCCGTATATCCGAATAGCTTCGTGATCTCGTCATCTCAACTTTCGTACAACATTTGCAACCTTCAACAGACGACTATTGGTTCCTTGAAGAGTCGAAGCGCGTGGGCACCACGGTCTCGCTCTCACATGCTCAATGCCTGTCGTCATCTACCATACATGTGAGACTTGATATCATGTGGGTGGTGTCGGCATCGCTCATCTGAGGAGCCCGTAGGCATGGGCCTCCGGGAATTCTCGCACCAGCGGAATGGGCATCAAGAGCGCCCGTATTTTGGAGGAATTCTCGGGCCTTGTCTTCTGCTGCTGGTCGCTGTAACGGCAACGTTTTAACAATCCCAGCCATTTGGTACACCACCGCTGAAGGACAGCTAGGAAAGCTCTCTGAATGGGACCTGGAGCAGCTTACCTGCAAAGCCCGCGTAGTCGTGGAAAGAACCGGCGGAGCGGTATACTGAACTGTCCGACAAGTTCTGCCTCTGCGTCTCCAAGGTCTTCCGGGCGAGCAACCGAGTGGAGTAGCATCACCTCTGGTGATGTATGATATTCTGGGACATCAGCAATCATGTCTGGTCTGGGTTGGCGTGGGTATGTATCGTAGAAATGGGGCGTAAGTGCATATAGAAATATAATATGAGTCTAAATAGTAATACTCTATTAATTATACGAATCTTGGTTATGACAAGTGACCGAAGTGTAGCTGGAAGGATGGCGGCGTGCAGTCGGATGGATGGGTCTAACGCCAGACATAGAAATCCTCAGCCACACGGCACCCATAACACGGCCCCCATGGCAATGTGGTTCGGCCCCATCAGTCATTGCCATAAAGAGCGGCTGTGGCGTAGGGTTGACGAGGAGCAACGGCGGGTAAATATGCAAAAAGCGCAAGACCCTGGTTATGACGAGATAGGGATCATAGAGGGGGCGCCATGGGAAACTTGGAACGGGCACGCCGACGCTGGTCGAGCCGTCGCAACGCCATAACACGCCCGTCTCTCCGCGGGTAGACGTACTTTCAGGATACGGGCTGGTTGTCACGGCCAGTGTGGTAATTGATGCAAACAATTCGTATAAGTCACTGCTTGATAACTGACTGCTTGTTGAGAAGTCTGGTGCAAGCGTCATCCGTCTAGCGCTTGCATGCCGACCCTGAAGGAAAACTAAGGCCAGGCTTCTTCTTCGGTCCAAGAGGCGACCCCGGAACGTGGGCGGCAGCCGTCCCTGGGCTTGGGCTCTTCCGACCTGGGCTCGGGCTCCTAGACCTTCCCCCCTCTCCTGGTACAGCAAGAGAGTTCGGCCTCCGACCTGGGCTTGGGCTCCTACGAAGGTTCAAAGTTGGCCCACTTCCCATCATGCCTGGTACCCTAAGCCCCTCCCCACCAAACTGTCTCTTAGTGCCATCCAGGATGAGGTCCCTGACAAGTCCAAGGTTCGGCTTGTCTAGACCTTGTCGTGGAAAGATCGCAGGGTTTTCAGGGAGCTCTGAAGGCCAGGCGACGGCCAGTCCTAAAGGAACAGCGAGGAGCGTCTTTAGGATCTTCATTTTGGCAATAAGGAGTTGGCAAGCAACGTTTGTAGCAGATAACCTGATGCCGAGTAGCCTTAGAAATGAATAAAGAGAGAGTAAAGTAGCAGATAGAATGATGTATAGTATAGGTGTCTGGCACTATATGTAGATTTATTACTAAACGCGGGGGATTTGGAAAGGGTTGACAATTGTCATGGAAGGTAGTAAAGCCAGACGGCATGTCCCAACTTATATTGCCCTAGTCACTGGCTGTCAGTCTGCGGGGGAAAATTGGCCTCTTCCCGAAGCGTAACAACGACATGCATTAAGGTCTACGAAAGTCGGCTCGAGTCCAGTAATGTTTCAGAATACTAGAACTAGCTGGAGCTGCCATGCCGTAGCGTAAACCATATATAAGTGGGAAATGGTTTTGGCTCTAGTGGAGTATGTATCTTTTCACTGACACTCGGCGTAGCTATTCGTAACACTACTTGAGGGATTGTAGGAATACCATGGTCACTTTCATGCGTCCCGCGCCGCATGCATGAGGTCCTTCTTTATGCTAACCCCATGGGCCTAGCTATTGGGATGTGGCTGTGGGGAACACGCTTCTGGTGCCGACTTCAAAAAGTGGGTGTAGATAAGGACCTGTGGTCCCTTAGATACCCTGTCCCCCCACAGATCCATTTAACTGAGTTTTGTCAGTCAATTTCCCAATTCGGGAGTCACGGGTCATGTTATATGGGGGGCCCAAGGTCAGCTCCTTCGATGAATCCGACACGACAGCATGCTCTATGCCAGATCAGCAACTGATATTTCAGCGCCTCAGGCCTAAGTAGAGAATAGGCTGTTCTAATTTACTGGGAACCGAGAGTTGAGTGAGGGAACGACCACGTGACTCTCATTCTTTGCGAATAGTCTTACTTTATGATCATTGTGTAAATAGCTTTGAGTCCGAGCTATCCTTGAGAATCTCTTTCTCTCCTTGGGAACGATCACTTTGTCCAAGTCGCATTTGACCTTGCTCGTGCTCTTGAACCGTCGCAGGTTTATACTCGCGAATGTGGTCTTTAATCTGTAGTACTCTCTACCTTGCCATGTAGCTGCCCTTAACCTTTTAGGAGCACGCGCTAAGGGATTTCCCGGTGATCTGCCGGATCGGACGATTCGCCGGATTCACCGCCAGTTCGCGTCTCCACTTCAATCCTGAATTACTCCACCACCATGGCCCCAATTGATGAAGCGCTTGACTTTCTGAAGTCGTGTGGCACTGTTAACTATGCCAAGACTGCGCGTCAGTTCAATTGCGACGAGACTACCCTGCGACGGCGACACCAAGGCAAACAGAGGTCAAGAGAGGATGCCGACAGTTTGTATAAGTCACGTCTCTCGAAACAGCAGGAAAGGGACCTTGTTGCGTATATTCGCAAGCTTTCATCACGTGGGATTCCACCTACGCTGCCGATGATCAAAGTTTCGCCCAGGATATCGCCAAAATTGAGGTCGGAAAGGACTGGCCGTATAGCTTCGTCCGACGCAACAGCGATGAGCTCGGTTGCACTTGGTTCGACGGTTTCGATATCGCAAGAAAGAGAGCAGACAATGCTTCTAGGTACAGAGCCTACTATGAGCTCGTAAGTAGGTGCCTAAGTCCACCCCTTCATTGCTGATCGTACAAGATTGGCGAGAAAATCGAGAAATACAACATCCTGCCTTGCAACACGTATAATGTGGACGAAAAGAGTTTTCTCCTCGGCGTCATCAATCGTACCAAGAGAGTATTCTCTGTTCATGCTAAAGCAAGGAAAATTGATCGGTGCTGCCCAGGATGGCAACAGATCATGGATCACGTTCTGGCATGTGTCTGTCAAGACCTGACCGCGCTACCCCGTTTCTCATCTACCAAGGCAAGCCAGGGCAAGTTCAGGACTCCTGGCTCACGGAGTTTGATCCGGAGCACCAAGCGGCGTTTTCACAACCTCAGAAACGGGTTGGACGAACCATGAACTTGGAAAGGAATGGCTCATTGGTGTTTTCGACCGGTTCACGAAAGAAAAGGCGCGAAACGGCCGAGATTACCGCCTCCTGATCACCGACGGACACTCTAGTCATGTCAATATGGACTTCCTGGAGTGGTGTGACCAGCATCGGATAATCGTTGCCGTGTTTCCGCCGCATTCCACGCACAGGCTGCAGCCCCTTGATGTGTCCCTTTTTGGCCCTCTTTCGACCGCATACACCAACCAGCTCATCCAGTGGACTGCAAAGACGCAGGGACTCATTAGGCTATCGAAACGCGAGTTCTGGTCCTTATTTTGGAACGCATTCGGGTCATCATTCTCGGCGGAGAACATCGCAAGTGGGTGGAAACGGACCGGACTCCTCCCATTTGACCCTGAAGTCGTGTTGTCGCAGATCACGGAGAAAATAGAAGATGAGTCTGAGTCTGGCGACGGCTCCGTTGACTCGCTCGCCCTTCAGCAGCCTACTGCTCGGGATTTGCGCCGACTTGTCGACAAGGTAGTCGATGGATCCTCGAAAATGCTAGCCGAGACAGTCGGAAGCTCAAAAGTACTCTCGAAAGTCTCCAATCTCAGAACGAATTGCTTCGATATGAGAATCAGGGACTTCGCGAGACTATCTTTCACGAAAAGCAGCGCAGAATGCGCGGTAAAGCTCTGAAGGATTACCTTTTCGATCGTGTAGATCCTAACTCGGCGCAGGTATTTAGCCCTGCAAAAGTGGCCCAAGCGCGCTTGAAGAAAGCAGCCATGGAGACTCAGAAGCAAGAAGAGGCCTTGGAGAAAGAACGACAAAAGTTTGAGCGACAGCAAAAGGCGGCAAACCTCAAAGCCCTTGCTCTGGAGAAGAGAAGGCAGCGAGAGGCAGAAACTGAGCAAAGACGTCAGGTAAAGGAAGCCAGACAACAAGAGCGGGAGAAAAACAGGCAAATACGAAAAGAGCTCAAGCGTAAAAACCGGGAAGCAGTGTCAGAAATGGGATCCGGACCCTTTGTGGCTCCACAAACTCGCGAGAAGAGTCCGGGTGTTCGAGACGAGATTGTCGTCGCCATTCCGGCTCCACCAGAACCGACGACAGCTCCGGAATACTCAAAGTCGCTAAGCATTAAGTTACGTAAAGATCCAAAGCCGGTCTTGGCCATTTCCTCACGTCCCAAAAAGCCATTATTGGCTGTCGAGAGCGATCGGGAGATGGTAGTCGCAATTCGGGGACTTGCGCGATCGGGACGCTACAGGAGACGACCACGGTGGCTTGATGACTGCGAAGTAGATTGAATGGCATTGCTAGGCATCTTTCTTGCTTCTGCTTTAATTTGAGATTGTTTCATATCATTTTCGTGGAGTTTCACTCAAATCTTCACCGGAATGCAAGGGAAGCAAAATCCGGCGAATCATCCGATCCGGCAGATCACCGGGAAATCCCTTATAGCCCCCCGCTTTTGGTCCGTCCATTCGGCAGAGCAGTCAGCCAAGGCGTTAACTTACACCCTTTGCAGTGGGATGCGATGAGCATGACTTGTGTATAGGGACCTTATTTACCCCTAGTTGTCTAGGACATCAAGAGGTATCTATACCATATAAACCCCCTCGATGTCCTACTAGTAAGTTATTCCAAAGCACTGACTCTGCTGACCCCTTGGGTCATATTATTAGTGGCCCCTGTCGACATCCCTGAACCGAGGACGCCAGGGTTCCTAGTAGAATCGATACACAATTAGCTGGGTACGATATCTTTTTCATACTCAGAGTGTCCGTCGTCAGCTATCATATTTCGCTTGGTCAGCTTGACTCTTCTATTAGTGGGCTCTGTCAATTGACATGGAGGGAGGAGTCGGCCTGATCACATACATACTCAGACGGGCGCCCACGTATGGGCTGTGCTTTATGCACTATGAGAGAATAAATACGTCGTGTTGACGAAATCGGGTCAACCCACATTTAGCTCTAGAATTTTCATATACGCAGGACTTTTGGGTGAGGGCGATAGAGGCCTCTTTCCTATATATATGAATGCGTCCAAATCCCGTGCGTTTAGTGAGAGTCAACCCAAAGCCATATATCAACATATAGTGCCAGACGCCTGCTACACACTCTTTTTATTAGTTTCTGAGGCTACTCGATATTAGGTTATCTAACAGTCTTTTCCACTGCCCATTGTCGCACTGGCTAGGCATTATTAGCCATGAAATTTCGAACCCGAGCTCTTTCTCCTCTACCTCTTTTACTGCTTCTTCTATTCCGCCTAGTTGGCGTTTCCCAAGGCCATAGTCTCGCCGACCCGGTACCATTTGCGGGCGGCTTTAGATCGTACTTATCAGCACCAAATATCAGCCAAGGACGCCACTCTCGACGGGATGAAGCTACCGGAGAAGACGGGAAGCTAATACAAACAATCACCGAAGCACAAAAAGATGTCAAGACCTGGACAGAACAGGCTGAGTCGGCCGACACGCCTGAGAAACTTAAAGAAGTACATGAGGAGGCCGAAAAAGCAGCGAGTAAAGCAAGTGACGCGATGAAAGAGCTGGCAAGATTATCTAACGACGCGGCCCAACAAGGTGTTCAGACGTTCAACCAGGGGTGGGACACATTTGGCAAAGTATTGACCGACAGGACGGGTGCCATTATGATTGGCTACGCGACCTTATTTGCCAAGTATGAAAAGGCCATTAACGAAGATAAAGCGCAACTCGAAAATCTTCTTGGCAAAATAAGCAATGCGGACACATATAAAGAGCATATCGATCCTTTTCACCTAAGCAGTGCTAAACTTGGAATCCAAGTTTCAGGTGCTCTTGGGTTTCTCGAGGACAAACAGCGACTAACTACGGAGGCGCCCGATTCATACTGGCGGGATAAAGTGGAAAAAAAAGAAGATGCAGAGGCTCGTGCCCTGCTTGTTTTGCAACAAGGGCAGAATGTTATAAAACAGGTATACGACGGCATGAAGCTACAAGTAGACAACTTTGTCGGCGGTATGCTTGATAACTTTATGGTTATCAACAAAATCAGATCAAAAGTGCGCGGTTATCAAGACGCGGATGAGGGCGACGACCAGAACACAGGCATGCAAAACATCGATCAGGAAGCCGATGACATACTGGTCGCAATTAAGGATGCATTATGGGAGCTGTCGCCTGCAGCGCCTTTCAAAGATCTATACGACAAGCTTACAAACGATAAGGAGGTAGGGGTGTGGGGATGGTTAGGAGTAACCTTTGAAATCGGCCTCGAAATCCTCGCCTGGGTGCCCACGCCGGCTGCCCCTGCTATCCGAATACTTAAGGTCGGACGAACAGCATTCAAGGTGATGAAGTTGATTAAAAAGGCCCAAAAACTTATTACAAGAACGAAAAAGCTCTGTGGAAGGACTAAGACGATCGAGCATGTTGCAACGGCCGTCGAAACTATTCAGACGCTGCTAGGAAAGTTCACGATGGGTCTAAATCTGAATGGTCTCCTAGACCAACCGAAGCCGGAAGGTCCCTCCGAAGAGGAACAGAAGAGCCTACTGGAACTTGTCAAGCTGACCCAGTTGGTTAAGGTGCCTAAAAGGGGGAAACTAAGCGAAGACGAGCTAAAAACTGTGCTCGGTAAGATCAGTGAGGGGTTGAAAGAAGGTGACAACATCGGGAAAGCCATGAAAACCGTTGTTTGCAAGAAAGTCAAGCCGGTGCTGTTGAGTCTGGTTGGTGGAGGTGGGAGAAACCTATGTGGGGGACTACAGACCGACTCGTCGAAGCCCACGGGAAAGAGTAACGGAAAGAAACCCCCCATCCCAACGAAGACCAACCCCCAAAAAGGCAACGGCAACAGCAACGGCAAAGGCGGGAAGAAATCGAGCAACAAAAAGTTGGGAGGGTTTCTACTAGCTGGAACTACAAAGCGAGAGTGTAACGGGCTGAGCCCGTGAGGGTCTCGGCTCCGCTCTCGACAAGACCCACCGGAGCTCCGCTTATAAGCTCGTGCCATCTTCGAGAGCTTTCCTTTCTTTTCTTTTCTTCTTCTTTTCTCCTTAGCTTTAGGATACTCGTCGCAGTCGCTCAGCTAGTTGTCAACACACTCAGTTGAGACCGTTACATTATCCTAAAGCTCCGCTTTCATCGTTAAAGCCTTTGATCACAATCAATTGGCAGCGCTGTTCAGTTCCCTTTGTGGGTACGCGGAGTGGCAGTAGCTTGGGCAATCCTGTGTGGAACGCCCGCGACGAAAGTGCGTGTGTGTACGGCGCCAAAGCCAGCTTGGCTCGCGTCGCGTAGCTCTCATCTCCCGAGCAAAGGACGTGGAGCGTCAATCTGCTCTCCGTACGGCGTGCGGTTGAGCGAGAAGTACGTGATTGCTGCTTGGCTCCCAGTGTGGACGGCAGCAGCTGGACTAGAAGCCCTGTGCAGAACGTCCAGCCGTGTAGGAAGGAGCCTTCGAGGCGTTGATAGCGTTCGACCGTTGTCGAGATATCCCTTCCGTATCAGACTTGCTGTGTGATCAAGTCGCCCTCAGTCCTGAGAGACGAGGAGAAAATCTTCAGTCATGGAGGCAATCGATTCCCAGCAAGGTTCTTTTGAGCCTCAATCGATGATGCAAGCCCTGGCTGCAGTGATGGACAAACTAGAAAGTGTGTGTGCAAGCCAAGAGGCCGAACGCGAAGAGATGCGATCGCAGATCCGAATCCTCCAAACAGCCGTCTCAACTCCGACTCCGGCAAATGAACCAGTCGCTCCTATCGAACCGATGTCCGACAACACGCCTCAATCGATCGAGACATCCGAAAGAATCCCATCAAAGAGGGTAAAACCAACCTTGCCTGATCCGCCGAAATTCGATGGAACCAGGAAAACTTCCGTCCCTGGTTCTTAGAGATGAAAGCGAAATTGGCTGTGGACCGACAGGCATTCGACAATAAAGAAGCACTCTTCGCCTATGTGTACTCCCGGTTGGCGGGAACAGCCCAGAACATGGCCGCTGCTTATTACGAACAGGGCGGTATCGATGGTGCTCGCTCCCCAGATCTGTTTCTCGACTACTTGAACCGTCGGTACGGGGACCCGAACGCAAAGGCACGAGCACTGGATCGACTTCGATCGTTGAAGCAGAAGCCTGATGAGAGTTTCGCCAGTTTCTTCCCAAAGTTCGAGAAAGAGCTTGCCGATAGTGGCGGTGGCGAGTGGGCCGACGTGGTGCAAATCAATTACTTGGAAGGAGCAATTAATAATAGGCTCAAGTCGAGTCTCGTCAGTGCCGTCAGTCTCCGAAGGATTTCAACAGCTACGCCGAGCTACTCTTGACGATTGGCTCGCGCCTAGATAGCCTCAATTTCCACCAACGACAACAAGGCCGCGAGCAGAGGTCAAGAAAGGAGTATGGTCGTTTATCCGAACCGCTCGAGTCCCGACAAAGCCCCGTCACCCGGATCGCCAACCACGTCGTCCCCCCCGTCCGATGATCAGATGGATTGGGAACCCGTGAAAGCAAATCGGTTGATAAACGGCAGGAGGGCCCCGGAGGAAAAGCAATTTGTTCCGTTGGAGGAGCGCAAATGTTACGAGTGCGGGAAGCTTGGCCATCTTGCGGCCAAGTGTCCGGGAAGGAGCGGCGGCAGCAGAGAGTCAAGGTCCGTGTCGAAGAGAAGACAAGAAGCTCGAGAGCAAAGCACCAAGAGCCCGCGGAGAGTTCTAGCGGGGATACCTCCGATGACCATTCGGAAAACGAGTAGCTCCTGACGAAAATCGCCGTCAGGAGCGCGCAAAGGCTGAGGCGGAATGGGCAACTCAGAAGGACGAGATGGACTGTGAAGGCCTCTACGTAAATTTCGGTATCAATCGAGAGTATTTCACCACGGCCTTCGTTGACTGTGGTTGCCTGTGTTATGGGACCATCAGTGAGCGCCTTGCCCGCAAGCTTCACCTGCCGCGTATTCCGATTAAACCTCGAGCGTTGGAGCAGGTCAACACATTCTCACCCGAGGCCATCTGTGCCGTGACCTACTTCGACTTCGATATCGACGGGTACCAGAAGAAAGAGCTTTTTCTACGTTGTGCGAGACCAGACCGATCCTGTGATTCTGGGCAAGAAGTGGTTGAACCAGGAGGATGTCACCTTGCGATTATCGCAGAACCTCTTGCATATCGGGACGCACGACCATTGGGTGAAAGGCCGAGACCCGAAGGAGGAGGAACGGTGCAACATACGAGGACAGGCGGCGTTCGTGTTCGCCGGAATGGTTCGCCGAGCAAGAAAGTTCAAGCATCGAGACGATGGAGTGCGGATCTTCGCCGCAAGCCTGAAAGACATTGAGAAGGCATTGACTCCGAGGAAGAAGTCAGACCCGAGAGAAGCTGCCCCGTCACTCCCACGAGTCCCTATCCGTCTTCGCCCGCGACCAAGCGGACCACCCCCCCCCGCGTCGTCGGGGGTGTGATCACAAGATTCAGTTAGAGAGGGGTCCTGATGAAAAGGAAAAAGAACCGCCGTGGGGACCATTGTACGGCATGTCACGAGAAGAGCTCATTGTTCTGCGAAAGACTCTCACTGAGCTACTCGACAAGGGTTTCATTCGAGCAAGTAGTTCTCCAGCGTCAGCACCAGTTTTGTTCGTGAGGAAGCCCGGTGGTGGTCTGCGCTTTGCGTGGACTATCGAGGATTGAATGCGATCACCAAGAAAGACCGATCTCCTTGCCGTTGATCGAGGAAACTTTGCGGTCGCTGTCCAAGGCCAAGTGGCTCACCAAACTTGACGTTATCGCAGCATTTCACAAGATTCGCGTCGAGGAGGGAGACGAGTGGAAGACAGCATTCAGAACACGTTACGGACTCTACGAATGGCTTGTCACGCCATTCGGGTTGACGGGTGCTCCCGCAACGTTTCAGCGTTACATAAACCACACGTTGCGAGATTTCCTCGACGAGTTCTGTTCCGCTTACATTGACGACATCTTGATCTACTCGAGCGGTTCGCTCGCAGATCATCGCAACAAAGTCAGGCAGGTCCTTGCTCGACTGCGAGATGCAGGCCTGCAGATTGATATCGACAAGTGTGACTTTGAGGCAAAGAGTGTCAAGTACCTGGGCTTCATCGTCGAAGCCGGGAAAGGTATCCGCGTGGACCCGGAGAAGGTGCAGGCAATTCAGCAGTGGCAGCGACCCCGTTCTGTCAAAGGCGTCAGAAGCTTTCTGGGTTTGCCAACTATTACCGGCAATTCATTCCCAGATTCTCCAACATCGCCGCGCCTCTAACGGCGTTAACAAAGAAGGATGCGGTGTTTGCGTGGTCGAAGGAGTGCGACAAGGCCTTCGAGGAGTTGAAGGCTCTTCTGACCAGTGCGCCGGTCCTTGCGCAATGGGATCCGGATAGAGAGACGATTGTGGAGACGGATTCATCCGGTTATGTCACAGGAGGGGCGCTCTCGCAAAAGGGCGATGACGGCATCATGCGGCCTGTGGCCTTCTTCTCAAAGAAAAACGCACCGGCGGAGTGCAACTACCCAATCCACGATAAAGAGCTGCTGGCGATCATTCGCTGCCTTGAGCATTGGGACGCCGAATTGAGGAGTGTGAAGTCCTTTACCGTTTTGACGGATCATCTCAACCTCCGTTACTTCACCAAGAAGCAGCAACTGAGTGAACGTCAGGCGCGATGGGCTGAGACGCTATCGCGGTACAGCTTCACCATCAAGCATCGACCGGGCAAAGAAGCCGTCGTACCGGACACGCTGTCTCGACGAGAACAGGACATGCCGCACAGCGCCGAAGATGATCGGTTGCAAGGACGACGTGTTCAGCTGCTGCAACGTAACAAGGGTGGCCTGGTGACAAAAGTCAAGAGCGGTTATGTCACCAAGGGCGACACGGATCAACCCGATGACGCAACAACTGACCAAGACGACTCAATCGAAAACCCTTTCTCGGACCCGGAACTGCAGAAGTTATGGGACGAAGGTGTCAAGCACAATCGTTATTGGCTCATCCGAAAGGCCGTACAGCAAGGCGAGAGGCGTCTGCCGTCGCATTGGGGACTGCCCGTGATGCTCTCGGAATGCTCGATTGACGATGGACAGCGGCTCTGCTGGCGAGAGCGAATTTGGGTGCCGAACCACGAACCCTGCGCACGCGGCTTATGCAGGAGACGCATGACTCAACGCTTGCAGGACACCCCGGACGGGACATGCTGAAGTCCTTGTTGAGCCGCAAGTTTTATTGGCCAGGCCTCGATTCAGACGTGCGTCAATTTGTGAGAAATTGTGATGTGTGTGGCCGAAGCAACATTTGGCGAGAGAAGCGTCGCGGTTTATTGAAGCCGCTACCTATTCCAGACAGGATCTGGTCGGAGCTGTCAATTGACTTTGTGACAGACCTGCCACCAACCAAGTCGAACGGTTCGACCAACCTTATGGTCGTGACGGACAGACTGTCCAAAAGTGTCGTTCTTGAGTCATTGAAGGACATCACGGCCGAGACGACGGCCAGAGCATTGCTACGGAACGTGGTGCAACACCATGGCGTGCCGCGCGCGATCGTCACTGACCGTGGCACGCAATTCACCAGTAGACTATGGCAGAGGCTCTGCGAGCTGCTACGCGTGAAGCAAAGATTGTCTACGGCGTGGCATCCCGAGACTGACGGTGCAACAGAAAGGGCGAATCAGGAAGTCGAGAGATATCTGAGGATCTTTGCTGCTTATGCTCAGGATAACTGGGAAGAGCTGTTGCCAGCGGCCATGATGGCCATCAACAATCACAACTCGACGTCGACAGGCCTGAGCCCGTTCTTTATCACGCATGGGTATCATGTTGACCCGATACAAGTCAAGGAGAAGTTACGGACGGACGGAAGGTCCCCAGTGACCAGGGCTGAAAGCATTGTGCAACGATTTCGAGAGGCAACGGAATGGGCCCAGGCGGCAATTGCGTCAGCGCAAGAGCAGCAAGAGAAGAACGCCAATTCGCGAAGACAGCCGTCAGACCAGTTCAAGCCTGGAGACAAGGTATGGCTGCGACTTCGCAACATCCGATCCAATCGGCCATCCAAGAAGCTCGATTGGCTGTCGGCCAAGTACACCGTCCTGGAGACCATTGGGTCACACGCGTGCAGGCTGGACACGCCTCCGGGAATACACAACGTGTTCCACGTGTCGCTCTTACGCTTAGCAGCGGACGATCCGCTACCGTCACAGACGTCGGATGACTACCGCCCACCGGCCATTTTGACGGACGATGGCGAGCTGTGGGAAGTGGAAGAGATTCTGGACAGGAAGAAAGTCGGGAGAGAGTGGAAAGTGTTGGTGAAATGGGTCGGATGGATAGGTCCGACGTGGGAGCCAGTCAAGTACGTCGCAGACACAATAGCACTGGCTAGGTATGAAGAAGTTCATGGGAAAGTTGGATCGAAACCACCCCAATCGAAACGATCGAAACGGGGGGAGGGGAAGGGGGGGGGTTATTGTAACGGGCTGAGCCCGTGAGGGTCTCGGCTCCGCTCTCGACAAGACCCACCGGAGCTCCGCTTATAAGCTCGTGCCATCTTCGAGAGCTTTCCTTTCTTTTCTTTTCTTCTTCTTTTCTCCTTAGCTTTAGGATACTCGTCGCAGTCGCTCAGCTAGTTGTCAACACACTCAGTTGAGACCGTTACAGAGAGGAGGAGAAGAAGCAGCTGTTTGATGATGTTTTGGCCTTATCCAAGAGGTCCACGGATAACCAGGAGGAGATAGACTTGGATCGTACCCTCAGCCTCCTTGACCAAGCCGCGGAAGATCTCTCCAAGTTAGACGAAGATGCTGAGGCTCACAAGCGAGACGAAGACGAAGAAGACCTGGATGGGCTCTCGTTCTTGGATAATGACGAGCTTCTAGAGGGTTTTGCCGCCCTCCTCAAGCCGAATTTTACAGACGACTCGAATGACGAGACAGACGATTCGATTAACGAGATAGATGGGGAACTATTGGCACGTGCGTCCAGTACTTAGACCAAGAATTCCACTGCATGTCCTAACTATGGGCTGCGACAAGACCTTTTGCCGTGGTGGGCTACTGCTGTAAGGCTTTCGCGCATAAATAGACGTCTTAGATAAAAGACAGCTATCCGAGACATTACAGAGGAGAAGCCGTAAGAAATTAGAGGGCCGTGATATATAAAAATAGCATATTTATTTACGCTAGAAAGCAAATAACGAGGCAATTAATAATTCTCTTATCTATTATAGACTATTAGTTTTTACTATAACTAAATAATAGGCTATAAAATAAAATAAAAACTTAAGAGATATATAGTAAGAAAAATAAAGTCTTATAAATCAAGGGAAAAAAGTACTTTATTAGGGATGCTAGGTGTTAGTTAGACCTATCGTAACTAGCGATAAATATATAGTAATGTTCGCTATATCTAGCTAAAGCCCTCCCGTAACTCTAGACGGTCGTAAGATATCCTATCTAAGTAGTAAGAGTAAAAGGCTATCCTTTTATAATTATCTAGGCATTAGATCTACCTTATATATAGATAGGTCTAACGCCTCTATCTAGTATAGGAGATAGTGCCGGATCTACCTACTTCTAGGTAGGTCCTATTTATATCTTATATATAATAGCTAAAAGTTATAAAAATACTATTTAAGCTTTTAGTTCTTATAAAAAAGATATAAAGGTATATATTAATTTAAAAAAAAATTTATGTAAATAAAGGAAAGTATTAAGCTAGTAAAATACCGCTATACTATATAAAATAAGGGCACCCCTAGTAGAGGTATTACTAACGCGTATTATAGGCCCTTTCTTATCCTAATATAACTCCTAGGTTAATAGCTATATCTTTTATAGGGCTAGCAAGCTACCTATAGGACTAATAGGGCCTTATCTAGTAAACAGATAGGATTTCCTATATAGTTAAGGAGGCATAGGCAACCCCCCTAATTCTTTAGATTTAGGCTATCAGCTACCCGCAGCGCATCATAACCTCCCTAGGAGTCGAACAATAGACCAACCAGCTAGCGCAGCTTCCGGAATAGGTTTTTAACCCTCACTGATTCGCTTAGCGGGGACCCGCAACCTGGCTCATAACTATTAAGCTAGTAAAATACCGCTACACTATGCAAAATAAGGGCACCCCTAGTAGAGATGTTACTAACGCGTATTATAGGCCCTTTCTTGTCCTGACAGAAAGTTATCTAAATTTAAGGATAAAAGTAAGTACTATAAGTACTATACTTCTATATTTCTTTCTCCCTCTTCTATTTGATTACTCTTCTTCATATCCTTACAGCACTTATAATAAGGTTAGAAATTATCACGTTATTTTGCTAGGCAAAAGTAGAGTGCACACTCCAGCAGAGGATGCTGCAAGTGACTGTTATAATTGATAGCTTTACATGTAACAGAAATTCCGTACAGCCGAGATCTTGATGTCCCCTCTTTTACCCCTCTTTTCCAGCCGTGCAGGCCATTCCGTCTTATCTTTTGCCACGTCTATAGGAGTCTATAGGAAGCCGTCGCCACGTCTTTCTTCCCCTCTCTTCCCCTCCTCAGCTCTCTGCACATCCTTTTAGCTCCTCCTATAGCCTCTCTTGCTAAGAGACATCCTCTAGACCTGCAGAATCTCGCCACGCTTTGCGACAGATGCAGGTGATCGTGTGACTTGACCTGTGCATCTCCATCCTCATTCGCCCATCCAGCCGTCAAGCTGAAGCATCCCACGTACGGTGTCTTCCACGCGGCCGGAGCCTATTGCCCGGAAGGTCCGACTCAGGTAAACAGACTTCGCATACGATGGTACGATCTCAGGGCATGGTATTTAATAACAGTTGACGGCTGCCACCAGGTGGCCGGCGCAAAGGGTACGCCCACGGCCTTTGGCTCAGTCCCCCAAACTTGTTCAGCATGGGCCGCCTTTCCAGTGACGGTACTCTGCTCCTTCTCGCTATCGCAGTGGTGCTAGGCTTTGTTCGAGTAAGAGATACTTGATGCCGCTGCCTCGTCCGGTCGCTTAAAGCTGCAGACTGTCTACCATGTCTTTCGAGTGCCAACTTCCCGCATCCCCGGGCCGTGGTATTCAAAGTGGACGAGGCTTGTTCTCGACTTCCACTTCCTCAGCGGCTCAAGGTGCCACTATGTGCATGCTCTTCACCGGCATTACGGTCAGTCCACCATGTCAACAGTCCGAACGGAGGCATGCCAACTGAGCGCCTAATTATAGGCCCTATTGTCCGCATCGGCCCCAATGAGGTCGACATTATAGATATCGAGGCCGTGAAAACCATATACGGCAGCAGGGAGACATTCCGCAAGTCCCAGTTCTACCGCAGGCTGGCCGTGCCGGGGCAACAGTCGCTCTTCAACACGGTTAACGTCGACTTCCATCGCCGGCACCGAAAGCTCCTAGCAGGGCCCATGTCGGACTCGTCGCTGAAGTGGGTGATTGTTCACGTAGAGGCCCGTCTGGCGTTGGCCCTCTCCAGGATAGGTGAGGAAATGAAGTCGCGAGGCGCGGCAGACGTCTTCAAATGGTGGTTATTCATGACGACGGACACTATCGGCGAGCTGACGTTTGGCGACTCGTTCCGCATGCTGGAGCTTGGTCATGTAAGTTGCATCGGTCCGTTGCAGACGCCGCTAGGTGCTGAGCCGCGCCAATAGAAGAACGACTACGCCCGTGATTTGGAGCAAGACAGCCGAGTTGGCGCCATCCGGGCCACCTTCCCGTCCATGGTTGGACTCTGCAGAGTCGCTCCGTTTCCTATACTTGGGCGGGCATACCGAGCCAGCGAGAACCTGACTCGTTATGCAAGCGACTTGCTGGAGCGGCACCAGTGGCTTCAGGCTGTCGACCCGGACGAGGCGCAGCGTACGTTCTTCTCCAAGCTCTTCAGCGCCTCAGAGGATGGCAAAATGCCGTTCAACGAGATCCGCGACGAGGCCCAGAACTTCATCACGGCGGGTAGCGACACGACGGCGAATTCGCTGACCTACTTGACCTGGGCCGTGTGCCGCAACCCGGACATTCGAGCGAGGCTGGTCCGGGAGCTACGGACGCTGCCGCCCGACTTTACCGAGGCTCAGCTACGCAGCCTGCCCTTCCTTGACCAGGTCATTAGCGAGGCGCTGCGCCTATACTCGGCGGCCCCATCCGGCCTGCCTCGGCTGGTGCCTCCGGGCGGGGCCGAGCTTGCGGGACACTGGTTCGCAGCGGGCACCGAGGTGTGCGCGCAGGCATTCAGCATGCACCGCGATCCCGTCATTTTCCCGCAGCCGGACGAGTTCCAGCCCTCGCGATGGGCATCGCCCACAAAGGCCATGAGGGAGGCCTACATGCCCTTTGGCCGGGGCGCCCGAGGTGAGTGTCGAACGCCTAGAGCAATAGGCCTTGCTGACGACTGGGCCCCAGTCTGTATCGGGAAGCACCTCGCTCTCATAGAGCTTCGGCTGGCCGCCGCCCGCTTCTTCCTGACCTTCCCCGAGGCGCGCATGTCGTCGCTCGAGGGCATGTGCGACGGCGACATGAAGCCAATGGTCCACCTTTTGCTGTCTCCATCAGGTGGGCGGTGCTTGATTCAAGCCTAGATAGGTAGCCCTCCATGGACATGGAAAGATGAGGGTGAGGAGGGTGATGTGTCAAGAGCAGCTCTTCAACGCTCAACCGAGCATCGAAGTGATGGTTCGTCAAGATTGCTGATATTCTTATAAGCATGATATGATGATAGGGAGTGGGTCGCGACCTCGTCAAAGAAGCACAGCAGGAAGCTGCTTACTGCACACCTCACCAAGTGCTCCACAGCGCAAAGGGCACTAGGCACAGCGTGACAGTCCTCCACCCACCAGCAAACCCACCCGGACTCTATTCCAGAAGCCCGCAGTCCCGTCCAAGCCCTCCGTAATCCCAAGCAGCGGCAGCCAGCTCGACCTCCAAGCTGATCCCAAGAGGAGCGTCTATACGAGCCCCCATCAGGCCTGGTGCTGGCTGTCGATATCGTCTTCATGCACGGCCTGACAAGCAATCTACACGGCACTTGGTGCTGTGCCGATGGTCGTGGATCCGAGCTGCACTTGCCAGTGAGCTCGACATCCCAGATGCACGGATGCTCAGCTTTGGTTACGATGCCGATATCGTGGACTGGAGCAATTCGGCCACGCCGGGAACCTTCTAGGGAGGTCGTCCGTTTCAGGGCAAAGTCAGAGTCTGAAGACCGCAGCTTGATCTTTGTCAGCCTCGGCGGCCTTGTTGTGCAGGATGCCTCATATCTCTCCAGATCGAGCCCGGAAGCCAGTCTGCGAAAGCTGGAGCCACGGATATACATATAGCGATTGCACTGTCGAGCCCAGAGTTGAGGAGATGCTTGCGGACACGTCGCGTGCCATATTTTCCACATGGGCTTCGCAGCATTCGCCGACGCCTCCCATACCCATTGCTAGTTTGCGAAGCTGGTTACTATGGAACCAGGGCAATGCAGGACCGTCTGCAAGAAGTGGCGAGCAGAATCCTCGTCCTCGGTTGGTACAAATCGTGGATGTATGATCGTGGTGCCATCGTTTCGTCCATGGGGCCTTGGCCACACAGCATTTAAGGTGGATCAACCTTGGTAGATCATGTACTAGCCAAAAGCACGAGGCGCTTGGTTGAGCAATACTAATTACCTAAAATTTATACGAGTTGAAAATGGCAAACTCCCTAGATAGCCGAGGTATGGGGTTTATGTAGTGCGAAGTAGGTAGACCAAACTACAGGGTAGGCTGACACAGGCGGCTAATTCTGCCGCGCGCCCCGTCAGGGAATTAAACTGCGTCATGAGACGCGCCTGTGAAACCTCCTAACAAAGCCAGCCTTCTCGACCCTTCGACAACACCGCGTCGTCCTGCTCCCGCAAAAGCTCGGATGGCTTCCCTCGTCACCGCCTCATCATGCCTCACGCCTTGAGCGCCGCGACGCCCTTCGGCTCGACACTCTTTTCCCTCTTTGCGCTGCTCGCCATCTCCCTGGTGGTGCTGCTCATCCTCCGACACTATCTGCCTCTCCGCTCGACTCCGGCCTTTTACCTCGTCCCCATCTTCTTCGCCCTCTGGCTCCCCTCCATCGTGGTCATCCTCGTCCCCATAGATCTCGCCTCGAGCGCGGCGACCGACGATGAAGCCTCCCGCGGCGTGTGGCTACCTCAACGAGTCGTCTTGGTGTCGTGGAGGATCACGTATTGGCTAACCTTTGCTCTAACTTGGTGCGCACACTCGCGCGATGCTGTCTCGTCGCATTCTAACGTCTATTTTTCCAGGTTTATCCTCCCGATCCTGGGAGAATACTCGGACGCTGGATATCGCGACCCAAACGACAAGCTGAGATACTCGCTTCGACAGAATGCACAGTTCTACGTCGCGTGTGCCGGCGCGGGCATCGCCGGCTTTGTCTACATCGCCATCGTCTACAAGCTCACGTTCGAGTCGCTCAAGGCTCTTGTCATGGCTCTGGCGTACTGCTGGGGCTTGGTCCTCGCCATCTATCTCATGGGCCATGGGTTGGTGTCGATCCCGAGGCGCCTCATCCGCAGCGCCAGCATCAGCGGGAGCCTGCGGCGGCTGCAGTCCAGGGCACCCAAGGCTCTCGAAAAGATGCAGGATTCTGTCGAGACTCTGCAGGAAATCGTGGCCCAAGTCTCCGAGCTCGGTCGTCGCAAGGTGGGCAGTGCAGTGGACTTCCAGGACTGGATCGAGGAGCTGCAAGAAATGGCCGGTGTTGCGCGCAACCAACCTCCGTCCTTCACACCCGACACCGACTCTCACAATCGAATTATACCGACCGTCATTACTGAAAAGTTTCTCGCTGACTTGACCAGGAGGCTCGTCCGCGCACGTCATGCGAGGTCCCGATATGCCGACGAATGGAACCGCTTGATCCAGGAAGCGAGCGAGACGCAAGCAATCCTTGACTCGGCCGCGTCCAAGAACCTTGATTTCGGCCAAGCCTCGCCCCACGCAGGGCCGTGGGCTAGGACGCAAATCCTGACGCCGTATGCCCGATACCTCTGCTACTATCACATCATGCCGCATACGCGCCTGGCTCTTGGCGGCTTCCTCGCGCTTGCTTCCGCCTGCGTCCTGTGGTCCGAACTGGTCAAGTTTCCTTTTCCCAAGCTGTCTGTCATTCGCCTGAGCGTCATCCACAACTGGGTCGGCGACGAGGCCCAGGTCGGGTTTGCCGAGCAGGTCATTTCCGCCCTCTGGATCTGCTACATGTGTGCCGCTGCGCTCATCTCCATCACCGAGGTCAAGGTGTGGCGAGGCCGCGCGTTGGTCAAACGGAACACGGCCTACGAGTCGGCGTTCTGGTATGCCTCGCAGGTGGCCAAGCTCTGCATGCCCCTGTCGTACAACTTTATGACGTTTCTCACGTCCGAGGTCTATTCCAAGACGACGTTTTACGACTTCCTCGGCAGCCATATTGACTTTACAGCCTTGGGCCGCTGGTTCGATGATCTCTTCCCCATCATCCTCTTGGTCCCCGTCTTCGCCACCCTCTTTGGGCTCTACGGCAAGGTTAAGCGTCTGTTGGCCGGAGTGGGCTTGGCCGACGATGAAGACGACGACGACGACGAGGGGAACCCCTCGGGCTACAGCACAGCATCCTGGCGCGAAGGGCAAATACTCATACAACAAGAGCTGCAAGGAAACTCGCTGCATCAGCGGCGCGAAGAGGCGGCCGTCCGGCTCACCGCAGCCAACACCAACGGAGCCCGTCCCCACCCCGTCCTGTCCGTCCCGCCCGCGAGGGACGTGGATGTCCCGTCCGCCCGCTCCTCGCCCCGGCCCTCTGCCACGGCCCCACGGCCCGGTCAGCCGTCGCGCGCGTCGTACTCGGACGAGCCGCCCGAGGACGACAACATCTTCCAGATCCTCGGCCACCGTATGAAGAACACAATCGACACCATCGAGACGCCGCAGTGGCTGCAGGAGATCGGACAGGGCATCAAGAAGCCAAAGTGGATGGGCGGCGACGGCGACGTGCCGTCCTCGGGCCGCGGCGGGCGGAGCGATTCGGACATCAGAAGGTGGTTTGGCGACGCGGGGCAGATTCGCCTGTGACAGCAGCCCCTTGCCCCTATGGTTCGTCACCCTTGGTCGCGACGATGCTAATACTGTTTTTATCGACTTGAAAAGCCTGTCCCGTCTTCTTGGGGCGGGCAACCGCTGCATGGTGTGAGGCGTTTTGAAAGTGCCGGGAAGAACGATGGGCTTGCGGTAGACATATCCTTGGGCTTGGTATTATTGCTATTCAATAGATGTAACTGTCAACTGTCTCCACACCTGATACCGTCCAACCTGTCATTCTGTAGTGAATTCGTAGTGTGACAACAGGACTTATACCCAGTCATGCTCTGTGATCGTCAATCGTGAATCGTGAACGCGTGGCATGGCGTATGTGCAGACTGGAGATCTCTACTTCCGCGCCGCATGTTCTTTCCGGTCCCCCCTCCCTACAAATTTCCTTGCGCCCCTACACGCGCATGCATCTAGCAGGCTTCTTCAAACATTGGAACCCTTATGGTGAAAGAAAAAGGGGAGAGGCGGCAGCCGCAGGCGATGCTAGGACCGAACGGGCGAGCTGATGGAGTTCCAGGTGTGGGCCTTGCTCATGGTCCTCTTGCGCAGGTGGAACATGATTTCCCGCTCCATCTTGTCAATGTTCTTCTCGAGGTCCTCGTCGTCCTTTGCGTACTGCGCCTCGCGCCGGCGGTCGAACCACCACCAGGAGAGAACAATGGCGGCGGTGAGGGGGATGGTGACGGCGAAGTAGATCCAGAACTGCGACGCGACGTGCGGGGTGGAGCCTGTGATGCCACGGAGTCAGAGCCGTGCCTTTTGACGAGGTGGGAGCAGGATGAGGAGAGAAGTAAGGAGACTGGGGAGGGATAGTACCAGCTTGAAAGTTGAAAAAGGTCATGCTAAAGACGGAGGCGAGGTATGTGCCGGGCAGGAAGAGGGCGCCCATTAGGGAGATTGTCTTCATGGCGGTGCTGTCGCGCTTGCTGGCGTGGGCGATTCGCCGTTGCTCTCCGGCAATCTCGAGATTGAGCCGCGCCTCGCGCTGCGACATGATGTTGTACAGCTGGGCGCCGCCGTCAGCAACGCACGTCGTCAAAGGGATCGCAACGCGGGTGGACAGGGCAGACTTACCGCCTCGCGCTGCACCTTTAATCGCGCCAGGGTGGTGTGTATGTAGTTCTCCAGTCCCTTGAGCTTGACCTTGTAAAACTCGAGCCTGGCCGACATGCTTCTGTGCAGCTTGTCCACCTCCTTGCGGTGCGCCAGTTCCTCGTGGTCCATGGTGCGTCCGTCAGGGCTGTTGATGACGGCCCACTTTGCGTGGAATCTCTCCATGGCCTTTTCCATGCCCTTGACGAGGGCCCAGTAGGCCTGCGGCCGCTTCCACATGACGTGGCCGTGGCACTCGACCAGGTCCCTGTTGAGGCCGTCGACCTCTAGCAACCCGTCGGGGAAGTACTGCTCGTGCTGCTCCACCTCGTCGCGCAGGCTGACGGCGTTTTCGAGGCGTCGGGTCCAGTCACGCGCGTCGCGCTGCTTCTGGTCGTTGGCGGGCGACAGGTCGTAGGAGAGGAGGATGATGGGCAGCAGCATGGGGTGGCCGACCTGGGCGGCGCAGGCGCGCAGGTGCTGCAGGGCCATGACGACGTCGGAGCTGGCGGTGCCCTTGACGAAGCCGGTGGTGATGTTGGTCTTGAAGGAGTGGGAGAGCATCAGCTCCCAGCCACGCGTCTTGCCCTTTTTACGGACATCAGACTTGCGATGGACGATTTCTGGTCCCCACCCCGAGGTCAGTCAGTCTGTTTCGGGCCACACGGCCGGCAAACTTACGCAGATGGGGTTCGTCGTCGTCCTGGTCGTAGGCACACCAGAAAAATGGCCCGACGACCGCGGTTGTCTCGATGGCTCGGAAGGGCAGCTTGAGCACCCTGACCATTTTCTCGTACGAGTTCCGGGGCAGGGAGACGACCTTGGGCGTGAACGTGTCCCTGTCTTTGGCGTTCTTTTGGACTCTTGGCAGGAGCGTCAGCTTTGGGTGTGGCATTCGAGGCAGATATGCACGCCGCAACTTACACAAGACGGATGCCGCTCAGTAGCCTCGTGCCGTCTCGCATCTTGGCCGGCGGCAAAAAGGCCCCCTGATTGGCTGTCAGCGAGAGACGGCATGGGACGAGTCCGTTGTCGCACAGAGCCTCAGACTCACCCGCCGCTGCAGGAAATTGTCAAAGTCTTCGGTCGAGAGGGCATGCTCCTCGCACGTGTTGTAGAAGGGGTCCTGGGGTGGGGGGCCAGTTAGCCATGTTGGTTCGGATCTCTTAAGCTTGGCCGAGGCCGCTCACCGAGTAATTGAAGATTTCGACGTAGCTCGTCGCCTCTTCCACGACGCGACACTCGTCGACGTAGTGGCGGAACATGTAGTCGTCCATGTCGGCTGTCTGGAGACGGGGCTTTTGGTGCCGTTTGCCCTGCGAGCGAGCACTCGGCCGAGAATCGGTGAAGCAAATGACGCAGTCGCGGCGAGAGTGGCTTCCTCTACCGGCCCCGAACAAGAAGAGTGGTGGTGGAAGGTTTTGAAAGGAGCAGCATTGACGAGCTGCGGAAGACGAGACGGAGAGACGAGAAGTCGCCTGTACCTCCTCGGGTAGATGCCGTGTCTGGTCCGCACGTCCCAGCCTCCCCGCGGCTGCGGGAAGCCGACGGGCCACTGAGGTGCCCCAATTGCTCCCGGGCGGGGGGTCCCGCCTAACCGTTCGTTGTACCTGGGACTTGCTGCGCCGTCAGCCCCCGCCAGGGCCCACCAGCCTGCCCTGCCAAGAGCCCTATGGCGCTACGGGTCGCCGGCTATTGCGGGCCTGCCACCCGGGGCTCAGCGCCCCACGCGGCCTAGCTCTAGGCCAAATTTGTCGCGACAACTGACGAGAAGACACAGGCAGTGTCTTCGTCTCTACTAATAAGCAACGGTCAGAGTACATGGGCGCTCGGTATCAGGAGCATGTACTCGGCAGGTAGGCGCAGCAGCCAAACAGGGTTCCCGACTTCTCCAACATACTCTAATGCAAGGAGCCATGGATCAACGTATGCGAAGCCAAGGACAAGATACAGTTCTCATCGACACCAGGAACGAGGCCATCAGACCATCTCGGAATTACTTTGGAATTCAGGCCCCTTCTTCAACTCAGGACCGTATTCTACCGGCACCTGACGAGGATCCGTGCAGTTTATCCCAGATGGCTCCTGTCGGCCACAGCATTTCGTGGTCGGGCTGCCAAGGGAGCAAACGGACTTGACAGAGTTTCCGCGCAGGACGCTTGCTTTCATCGTCATCGCCTGGGACTACTGAAGCTGAGGCCTTGCGGGAAAAGGCGCGGATATAGCAGAGCGCTCAGATTGCAATATAAAAGCGACGTTCGACTCCTCGATCCAATATGATCCAACTCGCTGTTCCCAGCATTCTCCAGGCTCCGTCTCAAGTTCTGGCCTCTCTCTCTCTCTCTCTCTGCAAAGCTTCTCACTATGCGCGCTTCCCTCGCCTACGGCCTTGATGCCTTGATGGCGAAATGTGTACATCCTTCCTCGAGAACCCCCCCTCCCCCCGTTCTGACACAGGACTGGCACGCGCACATACAAGGCCATGGGCATAGAGGCCCCCATCGCCGGTTACGGCATTGAGACGGTTCAGTGGAAGGTAGAGGTCTCTCCCGGGAGAAACGAGATACTCAACGGCACGGTCCAGGAGGTCCACGCGCAAATCCTCGACATCAACCCCGACTGGAAACCCCCCAAGGCTTATGCTGCCTGGAGGAGAGAAGCCTCAAGGCTAAGCGCACCACCGTTATTTGCGGCGCCTGGAGGAAGGCCGAGAAAGTTCGCATCTTAGACGGGGTAAGGTATCTCCGCAAAGTACCCGGGTATCCCTCCAACGGCCCTGGTCCGGGCAAATGCGGCAGAGTCAGCTGCGCCAACGATGCGGCCATCTGGTGGTGCAACGATGTGAGTCCCAGCCCTGCTTGTCATGGGCGAACGAACGAGCAAAAGTAAACGGCGGACTAACATGCTTCGGCACAGAACACGCACACCCATACCCTCGACACCTACAACAAGATTGCGGATAGCGCCCAGCACATTGTCAATATGTGTGCCGGCCATTTCGTCCAGTGGGTTTCGGGCCAGAACTTTGAGTCGAACAACTGGAACACAATCGTCCGCGGTGACGATTGTTAGACCTCGCGCAAGATGAAATCACTCCTGCCAGCCGCCCATGGCTGCCACAAGTTGCTGGTACTCAAGGTGCTTTGCACCTGTAGCTTGAGGGACTACCTAATAGACGAGTTGCTTGCCTTTGTACTATGGAGGGACCCTTATCGGCTCGTACTGTACTGTACTGCACTGTAGAATGACCTGCCCCAAGCCTCGCACGTGCCAGTGTGCCGTCGCCGGCTCACCCAAGACTTGTTCAAAGTTGCAAAATACAGGGTGCTGCATATCGTGTGCTGCAGCCAGAGAGGCTAAAGACTGTGATTTCTAGGGTCCGACTACTCCCATCCCTTCGCAGCCCTTTTTGCCGGTCCGGTGTGCCCGTGGGCCAATCCAAGCCGTCTCTTCATCACATTGGTCGAGGAAAACAACGGATAGCCTACTCTCCTTGCCTGTCCATACATCAAGCCATTTCTCCGTGCCACCATCAAAACACGGCCTTGGTTCAAGTCCAAGCCGGGATTAAAAGTCGGTAAACAGATGCCCAAACCTAGATGCTCTGTCAGTTACCGCTGCAGGCACAACCCATCGGCCTGGTCCACTTACTCGTCGGCAGCTTCTCCCGGACCCCCGTACTTATCCGGGTCTTCGGGGTACTTGTCAAACTGGCTGGAATCTCCCGCTCCGGCCTTGACGGGTGGCGTGTAGGGGGCATCAATGTCCTTGCGCGCCAGTCGGTCCCACGTCACCTCTGAAAACCAGGGGTGGTTTTTGACGTCTTGGGGCCCCCCGTACAGATTGCCCAGTCTCTTGGTCAGATCGGCCGTGATCAGCCCAGCCAGCAGGTTTTGGGCGTCGGCGTTGACGTATGCTGGGTACTTGACCTTGCCCTTGAGAATGTTCTCATATATCCTCATGGGCGAACCGCCGTCCCAGAATGGCGTGTATCCGCAGAGCATTTCGTATATCAGGATGCCCAAAGACCACCTGTCCCGTGTCAGTCCGAGTCCTTTCCCCCCACCACTTGGGGCATGTCGACGCACCAATCCACAGATTTGTTGTAGCCCTTGTTAGAGACCACTTCCGGGGCAAGGTAATCGGGGGTGCCGCAAAGCGTCCACGTCTTGTCGGGCACGCGCTTGGCGAAGCCAAAGTCGGTGATTTTGAGGTGTCCGTGCCGATCCAGCAGCAGGTTCTCGGGCTTGAGGTCGCGGTAGATGATGTTCTTGGAGTGCAAGTATTCCAGCGCCAGCGTCGTCTCCGCCGCGTAAAACTTGGCGACGGGGTTCGGGAACCGCTGGGGCAAACTGATTAGCGGGCCCGGCGGCGCAGAGACGGGGAACGTACCCCGGACTTTCTCAGGAGGGAAAAGAGCTCGCCGCCCTCGACAAAGTCCATGACCATGTATAGGTTTTTGCAGTCTGCAAAGGTGCCCCAGAGGGTGATGATGAAGGGGTGCTTGACGTCGGCGAGCATGCGGCGCTCGTCGTTTGTGTGCTCGACCTGCTTCATCTTGACGACCTGGACCTTTTTGAGCACCTTGACGGCATAGAACCGTTGGTTGTGCTTCGATTGGACCAGATGGACTCGTCCGAAGCTACCAGTGCCGAGCGTCCGGAGAATGTCGAAATCGCCCAACGAGTACTTGCCCTTGGTGACGCGGGGGGTGGAGCCCTGGCTCGATTGCTGCTGGTGATTGGGCTGGTTCGGGTGCTGTTGTTGCGACTGCTGGGGCTGCTGGCCGGGCTGCTGCTGCTGCTGCTGCTGGGGCTGCTGGCCGGCGTCCTGTCCGGGCTGCATGGCGGGCTGGGGAAAGGCCTGCTGCTGCTGTTGTTGCATGTGCGAGGGATCCGTGCCGGGGCTGGCGCTGGCGACCTTGTTGATCGGGGGGCCTAGCATGGCAGGGTTCGGCGAGGGAGCGTGGTTGTTGTGGTTGGCGGCATCGTTGTGGATGAGGTTGCTGATGCTGGGAAGGTTGGGCGACGTCGCGTACGAGGCGCTCTGCGGAGCCGTGGCGGGATTCATCTGTTGCTGCTGGCGATGGCCGGCCGAGGGCTCCTGCGCTTGAGCTGACGGCGGGATCTGGCCAGTTCCTGCCGGCTGGGCTGGGGCGGCGGGAGTGGATTGCGGCGGCTGCGACGGCGGCGGGTTGGAGCCGCCGGCAAAGGGCTTGGAGGGAGTCGAAGCTGTGACGGGGCTGGTGGGGTTTGACGTAGAGGGGTCAGGATTGTTGTCCCGCGTCCGCTTCTTCTTCAGGAAGCCGCCGAGCGAAGGCATAGGGATGCAAGAGAAAGAGAGAGAGAGGGAGGGACGGAGGGACGGAGAGGCGAAGAGAGGGACGGAGAGGAAGACAAAGTCGGAAGAGAGGGAGCCCAAGATGGCAATCAATCCAAGTGACGGAGTATCGGGTGCCGGCGGGTCCTGGAGCTTGCTGGAGAGGGGGGGGGGGCTGTTTCGTCGCCGAGGAGGAAGCGCACAAGGGCAGCGCGGCGGATAGTCGGAGTAGGCTGTGCGCTTGCGTTGGGATGGTTGACGGATTGGTATGCTTGGTATTAGAGGTAGTTGGCGAGTTCGGATGCGGTTTCGCGCCAGTGCCCGAGGCTCCCTGCTAGCAGACTGCCGACGAGGCAAAGGCAAACGAAAGCAGTCAGAGGACTTACAGACGGACAAAGACGTGCACGCAGACCCCTTGCCAAGCTCTGGACCAAGGCAGTGAGTGAATGACCGGTTCTCAAAATTGGAGTCGTCCTGTTTTTTGTTTATTTCGCAGCGCATGTGGCCGCAGAGGCCATGATTTGATGGAATTGGGATGCAGCGTCCCAAGGTAGGCAGAGCAGACAGGCAGGCAGACAGGCAGACAGGCAGACAGGCAGACAGGTGGCCAATTCCAGTCGGCAGCCATTGTTCCACACTCGTCTGCTTGTTGCGCCGCAATGGACGTGTTCCAGACGGGCTGCGCAGCGTCTCTCTCTCGCGCCCTCTCTCTCTCTCTCGTTCTCTCTCTCTCTCTCCCCCCTGAGCTTGCTGTGATAATTATAGTAGTCCCCAAGTCAAGATGCATCCCTTCTTCCCTTGCCAGGCTGCCTCGCCCGCGCAACTCGCAGCAACTGAGCATACCCAAAGGGCAAATAAAAACACCGTCTAGACGGACAGAGCGTGTCATGCCGGATGGCGCCACCGGCATGCGAACCTTGAAAGAGGGCGGCTGGAGCTGAAGCTTGGGGAGCTCCAGGCTTCGCTTGGGCTTCCCCGTACTGCCAAAATACGTACCCACATACCTGGTAGCAGCTACCTAGGTAATTACCTACCTACCTGAGCAGATGTCGAAATAATTGCCATTTCGCCGTGGCCGTCAAGATGCTACCGTGTCGGGGGCTGAACAAAACCACCAACCTTTTCTCTGGCTTCTATCAGCTGGGCGTACAGTATGTACCTTCTTGCGGAGCCGACGGCCGGCGACAAAGGCAGAGAGAGGTGGGGGTCCTTGGAGCCAGCTGTCTGGACTGTGCACCGGTGAATACTTGATCTGTCCGCATTCACCTTGTTGATGAAACATACATCATAGCCTAGAATCCGTCTCTTCACTGGTGCCAGCAACCCGCGCGGGGACATAGACGACGCTTGCTACTCCTTTTCTCCCTCTCAGTATCCCGCCTTAACTTGGCCGACGCCTTTTCAAGGCTTCTCCTACCCTAAACCTCACGATGCAACGCTCAACGAGAGCGGCATCTCAAACACGCCCACCCAGCGAGTACAGGCCCATGGATTTTAGCCTTCTCTTTACCCCGCCATCCTCCCCATGCTCCCGATGCCGAGTAAAATAGTCGAGAATTGACTTCCAAGCTTCCCTTCTTCGGCGTCCGGATTGGGCGACTTCGACACATCTCACACCGCGAACGACCAAGTTTACTTCAGCTTCGCCTGCTTGTTTGAGCAGCTCTCACATCCTTTACCGGCTTCCTCCCAAACTCGCTGCGCATAGCCCTGACGCCTACTTTTCAGTCCATTCGTGCTCATCCGACCATGTATTCCAACACGCCGCTTGCTCTTACACTAGACACACATCGCAGCGAGCGACGTCTCACGCACACAGAGGATAAGACTACCAACACCGAGGGAACCCCCGACCCATGCAATTTCTTCTTCTTTTTGATTGGCAACTCGGTCCAAGCCCATCGCCCCTCCCCTTCCTTCCCATCCCCTCCGACCCGTCGCCAGACCCCCACCACTTAGAAACGGTGGCTCTTGCTCTTGGCCCGGTACGCCGCAAAGCCCACATAACCGCCGCCGATGACGAGGAAGAACAAAAAGACCTTTGTGAAGAACCACGTCCAGCTTCCGCCGTCCTTGATCGTGTGGCTCTTGGTGTGGCCCTTGCCCTTGGTCGACGTGCTGCTGGGGCTGCCGGGGCTGCTGTACAGGTTCTTGGCCGCCACCGAGATGATGTCGTGGTTGTCGCTCAACTCGCCTGTCTCGGCGCTGAACCCGAGGTAGGCAATGTTGGGAATGGCAGGCGGCTGCGCCGTCTCGAAGCACAGCTCCCACTCGTCCTCGGTCCGGTACTGCAGTTCCAGCTTCAGCTCCTTGTCCTGGATGTACGTCAGGCGCAGCTTGGTCGGCACCGTCGCCTGGCGGATGCCCCGTGCCGAGCAGCCGGCCAGCTCCGTGTCCTTGCCGTCCGTGTTCTTGTCGTACGTCTTGTGCCCGTCGCCAAACATGGCCATGACGTAGGGGAACACGATGCCCGGCCGGTTGTTCTTGTACGTGTCGATGAAGATGCCCAGGCCCTCAAACTTGTCCGCCGCGCCGAACACGGGGCCCTGCTGGCCACGCTGCTTGGTGATCCACATGGCAAACCCGTCGCCGTAAAGGTGGTTCTTGCCCGATATCTTGAACTCGACCTCGACCTCCCAGTTGGTCGCGGTGAGCGGCACGCGGGAGAATAGCCATCCGGACTGCGACGGTCGGTCGGACGTTAGGCGAACGTAGCTATGGCATAGGTTAGGCTGATGTATGAGGCAAAGGAGCAAAGAATCCAAGCCGGACAACGCACGAATCGGTTCGGATAATGGTGTCTCCTCCAAAGTCGTACCACCGGCTCTGCATGGCCGAGTCGAGATATGGCTGCGATAAGGAAGCCCAGTCAGCGCAAATGTCCAACTCGCGTGCGTCGTGGTTTGTGGCCGACCTCGTGCAGGCTGTGCGTTCTCAGCTGTGGCAACTGTTAGCTGCAAATCCCCAACACGGCATAGACCCGGGCGTCAGAACGAACCGTGATGCTCTTGAGGTCATTGCGGTCGTCGGCCTGGACCATCCAGGCCAGCGCCGCGACGAGCGCCGCCGACAGCGAGGGCAGCCTCATGACGAGCGTGCCTCGGCAAACGAGCAACTGATAAGTAAAAAGAGAAGCGAGAGTCGACGATTGCTCTCGCCCCCAAAAGTCGTGAATCAAATCTCACCGCCGTCGGCTGGGGAGTGGTAAGGAGCGGCAGCAGCACGTTGTGGCCGGGGCGGGAATGATATTAATCGCAACAAGGCCGCGGCCCGGGCACAGCTGTCCTCTTCCCAAATGGCCAACCAGGGTCACTAAGCTTTCGACGTCGGAAGCCCCTGTCGCACCGCCACAGCGCGCCTCGGTGGCCTCTGGGCCGAGGCGCCACGCCAAGCCACACTCTGGCACGCGCAGCCTTGTGCTGTCATGCATGTCGAGCCTCTTGATTGTGAAATCTTTTTGTCCAGCATCGCATCACCCGCCTCGAAGTTTGGTCTACCACCAGCGTGATATCGCCCGACCATGGATTCCAGCTCGGTCAAGCAGTCGGTGATGAAGCAGGTCCTCGCGGAGTCGAACCTTGCCAACGCCCGGGTCCTTATCGAGGTATGCCTGCTGCCCGCGAGAGCAGCGCACCAGTACGCTGACGATGTCCTCCGCGGCGCAGAAACTCCAGGAGAGCTGCTTCGACAAGTGCGTGCCCAAGCCCGGCACCTCCATCTCCAGCAGCGAACAGACGTGCCTCACGACGTGCATGGAAAAGTACATGGCGGCTTGGAACCAGGTCAACTCGGCCTACATCAAGAGGATACGACAGGAGCAGGCCAACCAGTAACCCTGCCCATCGACTTGGCGAAAAGAACAAGAGCACCGCTCACTCACGCTTTGCACGACACAAATGGAGATAGAACACTGCCGGCTGCGAGATTGGACTGGTGGCCGTGCCGGGGAATTCCAGCACGCCCTTGTCCAAGGATGCTTGTATCCATAATAATCCTGCATGAGAAGTGGCGCACAGGGGTTGACGATGGGAGACATGTCCATCTCGACTATACCAAGTACACGGAGATAGACTTGGATGTATCTGTACAAAGTGACACGACGTGCTGTCGATATAGAAAGAAACGGTGGCCAAGGCGTGCCGTCGTTGGGGTATCTCGTGCACCTCCCGTCCCGCCGCCCTAGTCTGCCAGACCCTTGCTTTTCGCTTCCTCGGCCGCGCGCTTCCTGGCGAGATATCTTTCCCTCGCGCTGGAAATCTCCCCCTCCGTCTTGCGGCTCTTGGCCGACCGCTCCACGTCCTGACGCTCGGCTTCCTCTGCCTCTCTCGAGCGCTTCATCGATTGCTCCAGTTGCTCCTCTAGCATGCGTGATTGTCTCTCCCGCATGCCTTGCTTTCTGTTTGCCTGCGCGCCGCTGGCGTAACGCTGGTCGCTTTCCCCGGGCCGCTTGGCTTCTTTGTGAGCGTCTTCCCTCTTCTTAGAGCCCACGTTGAGGCCGCCCTTGAGCAGTTGTCGCTTGTCGACTACCTGGCCGTCCTCGTTGACGGCAACAGACGCCCCTTTCTCGTTGAGCTCTCGAGCCAAGGCCGCCTCCGCCTTTTCTCTGTCGTCGTCTTCGCCTTCGTCCTCTGCAGTCTTGGGTCCATCCTTGGCGCTCTCCTGTGTAGCCTTTAGAGCCTCGGCGTGTCTTTGCTCACCCTTGTCCAGGAGCCGCCTATAAAAGGCCGACATGCCACCATCCTTGTTCTTCTTGGCCTCCTCTTCTTCTCTGCGCTTTTCCTCCTCTTCCAAGCGCTTATTCTCTTCTTGTTGCTTCTTGTAAGCCTCTGTTACGAATTTTTCCTTGTCCGCAAACTCGTCGCCCTCGGCCTCGCGCTCGCGCGCAATCTTCTTTTCCTCGGCAATCAGTGCGTCTCGCTTGCGCACCTCAGCTGCTTGCATCAGGCTTTGCATGTACTTTGGCTTTCTCTCGTCCTCCTTTGTTGCGTGCTTCTTGGGCTTGAGGGAGTCGTACACCGAGTCGTATTCGTAGACGGTTGGATCAACCTCCATGGCAGCTTCGGCATGCTTCCGAGCCGTCAGGGCGCTCGAGAGATCTCCAAACCCGGGGCTTTGCTGAGACCTTGCCTTGAGCTTTGGTGGTTGCGCGGGCAGTTTGCTTTTTAACCTGGGTCCTTTGCTCGACGAGGCATCTTCCCTCGCGGCTGGGATGCTAAAGTCCAGCTCTCCCCCGATGTTCTCCCCTCTGTCCGCGCCCTTTGCGCCGTCATTATCGGAATCGTTATCGTCGTCGCCGAATATCGTCCTTCTGGCTGCTGGACCGGGTTTCTTGGCGCCCTGCTTCTTCGGCAGGCTGAGCCCAAAGGAAAAACCGGGCTTGCTCATGTTGATGTGCTTGCCTTGCGGCCGAGCCGGCTGAGTGTGACGATGTCTGCCGAGCAGCCCGTGTTGTTGTCCCGTCCGTCCCGTGATATCTTCCAACGGCTCGCGCGTTGGCCAACGAAGCGGTTATGACGACGGAGAAACAACGCAGAAGGTCCCACGGATGGATAGCCTAGACAAACTCTCCAGCTATAGCAGTCAAAAACGGCCAGTGAACTCAAAAGACAATCAAGGCATCGCGCTCGGGCGGCAGTGCTGCTCTGTACGCGCCATGCGGTCGTGTCTACGGGCGGGCGAAGCATTGCGGCCACTACGATCGTGCGCAAGAATGTTGATGACTCCGCGAAGCCGACAAAGAATCGTCAAAATGTATCTATATATACTGAAGTGAGAAGTCTTACTGTCACATACGGCCACAGTTGCATGAGAAATTCCGATCCCGTCCGATCTCGGCTAAATAAGCATGTAAACGGCAGATTAGTAGTTGGGTCGGTGACGACCAGCGAACACCGGCTGCTGTATGTCATTCATTTTTGGTCTCTTCCACTCATTCACCTCTAATTTTTGCTCTCAGCCTTCATCATGAACATCGAAGCCTCCCAACCTCCCCTCATATCCCTTTGACCGCGGTAAGACCGGTCTCTGGTCACAGGCCTCAATAGTATACAGATACGAAGTAGATACGGGCCATGTAGGCGATAGCACTAGGAAAACCTTACACAGCGGATTTTCGACTACAACGCTTTACGCAATTTTATAGAGCCGCAATATCTCTGAGACTCCGAGGCAGTCATCTGGAGACAATGAGAGTGGAAAGAAAGTTCTCGGCTGCGACGTCGTCGGAATGAAGGTGATGCTGTCTCAAAGCCTTGGTCCCTGCAAGGAAACCACTGTGTTGTGCAGGTAAAAGTGAATTGACACTCCAACAAATGACCTGGAAAAGTGGACCCTATATGCCATGGAGGTGCTGGTGGCAGCTGACAGTACCTTAGGTTGGGCGCGGATAACAGAGCTGAGAAAGAGGTAGAAGAAGGTGAGGATTACGGGCTCCAGCTGCGGGCCCGGGCACGAGCTTTAAGGGCTCGTGGCGCTCAGACTCAACAAGAGCAGCTGAAACCTTGAACTTGGTCTTCAGTACGCGCTTGGTGCTCCAGCCCCTGCTCGGCGGCATGTGTGCGTGTACGTCGAGGCGATTTTGGCGGTTCATGCAGCTCACGACATGCCACCGGCTGAGCACAGGCTCCAGACCAACCAGCTGCCGCTCGGATCCAGCGAGACTGAGGGCCCAGAGAGATATGGCGAAGGATCTGGCAATGCCCGTGCGGCCGATGCCGCTGATGACGGTTTGCGGACACTGAACGCGCTCAGGTGGGTTCGCCAGTCAGCTCTTTTGGCATCTCGTAGATATAGCCAAGCGTCTCAATATCCGTCACGTCCTAGAGAGGACATGATTACAACGAAGTTCCACTCGAAACCTGCCTATAAATGCCACAGTCGTACCTTTGACGTCAACAGCCGGGTCAGGTCGCGAAGTTTGACGAAGGGATCCAACGGGCTGTCAAGCCTCAGCCAGTCACCTGGCTGCAGACCCGGCGTAGGGCCTTGTATGTCGGACGAACTGGTCCCCGCATACATAGCAAACTGGGGCTCCATATTGAGTTGCTTGGTCTGTCCATGAAGAGTCTGCCATTTCCAAAATAGTAAAATCGATGAAGCAATAGTGGAACCAAAAGATTGTATCAAACAATGCCGGTTAATTCTCCCCCATATCGCCCCTATAATCGGGGACATCTGCAGCTTGCGCGTCCACTTTGGTGACCTGAACACCGCCGACGGCCAGATGTATGGCGTTGTGAGGCGTCTCAAGCGCTACGGCAGAGATAACGCCGGGACCCTCTTCGTGGCCGTCGTTCTACTGGGATGACGACGTACCATTGGAGAAGAAGGTGTAGTTTGGCACCGTCAAGAACCGGGAATACTGGTCTCTGATGCCAATATCGATCTGGCCGATTCGATCGACTGCAACGGTTTCCAACGGGATGATGACCCATGCCTTGATGTTCTCGTTTGGATACTTTTGGAAGCTTAACCCGTGGCCGTCGTAATCATTGATCATGAGAACTAGGTGTGTTGGATTTAAGCTAGGATTAAGGCAACGCAATAAACCCGAGACCAGAGACGCTTGCAAGATGAGCGCACAGAAGAGAAACCAAGAAGTATACCAACATCGGGGGCAAGGTTAGCAAGAAGGGGGCAACGACGAGGGCAGCGACAAGGGCCGGAACAAGCAGAAGATCAGACGCAAGAGGGGCACCAAGACAAGCATGTCCCTCATTAGATCTGCTTCTTCAAGAATAGAAACAGTATCGTCTGAGGAGACTTACGAAATAGCTTGCTAGGAGCTGCTTACTAGGAAACTACTAGCATACTAGAAGAAAAACACAGTGAACTGAGGCGCCGACTCAAGCCGCTGTGCCCGAGGTGGCGCAATTCTTGCTTGAGCTCGGCGTCATTGTTTCCGATATCTGGTTTAGGAGACGCGATAGACGATCTTAAGCAGTGGCTTGCTTGAGAGCACAGTGGAAGGTGTAGGGGTCTCAAAGAGATGGATTTAGTGATGCATGTCTTGGTATATCTTTCGGGACGAGTGAGGAGTTTTATACAGGTACAGATACGCCTCATGGGTCTATTAAGTCCCTGCACATAGAAATGGGCACCCCCCTGTTTTGGGCACCCAAGATGGGTGCCCAACCTAAACGGCTGCGTCAACTTCAACAGCAAATTTCACCGCGGAAACGCATCCAATCTGCTAAAAAATTGACGCATGTGTCTTCAAGCCACTACTGATGAAATATACAGAGTCTGACATTCACAGCGCCCTTGAGGCAATCGCCAATGGCGGATCCGCCAAGAAGGCTGCTCGCGATTGGGGCGTCCGAGGGCAACTCTTTACAATCGCATGCATGGTCACGAATGCAGAAAGGATGCATTTTCTGCTCTTCAGAGGCTTTCTCAGACACAGGAAAAGCAACTTACCGAATGGATTCTCATTCAGGACGCCTTGGGCCTTCCTCCCACTCACTCGCAGATCAGGCAGTTCGCGCAGCGCATGCTCGCCGTCAAAGGAGACCACACACCGCTCGGAAAACACTGGATGCAAGCATTTTTAAGACGAAATCCTGCAGTTCGGACCCAGAAGTGCCATCACAGAGACTCTGCGCGTGTCAACGGCGCTTCTACCGAGGTAATTCGGCCTTGGTTCAACAATTTCTTCCTTCCCGAGATTCTGGCTATTAAGCCGGAGAACAGGTACAACATGGATGAAGCAGGCATCATGGAAGGACTTGGGGAGAATGGCCTGGTCGTTGGCAGTGCTGAAAAACGATCTGTACAAAAGAAGACGCCTGGTTCTCGGGTCTGGACGTCGTTCATCGAGTGCGTGTCCGCTGCCGGCACCTTCCTCCCTCCACCCGTCATTTTCAAGGGCAAATCGGTCCAGCAACAGTGGTTCCCAGAAGATCTCAGTACTTTTAGTGACTGGCAATTCACTGCGACAAAGAACGGCTGGACTTCGGACCAAACTGCGGTGGAGTGGCTCGAAAAGGTGTTCCATCCAAGAACCCAGCCACCCGACCCTTCGGAGCGAAGACTGCTAGTATTGGACGGCCACGGAAGTCACGAGACGGTTGACTTCATGTATCTATGCTACCAGCATCAGATTCACCTTCTTTTCTTACCTCCCCATACCTCTCATGTGCTGCAACCGCTCGATTTGTCTGTCTTCTCCGCTCTTAAGCACTACTACCGCAAACAGGTCGGATTTCTCAGCCTCCTGACCGATTCAAGCCCAGTCGGCAAGCAAAACTTTCTTTCCTGCTACCAGAAAGCACGCGAGCAAGCGCTCACTGTGTCAAACATCAAGGGTGGCTGGAAAGCGACGGGTTTGTGGCCGGTGTCGATGGCGAAGCCACTTTTGAGCCCTCTTCTGCTGGAGAACAGCAACAGACGCAAAAGAACGCGAAAAATGTGGCCAATGCATTCAATAGCCACTTACCCACCAGTGACTGGCAATCAGACACATCCCAGATTGCGTGGTCGACCCCGAGGCGCTCGCAAGATCTGAAGGTTCAGGTAGTTCAATTCAACCAGCTAGACGACGACGTGCCCACGAAGAGATTGCTGTTCAGGAAGATCACAAAAGGGTTTGACGAGAAGGATGGCCTTTTAGCAAAAGCTCAATTGCAGATTCAGGCACTGGAAACACAATTGGCGGCCGTCAAGCCGAAAAAAAGGAAGAGGGTGGTCACGAGCCCGAATTCGAGGTTCGCCAATATTGAGGCAATACGACGGGCGCAGGAGGAGGTGAACGCAGCTGAGAATGAAGAATCTGATGAAACCGAAGCTGAGGTTTCAGAAATAGGTGACGATTGTATCGTAGTGCACGGTGGTGGGCAGAGAAGGGATTGAATTAATGGTGTTGAAAATGGTCGTGATTTTTTGGGGTGCCCAAAACAGGGGGGTGCCCATTTCTATGTGCAGGGACTTAACAAGCTAAAAGGAGGCATTGAGATATGCATATATATGAGTTGTGCTCTTTGCAAGTCCTACTGCTGGGAGTGCCATATAGGCCCGGCAGGCCCCTTTCTAGCTCTTGGGTCCTCTAGGTTTTGCTCTCCTCAACACACCCCCTTGCTTCAGCGACTTGGGAGGTGGTGTACTAAGTAGAGGAGTGAATGATTAGATGACCGTGACTGAGTGTGAGACTATTTAGAGTTAAATTTGAATGCTGTTCCATGGGTAGCTTGGGGTTGTATTAAGGTCTAACAAGATTTATCGGACCCAGCAGTGCCTCTTACACTTTAAGAATCTTTCTCTCCATCAACGCTCGTAAGGATATCTTCGGCCGAAATCTCAATAGCTTTAGACGACTCAGAAAGAATAGCAACCCATCGCTGACTGCCCCGCGGACGGGTTTCGATCTCAATATCATAGTCCGGCGTGGGGACAGCACCCGCCATAGAAGTGCTTTCAACTGTGGGACGAATCCACCTCCCGCCTGCGGGCTGAATATCAAACTGCAAAATGGTTAAGGCTGCAAAGGCCAGAATCTCACATGTAGCAAAATGACGGCCAGGACACAGAGTAGTACCGCCGCCGAAGCCGCGGAAGGCAATGGGGTTGGGCCGTTTGGAGTTCGGTGACCGGACAAATCGTTTGTGGTTGAACTCGGCAACATCAGGACCCCAGATGGACGGGATGCTATGCTGAACGGGACCCGGCATCATAACGGTGCTTCCCTTCTTGAGGAGGTACTGGCCATCGAGCATACAATCTTCCAGCACCATGCGAACCGAGTTATTGATGCCATGGAAACGAAAAACCTCTTGGAAAGTCGAGAGGAAGATGGGGCAATCGGTTTTGATATAGTCCACATCGATTGTGCAGACGTCATCGCTCTCCTGAACGCCCTTGGCCAACTCCTGCTGGCAGTCTCTGAAGACGACTGGATCGGAAAGAATTTGCCAGAGCAGCCAAAACGTAGCGGGGATGGTGTTGCTAAGCAGCGCAAAAGAGCCACCGATCTCAGTTCTCGCGATGTCGTTGAGAGGAATGTGGTGCTGGGCATTGTGCTCGTATCGACGCTGGACAAGAGCGGATGCTTGGGTTTGTCCGCCGTCTCGGAAGTAGGCCTCGAACTTTTGGACCATGAATTCGCGAGCCTTCAAGCTCTTTTTCGCCGAGATTGCTGGGAGCAGATTAAGCATGAACGTGGTGATTCTCGGTTCGTATACACTGGGTAACGGTAAGCATATCCTTGTCGTTCAGTAAGGACAGCAGAAGGCGGAGACTTACTGCCACGCCGCCTCCATGGCTGGGTCTTTGTATGGATTCTGAGGCCCGTACACTGCGTCCGTAGTGGACAGCAAAACTGCATGTTGAATCCACTTGAACATGCTAATAGTGCTTGGGCCCTGTCGCCTCAACTCGTCGAGAGACGCAGCGACGTTTTGGATTGACGCCAGGTTCATGGCATCGAGAGCGGGCCCAGGGGTCACGGCAGGATGAATCGCCTTGTCAAAACTCATCAAATAGCCATGGTCCTCCGTCATATCCACTGCTATTATGTCATTTGCCGTCTTGCTTCCTCCCATGGCAAACTTGAAAGCACGGGCCGCAAAGGGCGTGAAGGCCACGGTCCGGAATTGCCGCTGGACAACGGGGATGAGGGCTGTGGAGTTGACGACGTAGATGCGGGCGCCCGGCATGCGTAGGGTGTAGATGGGAAGGCCATACTTGTCTCTAGGCACGAAGTCAACGCCAATGGCCATGCAGAGACTCGAACAGTGCTCACACACCTCAATCGCTTGTACACGTCGGCCTTGTATCGGATCATGGCGATGATGGGGCTGAGGAAGGGGATTGTCGTCTCAACTGCTCTTGGTTCCTTCGCATCTTGAGTGAAGCTCAACAAGGCGCGCAATAGCACAAGCAGGCTGCCAACAGCCGCCAGAGTAACCGCGATAGCCGACGGCATTATGGACAGACAGGCGTGTTCTGAATTGCGCTGCTCAACAGAACGGAGCGTGACAAATGGCGCAGAGAGCCAGAAATGTCGAACAAGGCGGGGTCTGGGTGTGAGCAGTTGAGGTCCAGGTTGTGGGAGGAAGGGAAGCTCGAGTTATGGCTCTCACACGTCACTCTTGATAAAACCCTAGCTCTAATGCTGTGTCACGTTGGTCGGGTCTTTGCTGCTTGAAAACATTTCATCACGCACCCGGGGGTATGTCTATATCTATGGGGCTGATCGAGAGAAAAACGGCTGACCGGTTGGTGTTGTGGACGGCCCGGTGCATGGCGTGTCTAGTGTACCCTCCGCAGGACACGTCTGTAGCCAGCCAGAAGGAGACAGACTCCATCCAATGATCGCGACGGGCTGAGCACACAGCCCGGCCGCACTGCAGGGGCAGCCGGGGGAGCCCCCTTTCCTCCCTACCAACTAACCAAGCAGTCCTATTCCCTCTCCTAACAAAAGCTGGGGGTGGGGGAAGGGGGCAGTTTTCCTCCCCCTCCCGCATGAGGGGGTTACACCACATCACAGTTACATTTGGGTGTGTTCATCTGACTGTGCTGGACAGTGGTTCTGACTGACCTTACTTGTTATGGCTTGACTCAAAAGCTACTCATGATGGAGTCCGTTCCTGTCACCGCGCAGCAGGGCAAGTCTGCCCAATTAGCTTCATGATGCTACAGGGGGAGGGGGAGGAAGGAGGGTGGCGGCCGTGAGGAACAGCATGGTTGAGCATACACACGCAGGGGGCTGACGGCGAATGCTCAAGTATGGGAATTCCACACCCGGATTTTCTCATGACTACTCCGGAAGCCCCGCTGTATTCCAACTTGAGCATCGGATCAGGTCTTTCACAGCATCTTTTTCGGACATCTGTCGTGACCGCAGAGTTGAACTCGCCACAATGTCCACAACTGCCAGTGGTACCCTCCAGACGACTCCGCCGCTGGTATCGCAAGGCGTTTTTCATGTCAGTCTTCCTGCCGTCGAGCATCCCAACGTGTATAGTGTGTTGGGCTTTGCTCATGTGTTCGCCAGGGCCTCGTCTGGGGGGGGTTTGTTCTTTGCCTGGTCGCCTTCTGCTTCCGGGCCTACGTCCGGATAGTGTGTTTTCGCCGTCTTTTCGTCGACGACTGGCTCATGATGGGCGTCCTGGTCATTTTGCTCGCCGCCGACATTGTTTGCCAGCTGGGTCTCGGATACATGTACGACATAGCCGACCCGGACCACATCCCGGGCCCGGACTTCATTCCCAACACCCAGTCGGGACTACGCGAGTTCGGCGCCTCCATGATTCTTAGCTACATCGGCATATGGCTCATCAAGTTGAACTTCCTCCTTTTCTTCTACCGCCTTGGTAGCAGGATCCGGCGCTACCTGATCACCTGGTGGGTCGTTCTCGTCTTGACTATAGCGTGCGGTGCCGTCGAACTGGGTATTATGCAGACGAAGTGCATGTTCGGACCCATCTTGTATATTATGACGACGTGTAACCTTTCTTCATCCATGGAGGCCACGTACACGCGCTTCAAGGTATCGTGCGTCCTCGATGTCCTGACGGATGCGATGAGTAAGTGCCCTGTTCCCCGGGCGAAGCACGGAGGCAAGCAGCTTGCTGATGCAGGCCACAGTCATCGGCTTTCCCATCTTCATTTTATGGGGAGTTCGGATTAGCCTTGGCCGGAAGATTGCCTTGGCGGGCATTTTCGCTCTCGTGGCTTTCACCATAATTGTCACCATCATCAGAGGCAGCATCTTCGGCGGTGTCTACCAGTCCATCGATGAACATAACCTGAAAGCCATGAACGTTTCATGGATCTGGTTCTGGTTTGCCATTGAATTTAATGTTTGTACGTGGACCCCAGCCAGACTGTCCCGCAGAGGTCATTTTCGCCGTTGGCGGCCAGCCGGGCTAATTCGTCGACAAAGCCTACATCATTGCCTGCCTCGTCTCTTTCCGCGCTCTCTTTACGCAGAGGGATCGGAAAGCCAATATACAGCAAGAACGGAAAATCCCGGCTACACCGGGAACACCTGAAGCTCTCAAAGTCAGGCGCTCTGGGTTCGCCTCACGGTTCAAGTCGATGCAGAATAGCCTATTGGATACCTGCCGGACCTTGGAGGGTACTCGAAGCGATGGCAGTGACGATCATGCGTTGCCTATGCCGCCTCCCGGGCGACTGAGCGTGAAGTTTCCGGATTACCCAGCTCCGAAGGTGGAACCTGTAACGATGACCACTTACAGCAGTAGTCCTGGCGGTTGGGAGCCCTTGACTGACTCTACCACCCTTACTCAGGATTCGGACGCGGTGGCTAGGGCAGTTTGAAGATGAGGTATTCAACCGTGAAAATAACGGACCGAGGTCACGATAAGGAGCTTTATAGTGCGCCGCAGGACCCATTGTGCAAACGATTGTGCTTTTAATTTGCTACTTTACTATTCAATGGATTTACAAAAATCGAGTAACAGTTTGTCTCTATTTGAATCCATATTCCAAGCCACATTTACGCACAAATTTAGTACGGGCTTAAAGATCGTTTTCCTTTTCTCTTTCTCTTGCCGACTCTTTATTTCTTAGGCCCCCACGGTTCTGTCCTTCTGATCCTCTGTCCTTCTGGCCCCCTCTGCCCCCCCCCCCTCCCCCCCCTGTCGGCCCCCCTCCGGAGGTGGTGGCGTTAGTAGTTGGTTTCCATAAGTACTACTACAGTACGGTATGAAGATGTAACAGGTTCGTATGCAATACGACCATTCGCTGTGGTAGGAAGGCATGACGACGTGTTGAGTTCCATTACCATCAACCAACGAAGCTAAATGGGACCTTCCATTGGCTCTTTTCCCTCACTCTTCCAACACTCTCAATACCACCTTGCAAGGCATGCCATCGGCAGGCTGAGACCCTCCAGCCCCGATCGGGTACGCTCTCTCCCCACCCAAGGTCTTAACCACCCTGCCATCTGCCGAGCATGCCCCGTCGACTTCGCCGTACATGGCCTGGAAGCCGAACAAGCGCACCGTCATGACCATGGTGATCTTGAGGCTGTGCATAGCAAGCGTCTGTCCCAAACAGGCGCGGGGACCTCTCTCGAACGGTCGAAAAGAGCCCTGCCCTGAGTACAGCGGGTTACCGGGGCCCACGAGCCACCGCTCAGGTATGAATGCGTTTGCATCGACCCAGCAAGAAGGGTCGCGATGCAACGCACTGTGTATCACCCAGATGTGCATGCCCTCCGTGGGAAACCGGCGGCCGCCCTTCCTGTCGTAGAGATCCACGCCCGACGCCCCTGCCCGGAAGCTCGAAGCCGGCGGGAAGAGCCGCAGCGTCTCCTTGATTACCGCTGTTGTATAGGGAAGCTGATTCAGGCTGAGTGGCTGCTCGCACATTCGCTGAGCCGCGTCGATTGGGTTTGGGCCGTATACCTGTGTGTGCTCTGCCCGCAGCTTGGCCATTGCGGTGGGATTCTGCGAGAGAAGGTAGTAACAGTAGGATATTGTCGGCGCAGAGGATGCGTGGCCGGTAAACATGAAGAGGCGGAGCTGAATCGTCAGCCACTTCTTGTACTTGTCGTCCGGTCTGAAGTCGGGACCGACCGCTTCCTTCTTCATGTGCTGTGCTAGAGTGAAGTCCAGGAGGGTCTCACACGACGTGTCTGCCACGGAATCCTTCGCAGAGTGTCTATCGATTACAGCCGAGATGTACTTATTCATCTTGTGACCGTTGTACCAAGACAGCAAACGTAAGAGAGGGCTCCATCGAACCCACTTGCTCTTGAGGCCAGCTGTATAGTGCCAATTCATGCTACTCATCATGGCGGAGGCGAATGGATGGTCCTTGAGCTGGCATCCAAGTCGCTCATTTCTACTCGACATGGATCAGTACTTAGGCCCCTTCAATAAAATTCGTGAATGGATTAATATTCTCACAGGATGACAGCGGCGCTCACATCCATTGTATACGCCATAGTAGCCTCATTGAACAGAAAAGTCTGTCCAGATTTTGCGTGCCCTCGTAGGACTTCCACAAATACTGCAGCCTCTTGGACAATTTTCCCAGTCAGGTCCATGACCCGGTTGCTGCTGAACCAGGGCGAGAACAGAGTGCGGTCGCGATGCCACCCTGCCCCGTTGGCTGTGAACAGGCTGTTTCCCCCGGCCACAGGATAGAGAAAGGGAACCAAAACTTCAGGTTTAGTAAGATCATATTGCTGGCACGCCTGTGCTGCATGATTTGGCGAAGAGACGATCAGAAGCGGGGGGATGAAAGGCCAGAGGTCCACGTAGAGAGGAGAGCCAGAACCTCCGCCTACACGGCATAAGAAAGCAAAGATGTCGGGCCTCGCGATGTCTAATGGTAGTGTATTCTTTAATAGGTCACGCAAGACTAGAAGATGCCCAAAGACTGGATTCCATCTTGGCATCGGCTGGTATTTCAACTGTCAGCCCGCGTGTGAAGCGTTCGGGGTATTGTACTTTGATGGCGGATACTCACTAGACCTTGTCGAACATTTCGGTAGAAAGCCATGCGTGCTTTAATGAGACTGATGACCATGAGGGCCAAGGCTATGCCACCAAAACAAGTCAGGGCGAGCAGAGCATCTGGTCCTCGCGCCATGACAGATGCTGCCATCGCCGTCATGTCCAGCGACATAGAGGGATGTAATAAATGTGGGAAAATCGGATTATTTTCTGGCAAGTCTGTGTGATGGTACACCAACACAGCAATTACCTTTTTAAGTTTACATGGAAATATGTAGAAGACGCACAGCACCTGGCTAAGAAGAAGACTGGGCATTGTAAGCACCGCCGTCTTTTATTAGAACGAAAGACAAGAAATGGAGCCAAAAACATATGTCCATGTTTGTCCCGTGCGAAGCTCAGCCGACGTCAGAGTAAAGGGTGTGCGGCACTATCGGGTGTGCTACTTTAGTGATTTTGGGGGCCCTTAGATCTTACCGTTGATCTAGAGCAAGTGCGCTAGCCATTGAGGATGTATTTCCCAGTGCAGATACAATGGAAGGGCCTTTTTCGGCGCATCCTACATCGTGATGCCTTTGCTGACATGTCCGGCGCGCAATTCAGCGGACGTAACCAACCCTGACATACTGACTGGCCCTGATCTAATTTGGGGGCGGGGGTTTGTTCGTTGAGAAGACCTGACCACAGGACCGAGGGGGCCAGGCTCTACTATAATTGTGTTGATGACGGTCTCACGCGGCTATTGGAGCAGAAGGACAGGCACACGAAAGTTGTGAGTATCGAGTACCGTGTCAAGAGACTGCTACGATCTCTCCCTAAAGCATGTACAGGCAGAGTTGGAAATCGATCTTATAGATCGATTTTCGAGCCTGATCGATCGAATTTTATCGATCGTCACCTTCAATCGATCGATATCGATCGATCGCTGTTTGATTCGAATCGATCGACGATCGAATCGATCAATACTAAAAATCATCCCTATCTAGGGTGATCTTGCCCATCAGTTGAAGAACTTGCCCAATTGTCCCCTTCAAGCAGACCAAGAGGAAGTGTCGGCTGATAGATGCCAGCTTTACTCCAGGAACGAAGACACTGCGCCATCGCCACAATATGGCGTCGTAGGCGAGATCTCAGTGGTGTTATCATCCTCCCACAGCTGCTAAAATCTCTTTCCGTTCCTGCTGAAGACGACGCGATGGTAAGGTAGTCAACAGCCATATAAGACAGCCGAGGAAACCGCGCAACACCAACGTCCTTCCACCAAGCGATTGGGTCCGTTTTGTATGCGATATTTTCCACCGGCGGCTCTGATAGGTACTGATCAAGCTCGTCCTGTTCTTGCAAGGCGGTTGACTGCTTTGGTCCTTTAATTTGCCGCCCTCGAGGCTCAGGGCAAGCCAATGATCGACTAAACGCCAATCGACGCTCAATATAGTCCAAGCCACTATTAGTCGTATCCGCTGAAACACCATCGCAGGATTGCCGATGAGCCATGTTCTTGTACCTCTCTTTCCAGACTGTCGCTAAGCTTCTCGCATATGTTCTTTCCCACTCCGACGTCTGACGAGACGGGAGTTGGCTCCAAAGCCGTTCCAGAGCGCGCCACTTCTTGCAGGGTGGAACACCACTGCCGCTACATATGCGGTTGAGGTCAGCTTGCTATAGTAGTCGTTCAGCTTCTTCCATCCGAGCTTGATGTAAATCTTCAAAACCCTGCGAGTTCTTGCGTCCATGTCATTGAACAGGTGAACCTCTTTCATGGTCTGATCTTCGTTCTCTTCGATTATAACTCCCTGAACTGCTAGTTCGAGGTGGTCAAGGAGCATCTCTACCACGGGAAGTACTCATCGAACCCTCCTGACGTGGAGCGTTTACCAGCAATACCCTCGCCCTGGAGTTGCTTCGAGGCGATCTTGAATGGCTGAAGGATCTTCTGAACCGCAACAACGACCTTCCATTCTTCAAGGAAAGTTGTTCTTTCAGTATCGCTGGTTTGTCCTGTTCTTTGCCGCCTTTGCCAAGCCATCGTTCCTCGATGATGGAAAACATCCTGTTCAAAGCCGTACGCTTCAGCAGAGCGCGTGAGGCCATCGCCTCATCGGATTGCCAGCGAGTGCAGACGTTTTGAACCCACGTAAGAATAGGTTCAGTAGGAGCGGTTTGCCGTTGAGCTTCGTAAAGACCTCGAGAAGTTGACTGCTCGTTCGAAGAGCAATGCCAATATTGTGAAGTTTGCCAAATGGCCCAAACTTGCGGTACTTGTCCACTTCTTCGCCATTGATGATGTCGGGCAGTACGTCCTGATCCTGACTGCCTTCTGGGACTGTTTCAACCTCGAATCCTTCTTCCATGCTCGGCACACAGAAGTCGTCGTCGGTCGCCAGCTCATTGATAGCGTCGGACAACTGGCGCTGCTCTTCCTCTTCAGCCACAAAGTCCTTATCGCCCCAATGAGCAAGCAACTCGTTGAAATTATCCCTTTTGCTGCCGTACATCATAGCCCTGACGGCCAGGTTCAGAAAATGAGGGCGCAGCGGATGCGACGCTCTTCCTGTCGAAATCGAACTCAGCGGCAAGCGCTTCCACAGCCGTATCATTATTCGTAGCGTTGTCAAGCGTGTAGTACCCGATTCTGACGCCGGATAACAGTCAAGATTGTCAGCTAACGGACCCAAGAAGTGTTGACTGTGGTTCTATACCTGTCTTCAAGACCAAACGCGCATATTGTATCTGCAACTTCATCTGCAAGCGCTGCTCCAGTATGGCGTTTCGCGAGAGCCGGCAAAGCCAAGAGGATTCCCATTGGTTCCAATCTTGGTCGATAAAGTGGGCGTTGATACCGAGGAATGATGTGTTTTGTCGGGAAGTCCAGCCATCAAAGGTAAATGAATCATACTTCTCGCTCTTTGAAGCAGCTCGCAAAGCGGACCAAGAGCGCGATTATACTCATCTAGTAGCAGATTCACAAGCGTTTTGCCAGTTGGTATCTGGCCTTCCTGGAGAGCCGGGTTGTTGTAGAGAAGGAGTCGTCTGAAGCGCTCAGAGTTTACGACATTAAAGGGGAGGTTATGATATGTAAGCCAGTCGAGCAGGAGCAGTTGATTCATCTTCGGATCGAATAACGTATGCAGATTGCTGAGAAGAGTCTGATCTCGAGGGTTCGTCGGATCGGCGCGAAGCATATCAAGCAGGTTCCGTTCTGCACCTCCACTCCCGGTAACTGAGCCTGCACGTTGTCTAGAAGGTGGCTGACAAGTTAGCGGGCATGATCGAACGACGTGGAGATGGGGTACGGAGAGGTGGCACAAACCACGACTTTGTGCTCCTTCCTCAGATGTCGGACGACGCTTCCCCCAGTCGAAGCGATGAAGACGTAATGTGCTGTCTTCGGCCTGTCCCGGAGGAAGCATCTCTCGCAGATCCATACGATCTTGTGGGGCCGTGACCTGTTGTCCTTCATTCTGAATCCGAATTGCCACCACCACGTCCGTTCTCGAGAAGGGTCGTGGCAAATCGAAGCCGGGAACCGCCCAAATTTATCAGTCGTCCAAGCTTCATAATCTGGAAACCCCATGGGTGCATATTTAGTTGATGCTGAACTGGTTGTCGGCTCGGAAGGCGGCGGCGTGGAGGAGGCGATCTCTATGTCCTCATCAAGCGCGTCCATGGTGGGAAACGTCCGTAAACAATGTGGGCGAGGTCAAATCGAAGGGTGCGAGGCTGATAAGGTCGAATCTGTATGAAGTCTACTCGGACAGGCTGAGGCCCGAAATAATTCCTGGTTGCGACGCGTACTGATTCCGTTGAACGGGGAGGACTTGCAAACGCAAGAGACGGAGAGATCAATTTACTTTTGTCGACACGCGACGCGCGGCAACAAGATAGATATGACTGGCTGCCTGGGACCCCCGGTCGTTTGCCAGGGTGTTTGGCAGACGCGTCGGGCGGCAGCATCGTCACGCATCCAACCTACGCAGCCTACCCTGGACACCTTGTATGGACATGGCGAACGACGATCAAATCGATCGATTGGAGGTTGGATCGATACGATATCGATCGAGCAGGACTTCTAATCGATCGATCGAAATCGAAATCGATTCGATTAATCGATTCGATCAAATCGATTGTACGATCGATTTCCAAGCCTGTGTACAGGGCAAGAACGCTCGCTAGAACCTAAGCACAGCTTATTTCACGTATATACATATACATATATATATATTTAGATGCGCTCTCTTCGAGCCATCCGAACCACTTTTTACGTAGATAGACGCTTCAACTTATTTCTTCACAGCTCAAAGGGCTTCTGTTTCTCCTCATATTGAATCGCCGGAGTCATATCACAATGTCTACACCTACACCTCCCGGTCGAGCAGCGGGCCTACACGCCCTCCCATACTCAAGTTTACTTTCCTTCTGTGAAGAGCCAACTGCCATCTTGGCGGTGTCTGTCTTTACTTGCTTGCTACTGGCCGCCAAGTACCAAGTTGAGAAATATAGGTACCACAAAGCCCATTGGAAGACAGATACTGGGCAACTTCCGCCGAAATACCCATCCCTCATTCCGTACGTTGGGAGTATCATTTCCCTTGTGTGGAACACCAAGGCATTTCTAAGCCAAGCCACGTAAGTGAATTTATGGTTCTTCAAAATTGAGTGTTCACTACTGAGCAATCGACGTTCTTGTAGTTCTTTTGACGGGAAACTGTCGGCAGCCAAGATAACCTGTCTTGGAATGGACATGTACCTCTTCCAGGACCGCGAAACCGTCAAGAAGATATGGAAACAACGGAGCCTGTCTAGTCCCATCAGCATCTACATATACGTGCTCAAATATTTCTTTGGTCTCCCGGAATCAGCACTGTCAGTCTACCGAGCTGATGACTCCGGCCCGCTCCCCAAACCGTATTCACATAGCCATGTTCAACCGCAAGACCGTGTCGATCACATTACCCATCATCCATATTTGCGGGCGCTCAGCGGACCTGGTCTGAGTCCAACCGTAGAGCGTTTCAAGCAATCCCTCGAGAAGAGGGTGGTGGCAATGCACTGGGGCGACGAGTGGACCGAGGAGAGCAATATTGAGTCCTTATTCCAACGTGTCCCAGCTGCTTCACTGATCGAGGCCATCTTTGGACCCACCCTGCTTCATCTCAACCCCAGCTTCGTCGAAAATATTTGGAAGTTCGACAATTTCGTTCCGTGGTTCGCCCGAGCTATCCCGGGGTTTTTGATGCCCGAGCCGTACAGGCTGCGGGAGCGACTGAAGGGCCAATTGAAGCATTGGTATCAATACGCGAGACAACGCTTCCAGGAATCCGACATCAGTGAGGATGGCGATGGCGATCCCTTTTGGGGATCAGAGTTGATTAGGCATCGACAGAAGGTGTTGCTGCAGGTGCAACACCATGACGATAATGTTCTTGCTTCGACAGACATTGGTTTGGTCTGGGGGTAAGAATTGAAACACCTCCCCTTCCCTCGGACTGGGCTGTACTTATTGTTACAAGAGCCAAAACTGATCCTCGCATAATAGTGCGGTGGGTAACACAATCCCTGTCGCGATGCTTGCGACAATGCATATATGCAAGGATCCAAACCTCCTAAAGCGTGTGCGATTACTCATTGCGGAGACTCTCGGCCAACGCTCACTCCTAGACTTGGACCCTCGAGAACTCTCGCAAATCCCGCTTCTATCATCGATCTATGCGGAGATACTTCGTGTTTACGTCAACACTTACTTCATGGTCAGTTCGCCGCACGTGGACGTTCCGCTAGGGAAGTGGCGGCTGCCCAAGGGCCATATTGGCCTCCTCAATTCGAATATTGCCCAGATGGACCACAGCTTCTGGAACACCAAAGATGGTTTACACCCAATCGAGTCATTTTGGGCTGACAGATTCATAATCGACCCGGCTGATGCATCAAGCGGACCCATCTTACCAGCGTTGAGGAAGAGGTCACCGAGTGCTGAGCAGAATCGACACGGGGAGCCGTATTTTTCAAGGGAGGGCACTGAAGGGTCGTGGTTTCCCTACGGTGGTGAGTTTACTCTCGGCTGCATAGTTCACTTCCTCCGGCTAATCGATATGTGCCAAGGTGGGCACTCCATATGTCCTGGGAGGTTCTTGGCCAAAAGCGTGGTTCTCTTCAGCTGCGCCCTCTTCGTGCACCAATATGACGTGGAAATTCTGGGCGACGCGATCAGATTGGACCCTTTCAGATTTGGATTGGGTGTTGGACAGTTGCAACAGGCGATTCCATTCCGAATTAGGAGGAGGAAGCTTGCGTAATTCGTCGAGACTGAATCTCATCCGGGACTGCGAAATTAGACTCTGATTCAAATTCTCAATATTTTGTACTCAATATTTAGACATTTTTTGAAGGCCACGGCTCCGCTAAACAGTAGCCATATTGGTTTTGGGGGATTCTATGTACAATTCAAGACATCCAGATTTGACATTGATCGTTGAGATCCATGGGTACGTGTAGGTATGAAGATTGCTTTTGCTACGACTATTCGACCCCGATGCTCAAGCTCAATGGGGCGTTTGGGAGCCACTCGTCCACAAAAACATCGTCATTGACGTCCGCATGCCTCACGCTTCATAGTTTATTTTCTTAACAGATCGATCAACCAGCAACCGTGTACTCGTTTGCCAGGCATTCTCACAGCTTTCTTGGAATTGGGTGCTCCTCTGGACAGCTGATCAGACGACGCCACGGCAGGATCCGCTGTCAACCTATCGGGGTCTGCTTCGGCGGCTCTTCTTCATGCAGAGACCTTGTGTAGTTAGTTAGAGGTAATCCTGCAGCCACTAGGACATGGTTGGTTTTAGAAAGTCCGAATCGGAGAGAAGACAACCTTGACGGCACTGTGCTCGTGCACATCCAGAATCTGCAATACGACCATGTGTGCGCCAATCATATCACGTTTTTCTTGCCGCTGACATCCGGTGTCTTTGAGCAAGTCGATGCTGCCCAAGGTCTTATGCAACCCTGGTCAGCGCTTGCGCCTTGGGGGCTATATTTTATCTACACACCGTAAACTTGAAACCCGCGCTGGCTTAGGTCTTGTACAGCCCAGGTATCTCGACATGTAAGATGGAACATATCCTGGTCATGTCGCCGGCACACAATCCCGTATCTACAAGATGAGTCGGTTCTGCTGGGGAAACTGGGTTGGAGAATTTCCGTTTACTTATGGAAAGGGTGTTCTCTGTCAAAGCGCGGTTGTTGAGCTCATGACTTGCTGTCTTGTGGACATCATTTCGTTGCTCTGCGTCACTGCCTCAAAGCCGCGATGCAGCATTCATACGACGAGAGCCATGGAAATAGGGGCTCGAGACCTCCCGCTGCCGACCAAAACAAGCCTCATGGCAGTCCACAACCTGGTGTCTCCTTCCAAAACCTTGCTTGCCATGGCTCCATGGCATCGGACTTCGTTCAAGACACAGTCATCTCCTATGCTGTATCTCTGCCCAGGAAAATCATCACGAGCTTCATCCGACGCTCACCAAAGAAGGTCCAGATCCTGCAAGGCTTGGACGGCCTAGTGCGCGGCGGAGAGATGCTCTTAGTTCTTGGGAGACCGGGGAGTGGGTGTTCAACCTTTCTTAAAACCTTGGCGGGGAATACACACGGATTTCACATTGACAAAGATACGAGCATTACTTATGATGGTAAGGCACTCCGACCCACGCGGATGGGGCAGCCCCTTCATCATCCTGCTCACATGGATGAACAGGAGTTCCGTACCACCATGTCCACCGTGCGATGAAAGGAGAGTGCGTCTACTTATCTGAGCTCGACGTACACTTTCCTGAATTGACCGTTGGCCAAACCCTTGCATTTGCGGCAGCGACTAGAGGAAAGGGACCAGCCTCTAATAGGGCTGCAATCTCTGAGGTAGCCCGAAGCGTTGCATCTTCATTCAACCTCGAAAAAGCGTACGACACAAAGCTGGGAAATGCTATGATTCGAGGCGTCAGTGGTGGGGAGAAGAGGAGAACTAGTCTTGCGGAGGCTTTCATTAGTGGCGCTCGATTTCAATGTTGGGACAACAGTACTCGCGGTCTCGACAGCATGACCTCTTACGATTTTATCAAGCTTTTGAGGAGCGCGATCAGCTCTCAACAGTTGGTGGCCTTCATGAGCATTTACCAGGCTTCTGAGGCGATATACACGGTAGGCAGGGGACGATTGGTTAAGAGGTCCGACAATATAGAGGCTGACGTCTTACAGACTTTCGACAGAGTGACATTGTTGTACGAAGGACGCCAAATATATTTCGGGCCCGTGGATTCTGCTTCGGACTACTTTCTCAGAATGGGGTTTCAGAGACCCAGCCGTGCTACGACCGCTGATTTCCTTACTTCGTTGACCAACCCAGCAGAGCGCATCGTTCGCAAGGGCTTTGAGGGCAGAGTTCCTAGGTCACCAGACGAGTTCGCAAAGACGTGGCAGGAAAGCAAAGAGGCGCAGGCTCTCTTCGCCGAGATTGAAACGTTCAGAAGCTCTGAACTGAATCAGAACCAATCGAAAATACACAAAAAATACGAGACGAGATTTGCAAGGCAGGAACAAAACCAGTAAGTTACTGAAGTCGCCCCTGGACTTGGTGCCTGATTCTCACTGAGCGCGCCCAAGATTTCCCACGTCGACATACCCGACCTCGATCTCTCTGCAAATCCTCTTTTGCATTCGTAGAGGGCTTCTTAGGCTACGAAACAACTATATTCCCGTGGTAGCTGGTATATTCGCAAATACAATCATTGCCCTGGTGGTGGGAAGTGTATTCTTCGACCTGGGACAGTCTACGGCTAGCATGGACAAGCGAGCCGTGCTACTTTTCTTCTCCCTCATGATCACTGCATTTGCTCCGGCCTTCGAGGTTTGTATTCAGCGCTGCGATTCCACGACGTGGTCGTAAAACTGATGATTTACTAGATAATCACCATGTGGGCACAGCGCCCTATCGTGGAAAAACATGACAGATATGCATTCTACCATCCGTTTACGGAGAGTCTTGCGTCGGTCATCTGTGACCTCCCAAACAAGGTGGCAACCTCCCTACTGTTTCATACGACACTTTATTTCATGACCAATCTTCGCCGGACAGCGTCTGCCTTCTTCACTTATTATGCTTTCAATATTGTCGTCCTCCTGGCCATGTCAATGTTGTTTCGCATGATTGGCTCGCTGTCAAAGACTCTGGAGCAAACCATGGCGCCTGTCTCCATCATGGTCGTGATATTCATAGCATATACGGGATTTGTGATACCCGTCGACTATATGGTGGGCTGGCTGAGATGGCTTCGTTGGTTGAATCCCCTTGCATATGCGTACGAGAGTCTGATGGTCAATGAGGTATGTCCATTCTCTTGCGAGAGAGAGCTAGAACTGATGAGTCGACAGTTCCAGGATCGCCTGTTTACTTGCTCATCTTTTATCCCTGCTGGGCCTGCCTATGAAAGCAACGGACTGCAAGGAAGGACATGTACCGCCACAGGTGCTTCCGAGGGAGAGCAAAATGTCCAAGGAACGTCTTATCTTGCGATCAAATACCGCTTCACTCCTAACCACCTTTGGAGGTAAGGCCCTGTTATCGAATGTCCTAAATCTAGCTGATTACTTTCAGAAATTTCGCCGTGATTTGCGCCATGATGGCGATATTTTGCACAGTCTACCTCTTGGCTGCCGAATACGTCCCGACGGAACGGTCGAAAGGGGAAATCCTCGTCTTCAAGAACCGGTCATCACGGGCAAGCCCGGAGTCAGATGACTCTGAAATGGGTCCAACTCCTGTATTTCACCAGAATTATCGTGACGAAAAGAATGAGAGCCGGGTCGATGCTCCCCTGCCAATCCACACGGGCTACGAGCAGTGCTCACCGGCCCTTCATTGGAACAACCTCAACTATGACATCAAGGTCAAGGGGGAAAAGCGCCGGATTCTTCACAGTACAAATGGCTGGGTGAAGCCTGGGACGCTGACAGTCTTGATGGTAAGCGCTCGAGACTCGCTCTGCTGCGATGTATGACTGAATATGCGGGTTAGGGTGTGACTGGAGCGGGAAAGACAAGCTTACTCGACCTCCTGGCCCAACGCCCAACGCCAGGAACACGAAGTGGACATGTGTATATCGGCGACAAGCTATGCGATTCGAAGTTCCAGCGAAAGCTGGGTTACGTCCAACAGGAGGACATTCATCTTCCTACAGCCACGGTGCGGGAGGCGCTGATGTTTAGTGCCCTGCTCAGGCAGCCCGAGGAAAAGTCGGCCGTGGAGGTTGGGGAGTATGTTAATAGCATCATCCATACGCTGGAGATGGAAGCGTATGCGGAGGCTGTCGTTGGCGTGCCTGGTGAAGGTAGGGATGGTTGCTCCTTGTGTTGTAGGCACAGCAGCTGACATATGGCAGGATTGAATCTGGAGCAACGGAAGAGGCTAACCATTGCTGTGGAGATGGTTACCAACCCAGAGTTCTTCCTGTTTCTAGGTAGGCGATGCAAACCGTCGAAGTCACTGTCCACCAGCATCATGTCTAAAATGCGGTTTTGCAGACGAACCTACATCCGGTCTCGACAGCCAGACAGCCTGGTCGATCTGCACCCTCCTCCGCAAACTGACAAAAAACGGGCAGGGAATTCTCTGCACGGCACACCAGCCGTCTTCCCAAATCTTTCAGATGTTCGACCAGCTTCTTCTATTAAGCAGCCGCGGCGAAACAATCTACTTTGGCGACATTGGTCAAGGCGCTACAACCATAATCAGCTACTTGGAAAGTAAAGGAGCCCCGAAATGCGAGGTGGACAGCAATCCCGCCGAGTGGATGCTGCAAGTAACCAAGCCGCCCTCAGATGCAGCAGGCCCGCGTTCTGTGCCCTACACTTGGCCGCAGAAGTGGAGGACCAGTTTGCAGAATCAAGACGTGATACACCAGCTCGAAGAGCTGAAGAAGTCCAGTCCGCAGACCAATACCACTATGCTCAGCGTTCGACAGACAGAATACGCTACTTCTCTAGCCAGACAGAATCTAATCGTTTCAAAACGTATATTCCGGAATTACTGGCGCGACCCGACGTATCTGTACTCCAAGATGGCCCTGTGTGTCGGGGTGGTAAGCAATGCCAGGGTTTGCCTATCCCACGACCACGACCACCCTCTGCTAACTTGAACTTGCAGTCTCTTGCGAATGGCCTTTCCTTCAAGTCAACACTTGACATCCAGGGACTGACTAACAGCTTATTCTCCATTTTCCTCTTGACCCAGCTCTTCAGTACTATCGATCAACAAGTCATCCCTCGCCTGACGGCCACTCGAGAGCTGTTCGAGTCACGAGAGCGACCATCCAAGGCGTACTCTTGGGTGGCTTTCCTTATATCTACGATTTTGGTCGAGATAGCCTACCAGACGCTAGCATCCGTCTTGGTCTTCGTCTGCTGGTACTACCCGACTGGTCTTTGGCGCAATAGCGATGCCGGTTTCACCGCTTCTGAACGAGGCGCGCTCGTATTTGTACTAATTTGGCTCTTTGGTCTCTGGATCACGACCTTTTCGCAGGCTGTGGCAGTGGGAATTAAACACGCCGAGACAGCCGTCCAGATAGCCACCCTTTTCTTCTGGCTGTCACTTGTATTCTGTGGGTATGTGTCGTACACTTCTGGATGCAGGTCCCCGTCTCGGGTTTTCTTCCTCTTATACGTTTATACTGACTCTTTATCCCTCTTTTTCAGAGTAATTGTGTCGCCCAGCAGCCTCCCGACGTTCTGGGTCTTTGTGTACCGCGCCTCACCCTTAACCTACTTCGTCAACGGCCTCGTCGTCGCAAGTCTTGCGGGCACCCACATCACCTGCTCTGCTGCTGAGCTGGTGCGCATAATTCCTTACGTTAAGCCCGCCATTATAGCCACCACGACGTGTGGCCAATATCTGGAACCGTACTTGCAGGCTGCCGGAGGCTATGTTGCAAACCCAGCAGCGAGCGATATTTGCTTATATTGCCCTATCTCGGACACGAACGCTCTACTGCGTTCATTGGGAATGGAGATAGACTACAGGTGGCGGATCGTGGGTTTCATGATGGCGTACGTCCTTTTCAACATTCTGGTCACGCTGGTGATTTATTGGGCGGCAAGAGAACCTCGGAGCCAGATATCGATAAACCGTTTCATGCCTTTCACCAATCTTCGAGGAAACACCCGTTGATCAGAGTCCATGTGCCGGGGTGGAGAGTCCGAAGTTCAGGGGCCCAGATAAACCGCCAGACAGAGTTAGCAAGCAAATACCACTCGCACCGCTCCGTGCGCAAACCCACAGTCTGTCGGCTTGAAAGCGTTTCTGTTGACAAATTGCCGACCCGATGAAGTGATGACTGCAAACGTCATCTTGGTGGTGGCCATGGCAATGAGAACTGGCTGCAATGAAGGCGGATTCTCGAATTGATGGGTTGTGCATTGGGGCTGGCGTAGCACACAAGGTGACTCCCGTGTTTAGTTCCTGTACCGATTGGCTTGCAAAAGTCATGATGCCGGTGATGACCCTCAAGAACAGAGGACTGCTGATGTCTCAACAAGTTGTTGGCGCAACGAGGAAAAGTAGGTAGAGGAGATGGACCTGACCGCCAGAGAGAAATCATTGACGGTCGCAGTGGAAAAAGACCGTTTGCTGAAGTGATTGTCATTGAGCTAGGTGGCAAGAGTCCAGTCGAGTCACTTTCCGATTCTCGGGGAAATCCAAGCACCAATCCAAGACAAAGTGCGTTGCCTTACTGCCAGTTTCTCGGACTGGTCTCCTGTTCCTCCAACTGCGCAATTCTAACCTATCATCTTACACAAACTATCCCACAAACTGTCTCGATCTGAGTTGCCTGCATTGTGTCAATTCAGAAGGAAGAGGATGCATAAAACTGACCTCTGCCTCTTCATCAACGGAAGACCATGGAGAAGGTTTGCCATAAGATCCGGAGGACATGCCAACGATGCGGGTGCCGCCAACATTGAGGGAGGCTTCACACTCGATCTGCGCTGCTGAACATTAGGGTAACGGAGGGCCGGTTGCAGGGGTCGGTGTCAAGCGGTCTGAGCATAGGGGGCTGTATCTCCTACTTTGGCACTCGCTACGGGTGGTCTTCTGATACAATCACCAATTTCCAAGTGATTCTTACGAAAGGATCAATTTTAAATGCCAACGCAAGAAGAACGCCTATCTTCAGTGGGCTCTTCGTACGGGCGGGGACAGTTTCGGTTTTGTTACTCGCGTTAACATGGAGACTTTCAGCCAGACCTCTTTACGAGGAGGATTTCTCTACTTTTCGACTACTCAACTAGAAAATATCATACGGAGCTCGTAGGCTTCAATTATGCTGATACCTATGCTCTACGAGCTTGCCCTTTCGATGCCGAATGGCTTGCTTTACGAAATAGGGGTCCCTAAAGCCTACAGGATGGGTATCAAAACAATAGCCATGCTATTTCCACAAAATTGAATATGAAAAAGTCTCTCTATGTCCCGGCTATACTTCCACGGGTTGTTATAAATAAGACACTACGACGTACCCCCGCCCTCACACATCCACTGGGCAAAGCCCTCCTCAGAGTCGACTCGGGGTAGCTCCTCAGTTGATGCCGCCCACGCACCCGTGTCAAAACTGAGGGTGCTCGGATATATAAAGCGGTAATTCTCGCAATATTGTCGGATGTGGCAGTAGCAGTAATATAGTTTCCTGCACAGCTCGCGATATCTAGCGATGCGGGCCGCCCTTTCGGGGTACTCGGAGACGCTTGCCCGGCCGACGTATTGTCGAAGCATCAAGAGCTCGTCGCCCAGCAGACTGATGTCGCGCTTTGGCAACACAGGGTGCCTGGTCAGCTGGCGGTGCAGGTCCAGGTAGGCAAAGTACTCGAGCTGCCGGCCTACGAGGAGGCACAGCAGGTATGTAGCCTCGAGCATCAGTCCGTGCTTGAGCTCCGCTCCCGTTGCAACATGGACTAGTTGGTAGGTGGCTGCCGAGTAGACACTGAAGAGCGCCAGTGTCTTCCATGGGTCCCGCGAATCAACGCCGAAGCCACTCAGCACCCCCTTCCATGCGTGCCAGCCGGCCTGGCGGCGAACAAGGGCGGCGACAGGACACGGTGAAGGCAGGCCGGCGCTCGAGTCGGCCAGAAGGCGCCGTCCTGCGACTAAGTCGATATCGAATAGTGCTTGGCCGCTGCGGAGGACACGGACGGCGGCGTCGCGGCCGAGGTTATCCATGTACTGTATGAGCTGGCCGATGACGACATCACGCCAGCGGCCGTCTGGCCCAACGAGCTGGCGGCAGATTGGATGGTCCTCTAGGAATATGATTAGATACTGCCTCGGATGACGCGGGAGATGATGCTACTACTTGCCCGTCAAGCGGATGCTGTCCTCTTCAACGAGGTATAAAAAGTAAAACGGGATGCAACTTCCAGTTCTACCTCGCTCTTTGCAATTCTGGCACTTGTTGGCACCTTCGCAGGGTATACACTACGGCCATTAGTCTTGATCTGGTAGGGAGGGAGTGTAGGCATTGAAGACATACAGCGGTCTGACGTAGCTTGCACAAGGTGCATGTCAAACGCTCATCTCGATTTCGCTTCACCGCGCGGTGCGCGCCAACGGACAATTCTCTCGAGCGCTTGCCCCTGGTCCTCGATTCCGAATCAGACAAGGCAGATTGGGACGTATAAGTCGTCCACGAGGAACCCGACCCCGTCTCTGAGGCGTCGATGGAGGCCGTCGACAAATTCGAACTTAGGTCAGGGAGTCCGGCAGAGCCAACAGGTAGGAGACGCCGGGGCCCGTAGGCGGAGCCCGCGTAGTCGGCTTCTGGCGAGTAACAGGGGGGCACACTCAGATTAGGAGACGGGACACGCGGCATGCGAACCCATGGGCCAGGAGCAGGAAAGTAGTGAGCCATATCATCCAAGCTAGGGTCACTCCAATCCAACGTGGCTTCCAGGGGCTTCGTATTAGGAAGTAAGCCGGTGATGCCTTGACCGAGAAGCATAGGGCTTGAAGGTGGAGAAGACCAGTATCTCTGGTCGTGCGGAAAGGCAGCCGATGCTGCTGAATTGCTGCAAGAATTGGCAGTCGTTGAGAAAATATCCGACTCTGACAAAACCCAGTCATGCTGCGTAGTCTGTTTCGTCGACGCCAAGGCGGAGAGGGCACTGGCAAAGACGCGACACGCAGGCATGACGATGGCGAGCCCAGTCGAGGGACTGCCGGCGATGATGTGGCCGAACAGCCTTCCCGTGTCGGCATCGCGCACCCAGCTGCCGCAATCACCCGGCACCAGCGGCGACATGAGGTTGACTGTGTAAACCTCGTGGAAGTCGGCGACATGTGGCAGACGGATGAAGGATACTGTGCCGGAGAGAGTCCCCCGTATCACGCCCCTGTCGGGCGTGGCGACCCTAACAGCAGCGTCCCTCGGGCCAGGCTCGACATGTTTGGAGCAGTCTTCGAGGGGAATAGCTCGTTCCCGCAAGCGATAGTCGGAGAGGCCGATTGTCCCCGGCGTTTCTTTATCCACGACAAGCAGCGCTGTGTCAAGGGCGCGTGAGGACATGACTACCTCGAGGTGCTGAGCAATGTCAACAACGTCTCGAGTATTGACTGGCGGCTCGGGGTCCGGGGACTTCTGCTTCACTTCGTCGAACCAATCACCGGGCTCGACGGCAGGACCAGGCGACGATGAATATGAACTGTAGGGGGCGTCGTCGAGGCTCTCTGAAGATGCCGGGTCATGTCGCTGAGAACACAGTGGCGACAAACTCCCTCTTCCGGTGGCATTCATGTCATCGTCTTCAAAATCTTCAAAGTCCGCCAACCCCGTAATCTCACACTCGTCATCCTCATCATCGTCGGCAGCAGCCTGCAATATTCCGTCGCTGGCTCTGTCCAGGCAATGGCAAACGGCTAGAAACATGAAAATCCCCTGAAAAGATACGAGTCCGCCAGCAGTCGCTTGACGCAGTGCTCCATTTGCACCGCTCTCGTCCGGGATCAGCAGTCTCGTGGCTCCCGAACCCCCGTCGGAACCTGCAGCAATGCCGATTCGTTTGGCTGGTGAAGTGCCCGGTTGGTCATTTGAGCTCACGGTCTTTCTCACGGTCCTGCTCACGGTCCTCGGGGGGGTTAAAATGCTAGGCATCTTGCCATCGGGTTTGTTGCGGTTGCGAAGCCAGCCATGGGCCTTCTCCATGTGCTGCTTGCAGTTGGACTCGCGTTTCGACTTGTACGGGCAGGGCGCGAAAAAGCACTCAAACATGGTGGGCGAGTCCAAGTGCTTGTCATCGACGTGCCGGACCATCTCCTTCTCCGTAGGCCAGCCAAACTCGTGATACTTGCAGGTTGCATAGGGGCATTTCCACGGCCGAGAGTGCGTCTTCTCGTGCTTGGTCAGGTCGCACGGGCGCTTAAACTCCTTGTTGCAGCCCAGCTCACGGCATCGCTTGGGCGCCAACTCCTCGGGGCGCGCATTCCTCTTCCGACGAGCCATCGATCGCATAATCTCTTCCTCGTCCTCAGGCTGGTTGGGCGCCACGTGCAAGGACACTTGTTCGCTAGTCGCTGAGCAGATGGATTGGGCGACGCTGGCAGTCGGGTTCTCGTCAGTCGTAGCTGCCTTGGCAGCAGATGCCTCTCGCACCAGAGGGCGGAGGCTTTCGAACTCGGCCTTTAGAGGCATGTTTCCTAGCTCGAAGCCCTGGTAGTCCTTCATGATGCCACTGTCTTTTATCAACCTGAAGGCTTCTCGTCGAGCAGGCTTGTCCTCGGACACGAACAAGACAATCGGTTTCGAACGCTTGGCCGACTTGCCGACCATGAAGAGCGATAGATCGACGCAGTTTCCAGAATCCGGTAGCTGGTCGCTGTTGTCTCTTAGATAGGCAACAATCTTGCCGCTGAGTTCGTCGTTGAAGATGCTGCGCGCCGGGCCGATGGCTTCGAAGCACTCGACCCGTCCCACGCGGACCCCGAGATGCAAGTAACCGCGAGCCCGACCGACCGAGTCACAAGCATAGGGCCAAGTCTTTTGGTCCTGCTTCTGAACGAAGCGCATGGTGCGTATTGAAGCAGTACACGCAGGGACAGGACGGCTCCGAGTTTCCGTCGTGGTTGAAGTCATTGAGACGATGATTGACCAAGGGAAAAGCCCGCGAGCCCAATGGATGGATGCCCAAGAAGTAAAATGTCTACGGTACCTCTGCCCGCCCGCGTCTCTTCGCTTCTGTGGTAACCCCTGCGAGGCAACCTGCAAGGCGAAAACTGGTGGCTGTGGCTGAGCATACATGCAGCACACGGCCGGGCGCAAGCCATTCCACATATACTAAAGGCGGCAATGCGGTTATATATGTAGCTCAGCCGCTGGCCACGTCGTTGAGAGGTATCTTGCAGCTGCTCCCACAGTCATCCGCCATGGATGATTCCTTGCAGAAACACCCCTTGTCCGCCGCCACACAAAATGGATTGCGGAGTGACCTTTGGAGGATTTGTCGACCGAGACTTGGTCCGAAACATGATTTGGCCTCGTATTTCGACTTCTATTCAACAAGATGCCAGCGCTTCTTACGGGAAGGCGGTGTCCACGTCTCTGTCAAGAAGCATTCCGAGCTCATAGACGTTGCCAACAAGATCCTATCCGACTCAACAAAAGAGGAGATCCGGGCAGCCCTTCTCGGCACCGATGCCGCCCCCAGTCACATCAACTGCGTCGAGACTACCATCGAGCTGTGCGCCGGCCTCCTCGCCATGGTGGAGGTGGGTGTTCACAAGTACGGCTTTTCTGGGTCGAATCCTCTGTCCTGGTACGACAAACACAGTCTGAGAGAGGCCATAAAGCAGTTTTTTCAGCCGGGGCAGCACTTAAAGCCAGACAACCAGAAGCTGGAAAGGCTTTTCACTGCTCACAACCTCAGCAGTATCGGAGGGATGCGAATCAAGTGGACAACCAACTTGGTTGACCATTTGATGTTGACGGACGACGATCAGACAGTCTTCATCTTTCACTGCGTGGGTTTTTTGGAGTTTCATCAGAGGTATGCCCGTGGTTTCTGTCCCCACTGATACGCCCTTCTGACTTGCTATGAAGCTTCGCGGATGCGCTGTTTCCCGACGGCTTCATGGAGGAAACCCTCAGAACGCTCGCCCTACTCTTCCCCCAGAACAACAGCAAATCACGGCGCTGGATTCAAGCTCAGATAGCGTCGGGCAGGCAAATTGACACAAGCCTCGCGCGATGCGGTAGCCTAAGGGCTCACGAGCGGCGCTTCAGCAACTTTCACGTCTGGCATGATAGACTCGTTGTCCTGAAGCAGGCCTTTGACGACTCGAGTCCACGCACTTTAACCCAGTGGTGGAATGATCGCCGAAACTCAGTTCAGTGGTACACGTTTTGGGTTGCTATTCTTGTATTCATCTTCACTGTTTGCTTGGGGTTCATTCAATGTGTCGAAGGAGGGTTGCAGGTCTGGTTGGCGTTGAAAGCAGCCCAGACCCCGCCAAGTTCCCATTGAACTATAAGTATCGGCAACAGCCATGCGCCAAAGCTAATCCCGGAGGGCTAGCATACGGGCAGAGATATGATATACTGACCCGGTTCTATACGGTTTAAGTGAATCCTTGGGCCTACGCTGTTAGATCTGAAGTCATCGCTGCAGCAGATTCTGAACTCTGAGAATTATATTGGTTGTGATATTTGATCCCGGTTTCTTACCGATCCTGGGCATCAAACATGAAACTGTTTCTCGGGAAGCCTCTGGACGTTGCGATTCTAAACCACTGAACAACTACCGATTGGGTTTCAGCAGACAGGTTGACAAAAGTACTATCGAGAGCGAAATTTAAGAACTTTCGAATGATTCAGTGTCTGATTGATATCAAAGAGAAAGTGAGCTTGGAGGAAAACGCTTCTATCAGTGTTAAACTGATCAGTCAATACTAGAGAAGATATGAACAGCACGGCTACACTGGGGACCAGCAGGGGCAGGATTACGCACACAAAACGAAAAGACTGGATGTTTGGTTGCTCTTTTAACGATTCTGCCGCAGCTAGAAATTCGCAACATTTATAAATAGTTACCAGCAGTGATGCTACTGTTGCATCTTACTCGCTCTGTGGCTTGGCCTGAAGACGAAACGCATTCGACCCTTGACGAATGCCTCTTTCCCGACGCTCTCTACTACACTCTGCTAGCCAACGCTGGAGAACTGATTGCAGTCTCGTTGAATAGCAGCCGCACCAGGAGAGGAGGCACAGTCTCGATTCGGCGTCGTTTTGGCAGACGTGACCTGCCCAGCGTGGTCATGCTTTCACCCATCTAAAGTTCGAGTTTGTCCTCAGCTCCTCTGACCTGTGGTTCACCTCCATTCCCAAAATTCAGCAAGGTCTCACTAGAAGACAGATCCATTGCATTCGTCAAGCATGGCCGTCTCAGAGACAAGAGGATCCTGATACGCGAGCTGGATTGTTATGCCAAGATCAGCGCATCATTACTGGACGGCAGATTACCGACTGCACTTCTCAAAGGCCTGATTCGAGACGAGAGCAGCTTATTAGTCTTTGGTTTCCTCCTGACATACATCGACTGCCGACGCGTGACATTAGCCTGCCTGCCCCCTGTGGGTTCTGCATGCGACATTTTCTGTATCCTCTGCACTTTAGGTCTGACTCTACGTTTCTTTTGCCAGCTAGCCTTTTTTTCCTCGTCAGGCAGTCTGGGAGCCAATAGAGGCGCGGACCCCCGCGCCTTTAAAGTCGGCGCGGACGTCCGCGCCTGTTATGTAAGCCCAGGCGGAAGATAGTCGGGCCGCCCCCTGACCTGTACTCTCCTTTTCTATTGCATGTGGCAAACTGTCGCACAGAGAGCCAGCCTCATATAGCATACCATCTGCGCTCAGAGTAGTTGTCCGCGGAAGCGATGCTATAATCCGCATATTAAGGTCGAGCGCCTGCATGCGTGGTGCTTGGACCCCATTGAGGCCAAAGCTCAAACGCAGGCTGCATTAAACCTCGCAGGCGGCCTCGGTTACAAGGGTTCTGCACCACGTCCACAAAGCAGGAGTTTCCTTTCCTTTGTGTATAAAGAGCTGCTCACTGTCGTGCACTACAGCTAGCTCTTCAAGATAATTCCAATATGGGGCTTACTGAATTCCCTGACGATTGCCTTCCTCCTGAGGGCCAGTTCGACTCGCGAGAGTCTCTTCTTGCCTCAATTAATGCGTGGGCGGCTCCATTTGGGAACCTCTCAAGCGCTGGCATAGCACCAAAGGATATCCGGACATATATGCGCCAGAGCTCTCAGACTGCCCAAGGAGCGACACAGCAAGACATATATAACTGTATCGCACAGCGCAGACGAGAGCTCCTTGCTGGCCAGAGCACAATGCATGCCCTTGCCAATGAGCTTGACAACGAGGGTTCCAGAGCCGCATACAGCTTGATCATGATGGCCGAGTCACAGCAGTCTTATTCGCACACCAGCGTCTCTAGGATACCTCAACGCATACCCAGAATTACTACTGCTAGACTGCACATACAAGACGAACAAATATAAGATGCCACTGCTCGATATGATCGGCGTTGATGCCTGTCAGCGGTCATTCTGTATTGCCTTTGCCTTCCTCAGTGGTGAAGACGAAAATGACTATATCTGGGCACTGGACCAACTCCAATCGATATACGAGTTATATGACATTCGCCAGCCATCGGTTATCCTGACAGATCGCTGCCTCGCCTGCATAAACGCAATTTCGGTGCTTTCCTGCGTCCAAGTCTCTGCTTTGCATCTGGCATGCGAATAAGGCGGTGCTTAGCTATTGCAAACCAGCTTTCGACCGTGACGATGAGGACTCTAATAGTGATGAGAGGTGGGCTGAGTTCTTTGGGTATTGGCACTCAATCGTGGGCTCGAAAGATGAGAGACATTTGATCAACAAGTTGAAGAGCTCGAGAAGCGCTTTGTGCCACGATACGTCAAGGAGGTTAGCTACATACAGGAAACCTGGTTGGACCCGTATAAGGAAAAGCTCGTCAAGGCCTGGGTCGACCAATATGCTCACTTCGGCAATGTGGCTACTTCCGGGTGGAAGGCATCCACGCATTATTGAAGAGTCACCTTAAGAAGTCAACATTAGACCTCTTCGAGGCAACGAGGGCAATCAAGCAAGCTCTCCTCAACCAACTGGCCGAGCTACAAGCCAACCAAGCCAGGCAGCATATACGGATGCCAATTGAGCTCTCTGGAACCGTATATAGCACGGTACGTGGCTGGGTATCACACGAAGCCTTGCGACAGGTTGCAAAGCAACACAAGCGCCTCAACGAGAAAAACACCCCATCTTGCACAGGCAGCTTCACCAAGTCTCGCGGTCTCCCTTGTGCGCACGCATTACAGTCTCTCATAGTGGAAGATCTGCCCCTCCGGCTACAACATTTTCATACACATTGGCGCCTTCGACGGGATAACAAAGAGATTGGTCAGGTCCTCATAGAGCCTCGTCGGCGACTAGACCAACTTGTCGCCGCATCAAGGATATCACAGTCATCCACACAGCGCGAGCCAAGTGCATTTGAAGCCATAGAGTCAGATCTACGGCCAAAGGCGCCGCCTACATGCAGCAAATGCCACCAGCAAGGGCACATCATGACATCTCGCAATTGTCCTTTACGCTATAGCGACATACTGCAGCGGGCAGAGGCACGGGCGGCACAGACTGCAGAGACTGCAGCAATTGCAGGGACTGCACAGACTGCACAGACTGTACAGACGGTAGCAGTTCCAGAGACTGCGCAGACTGCAGCAGTCATGGAGAAAATGACAGTTGCAGTCACTACGGTCTCTACAGTCTCTACAGCAATTGCAGAGACTACAGAGACTACAGAGAATCTATTATATGATGACCCACGAGCCATCTATCAGAGGTATGTCAGGAAAGAGACTCTTGGTATAGAGCACAGCCTCGCGGCAGTCTCAAGACCAACCAGGCATACCGAAAGGCAATGGGCTTGCCATTGCGCTACAGCAAGACTGAATATGACTGGTGCCTCGACTGGAAGCAAATGTCAAGGAGCTGCGGCTCGAGGCAATGGACCAAGGTAGAGATGATGGCATACCTTGATTGGGATAAGGCAGAAGAAGAGCGATTAGATGCCCGGGTGGCCGAGGAAATTCAGGTGCAGCCTTTCTCACGAGAAAGAGGTACTGCAGGTATATGGGCTGACTGCGAGAGAGACTCAGAGGAACAGCAGGCATTTTATTCACATATAAGTGGTGATGATGCCGGCGATGCGAAAATGTGAGGCAGATCGTGAGATCACCGACATGCACCGGCGTGTAGCACTGTAGCTGGCCAATTTTAAGGCGGTGAACTTCCGCGCACCCTCCTTGCCACGCAACAGCGGCGCCCTTTGCGTCACGTCAATCTACCAAATAGGGAAGGCTATGGGTTCGAACCCTAGGGATATCCTCCTTTGCAATTAATTGAAGCTATATGTATGCAGCAAGCATGCTGTATCGGTGAGGCCGACTGCGAGCGCAGTTGGCGGCGGCCCAAATGGCCTGCCAGGCTTACATAACAGGCGCGGACGTCCGCGCCGACTTTAAAAGCGCGGGGTCCGCGCCTCTAACGTAATCCACCCCCTTCCCGGTCAGACCCCCTACTCGGTCAAAAATTCCCCACCGACTAGACCCGCACCTTACGCGAGACAAACGGAGCACAATACCACGACATATTTACTCCAAGAGACAAGTAACTCGATTAGGACTATCTATTACACGTCCGGGCATTATGTTCAAATGACCTGCATTTACTACACCGTGGTGGTGCACGCTGTCTTGGGACACTCAGCTCTTCTATAAGTCGTTGGTCCCGCTCCCCTTCTTCCCGCCGTCGCTTGGCCCGCTCATCTTCCTTTGCTCTCTGTTTCTTGACCCGCTCCTCTTCCTTTTCTCGCCGTAGCTTGAACCATTCCTCGTTCTCTTGTCGCCGTCGCTCGGCCCGCTCTTCTCCTTCTTGTCGTCGCTTGGCCCGCTCCTCGTCCTTCTCTCGCCGGCGCTTAGTCCTCTCCTCTTCTTCCACTCTCCGTCGCTTAACCCGCTCTTCTTCTTCTTCTCTCCGTTGCTTTATCCTAACCGTGCCCTCTGCAACCGATAGAGTACCGCCGTCGCCAATGTATTCACGGCGCTGTTCTTTCTCTGCTTTCGCCGCTGGTTTTCTGACCGAAGTTGCCGGTTTTCGTCGGCAAGGAGGGCGGCGCTGTGCATGGCCATTTGACATCCTTTGATAAGCTGGTTGATAGCTTGTGAAACTGGCGAGTCTGTATTTTGTGGCCGGCGTTGAAGAAGCCTTTCGGCGTGAGTGGTAAGCTGGTTGACGTTATGCGGAGTCTTGGCTGCTTCCAGGCTCTTGTTGGGACTTGGAGTATTCTTGTCGCCGTGATCGTTACCGACTTTGTCAACCTGAACTTGTAACCGCGATAATACTCTGTTTGGGTCAAACGGAAAAAGGCCTGTTGCCATAAATCCGCTTCGGATATTCGACGGCGAAAGTGCTTGTCGGCGAGCGTCTAAGTACATGGGAAGGAAGTCCTGCT